TACCTTAACACTAATACTTCAAGTTGCATACGTGCACACACACACACACACACACATAGGAACACATGAACACACAATCCTCATATCCATACATCCTGTAGTAGTACGGTACACACACGGGGAGAGGCGGGATAGGGTATGCATGCCTACCTATTGGAGATAATCCAAAGATTCAAGCTTGCGCTCTCTACACGTGTGTGTACACTAGAAATAGACGAGTATATATAACTTGAATACTATATTGGTGGCATACCTATTGCATAATGCCCCAGACCAAGCCCAGAGGCTACCGAATCTACATATATATACACCCCTTTCTTGTCACTTCCACGTCTGCCCTAGGTGGGCAGGTAACCCCAACCACTTCCACTTCGAATGACTTATTAATACCGACTATGTACGAGTCTGCGTTCATGCCTCCACACAGGCTGACCTCTGATGATCGCCCAGTGTAGCTTTCATGTGCTTTTTATCCCTCTGCAACTAGGGCCAACTCGTTCCTGTGGCATTCCGCTCAACGAACTCACCCCTCCTTCCCTGTTACCACGTCTTGTCTTCACATCATCCGGAGGATTACGCAGCCTGATATATGCGCGCCTGCTGTGATGGAGGAATTAGGCATTTCCCCCCTACACGGCCTGATGGCAAGCCGGCATGACGCCCTTTAAGGATGATCGACGTACCCCTAAATTCTATCAGAGTAAGTAATCATCCAATCTAGATTGCCAAGATTCATTGTAAGTAGCTCGATGACACTCTTATAGCCGAAAGTACATTCCCTGGGCCCAAGCCCACAGTCACTACCAGACCTATGAACTGTCTACCGTACCCATCTGCAATAGGCTGTAGGTAAGTAGCGAAGAGCTAAACCTTAGTCAACCTGGTATACATGTAGGTATGATGAACAAGCATCGCATTAAGGGTTATACGAGTATGCGTGTGTGGAAGCCAATCTGTACCGATGCACGGAAACAAGTCAGGGCACATGAACCCTCTCGGTTCATATGAGAACAGGAACAGGGCCAATGTTGGCAGTGGCAGGTTATTCAGGGCGGTCTGTGCTTGGCTGAACACGTTTCGGAACGCCCCAAACATCAACGGCGGCAACCAGTGCGACGAATGGCCTGATTGCTGTCGGGGCGAAACCCTTGGTAGGTCACGATGGTGAAGAGCCGACTCATGGAAAACCATACTCGCTACCAGGCGAGCACCTCATTTATTGTATAGGATTCGCCGACAACACATACATACCAACTACTCAAGCACAGCTAGGACCGTAAGGATAAAAGGTATGGGGTAAAGGAAATACATAGTACGCATATCTATGTAATAGCAATGAAAGGCATGACACGTGAACTTTTCTAGAGCCATGATAGTCTCGGGTCTATATATATACCATCTGAACTGGATGATGCTGAAGGGCAACACCATTGCCGACTAGCTTTTGGCCCGACTTTACTACTTACTAGTAGCCTTCCCCCCTAACTTCTTTATTTTTACCCTTACCGACTTAGCCTTGTTGCTTCTCTGCAGAACATGGCCACGCTATTCGGAATTCCCAATATTCCTCGACCCTCCCTCCTTCTTACTCATGCCCACAATTGTTAGTGTGGGTGCCACAAGCTCGGCGTTTCTAGATTTTTTCGGGAGATGACGAGATTGGTCATCCCCACGCAGGGCAACAAAAACGACCATATCTCTATTCCGTTCCCATGCTCCCTGGGCGTTTGAAGCCTACTCATATCTAGTTAGGTCTGTTGGCCGGTGTATACCGTGTTACCTACAGCACGTTATATTACCTCAGATTCACCTTGCTTGTACGTAGGGCTGGCCGTTGAATAGAGAAGGGAAATTGTCATGCGACAAAGATGAGCTGATCTGACTGACAGACTGTCTGGTTCATTTGGAGCTGGATTATGCCCCCCTGTCCGTCTGGGTGCCTCAGCTGCCTACTATGCAATTTGTTGCATACCTACCTAAATACTGCATGGTTGTGTAGGAGTGAATTGGGGCGTGCAGTATACCGAGTGATCTACAGCACGGGAGAATCCACTGCCAGAAAATTCCGGCATGCGCAATGAGGAGGGACTGATCTTATACGAGCGAGGCCCACCATCTATTACTACACTCAAGACCTATTAAGTAGGTAGGTATATTACTGGGTACCTATATGCCTACCCGGCGTTATTATGTATTAGATAGCTACTAGGCTCGCTAGGTAAGCTATCTAACGCATGTAATGAGGTGCTATATGAACCCGTCACAGCAGAGCAGATCGTCCACCTAATACATATGAATATGTATGTGCTAAGTAGGTATATGACGACGCCTTGGTTCATCACAAGTGCATAGAGATCTCGTGCGTACTTACATTACTTAAGTATACCTAGCACACAGAGCGAGCGCAACACAGTCGCACGTCTACAGTACGGCGCGGCACACAAACGCAGCAAGTAGCTACCCTGGTCTAGATCACACTTTGACCACTTCTCCGAGATTCGTCAAAATCATACCAAGTATGCTTCAGTTAGCATTGCATCCACACAATTCCACTTCACACAATATAAAGAACAATGTACAGTCAAGACGCGTTGAGCGAGAAGCAAAGCACGATTAGAACTGCCTATTAGTGTAGACGCTGTACCGAGACTACCACTGTACTGTCCTGTCTGTAGGGCCTTTTTAAATGCAGTCATCAAAGACAAGGGGCTGGGCAGCGAGGGCTTAGCCGCATCGGGTAGTTGTTGCTGCGCTGGCAAGGACAATCACAAATATTCAATGAAGATGAATACTCCGAGTCAGATAAGCGTGCCTCAATTTCAGATGGTCCCTTCTTGGGGGTCCAGTGGAATGAGAGAAGTGTGTGCGTGGCATTGGTTCAGTGCCAAGCGCTGCAATATGACCACCGACACGCCCCTCCCCAGCTCTCTGCCCAGCCAAACCCTGCAAGCCGCAAGCCCGCCAAACATTGTCTATTGGGGCTCGTCCAGGTCAAGCGGCAAGGGAGAAGCGAATCCGTCCGAGCCGCGACCCGGCGGAGAAAACCAAATTTGGGAATGGTTGCAACACCTACGCGACCCGTACTGGCAGGCAAGTGGCGCGAGGCACTGTACCTTGTACATCGAGGTAGCGCGATCCGCAGCTGCCATGTACATCGACTGCATAAATCTCAGCCTAGATACACACTTGCTCTACCTCCTTGGACTTCTCCGCCACTCGAGCACTGGTACCAAGTACTGCATATACTTATGTACGTGTACATCCTGCCTACCTAGCGTGTTCTATCTACTTAGTACTTACAGTAGTCGCATCAGGAACGGCAGGCGGAACCCTGGCGAGTCTAAGTCGATCAAGGTTAACGTATCCCAACGTGGGACCCAGCCGCACCGCAGCATCATCATCATCATCATCGTCCACAGCAGCGAGGCGCTACGGGATGACTCGCGCTACCGTAGGTATGCCCCATCACGCGGGTGCTCAAGGATTTCGACAGTTTCGGTGTTGGGGTCACTGCGCAGTGTAAGTAGGTGAGTACTATGTAGGGACAGCCATGAGAATCCCTGTCCATCCTCTCACTCACCTCACTCACACGCACAGAAGATTTTCGCGTGTGCCTGTCCACCAACAAACTCAGGAGGAAGCGGGAAGCGACGCCGAAGGATGGGATTCGCCAACTTCAAACAATACCTACAGAGTTGTCCAAAAGTTACTCAGGTACTGTAGGTAGGGCTGCCGCCGCCTCCGCCGGGACTATCTATTGGCATTGTCTGAACCGTGTGCAACAAAACACCCCCCAGATGACCTGTCGAAGCGGTGAGTGCAAGCCAACCATTTCGTCCGAATACCTAGAAGACATCACCACTTGTCGCGCGAACTGTATTCGACGATAGGATGGCAGATGACGAGACTTAGGCTTTTATAGCAAACATTAACTTAGTAGATTATGCACCCCCGGATTACATCAACATGTGCTTATGAACCCAACTTTGCATACCTAGGTAATTAACAGGATTGAAGCAAAAGTTAAGTATTTCAAAAAGAAAAAAAAAACTGGATAGCGCAGGTAGCGCAAAATATCCGCAGGTAGGCAAACTTATCTGCTATAGACTATAGTGTTAAGTATGTACTTAAATTAACAATTCGCATCTGTTTCGAAGAGAATGAGAAGAAGCGCCGCTGTATGTTTGTTGCAATGTTGAACAATTATCTCGTCGGTGACAATAGTGGCATGTTGATATTCTCTTGTTTATAGCTACTGTATGCTGTATACACACTGACGCGGCCACACTTCAGATTTGGATTGCTACCTACCTACCTCATGCAATGCCTATACAAACAAGTACTGTACATATACGTAGGTAGGTAACGAGGGTAGATAGGTAGATAGGTTGTGTGATAATAAATACTGGATGGTGATAATAAAAGAAAAAGAAAAAGGCCCAGGGCCGCCACTGGTACGCTTGTTTAACGCCATGTCCCGCCCACGACCCGCCCAAGGCAATCCTGTCTACCGCCTTGCTGCCCACTGCCTGCCAGATTAGATTTATTTAGCCAGCGTGGGTTTCATAACGCACAGGAGGAACGATGAAATGCGGGTACACGATGGTACACGATCCACACTAGGCCGAGACCCACTAGAATCCTCAGGACCTGTCCTGTCCACGGCGCTAGTGTACCCAGGTACCCACCGCGCTCCCCACCGTGCTACCCACAGTACCACGCCCAGTACTGCATGTGTACCGGCTTATGCCAGAGCCTGCGGTGTACATGCATCGTACCAGACAGGCCTGCGCTTGGCGGGATTGCCTGTGTTCGCCTGCCACACGCTACCTCGCTCTACCCACCCAGACCCATGCCCGCTGCAGGTGTTGCAAGTACCGCAGAGGTACAGGCCGTGTACAACCGCTCTCACGACATCATGTTCCGGGAACACTTGAACCCTCCCCTCCCTTTGCTCCACAAATCCACTTGCGCCCCTGGGCCGGTTGTCTCTCTGTCGAAAGCACCTTTCGTGGGTAAGGGTAGATAGCCATGGAGTGAAGCAATGCCCTTTGGAAAACTCCTGGGGCGAGCCGGCCATCTCTTGTTGTCTCTCTCGTCGTCCACCGCCTGCCTGTCATCCCCTCCCCTTCCCATCCCGACACTGGAGTTTCCATGTCTTCAGCCTTCACGCCGTGGTAGATTCGATTTCCATTTCTTGTATCTACACGTCACACCTAGACAACACTTCCTACCACAACATTTCTTCATTGGTCATGTTCAGCACATGCGCTTAACGGGCATAGCAGCCTACCCGCATCAGTTCAAGGAGCAGTCACATTTCTGCACCTACAGCTGCTGGCCGTACGAACCTCGCAAAAACTTCACGTCTTGTGGTATCATCGAGTCTAACTCTGCCAGGGGCGCTGCCTAAGTCCGCAGTCGGCAGTTGCATCTATTTTTATTGATTTTTTGGGCACGTTGCGTAGCTACGTCGCGCGTCCTTCTCGACTACATTTCGAACATAGCTTTGGAACCACAATCCTGAAGCACTTCACGCACTAGTGGCTGATTACTAGCGATTGTATCATCAGTTCCTTGTCATCACTTCGATACCGTAGCCATATAATTGTCGTCTAATATGGCGAACCACCATCCATCGCCGCAGATGGCGATGCAAATGCAGCATCATGGCCCGCCTGCTCCCGCTGGGCCTGCCCAGGGAAGTCAATGGGCGCCATCGCGCCACATGGTAGCCGTTAATGAATCACTATGGATGCAAATTGGTAATTATAGTCTTCATGGATCGCAAAGGAGACGCGACGTTGAGTAACTAACATTCATGATTAGGCAGCTTCTCCGAGTTGCTTGGCAACCTTGATGATGCTATGCAAGCCTACGAGCGTGCCCTCCACGCCAACCCGAACTCGGTCCCAGCCATGAACGCCATCAGTCTAATCCTCCGAACTCGCGAAGAGTTTCACAAGGCAGTCGAGTTCTTGCAAGCAATCCTAAAAATAGACGGCCAAAATGGGGAAGTCTGGGGCAGTCTAGGTAGGCTTCACCTGTCCTATCTAAATTCACCAGTAACATCTGATTAATGATATCTGACAGGCCATTGCTTTCTTATGATGGATGACCTACAGCAGGCGTATGCTGCATATCAGAATGCACTGATCAACTTGGCGAACCCCAAGGTAGGCCCTTTCACTAAATTTCATAGACGCCAGCGCTAATATTAGCTAGGAGCCAAAATTGTGGTATGGCATAGGTATACTTTATGACCGCTACGGCTCTCTTGATCACGCAGAAGAGGCATTTTCTCAAGTGATGCAAATGCAACCAGATTTCGAGAAAGCAAACGAAATCTACTTTAGGCTGGGTATAATATATAAACAACAATCCAAATATGGACAAAGCTTGGAGGTATGTATAGTATGTATCAATACGACCAAGCATCGCTAACATATTTCAGTGTTTCAAATACATCGTGAATTCACCGCCTCCTCCATTGACCGAGGAAGATATCTGGTTTCAGATAGGTCATGTACACGAACAGCAGAAAGATGTTAGTACCATCCACAGGTAATTCGAAGAAAATAGCTGCTGACCAAATCTTAGTATGATAGTGCCAAAGCTGCCTATGGCCGAGTGCTTGATCGTGATCCAAACCATGCGAAAGTTCTGCAGCAGCTCGGTTGGCTTCATCACCAACAAAGTAGCTCCTTCCAAACACAGGAGCGAGCTATCGAATACCTTGAAAAATCTGTTGCTGCTGGTGAGTGTAGTCCTCATTGGAGGTATTAAGTCTTGAATTATTCATACTAACGCGTGCTAGATAATGGCGATGCTCAGAGTTGGTATCTTCTTGGTCGATGTTACATGTCGCAGCAAAAGTACCCCAAGGCATATGAAGCTTATCAACAAGCTGTATATCGTGATGGTCGAAACCCCACTTTCTGGTGTTCCATCGGTGTTCTGTACTACCAGATCAATCAGTACAGAGATGCACTAGATGCGTATTCGCGCGCTATACGCTTGAACCCATATATTTCAGAAGTCTGGTATGATCTCGGTACTTTGGTAAGTCCGCACTGCTCTTAGCCTCGCGCCATGTCACTCGCTAATCGTCTTTCAGTATGAATCGTGCAACAACCAAATCACTGATGCTCTGGATGCGTACCAAAGGGCAGCCGAATTAGACCCTGCCAACCCTCACATCAAGGCCAGATTGCAGCTTCTACGTCAAGGCCAAACACCGGGAAGCAACATTCCCCAGGCAGTGCCAACTGATGTCCATCCTCAGTCATATGGTGCTCAAGGGCCGCAAGCACCTTCGTGGCCAGGTTCTGGCCCAATTCAACAATCTGGACCGGGTGCCTCACATAGGCCACCACCCGGTCCTGCTGCTGCCAATGGATGGGGTCAACGAACCAGCGATATCAGTCCCCCACAGCCACCAAATCCTTATGAACAGCGGGAGCCGTTTCGGGGACCAGCGCCTCCGTTACCCCGGCAGCCAAGTCCCCGTCCTGAGATGAGACCTTATGGAGAGCCTAACCGACCCGGTCCGGCACCAATTCGAAGAGGCCCCTCACCTGCGCCCTCATCACAATATGGCCCACCACCACTATCTGGTCCCCCTCAGCAGCCACCCCCGCCAGCTCAAGGCGGTCCAGCCCGAGTTATCAACTCAAGCTACACTCCAACGCCCGCTAGCATTGGCCCTGGAAATGGACCGCCCAATGGTGCTCAGCCGCACACTCTAATGCCTTATAGAGCGGGCTCTCCACGGTCTGAGCAGCAGAGACCAATGCATGATAATCGTATGCCGTCTCCCAAGTCGGCTTACCCACAACATCAACCTCCCTACTCGCACCACCAAGAGCCAGGAATGGACAATGGTGGTCCGATGCCGCCAAAGGGCCCGATGGGTCCAGAGATGCATCGGGATGACAGGCCACCATCTGTTGCAAAGAGAATGCGGGAGTGGGAAGATGAACCGGCGATAAAAAAACCTGCCAGTGATGAAAACAGGTCGCGCATGCACGATGTGACCCACAGACGGCCATCAACTCCACCCCGAGACCCTTACCGCCGGTCTCCCGAGGGTCACCGCTTCGAGGATCGCCGAATGGAGGAGCGCCGGGCGGACGATCAGAGACGGGCGGAAGAGATGCGACGGGCTGACGACCAAAGACATGGTAACGAGGGCTACCACCCATCTGAAGCAGCTCATCACCCACCAACTCATTCAATGCCTCCTAATCACTTGCCTCCCATGCAATCAGGGCCATCACCTATGCCTGGCATCATGCATGAGCCTCCACAGCCCAGCCCAGCATCCAAGGAGTACAGCCAAGAGGACAGGTCAAGGCTAGAGCACCCATCTGTACCGGCTCCGCTACAAATGAATGAGCCTGAGCGTGCTGCTCGTAAGATGGATGTTGATGAAGACTATGATGATAGTGGCGAAGAGGAGAAGAAAGTAGGACCCGGGGGTCCTACATCTGGTCCTGCGTCAGCATCGGGAGAAATGAAGACTACGACACCCACAAGTGCTGGGATGAACGGTATAATGGGCCCAGCCCCTAAGACGGAGACTGCGTAATAGCGCAGGCTTGGGCAACGGAGGGGATGTTTATGGGGTGGCTGAACTGGACTTTTGCGTACATACCCTTTTCCTTAATCGATTCATCTATGTATAAAAGCAAGGTGACTGTTTTGCCTCCCACGAGGTGATGCATCCTTGTGGGGAGCATCAAGCAATGCCTTGTGAAGTGTTTCTTCACTTTTTTTTTTAGCCCTTACGACTAGCTTGCTCAAATATAAACTACATTCAAAATCGGCTCATACTATTTCCGTGCACACTTATCTTAAACTTCAAGCATTGACAGCTGTAACAAGAGACTGAAAACAGATGATCATAAACAAAGTAAAACTTGAAGGTGGCTGTCTACATATATATAGAAGCTTGGGCCATTAGTAGGTTAGTACAAAGGTACTAAGCATACCTACGGAGCTTCTAGGTACCGTAGTCTACTTAAGTAAGGTAGGCACTCGCTTTAATCCTTCTGTTCGATTCTTATCGATAAGGGTTGCTAGCTTAGCTTTCTATGTGGGGAGCTCACATACCGGCTATTTTCCGGCGATTTGATCCACACACAATCGATCAATCAATCGGGCCATGTGCGCCGCCAAATGCAAAGCGAACTTTTTTCTACCTTGAATATTTTCCCTCTCCTTCAATCCTCCATCTCACGCCAACCGGTTGACTTCTTCTACTAACAACAGGGAATCAATCGAAGATGTCTCACCGTAAGTTCGAGGCGCCTCGCCACGGTTCGTTGGCTTTCTTGCCGCGAAAGCGTGCTGCTCGTCACCGAGGAAAGGTCAAGTCGTAAGTCCCAACCAACTTCGTCAGTCCAGGGACCTCTGAAAAAGCAGCGGCATCTGACGCTCAATTACTGTCTAGTTTCCCCAAGGATGACCCCAAGAAGCCCGTCCACCTCACCGCCGCCATGGGCTACAAGGCCGGTATGACGACCATCGTCCGTGACCTCGACCGACCCGGCGCGAAGTCGCATAAGAAGGAGATTGTTGAGGCTGTTTCCATTATTGATACCCCACCTGTACGAACAACGCAGCCCGCTTGGCTCTGTGCCTATGGCTAACATCTTGTGACAGATGATCGTTGTTGGTCTTGTGGGCTACATCGAGACTCCCCGGGGTCTACGATCTCTCACCACCGTCTGGGCTGAACACTTGAGTGACGAGGTCAAACGTCGCTTCTACAAGAACTGGTACAAGAGCAAGAAGAAGGCTTTCACCAAGTACGCCAAGAAGCACGCCGAGAGCAGCGGCTCCTCCTTCACTCGTGAGCTCGAGCGCATCAAGAAGTACTGCACTGTCGTCCGTGTGCTTGCCCACACCCAGATCCGCAAGACTCCTTTGAAGCAGAAGAAGTCCCACCTTATGGAGATCCAGGTCAACGGTGGCTCCATCGCCGACAAGGTGTCCTTCGGCCACGGTCTCTTTGAGAAGCCCGTCAGCATCGACTCCATCTTCGAGCAGGATGAGATGATCGATGTCATTGCCGTCACCAAGGGTCACGGTTTCAACGGTGTCACAGCCCGTTGGGGTACCAAGAAGCTGCCGCGCAAGACACACAAGGGTCTCCGCAAGGTTGCTTGTATTGGTGCCTGGCACCCGTCTCACGTCCAGTGGACTGTTGCCCGTGCTGGTCAAATGGGTTACCACCATCGTACATCAGTCAACCACAAGGTCTACCGTATTGGCAAGGGTGACGATGAGGGTAACGCCTCTACTGAGCAGGATATCACAAAGAAGACCATCACTCCGTAAGAACCACTTCATTCCCCCCACCCTCCTCTACTTACCTAGAACCATGAGCTAACTAAGCGGCAATAGTCTTGGTGGTTTCGTCCGATATGGTGACGTTAAGAACGACTTCGTCATGGTTAAGGGCTCTATTCCCGGTGTCAAGAAGCGGGTTATGACACTCCGCAAATCCATGTTCGTCCACACATCAAGAAAGGCCTTGGAGAAGGTTCAACTGAAGTGGATCGACACGTCATCCGAGTTTGGTCACGGTGCTTTCCAGACTCCGGCCGAGAAGAAGCAGTTCATGGGTACGCTCAAGAAGGACCTGGTACAGAGCTCGTAAGGCAGCTTTGTATTTCCGTATTTTAGTCTTTGCATCGGTGTTCTCGGTTCCCTTTTCGGCTACTGCAATGGACGTGGTGGGCTTACGGATTGGCATATGAGTTGCAGCTAATGAGAAACTGCATGAATGAAAAAAAGCCCATTTAGATTCCCAATTGCACATAATTTCTTCTCGTGAGTTCTGTATTATGATTAAGACCCAACTTGGGAGGTGTGAGTTAGCTGTTCCCCAAGACTCGATATATACTCTTGAACTTGTCAAAGCCGTATACCTACTGCTAGCGAGTAATATCAAAGGAAAATAAGAACCGTACATTGTTGTTGCCTTCGAAAAATACGTTCATATGCTTCGGGCTCTTAGATCTGTCTATAAATCAGTCAAGTGAGAAATACTAACAACAGCGCCATTAGGAATCGAACCTAAATTCGCCACATAGCTCGCTCAGTACTACATGTAGATTTAATCTCTAATAGAGTGCATGTGTAATTCAAATACACAAATTCCTCTGGATATAACTGGCGCCCATATGATATTGGACCTCAGGTTTATTCTTTTCTAATAACTTACCGTATATTTACAGTAGGCTATCATGATGTTAGCCGCCATCCTACGGCTGAGACCATGCTGAGCAGGTGCTGTAGATAGTGTAGATAGTCTGGTGGGATTAACAGGATAGTGTTTCTCGCTTTCGTCTTTACCAAGTTGGATATCTCTATGTCCTTGCACGGAGTACGTACCTACTTTTGCTTAATGCCTGTTTAGGTAAAGTGCGGCCAAGGGACAGTGGCGTGCCGACCCGACAAGCAAGACAAATGATGTAACGAGACTGATCAATACAGAACACCAGATTCAGGACAATGCGCCCACCCATTTATTGGAGTTCAATTTGCTCCCCAACAATTACATATACATCTATGCTACCTCATTTGAAATATAATCTTGGACGAGCAACATCTTGCGACAAGTTTCAACTCTTTAATCGTGGACTACACTCCAGACAATACAGCTCGCAGCTCAAACCAGCCATATATCGAACCTGCCGTCTCTCTACGCTCAGATTAGACGGACAATCACGTCGACCAAACACTAACAGACGTCTCGGTCTTCGAAGCTTCACAACCACGAAATTAGCGAAAATGGCGTCGGATGACGATTATATGGCATTCCTTGACAAGGCCAATCGGGACCCGAACGAAGGCTACGCCGCATCGCAAAGCAACAGCAAGACAGAACTCAAGACCACAGATGACGGTGCCAAGATCCCTACTGCCATCCAGGAAGCAACAAAAGACGCCTTTTATGTCAGCGATTCCGACGAACCTTTTGTACCGGTATCTCTGGCTTGGAATGAGGGTGGAAAAGGACTACCTGATGAAGGTATGCTACTATTCCCATCTACTTTCTCCACCCATAGCATTGCTTCACCTACGTCTACATATGGAAACTAACCGAGGAATGATCGTTGCGTGCAGGGGAGCTAGCGACCTTGATACACCACCCCGACCCCGCCAACGCAGATATCGAAATACAGGACCCAGCCGAGTGGGATACGCAAGGGCAATACAGGGCGATCCTCGACGCGGTGACTAAGGCTGGCAAGGGAAATGATGTGCGCGTCTATAGAGTCGCAAGAGGAGGCGCCAGAGTCGAGTACTGGGTCCTAACGACTGATGGGAAGGGCGCGAATGCTAGGCTTGTCGGCGCAAAGGCGTTGGCGGTTGAAAGCTAGTTGCGGGGCTATAAACTCGTTACGGGAACATCAGGGCATCCGTGGCTGCGCGGGGCTGCCTAGACACTTTCTGATATTATCATCTGGAGAATTACCCCTGGGTTTAAGATGCTAGGACCGGGTGCTGTTTTGGAGGAGGCAGATGGCCTTTCTCGCGCGCTGCGCCAGGCTACCCGAGGGAGTCATGAAACAGAACAATATGTCACTCCTATACAGTCTCTTCCAAGTCTCCTCTTCCCATCACATGGTTGGGCTGTTAAGGTACGGATGAACAATTGATCATTGCATTATGTCTAGCCAACTACAGGGTATGATTCGCCCTACACACATCACAGAGGCAGCTACCGAAGTGATCTTTGCAGTCATATACCTAGGTACCTATTCTTGCAATGAGCAGCTACTATCTATATTGCTCACATGGCCCTTAGACAAATAAACCGACCTGCTGGCCGTCTAGATTATCTGTGTGCTGTCCCACACCGTATTCATAGTTTCATCCGTCATATTCATCATGATTTAGGTACAGTACTATGTAGCTACGCAAGACAATGGTGGGGTACACATGTAGACAAATAATGTAGCTCCCAGACAAAGTCATTCGCACTGTCTTTACGTCCAGTTAAGCGCAAAGACTACAGTATCAACACTCTTGATTACTGTATTACGCCCTATCTCTGCCCCGCGCTCCGCCCTTCGGAGTAACACTGGAATCAATGCCGCGACGGAATTGAAGTTGTCACTGGGTGAGTCAACAGAAAGAATAGATCCAGATTAATAGAGTCCTAGGAGAGGCGAATTGCCTCGTCTGTGTACGGAAGTCAAACGAGCTCGGAAATTTTGGACAATCTAACCATCATGGCACAAGCAGTAGGAAATCATCACACCCAATCACCCAGTCTTTCGGCGCAATGCTCCCACTCAAACGACGGCTGACGATGTACATGTATCTGACAGGACGTTATTTTGCCGTCACTCGAAACGGTCCAGGAAATACTCTCACAGCCACCTCCCCCAACATCCAAGAAGCCTAATATTGTCCCTTTATATGGCCAGATCTCTGCCGATTTAATAACACCCTCGGCTGCCTATTTAAAGGTATCAGCCCATTCAAAGTCAGACTTCTCATTTCTCTACGAGAGCGCAGCCACCGAGCGAGTCGGCCGCTATAGCTTTGTGGGTGCTGGACCACGAAAGGTTATCACAACGGGAGAGGGCCATGGGGAGGCTATAGATCCTCTGCCGACCTTGGAAAAGGTATTAGCAGAACGAGTGGTCGCCGAAGTACCAGATCTCAGGTTACCGCCTCTAACCGGTGGTGCTATTGGCTATGTCGGCTATGACTGCGTGCGATATTTTGAGCCCAAGACGGCCCGGCCGATGAAGGATGTCCTTAAGATCCCCGAGTCGTTATTCATGCTCTTTGACACCATTGTCGCTTTCGACAGCTTCTACGGCGTCATCAAAGTTATTACATATCTTAACATTCCCGACGACCTTGCCTCCCTACCCGCCGAGTACGAAAAGGCCACCGCCGTCATTCGCGACCTGATTGATGTTCTGACGGCCCCCGAGATACCCATTCCTGAACAGCAACCTATCAAGCTAGGGCAAGAATACACGTCCAATGTTGGACGTGCAGGATATGAAAACCATGTCACCGAGCTCAAGAAGCATATCGTCGTTGGCGACATTATCCAAGCGGTGCCGTCACAGCGATTCGCACGCCCGACCTCCTTACATCCTTTCAACATATACCGCCATTTGCGCACTGTGAACCCGTCTCCCTACCTCTTCTACGTCAATTGTCGAGACTTCCAGATCGTCGGCGCCTCGCCCGAGCTGTTAGTCAAGGAGGAGGATGGCCGTATCATCACTCATCCCATCGCCGGGACGGTGAAGCGCGGGAAGACACCAGAGGAGGACGAGCAGCTCGCCAACGAGTTACGGTCCTCGCTGAAGGACCGCGCCGAACATGTCATGCTCGTCGATCTCGCGCGAAACGATATCAACCGCATATGTGACCCGCTGACAACGCGCGTCGACCGCCTCATGGTAGTTGAGAAGTTCAGCCACGTCCAGCACCTCGTGTCACAGGTTTCAGGCGTACTGCGTCCCGGCCAAACGCGCTTCGACGCCTTCCGCTCCATATTCCCCGCCGGCACCGTCTCCGGGGCCCCCAAAGTCCGGGCCATGGAACTGATTGCCGAATTGGAACAAGAAAAGAGGGGGATTTACGCCGGGGCCGTCGGATATTTCGGTTACAACAGCGTAGACGCCATGGGGAACGAGAAGGAGGGAGCCATGGACACGTGTATAGCGCTACGTACAATGCTGGTCAAGGACAGCGTTGCGTATCTCCAAGCTGGTAAGCTGACCACCACACCCTGACCCAATCCCCGCAGGGCGATGTTGTGACTAACTAGCCGGATGTGTTTGTAGGCGGCGGTATCGTCTTCGACTCGGATGAGTACGAAGAGTGGATGGAGACGATGAACAAGCTGGGCGCAAACATGCATTGCATCACGTCGGCGGAGAACCTCTACGCCAAACGACAGAAAGCGTGAACAATTTCCCTTTTGCTGATTTATATCCATATCCATATAGACGTGTCTGGTGCTGTGAATTAATTAAAAGTCCGATGCATTGGCATGGTTCATCTCGTTTGAAGATGCTGAAAGGCTTCGTTTTCCCATTTCATACGTACATGTTCAGTAGCAATGTGATCCGCTTTCTTTGTGGAGGAAGTAGAGTATATTGGTATAATCCTTCTAGACAAATTCTGTCTCGATTGATCGGTGAATAAGGATAAGATTAGACGGGGAGTATCGTTCCATCAGATCCATTTCGGGAGTATCAACGACTTTGATTCTTCCCGCAGGATCAGCTTCGGTCATGACGCTGTCCCGGTCAATAAATAAAAAGTATCTAGGTTACTCCTTCTATACGAGAAAACGTAATATGGAATTCCACATGTATGGTAGGAAGATAGATAGATAGAGAGTTAAACAGATAAATGCGCATCGATCTGTCGAGAACATCTACGTTGAAGCTATAACTGACGTTCAGGTCCTTAGGTCGTATATGAACGAGAAGGTGCATAGAGAGGGATGGCGAAGACATGAATAATCATTTAGAACTGAGATTCTTTCATTTACATGTCTTTGGTATATAGGTTTTTACGATGTTTTCATAGACCTCTATTCTTCCCGCTAACTACCGAAAGTTTTCGTGGCACACGGGTCGTGCTACGGTATCCGGTATATACCATGGAAGAATTTATCCAGTTGGTTGTTGGTGATAACTAACGTATTTAACTAGTCAACGCGAACTTACTAACGCAGCAATACAATCACGCACAATTGTAGAACCTTGACGCTCTTGTGTACCCGGGATTGTTCGCAATGCAAGATCAAGGAATCAGTATACTGGACTTCAGGTTATTACGAATACTTCAGTAGGCAATTATAATAGTCATTAATTCATCATCTATGTATAGTAAAGCGAACCATGCAAAGGATCGGCTTGTCTTCTAATATTAAGTGACATGAACCGATAATATTCGCTTAGATGAACATGCTACCTCCGTCTCTTTTAATGCTCAAATTCATTTTCCTTTTGAAATAAAAACAAAACAAAAAACACCAGGAATGCAAATTATGGGTTTAATTCGGAGAACCAAATGCTTTAGGCATTTTAAGCGTTGCTCCTTGATCTTCTCGGAGCATTAGAAACAGCAGCGTGATCGATCTGTTCTTTGGGTTCTTCCGAAACATCCTTTCCAGAGTCAGGGCTGGGAACCTTGGTGGCAGCTCCAGGGAAGTCTGTTGGAGCAAAGGCACTCTTTGCTCTAATCCTAGGCCCGTAGATCAAGAACAGCACGGGAATTGGTATCAGAAGCGCGGCAATACCTCCTAGGAGAGTAGAAGCATATTGAATACCGAGACCGTTGAACAGATATCTCGCGAATAGCGGGAACCCAGCACCGAAGAGAGAACGCAGGAAAGTATTGGCAGCGATGGCTGAAGCGGCACTGAAGAAGATATTAGTCTAGGAATCAAAGCAATACAGACTTCATGCGACAAAACTTACAACATGAGGTATGAGTCGACGAGATAGTTGAGTGATTGAAGGAAGATGGTCAACAAGCCAAAGCCAGTAAGGAGACCCGAAAGAGTAGGCACAATCCAGTGAATATCAGCACGATAACCAGACCAACCAAACCACTATAGGCCGCTGGTCAGTAAATACTTTCCCAACAAGTGTGAGTCGGTTTGAAGAGAGGGGCAACTTACGAAAATACCTCCAGTGAATGCAATACCACCAACGATGACGATGGGCAGACGCCACTCAGGGACGGGAACACCATTATTGGCGGCAAGTTTTCGCTGATACGACGGTTGAGTGGCAAGTACGGCTATACCCGCAAAGATCTGTCCGACGACCATGCCCAAGAAAGCCAGACCTGACTGGCCTGCATTGAAGCCGTGAATACCCTGGAAAACCAATGGGTACGCGGTCAAGAAGAGGTAAAGAAGACCATAAATGAAAGCGACATAGATGGACAATAGGGTGACGATGGGCTCGAAGAAGAGCAGTCTCATAGGCCGAGTGAAGTTCTTCTGGATAAGCTCTACAAAGTCAACCTCGATCTCCTCTTGCTTGGCATGAATACCCCAGTTCAGGGTACGGCGACGCAGTTCAGCAGCCTTCTCGACTAGAACAACCGGAGGATACGTCTCGTTCATGAAAAGAACGTCGAGGGCAAACGCAAGGAAGCCCATGAATGAAGTGATATACATGGTCCATCGCCAGCCAAGGTAGGATTCAACGATAAAGCCTCCAATAAAAGGGGCAAGAAGGGGACCAGTGAAAACACCCATCGAAAACGAAGTAATGGCGACACCTCGAGTTGCGTTGTTGAACATATCGGAGAACACGGCACCTACAACGGCAAGAGGGGCAGCTCCAAAGAAACCAGAGAAAAACCGACAGATGAGTAGTGTCTGTAAGTCCTTGGCCACGGCGCACGAGATTGTGAATATGGAGAAGGCGAACATGGAAATTAGGATTGGCAAACGTCGACCTTTCAACTCAGACAACGGTGCCCAGATGGTAGGCCCTGTTGCGAACCCAAGGACGAAGAGTGACACACCCAGTGTACCAACTTCCTGGCTAACACCAAACTCTCTTGCTACATAAGGTGTTGCGGCCGAGAAGATACTCGACGTGAATGCCGACGTCACTGTAGTATAGCCAAGAATGGTGGCTGTTACCAACCTAACAGATATTCTTGTTAACAATTTGTATCTAAAGTAGACGCGAACAATAAGAGCTTACTTTTTCTTCATTGGCCAGTTCTGGGGGTGGTAAGGGTCATCAGGACCCTCAAATTCAACGACATAGGCGTCGCGATCTGGCAGCGGTGGTGGCAAGGGCTTTCCGCCGCCAAAAGCGGGAAGTGGTTTCGAGTCCCTCCGACTCCTAGAAGTAGGGTCACGGCCGACTGTGCTGCTGTGTTGGCTTAACGCCGTGTGTATCCGACTGATTTCTGTGGGATGCCTCTCAAGATCGCGTGATGTGGGAACTCGACTCATGCTGACGGTGCGGTGGTAAAGGCCACCAGCCTCACTAGATGATACTGATGATGTTGTGTTCACACGCTCAACCTCATTGCTTGGTCTGCGGGTTCGTGGCCGGGGGCTAATTCCCGAGAGCGCATCGCTCTCGGCTCTTTGAAGCTCTCGGTCGACCTCGTCCATTTTTTTCAGTCTTCCAAGCACAACCTCACCCGGTGACAGAAAAATTGAGTAGTCTTCGCTCTGAACGCGGTAGGGGTATGCGAGTTATTATTAGTGATTTCGAAATTTCGAAGATTATGTTCTCTGGTGAACAGTAGCCGCGTGCGTCTGTACTATACTGGCCAACCAATGCAAGGACAGTAAGGATGTCGATATGATATGCGATTAATAAGTCAGGGTTCAAGTAGAGGCGTAGTACCAGACAATGTACAGATATGGTCCCGGTTGAAATCTGGAGACCAGATCTAGTTGAGGAGATAGAGGAGATATTCACTTAGAGTTCATTAGGGTTGAGACGAAGAAGGGGCAGGAGGGGATGGGCTTGTTATAAAGTGAGGGAAACTGCGAGGAACCAATACGGCCGAGGTCACTATGGCTACTACGACTGCTACTGTGTGCTAAACTACCTACCTAGGTACACTTTTTGCTCTTCTAATTATGTCAATAGCGCCAGAAAATGACATGTTATGAATAAGTCAGTCGTCGGCCTTTCGCTTCTTCATTTTTTCTGGGCCGCGGTGCGCTTGTAATCAGGGTCGATGACGAAATGGTTGCTGAAAGCGAATGCGGTGGGCACAAGTACCGATACCTCGTCTGATTTCTCTGCTTTTGGGGGGTGTGGAGACAAAGGCTGCGGCCCTGAGACCTGACCAAAAAGCCTGAGCAGACCTGAGAACGGCCAACGACGGGTCTGGACGGGCAATGGGAAGATGCCGAGGCATGGAAGATCCGCGGCAGCAGGGGGGCATAATGGCCCCGAGAGCCTTTGTTTGCGCTAGCTTGTCTTGTCCCATCTAAACCAATAGGTAGGCCCGGTACTATTCGCCAGTCATACTTATAGTAGATGTTGTACCGATAGCATGGCGCCGGTGGGCTGCCTTATTCCCCCCTTTCACATAAAGCGAAAGCGAAACTGTGGCGACGGATGGTAAGGCACGAACTCCGTCGTTGATTTCCGATGCTAAGCTATCGGCACAACCCTATGTTTCACATCCGCTACCTACTATGTGAGAAGAAGAGGTTTCGGAAGATGACTCAGTATGGTGAAAATTACTATCTACACATTTTGCTTCTTGAAAAGCTGTTAAGATCTAGGTACTCACGACACTACTTACATAAGGTAGGCACTTATGAAAGAGAGCTTCTTCTACACGCCGTATGTTACAGTACTATGTCAGCTACCTACGAAGTACTTTGTGAACCAAGCTGCAGTACAGCCCTGTGCAGTCTGGTGATAGCCTGGTAGACTTGAGTCTAGCAATAGCAAACCAACATCACAAACCGATTCGGGGATACGAGCACAGATTCGGTAGGCAGTGGTAGACGAGGACGGAGTTTAAAAGGTTTAAGATCCCCGTGAAGTACCGGTACTTGTACTAAGGGCTGCAAAGGCGGGACCATCCACCCCTCCATGGGTCGAGCCCCTCTAATAAGTGCTTTACATCTGAATAATTGCCTACATCAACAGTTGACCGTTTGTCAGCACAGCGGCTCGAGAGTGTGTTCTCGACTGGGCTGAAGAAGGCATGGAACTAGCGACAGTAATAAACACCAGACAGAACAGAAGTGCCGCTGAGTCGTGAGATGTCCCCGTCCCGATTAGTGATCGGATAAGCTTAGCTCTTTACAAATACAACTCTCTATCTATAGATCGCAAGTACTGTGTAGGTAAGTAGTGTACCGAAGAAGCTATTGGACTTGCAAAGATGCGTCTGGATAATATCAACCTATGGCTGTTCATAACTCTGTTGTCAACTCACGGCGGTTAATCGATCCGATGCGTGGCAAGCACTACCATGTCATCATCTAGCATACCTCCCAGTGATTCTAGCATAGTCTGGCATCTACAATCATCTACAATACTACAGCTAGCACTTACATGCAGTTGGGTAGCATGCATCGGGAGCATGGACTTACCCGGCTGCACACATCTACTATGTACATGAAACGCTCGAGTCGTGACGCAACCTCATTGCTACATAAACAGTGACTCAGGAGCAGCGGCGTGCGCACTAACTACTCCCCGGCCGGCGCGGCGAGCTGCTAAAACCCGTCCATTGCCTGTTCTCCACCAGCTAGCCACATGGCTTCGGAGCTGTCACCATCGTCCGAACCAATCACAAATTTATATTCCTAGCTAGAACAATCTATGCATAGGAGCGAAAAAAAAAAGATTTTAAGGAAAAAAAAAAACCATCTCATAGATACTATTGTAAGTAAATAGAGAAACCATGGAAACCGTTTACCATCGGTTTGCAACTCTTTTAGGCCCGCACTACCTTACTTAAGATAGGTAGGAGATTGAGCGTTGACTATCGGGCAGAGCCTCAGCCTGAGAAGAAATTAGAAGAACATGTGGCTGTATAGAACTAGATACACTTATATCCAAGTAAACTTCCAACCGAGCCAACGTATTACGTTCTGAAATATCAACCTGCTGTGCTAGTGGAAACTGGGGATCGGGCTCCCAGACGGGGCATTCTTAAGAAAACTAGACGCTCTTACTTACTCTCCTTACTACCACTGCAGTTTAGAGCTGAATATGACAATCATATGGTACCTTAATAGTCACTGTATTAATAAAGAAACTCTTTTTTTTTTTTTTTTTTCTCTTTCAAAACATTATTGTCCTTCTCCATTCCCATATTTTAGGCTAGTTGGGAAACCTCTGAAGTGATAGAGTTTGAATGGTATAGAGGCGTGCATATTTTTCTTCCTAGACTCTCTTCTTTCTTCCCCTAGGCTTGCCAGCCGTTCATCTCTGCTCACAAGATCTGTACTGTTTGGGGCCACATATAAGTACAAACTAAACAGTCCATTCAGGCTTATGTTGTCTGATACTATTATACGCTAGCTAGTATATACTATGTACACTATTTCAAAGAAAGCTCTGCTTCACCTCACTCCCCATCCATGCTCAAGTAAGCCCGAAACATCTTCAAGACTTATACCTACAGTCTCAGGATATATTCGCCAGATTGCAACCCAGCCGATAATGCACACAATACCATACAGCGTGAATGTCCAGGACGCACCAATGGCGTCCATCAACGGCAAGAAAGTCAGGCCCACAATGAAGTTGGCTCCCCAGTTCGTTGCGGTAGCTAGTCCACTACCCATAGACCGGACATTAAGTGGGAAAAGTTCACTCTGCATCCACGGAACGTTCCCAAGTCCAATCGCATAGGAAGCCACGTAGATTATGATGTTTGCGAGTATGAAAATAGCTGCGGACTTAGTCAACGCTGGCCCGTGTGCGTCAATGGTGGACAGGTCGGCCATAATGAAGCCGAAAGCCGTGGCGAGCAGGCCAAAAGCCATAAACGGGACTGAATAAAGTAGGATTCCTCGCCGACCTATTCTATCAATAAGCAGTAGTGCTGCGACGGTAAAGATGAAGTTCGTAGAGGCAACGGAGAGCGATGTCAGAGTAGGCACGGTGAAGCCAAGCATGAGGAAGATCGTTGCTGAGAAATACATGAGCGAGTTCTACAACCGACTATTAGTACTGAGCTTTTTGCATTTTCGCTTTCGAACACGTTGATGTGCCCCCGCGATACGAAGAATACCTACGAAGCCGCAAAGTTGCTGGAAGCCCTGAAGCATACAGGCAATCGTCAATGCCCGACGATTTTTCGGCACCAGTATCAACTCCCGCCAGCCCGCCAGGAAACTGTTGTTGGCCTTGCCATCGCCGTTGTGTAGGCCTGTACTCTCTTCTTCCTCGCGGACCTCGACCTCGATATCTCTCAATACGTTATTAACCATCTGCAAGGCGATAGGGTCGGTGCCGCAGGTCTTTTGAATGACGGTGCGCGCCTCCTCTGATCGATTAGCTTTCACTAACCAGCGTGGGGTCTCAGGCATAATGAATAGCAAAATGCACTGCAGAACAGCTGGGGCAGCCCCTACGCCAACCATGAGCCGCCAGCCCGTCGTAGCACTACCATACTCAGCGAATAACCAGCCGACGATGTACGCAACGACCTGACCGAAGGTAATAGACACGGCATTCATCGTGACGACGGTACCGCGGTGTGCGGCTGGCGCTAGCTCAGCTAGATAGAGAGGGGTCACGAAGCTAGCGGCGCCGATGGCGAGACCGACGATCGAGCGGCCGAGGACCATTACAGGCACGGAAATGCTAAGGGCTTGGATCAGGGCGCCGAAGACGAAGAGGGCGTCTGCTGCTACGATGATGGGCTTGCGGCCGATACGGTCGGCAAGGACCGAGGATAGGGGCGATGCGATGAGGGCGAAGAGCGAGGTAGAGGAGGTGATGATGGACTTGTCGAGAGAGGTTAGTTCGCGGTTTGAAAGGGATGTTCCAATGGAGACAAGAGTCGCTGATATAACACCCGTGTCATCTGCACGTGGTATGGGTTAGTACTCCTGTAGCTTGTCGGTGATGGAGGGATATGGGACGAACAGCCAAATAGAAGACCACTGATTCCGGCGGACAACGTCAGCAGCCAGACGAAAACCCCAAGCCGTCCCGTATGTCTCGTGTCGTTTCTCGGCGCCTGCTCATGATGGTCATCCAGACAGTTCTCATCTTCTAACTCATCGCCCTGCCGCTCAAGAAGCGGCGCACCTGCGTTGCTCGTCATATTTGCTCCCGTCTAGTTGTACAATCACAGTCACACGTCTTAGCGAAGCCAATGGAGATAGCGACAACGGATACCTCCAATCAATATATATGGTGTTCTAAAAGAACGGACCGTTCTGTATACTGCAAAGTCGCCAAACTTTTCGTAGGTAATGAGCGGAAGATCAATCACTTGGAACGTGCGGATTCTGGAGCGTTCCGCTTGATTTAGCTGTTCCTTCTGTTTGCGTGAACCAAGATACAGAAACCGCGAGGCTATCCAAGATGGAAATCATCCAGGCGCAACCTCAGGTCTGTGTAGCATCGCTGCGCTACAGCCTGGAAGTGTTCGAGATCTTGAAATGCGTGCGGGTGTATACTGAGTAAGAGCGTGATGTTACCTAATTATTGCGGCTTAGCTGAGGCAGCGTCTAGCCTTGTTTCATTGTGGTTGCCGTTTTAGGTATACCGAGTGTTCTCCGAGGTCGGGCTCGAAGCTGTCATTGGCTGTTTCTAGCTTGTGACATATCTACAATATCAAATGCAAACAGCATGAGTACACTTTATGTCTAATGTTCAAGATGGGAGTATTTGACATACTCCTTGCATGGGAAGGAGATTAATCTAGGTACTGTAACCGTAGATCATGTGCATTGTCAATTGTACATATTTGATAGGTTGGACTCCTCAGTCTATCATGCTGTGTACCATGATCCTCGATCTTCGAGCTTCAACATCAGAGTCTGATTACAGGTGTTCCCAAGCCGCAATCCACGCAAATAGCATCGTAGCACCCAATATAAACACTTCGATAATTGGAATACTTGAAAATCCAAGTCCAGGTCGGATTCCCATTGGACCATTTGACCGGTGTGTATCGTCGGTGTCCGCGCCCGTAAAGGCATCAACGCTCGAAGTTACGGTAACAGTGTGCGCACTTGGAGCTATGTAGTTCTCAGATAATGCCGATACGTGATATTCCCCATGGAGGATTCTGAGACCATCCCCGAGGGATATGCCTCCCCCAAACACTGGATCGATGACACTGTCTACGTCATCTTGGACGGTGCATGTTTGATGAGTGTTGACACTCGTAGCTGTTGATACCACTTCCAAGTGAGTGCTATTATTCAGGAATTCCTTGTCGTGGCCTCCCAATCCTTTCGCAATAAAGCTGCCGATACGCCAGTACACTGATAACTACGCAGGCCATGTGTTAGTACGAAATGATGCAAAACCCACCCTCTCACCTCAAGTTCATAAGCGGAGGCAATGGAACACCTTGAGACTCACATAATAGAATGAGAAGATGACGCCAACCAAGATGAATCCAAGCAAAAGCACAATTGTGATTATGATCGCCCACCACACCTAACGTGGACGTTCTTTGAGCGAGCGCCAAGGACGAGAGAAGAACCGGACTTTCCAGTTGTTTTCATTGGGGTTATCCCCTTGTGTCGGGTGTCTGACGCACTGCGGTTTGTCAGCAGAGTCTGGGCTACCCTTCTGCTTCTCAACGACATTAGTTTCTTCGGTTTGGACCGGTTGCGCCTCTACTGTTGGGTCTACATTAGAGGTGCTGTCGTTGTCTCTGGAAGCCATAGTTATAGGTTGTTAGGAATGGTCAAGTAATAATTTTGAAGGATTTGATAGGAAGTGATAGGTCGAGAAATAGAGGCATGCTTTGGTCCCGTTAGGCTGGTGAGATATGGAAATGGCCAGAGAAATCAACGCTTCAAATCTGTTGCCTTTGAAGACCCCCGAAATGATGTTTTCTGATAGCTGACATGACGACGAATCTGCCTACCGTAGCTTCCTCTTTCAAGGCCGCTAGCTAAGCTCCTGATTAAAATGGTGTCGAGTGAGGCAAAATCGGGCATCGTTACTGCCCACTCGAAAGATTCCGATACCTTAAGCAGATACTATCAATATTATGCAGCGACGACGCTTCGTAATATTTGGAGTAGTCGCGAATACTTGCGAGTCCTGCTTTATGATTGTATAACAACTTCCTTTGCTTGTTTGCTGTAAAATAAACTTCACTGAGATATGACAGTTACGGTTATAAACACCTGGACACCATCGCAATATGTCACATTTATACTTGAATCGAACATAAAACCTCTTAGAGAAACATATATGACTTTTTGCAATCTCTAGCTATATTTGCCTTGACAACAATGCCCAGTGAGGAGGCTATGAAAATGTACGGGATATGATGCCGCGAGATTGTGCGGCGCTCTCCAAATGACTTGAGGGTATTTCACAATTCAGTTCAATATGTTTATTAATGGCAGCATTTGGCAGCATTTGCCGAAGAATTGGTTAATTAGCTTGATGAGAAATTAGTATAGCTAATTGTTCTGAGACACGTGTGCACTTTCACGAAGGGAAAGTTTGAAGATACGCCCACGGGTGGATGAAGTTTCGGGTAAATGATGAGAGGGTAATTATATACTGCCCGCTCATCTAATGAGCTCAACAGATTTGTGCATCCTTCACTCATATATCTTGCTCAATTTGACCTTGGTAACCATAAAAGAAACGTTTACTAAGAGGAGATTGTGATTCGCTGCCTAGGTAGTCCTTGGGGTGTCAATCCTATGATAGCAGTAACTAACAACGATTACAGACTTCTTCGTCTATACGTACCTGCTTTGAGAACGTGTATAGCAAGATGTAGGTATAGATTTAGTTAGTATCTTTGAATCTTGTCATCTAATCAGGGTAGAACTTCTGACTGAATAGTTTGAAAATTTAAATATTGGTGCAGGAAGCGCAATTACAGACCAAATAGTGGGAGTTTTGCAATGGTTTCCTCGGCGATAAGGTATGATCCTCAATAGCAATTGAAATGATCACAAAATCCATTCATCAATAGACCAAAGCAAACAGCAAACAGCAAACATCCTTGAATGAGGAGCGAGGTTTACCGGGAATGAGCGGTGTTTGATTTGCAAAGTTCTCAATGTTCAAGCGCCTAGACAAGAAACACCGAGCGTCCTCCTGGAACAGAAGAGATCACTTTGGGTTGTCTGGCGCCTGCGCATCTCGGTATGCACCTACCTAGTAGTTTATTGTATGACAACAGTATGCATCTTGACGCATCTCGTTGATCGTTGATCGCTGATCGAGACAGATGACCGACAGTTGAGTAACCCCGGGTCAAAACCTGGACACCTGCTTAATTATAGCCCATTTAGGCAAGTGGAGCTCCTGTTCTCTTTTTAGACTCTTTACTACTACTGTAGAGCCAGCTGTGTGCCTGGCGAGCCTGGCCAGTGGGAAGGGGTGCAGTATATGTAACTGCACTACTAAGCTGGAGGTCATTGAGTACCTAGGTACCTGTAAGGTACTGCCTGGTATCGATACCCCGGGTCTCCCTTCTTATAAGCCCCCAGCTACCATCCTGCTTTTACACCATAAACACACTCCAGACTCTCTCTCTCAGCTTGTTCCTCCATTTTTGAACACCATTCAGACCATTCAGATCATTCAGTCATACGAGACTATATAGATCGACTCAGATTGTTTCTATCTGGTCCTAGATATAAATAAAAGCGAGGAGACTGTCCTCTTGACTTTGCACGTCGTTCTCTTACAACCAAGTACACAACATCGAACCATTACTTACTTCCAATTTCTCGCCTTGAGGCACCGATATCCCACCACCTTTCTCGTTCCCGTGTATAAATACCGAATATCACATTGTGATAAACTCCTACCACTGGCTCCAGATGGCTGCCCTTGACGCCGGGCAGCACTCGGCAGCGGCAACTAGCAAAATCGCTCGCCAGTCTCCTCAACCCCCATCTAAGCGAGACAAGAAACGCCAGGTCTTGAGCGACCGCCTGAGTGCCCTTTCCGAGCAGTTCAATCGCGATAAAGATAGACACTACCGAGAAGAGCTACAGAAGATTCAAGTGGACGTTAACCTTGTTTCTCGAGTCGATCCCTACGCCGACCGTCCACTTGACGAGATCGATCGGGAGCGGAGAGAAAGAGAGCTATCCCAAGCCACAAATGGCGCCAACAACAACTCTGGTGCCTCGCACCGGAGCCTCCTAGAAATGGCCGGACCTACATTTCAAGAATGGATCCACGAAGTAGAAGATCTTCTAGAAACTCGTGATTACGACATGACAGCTCAGAAGGTAAGCTTCATCCCAGTCCTAACTTATCATTTGCACTATTAGTTTGCCCTGGGCTACCTACTAACGCATTCGCAGTATGACTACGAGCGGAAGATGCAGGACTATCATAATACACATGCATACCGAATCGAAGTAGCCAAGAGAGAGCACAAGGCTTTGTCGGATACCCTCAGAGACCGGCTGATCAATAACATCATGTCAAAGAAGTACCGACTCACTAAGGAGAAGGAGGCGATTGATATCTCCGATAGCTCAGCCTTGCTCTTGCACCCAAATCAATTCAGCTTGACGAACCCAGCTAGCCCTGGTGGGCCCCATGGCAAGCGAAATACTCGATTACGACGGGAAATGGAGGAATTGCCTGGTTTCTCTGACAATAAAAAGAGAAAACGACACGCAGCCGATGATGATGGCTCACCGGCCCCTACTCGCAGGGGCGACACCTCCAACGCAACACCATTCTGGCAAAGCGATAGACTTAAGAGTTTGCGAAGGGGAACAGGCCCTGTGTATAGCATGGACAAGTTATTTACCGACAAAGAGCTCTCTATGACCTACAACGCGGCGGCCCTGGCGTCGCACAAACACTTGCTAACCCGTCGTGACGCAAGAGGAAATGTCCTTCCCTCACCAGAAGAGAGTGACACTAGCAATGGAGATGGCAACGAAGAGGAAGAGGAACTTTCAGCAGCAACGATGGAACGACAACCCTCGCATACCACGCGCAGCACAAGAGGTGGCCAGCAAAACTTCTACGACGATAAGATGCTTGGCTTAGAAGGGTTGGCAAATTTCGAGCTTCCCGGGAACCTTAACAAGGTGGCAGCGCAAGAACCTCGGATGCCTCCGTTGATTCAATCTCATTACGTCAAAGCATATGTCAAATCAGAGTCTAACACCCCTGCGAGCCTGTCGGCTGAGGATACGGCGCACGATATCACTGTGATGACAATATGGAAGAACTTTCAGTCCAAGAATGGCAAAGGCTCTAACATAGAGGTCGACAATGGCGGTCGCCGTTTACTGGAGACTATGTCCACACCGCAGCGGAGAAACAAAAACGTCACATATGTGCAACGTGCTCGCCCTTCTACAGACGCACTTGCAGAATCTCTGGGTGTGTCTTCTAGCGTGCGAGATGAGCCAGCTGTAAACCAAGCACCCATAAACGCAGCCGCGAATTCGGCTGCTGGATTGCCTATGAGCCGGCAAAGTAGCCTTGGCGGTGTGGCCATGAGCAGAACTGGCAGCGGAAGAGGTAAACGCAAGGGATGAGTCTAGACCTGTCTCGTTCCACACGATTGGCAAAGGCTGTCGTTTTCATTGCGAAGGTGGTTTTTAGTTGGTAAATGTTGTGCAATCAAGTGATATACCCCTATTGCGTGCTTCATAGGGTCTGGACTATTATGGAGACATTTTTGAGGTCTTATACAATACCATGAATTTGATATACGAGATGGAGCGATTTAACATTCTAGCAATAAAACTGATTATGAACGAATAAACATGTTTTCCAACCTTCACTCACGTGCCCGTGCTAGGTATGTCCAATGCCAATCCTCTACTGGTAGAAGCTGGAATTCCTATACGCTAACTCTGCGAAGAGGCTTTCTCATTTATATCGAGCTCTCCGATCCTGCTGCCTTTCCAACATCAGTTTTCGTTATCTGCTCCTGCTCCTCTTCCTTGATCTTCACAAACAACTCTAAGAAATCCTGCACTTCTTGGGCCCCATCGACCCTGCGTCCTCGCACCGTAAAGTGTGGCACCCCTTTAAGTCCCATATCTCTCGCTGCACGATCCTGCTCGTCAACCTCCTCGCCGCCCTTTCCGCTATCCAACCACGCCAGCATCTCGGCACGGTCAAGCCGTACACTTTCCGCAACGTCGGCTATGTCCTCATGGCTTGTGATATCGGCCTCGCCCTCAAAATACGCCGCAAACAGAGCTATCACGAAGCGGTCTTGCGCGTCTACGGCGCCGCTGCATGTCCTGCTGTAGTTGATCGCCCGGTGCGCGGACCGAGTGTTGCCTATCTTGCCGCGGAAACTGAACGCCACGCCTACTTCTCTCCCGATGCTCGTCAGCCGCTCCCTGAAGCGCGCTGCGAGCTCCCTTGTTTCCTCGGGACTTGCGCTGGTGTTCGCGGAGGTCAGCTTCTGCAGCTGGCGCTCTTCGAAGGATATCCCTCGTAACGGCGCCGAGGCGTCTAGATAGTATGCTTCCCAGGTCACGGTGAAGACGTCATGGCGTCCGTTGGGGTAGACTTTTTTGTAGAGCGTTATTGCTTGTTCTAGGCGCTTGCGGCCTATGTAACACTGGGATAGAGATGTTAAAATTGATGGAGAGATAGGGGGTTGAAAGGGATTGGCGTGTGCTTACCCATGGGCAGACGGGATCGGAGACGATGTTGATGGAGAAGTTGGTCATTTTGAGTGCTGAAGTTAATATGTGTAACGCTCCTGTCTATGGATGCTTGAGATCGGACATCGGATATCAGTCGAATTTATGTGACTGTTTGAAATTACATTTATCTGTCCGACTTGGTTAGCACTGGCTAACCTGAGGTTGCGGCGGAACTCCGACAGGCAGTGCAGTGCACCTATATATTACTATGTAGACCTTGAAGGACAGTTTCACGTCGACATTTGAGAATCATGCGCACTTGTACAGCTGTAGGCAGACAATATACCACCCATGAATTAGTATAGTATGCAATTTAATTATGTCTAGTTAAGTACCTATATAAATAAAAAAACTCCGGAATGCTAGCGCGACCATGCAATTTTGAACCCATTCATATCTTCGTCAGTAACTACTCTAAAGTCCAGCCTCTCAAGGTCCGAAGACAAGAGCGCGGACCTCAATGCTCTCTCTGCCCTCGGCATCTGGTCGCGACTGAGGATGCTCGAAAGCAGTGTGCGCCACACGGCCGCCCTTGACACTCGTGCCCTCCTTCAAGCTCTCGCTATCAAAGCACTCCAGAAATAGACGCTCGCTGCCGACCATGCCGCTCAAGTAATGCCACTTCTGGGCCGGGTTATAAGCGATGGCGGCCGTCTGCCCGATGTAACCGTGTGGGTACCTGTGCTCGACGGGGATGACGTCCTTCTGGTCTAGTGTTGCGCTGGACGCGAAACCCAGCGGCATCGACTCGACGGGGTTCTTGTTCAGCGGGCGCCAGACGTTGACGATGCGGTAGCGACCTTGCAACAATTTGTCGGCTTCGTCGCCCATGTGCGTACGAACGCGCTTCTCGGTTGAGTATGCCGTCTGGTCGATGTGCACCGTCTGCACGGCCTTACGGTTCGCGTTGGGCCCCGCTCGGCGCACCGTGTGGTCGAAGAGGAAGATCCGGTTGCTGCCCGGGATGTGGTCTAGCAGTAGCTTCTCCACCTCCGGATAGTAGTTCGCTTTGATGGAGGCTTCGTCGGCAAAGTCCTTCTCCTTGGACTCTGGCACGTCTTGGATGATTTGGAACGCATCGTTGTCCAGAGTGAACTCGGACTCGTGTCCGCGAACATCCTCGATTGTGACATCTTGGAAGTACTTCTCGACGTTGTGCTGGGGTTCGCCGGCTGGTGGGGCATCTACATAGTTGAAAGCGACTTCTCCTTCGGGAGGGTGGCGAGAGAAGTTAAGCTTTGCTGTGACGGTACCGTGAGGGACGGTGATAGGGGCTGAGATGGCCATTTTGATTTCGGATATGAGGATAAACTGAATTTGTAGGAGGGAATGATACTTGAGTTGGTTCTCAATCAATTGAACTTGATTGACGGCAGTGGTTTTAAAGGTTTGGTTCAAGTTATTGTATTAGCTATGATGAAGTTGTAGTGTCTGTTCTGGATTGATTCTACTGAAGTATTCAAAGTGACGATGAAAGAGTCATTATATACTTGGGGAATAGTAGCCATGGACTGGAAGCCATTTATCAGCAACATACACATTTCAAAGCAATCGAATGTCGGGGATGTGAGAGTTCCTTTGTGATTGGCGCATGCCTCAATGACGTTATCGGCTATAAGTGCCTACCTATTAGGTAGGTGTGGTAAGTAATCAGAATTTACAGATTTCGTGGAGACATGCTTAATACGGTACTGCTATGGGAAAACTTGTATGGTTTATTTTTGAATACAATTCTACGAACATCTTTTGCTGGATGATGCGATACACACCAATCAATAACTTTGTATTAGGTTACCCGTCCGTCTATTACCTACCTAAGGTGTAGATTCTTCCATCCATATCCCAGTTTTCTCGCTTTTTCTAGCAAATCAAGACGATGCATACTATCTACTCTTGAGTTATTTCCAAATTATACACTAGGTACCTAGGTAGCGGTCGCTTCAATTTAAAACTACGTATTAGGACGTCGGTAGGCATAACCTGCTAACAGCTGTAGGGGCTGCCCCGCGCCTGCGCTGGCTGCCGCACATGCACCAGCCGCGCACCTGCCACACCTGCAGGTCGCCTGTTCAATTCCCTGACCTGACGGTAAGCTGTCACAAAGCATCACAAGATGTTTATAATATCCGGCGGTGGACATTCTTATCGGAAGAAAGCAAATGACAGCGAAGGCATCTCATGGGTGAAAAGAAGATACGCATATAGACTATCGAGAACGAGAGGAATACAGAACATTAGCACACAGGTGTGACACTCCTTCCTGTCCCCCAGGGCCCGTTACACATCCAACGTGACGACTCCGGTAAACAACTTCAACCGTCGTCTCTTCTGCGTCACGTTCCCCTGCGTCGACTCTCCTAGCAACTGTAGAATGTCCGTCACCGTCTCGACTACTCAACAGATTAGTCCCTTCTCTTGTCTCTACTCCGTTTCGAAAATCTTACCAGATAACGATGTCATCTCCCTCACGGTCCTAGGAAATAAAACAATCTCTTCGTTCGTATCCAACGCCCGAAATGGTTGCAATGGATCTTCCGGCTTCCGCTGTCGACTGTTCAACACACGCGCAAACGCGTTCGAGTCCCTATTTCGTTCCACTTCATATTAGTCTTGCACTCCGTACAAAGAAAGAGAAGAAAAGAAACCATGACGTCTGGTTTCCACTTACCGAGCCGCATTCCGCGTCTCCATTGTCCCTAATCGAATGTGGACTTGTCGCACCTCCTCCATCATGCGATCCAAACGATCCAAGATCTGTTGTCCTCGATCTACCGCTGGTAGATTCATTGACATGAAGCCCTTTGGCCTGCTATAATGGCTCAGCGTTACAATAAAACCCTGGCTTGGGGGTTTTGTCGTGTCCTAGGTGCCCTGCCCGAGTCAGTAATTTTAGGCCATGTGGCCTACCATCGCAATTAATTCGGGCTTTGATCCTATGGGTTGAGTTTTGAATCGGAGATGCGCGGAAGTATTAATAAACAGGGCTTTCTAATCCCACTTAACACTAGAGCTGTAAGGCCGGGAAAACTATTGCACTAGATTGGAAGGAAGAACTCGATTTTGTTGGCCCTCGTGCATGCTTCATACAATTCTTGCCTGGGTACTGTATTCAACACGGTGAAGAACACTGTACATGCGACAGTTCTGACGCTCAGAGACGTACTAAGTACTAAGCGCTGGCCCCGCATCGGCCCCCCGCCACCCCAACTCGAGCTAAGAGCTGGGGCCCCTAGCGCCGAGGGCGTGTAGAGGGGCTGTAGCGTGTACAGCGCCTACTTGTTTGGGCAGTTCAAGGCGCTGACCCGTGTTAGCCCAAAGTAAACAAACTACTTTTTTTAGTGTTCACCATCTAATCCCTAGCATCAGTCACTGCACCAACCTCACCTATTGAGTTCGTTGCTGTAAGAGTAGAATAGCTTACATTACCAGCTTGATGCATGCCTCTATCTACGCCAACTAGCTTATACTTGGGGACCGTGACGCGCCCATGCTCTTGCAATGGCAGACGCCGACTACTTCCTTGACCTCTCGTCTCCAGACCCCTTGGCCGACGAGGTCCCCAGCTCAGTACGGCCCGCGTCACGTCGCATCACCAAGTCGCAACACGACCTCTCTGCCTTCTCAATACCGCAAAGCAGCCCGCGAAGAGGTTCACGTGCCCAGTCACCCCGGAAGCGGACCTTCCAGCTTGATGTCGGCGACGAGCGATCCCCTCAGCGAATACGTGTGACTGTTGAGGCCGAGGACGGCTTGAAACAGAGCGCAGTTAATCGCACACTGTTCCCGCCACCAGCATCGCCCACGAGGAGTCCGCGTCGCCGTGAGACGATAACAACAACGACTGTGCCACTAAATGACGAACCGAATCCAGTAGGCGGTGGTGTTGGCACTCCCCAGAAGCGCGGCAGGCCACGACGCATTAGTAATGGGACGCCAATGCCGAGAGGGCGTAAGAGAGCGGGAACTCCAATACAAAGAAGCTCGAAACAGGTCCGACAAGAATATGAACCATCATCAGAGACTGGCATCTCCAACGACGCATCGGCCGATGTGAATGGTGATGGCGGTGAGGCAACACCAAAACCTAAGACTAGGACCCGGAAGACACCCAGGAAGCTGGCTGGAAATACACCTGTCCCATCTTCGCAAGCGTCTAGCAAGGCAACTGGAAGGAAACGTGGTCGACCTCGGAAGGTGCCTATATCTGAAGAACCAGGTGTCCTCACTGGAGCCAGCGCCCAGACTACCAATGCAACAATACTTGATCTGCCGCCATCAGAAGCGAATATAGAAGATGGCACTGATAAGTCGCGGAATTTGGAGGAGGCAGAGGGGCCAAGGGGCCATGTCAGCGATAACAATGTTCATCCTACACCAAGCCTTCCCAAACAGAGGGCTGGCACAATATCTCCACCACAGAATCCTTCTCAGGATCACACAAGAATAGAGAGATCTTCAGTTTCACCTACCTCATCACATCAATTAGCTGCCGAAAATGATGATTTCATGATGATGAGCGAGGACTATCAAGGAGCGGAAGCACACAGTGACCTTCAATCTACAGATGATGAAGATGGTATTACACATCATGGTCAAGATACAATAGCAGACGCTTCCGACTTTAGTATGATTGCGGTAGAGTCTCTACCCTCCTTTCAGGCCTCTTTTCGAGCTTCTTTGCAGGAAGATACCACCAAACTCGCCTCGGATCATTATGAAATGGGTGAACAAACAAGCCATATAATTAATCAGACGCTAGAATCGTTGCGGCACAGTTTACGCACTGGAACAGAAATTGCCTCGCATGCCTCGGAGGCCCAGGATGACACTCAAAGAACAGAAGACCGTGGAGAAGTTGAAGAAGTGCAGGAAGAGACTTCCGCGACGGCCAATCAGGAAGACAGGCGAGGTTTATTAAGCAGCCCAAGAAGGCCAAAACAGTTACTACCATTAAGTCGTCAGGTCTTTGTGGGAAGAGGAGGTGTCGATGATTCGTTCTCCACTATTCCAGATAGCATTCTTCATGCTGCTACGCCAAGACGTCTTCCTGCTAAGACGACAGATAGCGAATACGAATCCCAAGCTAGGCAAGCGGACACTTACAACGATTCATTCTCGGAGATACCAGAAGCTGTTCTAGAAGCTGCCACTCCGAGGCCGGCGAGACGTGTAGAATCGTCACCTCACATATCTATGGAAGGAAATGAAGACCGCCACCAGATTACTCGCCCACCAGCTCGCAGGGCTAGTCCGGACTATGGGTCAAATCGGCTTCCCACACCAGAAGATACCTCATCCTCGAATGGTGGCTCTAGGAAAGCCCACGAAGAAGACGCAGGGGCAGCACTGGAACCTCAGGATCAGTCCGGCTCAGTCCACCATCCAGATGTACCCTCGTCTCCACCTATTAGAACTCGACCCCGTGCTTTAGATTTTGGATATTCAAACCTTCAAAACGAGCTGAGTACTGTGCAAGAGAAACAGTCTTCATCGCCTCAAAGGCAGCCATACGGGAAAATTGCACCAAGCCAGCTTCATTCTTTGGAGGCCCCACATCGAACCTCACGACCCTCTCTTTCGCCAATCGTCAGAGTTGGCCGTACTCTTCAAAATGTTATGTCTGACAATTCCTCTCCAGATAATCGAGAAGCAAACCTAGGGAGTCCATTCAGAGGATCTGCGAGCAGTGATCACCTACACCAGTCACTTGTCCCGGGATCATCCTCTCCGTCTATTCGGGCCCAAAAAGCTTCTAACAATTCACAATTCCTCACTGGTTCATCCTCTCGACTAGGCAGAAGTTTTCGGTCTAATCTAAATCAAAACTCCGGGCATGTGTCGCAGGTTTCTGATAAAGTCGCGCATTCCATCATGCCAGAAAATGGTGCTAGTTCAAGGATCGAACAACTAAAGGACTTGACGGAGCGTCATTCACCCGAGGCTCTCGCATTGTCCCAGACGTCTTTCATGTCTCGTCCTGCAGAGAAAGTTGCGGCCGATTTGGGCGAAGAGGCACACAGGGCCACACAGGGCCATAGTGCCCCGCAAACGAGTCGACAGGAGCTATCGTCTCGGGCGGCGAGTAGTGTTGAGGCGGACGTTGTCGAAACGCATGGCACAGGCTTGAGCTATGGTGCTACTGCTGATCTAGGCACATACATGGAACGAGATCAAAATCTTTGCAACGAACTTGCACAACACACGGATGAGGATCTTAATGATCGATTTGATGATCACGTTGGCGACGATGAGTATGACGGCGATGATATTGATGTTTGGGATATTGAAGCATCCCGCGCATCGCCCGGTAAACCAGAGTCAGCTCTAACTACTTCAGGACCAACAAGAAAACCAGACGTGCCGTCATCTAGACGAAGTAAGGTCCCAAGTCCATGGAGAAGGAACAATAGACGACTGATCTACAAAGATGACATTGCAAGCTCATCTCAAATAGAAATTGAGACGAGCTCACAGAGTGACATTGAGCAAAATCTCACGATTCCGCCTACTCAAGGCCCGTCGGTTTCACAGTCCCAACAGGATACTCAGACTAGGGTGGCTGATCTAGAACCTGTGCATCCAGATTCTATGCCCGAAGATATACAAATGTTAGATAGCAATACTTCTCCGAGTCCCAGTCATGGTGGCTTTGAAGATTACGCGGGACTTGCCGACTCGGATGAACCTGACGACATAGATGAAATTGAGGCACCAGTTATCTCGGGACAAACCCAGAGGTCACCGAATCCAATGCATGAAGAGCTCCAGGAGTGGGGAAACCACGAGGAGCCCCAGGAACTCGAGCGTTCACAAGCTCTCGACATGCCGCCAACTTTCGAGACATCTATGAATGCTTCTGAGTATTCAATGGTAGCCCAACAGGCAAAACAGACACCCCAAGAACAGAAGAAACCTGCTCCAACTAAATCCGGATTTTTCGGTGGATTTGACATTCTGTCATTCTTCTCATCGCCTGCAGTATTGCCCACGAATAAGTCCGGATCCAAGCCTCCCGAGTCTATTAATAAAGCTGTAGTTCCCCAACCAAGTCTGGGTACCAAGCAACAAAAAGAACCTCCAAAAGCATTTTGGTCAACAGGCCTATTCCCGACGATGCCTCGAAAAGAGGCCGGCCCAATTGCTAGGCGAAGAATGGATCAATCTTCCCCAGGTCCAGCTTTACGCTCAACTGATACTGTAGCTGACACGTATGAACCTTCGACCTCAGCCTCACCTTCGCCTTCCCGATCTCGTACGACATCAGCTGCTCCATCAACGCCTGAACGTCAAATGTTTCCACCAATAGAACAAAAGCGAAATTTCACACCACGGCCTGGGCAGATGAAAGGTTCGCTGTTCACGTCGAGGCAATCAAACCACTCAGCTGTTCAACGCGAAGCCAGTAGTGACTTTGAAGAATCTAGTGAAGAGCAAGAATCTTCTGCGCTTACAGAAAGCTCTGAGTATGAACGTGTACCTCCCAGTGAGAAGCCCTCTCAATGGGACCGAAACCTCTCGCCTACCAAATCATGCTTCCGCTCACCACTCAAGCCAACAACGCCAGGCCGGATCGTAGCTTTCTCAAACAGTGCCTTAGGTCCTCTAGCCCAGGTTCAACCAGGAAATATAATGCATAATAGCACGAACGCACATAATACTATTTCGCAGGGCCCCCCTCTTCGGCCCGCTTTCGAGGGTAAGGAGAATCAACAATATCCACACACTCAACAGATCAAAAGCGCCAACAATAATTCTGTAGATAAAACCAATTCCGATCGCTCTACCGTCTCGCGAGACTATCAACAACCCCTTCGCCCCAAAGTGTTGACAAAGACAATGAGCTTTGCGTTGTCCCAGATGGAGTGGACAAAACAGCATTGGTGCCGTCTCGACGAGATGCTTCAGCTCCGCCGCCGTGACCCCTTACGCTTCCAGCAGGCGTGCCCACTCCCACCCCGCGACAGGCGCCGCTCGACGGCGTTGGTAGGGAAGGAAGTTTCGGCGCAAGATGCCCGCTTGATCCTGGAACCATGGCATCTCGAGATCGTCGAGGCCTTCAAGCTCGAGGTCGGCGGCTGGGACGAGCGTGTCCTCGCCAAGAGACTGTTCGCTCTCATCATCGGCGAAGAAAAGAGGCGGGCCGGCGCCGTTCGGTAAAGTTAGTTTATACTCAAGTTTTCTTGTCTGCACCCCTTTCTGTTTTATATACCATTGGCGTGTTTTGCAACTTCGGAGGTTGGCTGGGCGTTGTTATTCTGAGAAAGAAAATTCAAGGGAGACGAAATCGAAGTCTTTTTTTTTTTGGATTGGAAATTGCATGTTGGGGAACAAAAGAGGCGTTATTCCAATGTTGGCTTGCTGTTTGATCCTCGAGGATGTTATAAAAAAAAAACGGTTGGCCTGAGATACCCCCCTTTCGCACACACAGGATACAAGGTATGAATTGCTGAAATCTTGCTTTTTGTCACGGGTTGTGTGGAAATGAATGGGTGTGGGCAAACACTTACTTACTTGTATATGTACGTGGAGTTGAATGGAAGCATGGGCGGCATTGTTCTAGATAGTAACATGACCGGCACAGCCGTGATGAGATGTAGGGGTGAAGGATGGCGCGTACATTGCATGGAACATAAGCATGTCACAATCATGAAGGACTAGAATATAGTGCACATTATATGGTCTAGTGTTTATTTATTGGATGCATATATCATTTTTTCCCGAATGACACTTCAACCGTAATGCATCATGTAGCGGATGACCTTGGGTTTGGCTCATCTGTGCGCTCTACCTGGTAATACACGTAGTGTGTGTTGGTCGATATAGGCATTTATAGGCGCAACGCCGTGTTACTCCGTGGTAAAAGCGTCTACCGTTGCTCTCGACCAGGTCTTACTGCATATGAATCTCCACTGATGCTTATGTTTACTCTAACATGGAAGCCTGGTTTGTGTATAGAACATCGACAACGTTGCTCAGCTTCTCGATGGTTTGCAGCGCGGCGTCGTACGACTCGTCCCGCTGTGTCTCGTCGAAGATGATGAGGCAGCCGGCTCCCTGGTCCAGCACGCCGATGATGACCTTGTCGAGAATCATCTGCGACAGCTTGCGCTCGACTTGTTGCTTGTCGAGGCCGACCATGCGCGCAATGTGATCGATCTCCACGCGGCTGAAGGGTTCAATGACCTTGATGAGATTCTGTTCAAGCATGGCGTCGTACAGACGGCGCAGATGGTTCCGGATGAAGGCGTCGCTGCCTAGCTCATAACGGTAGGAGGCGAGTGCCTGTTCGTACTCCTCGAGAGATCGGTTGGAATGCGCGCGCGCGATAGCCTTCATAGCCTCTAGGTTCTGGCCAGCGTACTTCTGAGCCTGCTTCGACGCCATCAATGAGTTGACGTCGTCCACGAGGTTCAGCATAATCTTGCAGAGCAGCATGTACTGCAATGCGGCCGTGGCCCGCGGCGTTTCCTCTTGGCTGTGGTAACCGTCCAACGCCTCGATGAAGTACGAATATGCTGTGTTAAAGTCCTGGTCCATTGTATGGAGCATGCCTGACTGCATATCGAGGTTCGCCTGTAGGAGAGGTGGGGTGTAGACCGAGGCTGCGCTCGTACGAGCACTTGTTAAAGCCGCTCGCGCTTTCGAGATGTTCCCTAGGGCATGGTACACCCTGGATTCTAGCAGCTGAACCTCCACCAATACCAACTTGTCGTCGAGACGCTTCAACTCTCGAAGCAGCCCGTTGATGAGAGTTAAGGCGTCGTAGTAGGATTGCTTAGCCATATATAAGGTGACAAGGCGGGTCTCGAGACTTTGTCGGAGGAAGCTCCGTCGCTCCGAGGTAGCCCATTCTATACATGATTTTGTTACGGCGATCTGGATGTCGGTTGTGTTGGGGATAGCGTCGAAGAGATCGAGGAGTTGGCGGACTGCGGTGGCGCTGTTAGGGATGTGGCCCATAGACTGGGAGTAGACGGCAACCCGAGGGAAAAGAATAGAAAAGGGCGAACATTAAAGCGAAGGAAGCATACCTAGTTTGGCAGTCTTAGCCTTTGCAAAGTTTGAGAGAACATTTCTACTAGTGGTCACGAGCTCAACGAGTTCGTTCGGCTTCCTGGGAATACGTCAGCGCTGGCAACTACTAGACGGCTGCGCGCTGGTGGGCAGGCTCAGATGGGACCTCTGTTCGTACTTTTCATCTCGATACAACTCTCCCAGGCTGATCAAGGCAGCCTCGTACTCCTTAACGGCAGCTTCTGATGTGACGGAGGGGGGCGTCGAGATAATGTCTCTGTAAATAGCTTCAGCCCTGCGCGGGTCGGTGCTGGCTAAGGTCTGGGCCTCTTTAACAGAGGGCTTGTCTACGGTCATTGTGGGGTCTGGGTATACTGGGCTGGCTCGAAGATTGCTAGGAGGGACGGCGACAGGTGCAGCAGGGCGGATTCTTCGCGATTGTTCGTAAGATCGTGATTAGGATGTCGTCGTTAAATGGTTGATGAGGTCTGTCTCCCTCCAGCTGTGCAGGCCGGGTCCGTTTACGTACTGAGGTCAGTGCCTGGCCGATGCCTGCAGGGGCTTGGGAGCTCTTCTCTTTGGTTAGGTAAGATAGGTACCTCCTAGCGACTCTGCTTGTGGCTTGTCATTGGGTGACTCGTGATGGTGTGGGCCGCGGTACATCGAAATTCCGGGTGTACATAGTAAGAGAATTGAAGTTGTTGAAATATCTAACTAGGCAATCCTTTCGTCCAACAATTCTTTGAATCTCATGCTCGGCAACCTGCTTAATGATGTCTCCCGCATGTGTATAGATACTCGCCTTCATTGCCAATCGAGAGCTAGAGGTAATTTTCCACCATCCAGAAGTGCTTGACAGCCCAAGATCCAGGCTCAGGTCATGTCACGATGCTAGCTTCGCTATTCAGGCATATTGGGCACAATAGAATGAAGTAACCCCTTTGTCATTCATTGATTGCATTGGAAACTAGGTGACAGAACCCATAAGATGCCAAGGCCATTATCCCAGAGACGCCCCCCATTGATAACCCTCAAAAGAACTGCTGACCACCCAGACCTATGTCGTCAAGATCCCAAGCTAGCCCATATCACCATTCCCTTACTGGACACAATTTTTGTGTTGATTTGAGCTGCTATAACCTTTATATATACATCATAATCAAAAATTTTGTATGTCGAGTTAATACGTCCCCACGGCATATGTAGGGCTGTTGCTGTGGGAATGGGTTTGCCAATCAGGTCGCGTGTGCGACGACCGTATATCCTGAAGTAGAAGATGGCCACTGCTGCTGCTTCCCGTAGAGCTAGTGGCCCTGCCCCTGTCGAGATTATTGAGATTGCTGCCCGATCGTCGATGGCCACTGATGCTCGAGCTGGGCCTCGATGGTCTCGTAGCGATGCTGAAATTCCCGTTCGGTTGATTGATCGTGAGATTCCCGAGTCCTAGACTGAGCTCCCCGTACTGGTGAACGCAATGTGGCTCTGCGATCTGGCACTTTTCTGTAAGGATCTTGTACATGGCTTGCTCAACCTCCTGAGCCGTCGGCCTCTCACTCGGCAGCACTGAGAGCATCCGGGCTACGATGTGCAGCATTGGTCCGATCCCCCTGAAGATGAGGTCGTCCTTCTTGGCTGCATCTTTTGCTAGTCCGGTCATCCAAGACTCAACCTGGTTTAGGTTCTTGTGGAATGACGAGTCGGGGACTGCGCCTCCCCTGCCGGCAAGCTTGTGTTTTGCTGCGCGGTGAGAAGCAAATGCTTTTGCCGTCCGCTTCATCAAGAGACCAATCAACTCCAATATCACGCACCCTAGCGAGAAGATGTCTGCCGCCTGAGGATCGAGGAGCGGGTTGGGTGTGTGAAGTGCAGAGCTGGCATTGCTGCTGGTCTCCGAGCCTCCTCGACTAATAGAGAACGTAGTGCTATCTGAAGATGTGGATGCCGAGGATTGCGCCAACAGGGTCTTCCGATGTGAGTTTACCGAAGGTCGATACCACTGTTCCGGAGCTGCGAAGTCGTACGACTCTCTATCGAAGACTGATTTCTCGGATGCGCTGACAGCTGCTTCGCCGCACAACCGGGACATGCTGTTGTAGAATATCAGATTATCAGACCGGAATAGTATCGTAGACGGCTTGATGTTCCCATGAGATCGACGCTGCCTGTGAATATAACATAACGTGTCTGTCAGACAGTGAATCCAATTCATCATCAGCTGTCTTCGTTCTTGTTTTGCTAACGATTTCCATGGGCCGGGTGTCGTCGATAAGAGCGATTTGAGGCTGAAATCGGTCGGGTTTGTGAAGATGACATACGCACACCCTTGATGGACATAAGAGCCGTAGTATGAGGCTAAGTGACCGCTCTGTAGGTTTTTAATACTGTTGATCTCAAACCAAAAGTTTTCCATCGATATATTGACGGGGCCCGTTCCGATCGAAAATCGGCGACGCAAGAATGCCTCACCAGGCTTATTGGGTAGTTCGACCCGCTCCACAGCAGCGTTGGTGGTTAGACCCGCTCGTTTGTCTACGACAACAGGTATCAAATCATCGTCCTGGTAGACAACGTGCTTGCCCTTGTCAATGTAACGGACGAGGTAGTGGAATTGCCGTGTGTAAAACTTCTTGGCGAGTTTATCATCTTTGCCAGGGGTGAGAGATAATCGTGCAACCTGGTCAAGCGCAATAGGGAGGTCGTCATCATCCCAGCTATCGTCGATGATGCCAAATATCTGATCCGGCACTCCCAAGTCTGCCAAGATGAGGAAAATCCGTTTCGCCTTCTCGATCCATTCCCAGTAGGTACCATCAGTCAACCCATCACCAAAGCCCAACGGCCGATCGAGCCGGTCGATTTCCTCGGGGATAAGGTGCGAGCAGACGAACTGTCGTGTGACAGTGGCTTCGATGAGCGATGAATCCCACCACATAGTCACCTCCCACTTGATGGGAAAGGTCGCATTTCTCTCAGATGGTTCCAAGAGATAAGTACTCTAGACAGAAGTGGGCCAAGCTCACAATGTTATTGCAAATTTGGAGTTAACACGCAACACGGCGCAGGAGATATGTGGGAGAGTATTATTGACGAGCAGGGTGCCGTGAGTGGCTCCGCAGGGGATTATATGACGTGAAACTACCCTATCACTTTCTGCTTGTTGCCTCCTGATGTAGGGAACTTTTTGTTGTAACACTGTCGGCAGGATGATGCAGAAATTGAGCCAGAAAAGGTGATTGAGGGAAACTCTGCCCGTTCGGGGGATGTTTATTGTTATTCGCGCCCCCCTTGAAGAATATCCATTCCAATACACCACCCCAATACAATAGTAGACAGAAGCAAGATAGCCAAGCAAAAAAGAAGACCACATTTAAGCTACTGGCATGGCGGGCGAGGCATCTCGTTGGCTGCTTGGGGGAAGTGTATTCGACGACGGCCGGCGTTCACGAAACGCCATTGGCTGAGCCTGGCAAGAGATAAGGGAACGGACAATACCCTGGCCTTGGGCTGGTGATGGATCCTGGCCGTGACCTTCAACCTGAGCTATTATTATAAGATGCGGGACGGGTCCAGATGAGCAGATACCTCCAGTAATAGTGCATCTAGCATGCCCGAGTCTTGCCCAAGTATTACCGAGTACAAAGTCAGTCTTGCCAAGCCCCATCCGGCAGAGCGCCCGGAGACAATCACATGGTATGATCTTCTCGAACTGGCGAAGATCTGACCCTAGGCCTGGAAAGACGTTGCCATTCTCGTTTGGGTTCAGCTTCTACCGCCCTCCGCTTCAGGTTTCGCATAGCGAGTCCCCTCTCGATAAAGGAGCTTTGCGAGCCCCTGCAGGCGCGGCGGCACTATAAACCATGTGTGTATACTAGCAGGCAGTAGTGTATGCCTACATGACAGCAACGCGGCAGATAACGGAACGACGAAATGCGTGGGACGATTAGTCAAGCCTGGCCTACGGGAAGATTCGCCAGGTTTTCCCCCCACTGCCCCCACTGCCCATCCAAATCGACGGTATCGTGGGGTTGTCTAAGGGAATGGCGGGCGATATTGACCTGGCATATTGCTTTGATCTAACCTCACGGAATTAGATAATGGAAACAGACAACCTGGATGATGTAACGTTTATCACGATTGTTATTCCTGATGTGTGCGCAGATCCCCGTTTGAGAGATGGTTTTTGATACACTAAACTCGAGTAAACGAGAGAAGCGAACGATGATGGCAAAGATCTCTCTATCTATCTATCTGCCTACTATTGCTCGACGCTAACTTCTTGTGGTGAAGGTGAACCCCTCAATTGCCTACTGATATACATATCAGGTATATATCTACTTACATGTACTTAGATATGTTTGTTTACAGGGGCATCTCCATACATGTACCTGCTCTCATCTTGGCTTCACGATGAAGCGAACGCCTCCAGGCTGATCTGATACATTTGGCCTGCGACGATATTGATAGATGACCGCGGACCGTTCCGCGTAGTGGATAAAGGCGGGCAGTGCAGTTTCATGCAACGGCATATGCTGTCTCTTCTGCAGGTCATCATGGGATGGCGCTTGTGTCGAACTTATTGTTAAGAAAGATCGTATGTCAGCCAATACACGATGAGTCTTGGTTGCGCCTCACAGGCGGAAAGGCTTGGGGAAATAGTTAGCTTGCTAGCTGAACGGCTGCCTAATGTAGCTCGCCTACCTTTGGTGTCAAAATATAATAGGCGGATGATTCTGTCCACCTGATGAACTGCGTCTTGAATCAGAAGCCATATATTCGTGAATCTCGTAACTGGATGGCCGGCATCCATATTCTGCTTAAACCCCAAATTGAACAATATTCTTTATCTCATAGGTATTAAATTAGGCGATGCCGTCTCCCAGAATACCTACATGCCTACCCCTTACCACAGTCGTGCAAATTCTAGCTGAACGTATCATTTTACAGACACGGACGTCTTGCCCTATACATACCTGCAATACTACCTACACACATTCACAGATGGCTGACCGAATCTTACCTTACCGGGATCGGTCTGCAGCTGCCTTACTGAGCAGTTCGAAAACCAGGGAAAGCGAGACGAGAGCATTAGAGACGAGAGAAAGTCGTGCGAGAGGCTGGCATATTGGCAGATAAGTTCTTGACGCTCTACCGCTAGTGGTGCAACCCAAGTATATGCACTGCACCCCTACTGCAGGTATGCGCGTCTCACAGCAGCTAATAACGGTTTCGCTACCGAATCCAGCCTTACATAGGTGTCCGCTTTCTTCCTTCTTCACTAGTAACGGTGGCCCATTGCTATGAATAGAATGCCGGGCAAAGAGAAGAGGGCAGAAGGCGGAGGCTTGCTGGCAAGCTGACGAGCAAGGCAGACAGGTGAACTGGAGGCCTGACTAGTCGGTTGCTCATCGACTTTAAGGTAATTATGGGTGATGGGGCTTGAAAGTCGCTTGTCCTTCGGAGCTGCCGGATGAGGGATTCTTGAGGTGCATCTATCTCAAGTACGAGTCTACACTACCTTATTGGCCATGTTGGAAGAGATATGTTACATCGAGTAGCCATCTAAGTCAAGATGTGCAATCTATCTCAAACACGGTGATCCACTTGAAGAGGACATTAACTTTGGGTGTGTTGACGGCGCTCATGCACTTCAACTGAACCAATTCAGACTGCTATGCTGATACATTATACACTATCTGTTACATAGATGCCAGCATCCAAGTGACCATACAGGCCAATACCTGGGTTTGTATGTTTCCTTTGCAATCATATCAGACTACCGTCCTTCTCTTTGTCCTCTGTAGCCTTACGACCAATAAATGTCTTCATACTCCGATCTATACCGGATACACTCCGAGCAATCTTCTGAAGGCCTACTGGTAACACATTGTACCAGTCAACCCAGCGGGCGTAGAGCGGCATGCCAATGTGGTCACTCAGACCAAGATCGATGGCTTTGATGATCTCTTTAGCGATGTCGATTGGCTCTACAATGGGAGCGATGAACGAGTTGGGCGTGCGGACACCATGGAAGAGGGGCGTGCTGAGCTGACCAGGCGTCACTAGGATCGTCTTGATTTCAGGGTATTCCTGCAGCTCAGCAGCGAGAGACTTATGCAAGGCCGTCACACCGGCTTTCGCCGCTGCATAGTCAGACAGCTGAGCGGCACCGAGGTGACCGATCACACTCGAAACGGTGACGATGGTGCCCCCTGTCTCGTTGTTGATCATTCCAGGGAGGAAGGTCTTGACGGTGTAGAAGTGTGAGAGGAGATTGGTCTTCAGGCTCCTATCGACTTCGTCAACGCTCATGTCAAGCAGTTTTTTGCCAACGACAATGGCGGCGTTGTTGACCAGGACGGTAGGCGTTCCGAGCTGAATGGGCACCTATTAGCATAGAAAATATACATTGCCTTCCTGATGGCACTTACATCACGCTCGATTTCAGACGCGACGCGAGCAATCTGTCCCTTGTCACTGACGTCGCACTGGTAATATGTGATGCCCCGCGCTTCGGTGCTCTCAAGCGGCTTGGTGTCGAGGACCGCAACCGTCGCGCCCCTCATGCCGTAAACCTCTGCGATCAGCAGGCCAAGTCCGCTCGAGCCTCCCGTGACAACAATGACCTCCTCTTGCAAATCAACTTCGCGATGCATGCCATATGCGATCTTATGACTCAGGACGTTCCCCATCCACAGCAATGTCACAAAGGTTGCCCATGCGATACTGACGGTCATGGGCCGTGTATCCCAGGCCTGGTGCTCAGCGCGAAAGCATAATGGTATGATCCATGCTACGAAAGGATGGAGGAGGGTGACGTTGAGGACTTTGAGGAAGACATCGACGGATATGGGCGCAAACCAGGAGTCTCTCGTCGGCGCGCGCGAACGATCCATGACGGTGGTGATGGTAGTGGTGGGTTGGAAAATGGTGCGCACAGGAAGGTGACTTTGTCGAATTGGTGATTTGTTGACCAGCAACCGCGCCAAATAATTAGAGCAAGAGAAATGAAAATAAAGGACGGTATGTGGCTGGCTAGAAGGAAGGAAGGGGGATGAGGATCTCGAATCCTGTCACCGTCGTCGGTGGTCTGTTTCTTGCGATGGATGTTCGTCTCTTCTGTGCTCTGTTTCCGCTTGAAACACGTTGACCTAGGGGCCACCTGTTTCACAGTGGTACGGGGGCAGCTCCTGTACCGCCTAGGGGCCTGCTAGGGGAGCAGAGGGGGAGGGGTGGGCGGACACTTAGGGCACTCAGGTAGGCCAATCGGCTTGTACCGAGCAGGCGACAGGGACCATATCCACTGAGACATGTGCGGCGGCTACCTACAGCAATTCAGTAGGTGCTGTACCTGGCAGCTCGTCTATCTTGCCTCGCAGACTATGACAATATCATTACCAAATAGAAATAGACAGACGAGACAGTACCATTCCAATACCACCGTGTTCATGATGAGGCTCAACGGCCAAATACTACTATAGACAACTACACATGTTCAATCTACTACGTAGCGGCCCATTGCTCACGGGACTTGACGGCGTTGGGACTGTGTTGGTAGATAACTAAGGAGGCAATCTGTCTCTTTCAGGGCCGTAGCAATCGACATAATATTTACGAACGCCGGTATTGCGATGCATACATTGATTTTCCTCTTGGTATTCCGTATTTTCCCAGTCCTGTAAACGCCGCGCCAATGCAATTCCAACCCATTTGAGCCTCGATCTCGCCGATGATTAATTACTTCTCTCTGGCGAGGACCACCTTGTCTCTTTCGCTTTGTCTCTTCTCGAATTGTTTTTTGGTATGCTTGCGTTCATTCTCGTCGCGCCTCTTGATTGCCTTCAATTCTTCCTGTTTGATCTCGCCTGCCTTCTTCACAACCTTGGGAATGTGCCTATGTCTTCTAATACGTCGGATCTCGGGCATATGACCGTATCGCTCGATAAGAGCATCGTTGTACTCCAATGCTTGTCGATGGCGGGCAGACTTGACGCCTTGTCGTTTAGAGGCATTTGCTCGCCAAAGCCGCACGTTACCATCGTCGCTCCCGGAAAGAACGTAATTGGCATCGGGCGACCACGAAACAGAAAATACCCTCTGCATCCGCTTAGTGTGATATATATCACGAGACGAGCCTTCGTCCCTGTTCCATAGCCTCAGGGTACGGTCATAGCTTCCTGAAATTAAACCTCGGCCGTCAGGGGAAAAATCAACATCGAGAACAGCTGCCACATGGCCCTTATAGATATTCAGAGCACGGTTGATTGAGCGCATGTCAAAAGTATAGAGGTTGTGATCCTCGCTTGCGACGACGAAATTCATAGGTTCCATCGGGTTGAAGACGATCTTATTTAATCCAAACTTGAGCGTTGTTCGGCCAAGAGGGGACGAGGTCCTCAGATCGTAGAGGATGATATTGCGATCGCCAGAACAGCTCGCGATAACGCTGGTTTCACTCTGGTTAAAAGCAACAGAAGAGATGGTTGCTCCAGATGTGGGCCATCTTAAGACTTCAGGGGCTGCAGTATACTGGTCCAGATTATGAACACAAATACACTGTCGAGGTTAGTGATTTTTATAAAACAATGGGGTACAGGATGGCTTACATCCGTAGCAGCGGCAAAGGACCGCCCGTCGCGATGGACGGATAGAGACGTATATGGATGGCTTCCGAGAATTGTATGAATGGGAGGTGCCTCGTTTGGCGTATTTTCGGGGTCAAAGATTTTGATCTTTGAGTCAGCCGAGGCGGTTAAAAGTTTATGATCTTTTGTGAATGCCAAACTCTTCACGATGTTCTCAGCTGCAGTTGTCTTCCAGACCTCTTCACGGCTACTTAGATTCCAGCACTTCACTACACTATGACCAGTTAATTAATTTCCTTGAAATAGAATACTGTTCTTGCTCACCCATCTCCAGACCCACTAGCGAATCGTGACAGATTATTAGGGTCTTTGGCAAATGTATATACACCATCCACCTGAGAACATATTAGCGTCATCCTAAGGTCATGCTGTGAGAAAACATACATGACCGTTACCAAGCTGAGCAATGACTGTGTGATAATTTCATTAGTGTAAGAGTCTCAAAATTAATATACTCAACAAAAATAACATGAGATGTTGTAATACGAGGGCGGCATCATGAGGACGCCTATCCGGAGGACGACCCCTGGATGAACTTACAAGGCTTCGCAAACATGCGCTCCAGCTTTGTGGCATTCAAAGCCTGGACATATTCGCGCCCTCGCTCAAACTGATGCATGGCTGGGTCGAGGTTGCGCGGTGCCTGGATACTGATTAGCTGAGATTTCGATAAATGTGAAGTTGAAGGGGGCAAACCTTGGGGGCACTCGACCCGGCCGTTAGATGGCTTTCCACGCCGCTCAACGCTTTGATTTTCTAAGAAGGATTAGTATATACTCTAAGCTTCGGACCTCGAAATTTCTTACCATGATGGTCAAATATCACGAGCTTTTCGAGGTTAGTGATAGGTTGAGCGATGCTTCTCCCAAATATCGAAGAAAAGATGCGATGTTGAAAAATATATTTTAATTGGCTAAGAGTTTCGAGGCTTGGGTTCGTGGCTGAGTGGGGCATGTGGCGGAAAACGCTAGCTACAGGTAGGTACCTAGGTACATACGGACAGACTACGGATAAGTGGGTACATATCTAGATGGTACAGGAAGATACAGGACTAGATTCTGCTAGGACAGACCATGAGATTTGAAGCTTTCCCACTCGGAAATCTAGATCTAGACTGGTAGCAATGCTTTACAGTAGCGTAAAGATTAGGTTGGGGCTGATATAGGTCCTTTGCCTGTAACAGTAATTGGATCGCGATACGCATACCCGTGCCCTGCCCGTGGTCTCAGATATTAGGTACCTACCTACTTCTTATCTCTTTTTATTTTCGCGTCAAGCTGCTTGGATGGTGACAGATAGTTTGTAGGACATTCATGATTTAAAGTGTTACAGCCTACCGTATTAGCACAATTTCTGCTACACTTCGAGTACTTAGCTAGAGCCAAACAACCTCGACACAGATATATGTAAGGATACTGCAAGCATACAACCCGGGAAAGAGGAAAGCAGGTTCGCTATGTGTTTCCGATGCGTGTATTCTAGGTATACCGGTATGTTCACCGCTGAGGTACCAGAAGTGGTGACGTCATAAAATACAATTTCTTGGGGTATTTGCAAAGCCTAGCACGGATCTACACGTAGGTAAGGTATCTCGAACTATCCTAGCCGTTACCTAGGTAGGATCAGAGGGGATCCATCTCGTTGGCTCCGTAATTTCGTTCGTTTGCACCAAGTCTCAGCGCATTACTGGCCTCATGCATATTAATCCGCAACATCGGGAAGGACTTACACATGTACTTAGGTCTGTGGTGAACGATAGCAGAGTAAAAGCTCTTCGTATCCAGTACTACGGAACGTTCAATATGTTGCATGCTCGGCATGGTCCTGATTTAAGATGTTTCGTAGCAAATCGCTAAGTAGGCGTCCCGACAGCTAGGGAAGGAGTTGGCTGAGAGCCAACCAGATCTGCTGGTGGCGTTTGTGTTTCGCAGCAACTCCCTCACTACCACCTCAGACCCAACCGAGTCGACGCGCCGCCCCCACTGCCTCTCATGGGGTATCATTCCTTCCCAGGTCACCACTGGTTTGAGCACCCGACAGAGGGAAGCGGTTGGTGAACGGGAATCTGCCCGACCCGTGCAAGCTGCTTGGCACCCTTCCTCTTCCAAGCAAGTAGCAAGGTCCAACGGCTCTAACGGCTCTGTGATGGACATCTCATGGCCGGGTCGAGCAGGAACGGGGCTAGCCTCGGACCTACCACCGAGAAACCGAGTCGATCGATCTTGTGTGCCACGGCCAAATCAGCAGAATAGGTACCCATGGCAGTCATGAAATTACCGCCCGACGTTCGAACAAGCTAACCAAGCTTTGTCTTGTCATCCCGCTCCATCGTTGTTGATTTCTTGAGACCTACCATCCCTCGCTCACCCGTTTCTTCCTCCATCTTTGTTTGTGTTTTGGTTCACCCACCATCATCCGTAAGGGCCGTTGCGTCGAACAGCATTACGCAGGACAAAACAGACGTCCATTGCTGTAGTTGATGTGTTGAACATTGCAACCATCCCAAAAACAGCCCAGTCACTTTCGTTACTAGCTGTTGATTCACTATCATACTCTGGCGCTCTTTTACTAGATCAAGACTGTACATGCTCCAGTTCTTAGGGTGGCCATACCGATCGTTCTGTTACACGGCTAGATACTCCAAGTAATCCTACATTCATTTGGAAACTCTCAAGCACATTCAGTCGTTCGAGGCCCCAATATGCGCCTCTCCATTCTTACCGCGCTTTGCGGTGCTGCAGTAACCTATGCAATTCCTACCATCGAAGCTTATGGCAACAAGTTTTTCACGAGTGATGGTGACCAATTCTTCATCAAGGGTATGGACTGCTAAAATTGACGTCAAATCGTAAGCACTGACTTTTCGTCCAGGAGTTGCATATCAACTAGTTCCAGGCAAGTCCTTGAAGACAGTATTGAGAATGCGTAGCCATTACCAGCTCTAACATAGTCATTCTGCAGATGACCCTTTGATTGATACAGCTCAGTGTACACGAGATGCAGCTTTGATGGAAGAACTAGGGGTCAATACTATTCGCGTCTATCACGTGGACCCAGATGCCGATCACGATGGATGCATGGAAGTTTTTGCTAAAGCTGGCATTTATGCCATGATTGACATGGACACCTTCACAACTTACATTCTTCCGGTGCGTTTGAGTCTGCTCTGATATGTTATACTAGAAGAGAACGAAGACTAAGAATCACTCGTAGGACGATCCCTACTGGAATGAGTCTCAGCTGGATGCATATTCAAAAGTTATGGACGCATTTCATGACTATGACAACTTGCTTGGCCTATTCGTAGGCAACGAGATTATTGCTATTAACAACCAATCTCTTGCTGCCCCGTTTATCAAGTCTGCAAGTAGAGATCTCAAGGCGTACCGGGACGCGAAGGGTTATCGCAAAATTCCCGTGGGCTACTCTGCTACTGACATTGCTGAGCTCCGGCCGTATTTACAAGACTACCTAACTTGTGGTGGAAATTCTTCCGAAAATATCGACTTCTGTATGTGCTTTAAAATTCCCCGTTATTCTTCATTTGTCTCTGTCGGGAATCCTCGCGAAGCTCGTCTCTGCTTCGAAGGCACTGCACTTAAAAATCAAATCAGCGTGTATTAACCTTTCTAATCTTGATATTGTATAGATGGCATCAATTCTTACCAGTGGTGTGACCCTTCGTCTTACATGAGTTCCGGCTACGTGAACCTTCAAGAACAAGCCAAGGACTTCCCAGTCCCCATCTTTTTCAGCGAAACAGGATGCAATGAACCCGGTCCCCGTCTATTCGAGGACCAAGCGTCGATTTTTGGGCCGATTATGTCAAAAGATTGGAGCGGTGCCATCATCTATGAGTGGATCGAGGAACAAAACCATTATGGACTCATTTCCTATGGGCCGAAGGTTGATCCGACTGTTACTGGCAAGAACATTTACGACGGATTTACCCGTGCAGGTACCCCGACACCGGTGAAGCCTGATTTCGATAATCTCAGCAAGCAGTGGGCCCAGATCACACCAACAGGCATTGCCAGGGCTGACTACGACCCAAAGATTGTGTCGACTCGTGCTTGCCCGGCCTCCACGGCTGAGGGTTGGCTTGTGGATGGAAATGTGGCCGTGCCCACTCTGGGAGCATCGCTCGGCACAAGTAGCTACTCCCCTACACCATCTGCCTCTGACACAAGCGCGGCTTCAACCCCGTCTGAGACGGAGAACGCGGTTCCTGGTTCTCAGGAGGCGACGTGAGTAATCCCCAGGGTCCACCCTCTTCTTGTTCTCGTGCGACTAGTGTCGCAAGGGCTCTTTCTCGGGCCTTATATCTTCCCTTGGAAGCTTTCCGCAGCTTCAAACTATGCAAAAATTACGCTTTGAATGGCGATACTGACACCGACTGTTTGTTAGTGGTATGGCTGCTGGGCTGGTAGCGGTGATGATGATGTTCGCAATCTGGCTTTAAGCCCTCCCAGACGAAAGCATGTTTATAACTTATACATTGTACTCTGGTGTTGACCGGCTAGAGGGATCAATGACTTGAAACGGGTAATGCTCTATTCCACGCTCTAATGATCAGTTAGAACCGGAAACTCAGGCACTCTGCACGGCGTTAGTCTTTTTGTTTTGGCCTACATTGTCAGTTAGATGAGACTCTACTAGACTCGTATACCCGGCCACCATGACCGAGCTAATGTAGAATATCATACATGATGTTGGATCGTTGGTATATTCGTCTTGACATCTGGGCGCTCTCTGCTATTGATTCAGTGGTTGAAACTTTCAAGTGCTCGGGAAATAATCGCTAATGCCTCAATATTCTCATACAGATTGAAAGATAACTAAAATGTCTTGCGTCATATATGATACCAAATCACATCAAGGTAGCTATCATATCACGTAGCGACACACATCATAGCAGTGAAGAGTGAAACAAAGACAAGGAACAGCTATTTATGAAATGAAGGAAAAGAAATCCCCAGTGCTTCACGATCTAGAGTAAGGATATAGACTCTGAGTAAACGATATTCTGTAGGTATATTTTGTTGGACAGTACGAACTTGGCCATTTTGATTATAGTGGCCCTGGGTATGATGTCCATATATACATGCCTTTTCTCTACTGGCTTTACATACACAGTTCGAACGGATTTCCTTAACCCGCTAGATGACAAACATGGGTGATTTCATTATGAGAGTCGTTCGGCAGGTCTGTATCTTTTAATGAATTATAAGCCGGTACGTAATCTCTGTAGCTGGCTCATGATGCCAAAACCCCTGCTTTCGCTGGTGACGTCCAGACTACCGGTCGTAGACCTCTTGTGCCCGACGTCTCCGTCCGTGGCCCCCTCGCGACGCCCGGCCTGCTCTATCTCGCGCATGAGGTCCCTATGTCTATCCTCGACCATCTTAGCCAGGCTGTCGATGAATTTGGTGCGGCCCTTCTCCTCGGCCGTGCCCTTCCACACGGTCGTCAGCTCTTTGAGCTCCTCGATCCGTCGAGCCGCCTTCTCTATGCCTTCCACGGGCTCGGAGCCCGAGTTTAATAGGCTCGATATCTCCTCCCGTAATTCTTTCAGTACTTTTTGCCCCTTCTCTTCCGTGCTGCGGTCCTGGGAGCCCGGCTCTGGCGCCGATACGGACAGGAACGAGGAGCTGACGGATAGCTCTGAGGGTGGGAACACGAACTCCATGGCATCGCCGAACGTCTTGACTACTGTGTCTAGGCGCGAGCGAACGAGCGTTAAGGTCTGCAATTGGCTGATGAAAGCAGGATCCGTGACATTCTTCGCGACGTCGTCGGTCGTTGCTGTCGGTGGAGTCTCTTCAGCTGGTGTTATGGATGGGGGCATGGTGATGGTGCCTGATGTGCGCCTTTGACTCGTAGACGCAGATCGTGAGAGACCAGCATTGGCGCCTTTCGTCTCGGGGACTTGTTCTTGGAGCCCGCCGGGTACAAATTTGACGATATCATCTTGCAGCGTGTCCGTCAGCGCCTCGGACAAGCCCAGTGTCTCACCGCGCAGCAGCTCGACTTCGTATGCGAGCCGGCTGCCGTTGCGCAAAATGTCGTCGGTCAATTGTGTCAGGGTGTTGGTGAGGCGCGTGGTGTGGGCGTTGAGCTGCGAGAGCTGGGCCTGGGTCTGGGCCGAGAGCTCGGTGAGGGGCACGGATGAGGGGTCATTGTTCCGCGATGACGTCTGGAGGGAGGGCAAGGTCGAGTTCAGATATTCGGCTGGGTTAAAGGTAGGGCCGAGAAAGCTCTGGAGGAAAGGGTCGGCTACGTGGGCCGACTTGGGCGCGGGATTCGCCTTGGACTTCTGACGAGTATGGAGTGGCAGGGCACGAGAGGAGGAGCTGACTGTGCTGTTCTGACGCCGGCGACTGGTGGACATGATGAGCGGTAAAAGCAAAGAAGAATTAGAACTGGCAAGGATACAGCTTTGGCAGGATAAGGGCCATGTCAGATATCTGAATATTTCCCTAAGTATGGTATTACAAAGTCCATACATTTGGTAAGTAGGTATGTAGGTGCATGTGGATGTTAGGTACCTGACACTGCCTAGGTAGGTAAGTAAGTACTAGCTACTACCTACCAAACAGGTACGTTATGCACCAACCTTACATAGATGATAAGTACCTAGCAATTCCAAGATTACCTTAGCAATATGATTGTAGGTACTAGGCAGGTAATGTTTCAATGCTGTTATACAATAGAAGATTCCACACCCACCGGGCTTGCCATTAGTTAATACCCGGATCTATATTTTGAGGTCCGGTCTGGTTGATACATGTACCTCCTCTGCATGTACGTAGATCTCCACTGTGGTACCTTGTAGGCAGGTACGCTAGCATTACCCCACCCTACTTTGGTGGCCGGGTATCTGTGGGGTAGCTAACCGCTCAGTCTGAGCATACAGCTACCGACATGTAATAGGTATATCATATGACCAATTTAATATTGAAATGCCCTTCTATTCTAGGCTTGTTCAGTGGCTCTGATATATCATTTTTATATATAATGGAAATATTGGAACTGTCTGGGTTAGATACCGGTACCTGGTGTCCACGGCTAAGGTGGATGGATACAGGTCTCAGTTGGACATGTTGGTAATGTACCTACATGCATGCTTGGGCATACATATACCGTTGAAAAGCAACGAGTCCCTCTACAGGAGGACGTGGTCAGCTGGAGGTGTGTCTTCGCCATGATTGGAAGTACAGCCTACCTGGTAGATACAGCTCTCTAGTTGAGGCTGATCTTGCCCATATCCAAATCAGGTTTAGATGCCTTCCTCTAGGCAACTACACTCACTCAATGTTGCCTTAATTATGGAATACAAACCTGGGTAGAGTTCAAACAAAGGCACTCAGTCATAGTCAAACGCTTCTTGGAAATTCCTTGCTTAAAGAAGCGTTGGTGCTCAAGGAGTGTGACGTAGACATCATGTACATACCTAGGTACAGAGACAGCCTTCTTTGTACCTACCTACCTACACAAGACCTATGTACTACCTATGTAGGTATGTATGTATGTATGTAGGGAGGAGGGTACCTAGATCCAAGGCGCTCCTTACATACTTTGAGTATTTAGGCTTCTATGCAGGCCAACAATTCAGCAGACACAGCCTTGTTTTCCTGTTTGCCTGCTATTCTCCGTAGAAATGAGTAGTCCTCACCAGTGCACCACACAAGCTACTAGGGTTGCCCTCCAGCCGCGGAACTGTGCACATCCATTCACTGTTGGATTCACTGTTGGACTCGTTGTTTTCAGAGGAACCAACCCTCCTCTACACCTGCAAATGCTCACCGAACCAACATCTAACCTCCGCTCCATGACATCTACTCTTCCGTTCTTTCACCAATCAGGACAGATCTCACGTATTGTCACTTTAGGAGCTCTTGACGCTTTAGCCCCGACCTATCCATCTATTGACTTCCATCCACCGGCCTCCTCAAGGTCATTCATAACCCGACAATGCCTCCCAGAGGGCGACGCGCTCGCTTGCAAGCCGACATCCAGGCTGCCAGCCATGAAACCATCCCCCACGTTTACGGGATAGGGAAAGGAGATGCCCAAGGTAATAGACCGTCATTATTCAGGAACACTCCGCAGCCAGAGAGTAGAAGAATAAGCTCAAACGTTCAACCCTCACACACAGTTGAGCCCAAGCCACCTCTAGGTCCACACATATAATAGCTAACATTTGCTTCTCTCATCCTTCTCTAGATGAATTTGTTTTCACCTTTGTTCACCCTGAGGTGCCTCGTGGTGAGGTAAAACTTTACGCCGCGCCCCAAGGTAAGTTTCAGATTAGCTCCCTTGCCTTTGGTTCGTGGGAGCATATTCTTTCTCTGATTCTCCGGACTAATTATATATTTTGTGAAATATCCAAAATTTGACGTCATCCCGCGCTATCTAAAGAACAGTATTCTGAATCACTTGAGGAAGTCAATAACTAACAGTTGCAAAAGATAGTACAGATTATCCTGTGAACCATTATTTCCTTGTATATGCTAATGATGAGATCCCAAAGGATATTCGTAATGTCCTCGATAACGCCATGACATCAACAAGGGGCATGTTGATATTAGATTTCCTCAAAACTCTCAGCCGACTGCTTTGTACCACTTTGGAACCTACGATGAAGGACGAATATAGCCAGCCTGATGGCTCAGACAGCTCGGTTGGAAGTGATGACGAACTTCAGTTTGACTTTGGAGATGATGTTGAATTTAACGACCCTGGCATCATACAAACACCGATTTCAGATATCATCTTGCAGAGAATTCGGCGAGACTTCAAGGCTGTGCGCAATGCAGGCTTCAAAGTTGGAAAAATCTGTGGTGTCGACCACATCTCAGAAGAGAGCATCGCGGCGATGTCCATTAAAGTCAGCAAATTGTGCCTTTCACCAGAAACCCTCATGGCTTGGAACCTACGCTCATCTGACTATCTTGTTCTCCTCATGAAATATACTGGAAACTATATTTCATTCGAGGATGCCATGGGAAAACCCACTGCACAGATTCCTTACCAATTCAAGCTCCGGAGATGTTCAAGATACCGGCCAACACCGGCCCAAGCCATTGCGGCCTTCTCATTGCCTTCCCGAAAAAGGGGGTTCGAGCAATATACACAAAATCCTCCTAACGACGAGAACTCAACCGTGTCTTGTGGTGAGTTTGGGATTGGTGGTTCCATTGACCTCCTTCTCACAGACTTCATCATTATAATGAAATTGAGAAAGAGTAAGTGAGCTCGAAGCCATGGTTTTAGTGGAAATCTGTGTCTGCTTTGAAGGGTTCGAAATTAAATATTCAATTATGAGCTGCTGACTCTTATCACTCATAGGGTGTAATGTCTCTTGGGATGATGCCAAGAGAATTCGTTCAGAGCTCAATAGCCAGAGTCGGGATATTTCATCAATGAATATTCCAAACCCAGGCCTTGACCCAACTAGTAATCCGGACACGAATATGCCCCCAATTCTGATGGATGACCACCTATCAAGCAGGGGCCCTATTTCTCTTCCTCTTGTCGCAATGCAATTCTCCTTGCGCTACTTGGTCAAGTGCACGGACTACTGCATGATCTGTCATGAGAAACTTGCCGTCAATTTTGATGCACTCAAGCCATATGTCTGTGGTAATCCGCTCTGCTTGTTTCAATACATGAACGTAGGTCTTGGCCCAAGTATTGATCACGAAATCATCAACCAAGAATATGTCGTCGACCTACTCATTAGCTTTTGTTATGCTAGCTTATATGGCTCCGAGAGACCACAGATACGTGAATTTCCAGTAGGGTTGAATCTCCAAGTACCCTGTGTGAAGGGATATCTTCTGCAAACCAGCACGGGTAAGGTTATCCGGGATTTTGGAATACTAGTGGACCCACGAGCAGTCGAGATATCCTGGCCTCGCAGTGAAGTCAGGTTTATCAACGAAATACACTCTTATCATCCGGCGCTGAACGTTGGCCATTGGGTAATTATCCGTACACGTCACGATCTTCGAAAGGTCAACACGTCTCTTCGAGATGTACAGAACCCGACGGCTCGCCCAGATACAGGGACCTTGGATATTTTCCACTATGCACGTATCGAGAACAAATTCGGATCTACCCTTCACCTCCACATTGCCTCTCGGTATCCGGTACCTCTAAGACTGAGCACCTATAACTATGTTCGAGAATGGAATTGGGACTCACTGGACTGTACTTCCGGAGACTTAGTTCTATGTAACCAATCTCTGGATGAACTCGAGACCCCTACGGAAAAGGCATTGTCGCTAGTATTATTACTCAGTGCCTTGCCTTCTGTTACTGAAATGAGATCGTATTTGATGGCTGACCGATCTCGGCGATTGGCAACGTGGGATCGGATACCTTTGGAATCGATGAAGTTGCTAAGATGGATTATTGCCTCGAACCGTTCCTTCATTGTCCAGCTGGATAATCCGGCCGATACAGGTATCAGTTCAAACGACGGGGAAACCAAGAGGCCCGATCGATCACAAGAGAGGATACCAGGAGTTGACGGTTGGATTCAGTTCAGATTCGCGCAAGGGTCTTTGGAAAAGGAGGCACTCTTCTTTGATGCTTTAGACAAGGTGCAAAAACCGAACCGCACGATTCTCGCATGGCAGTGAGTAGATGAAGTACCATTTTTCTTGTGTTTCTAGGAACCCCCACGTTAGATAAACTGGGTGTACAAGAAAGATTTGGCTGGCGGAGTCCTGCATTGCGATAATTTTGGAACGAAGTTCGCTGACAGTTTCTCTTTCATGAATCAGTGGCAGCAACATTGGAAATTGGCACTCGATTATTCGAGAAGGTCTCAACTTCAAAGTTATCAAGAATGGCCGAGCATTTGGTGAAGGCTGCTACTTCAGTCGATCATGGGATTGCAGCATCTGCTATTCTGGAGCAGGTTCCATAGTACCCCCAAATGCTGATGTATGTGCATGCAATTCGATGCCATCGGCTCTTTCAGCTAACTTTCTGCACAGATTCCGATCTGGCCTCAATCCTGCTTGAAGATCACCGGTGCTATGAGCCTCAATGAGCTTGTCAATTTACCTGAGAAGTTCAAGCACACCAAAAATTGTTATGTTGTTGATATCCTGCACTGGATTCAGTGTCGATATCTTTTTGTTCGACCTCTCAATTCTTATGAATCAACGTCGAGCAATAATGAGGCAGCCTCGCTTGATAAAAGAAAGACGTTTAAACAAGATCCACAATACGCAATAACAGGACCAGGGAACAAACAACGTATGTTTGGTGCTGCAATCTCAATTCTTATTTCCTACCATCGCGTCATGGTTACTGGGATCTCGCATACTGACACGGGTCTGTAGTACTTATTCCAGAGATTGCGATTCCTTCGGTCCAACGAGGACAACATCGCGATCCTTCGTCTTCAGATTCGAACAGGGTTGAAAACGATGACACCGATGAAGAGGACAGAGAAGACGTCGACTTTCTTACCTTTGAAGATGATGTAGCACGTCACAACGTGCTCAGCGTGGACAGCCGCTTTCCTCCAACCCCGGACAACCAGGAATGTCAAACAGATTTTCGCCCGGGAAGTTTAGACTTTTCCCAGCTACCCCAACTTCCTCTGCCACCCTACGCAACTGGGGCTGCCCAGAAAATCATCCAAAAGGAACTTAAGAAGCTTGAGAAGATCCAATCCGAAACACCTCTGCACCAACTCGGCTGGTACATTGACTTCGAGAAGATCGAGAACATGTTTCAGTGGATTGTCGAGCTGCACTCATTCGACCCGATCCTGCCCCTTGCGGAAGACATGAAAACGGCCGGGGTCACTAGCATTGTGCTAGAGATTCGATTCCTTCGTGGGTTCCCGGTCACCCCGCCGTTCGTTCGAGTGATCAAACCCCGGTTCTTGCCTTTTTCAATGGGTGGTGGCGGGCATGTAACCTCGGGCGGCGCCATGTGCATGGAATTACTCACAAATACGGGCTGGTCTCCAGCGAATAGTATGGAAAGTGTGTTTCTGCAAGTTCGACTAGCGATGTGCAGCACGGGATCTAAGCCCGCGCGGTTGGAGATGCAGAATGGCGGCAACAGCCAATACAGCATAGGTGAGGCCGTAAGCGCCGCAGAACGCGCCTTTCGTGTCCATGGGTGGGAAATTCCACCAGAGCTTAGAGAATCCATTCAATCATGATAGGATTCTACTTGCTCTTCAAAAGACGGACTGCTGTCTTGGGAGCCAGTAATTGATCTACTGTGTGATATGGTCATACACAAATGATACGTTAACAGGCGATGATTTGCACGCGCTTTACGATTAATGGATTAGACAGGAAGTTGAGAGACGTGAGCATAGGCTTGAAAGTCGCCAAGATGTACAATAGTCTGGACGCACTGTAAGGTAGATTTGGGCTCAGCACTCAGTTTTGTAGTTATGTAGTCATGAACACTAAAAATGGACACGGAAATGTGACAAGTTGGAGAGCTTAAGTGCTCGATCAGTGAGCTATGATAGAAAGTACTACACCTAATGAAGCTGTGGTAACTTCCTGAACCTGGAGGCTATCTTAAACCGCGGCTCATTTTGGAGTAATCGACATTTCTTCAAGACGAAGTTCGGTGAGTTATGACGTGTAGTTGGTACCAACTTTGGCAGATTCGGTGACAGCTATGTAACCCGAGCGACGACGGTAAAAAGCCGAAGAGATAGATCACGGCCGTATCGGCGCCAAGCTGAAAGGCGGAGTTCGGCTCTTCGGGTCTACTTATGCTGGTCTACTCGTTAGTGCCCCTTTGCTCAGATGCATCCGACGAGATGGGATAACTCCGCGAATACAGTCACGAACCGAGGGAGACTAGGTAGGTGAGAGATGAGCATCAGGCTTCTTTACAGCTCTAGCTGTGGCTTTTGACCAGATCCGCAGTAGACACAGCGTCAATTGAAGAAGGCGCAATGAAGCGCATAACAACAAACTTCCGGCCAGCGCGCCAAGCTCTGAGACGCTTCAGCACGATGACGCAGGTGCAGAAGTTGAGACGGCAAAACTCGATACCTGCGTCGTATTACAGAGGAGGCACGTCGCGGGCGATCATGTTACGCCGCGAAGATCTGCCCTCGGATCAATCGCAATGGGACCCCATCTTCCTAGGCTGCATCGGATCGCCCGACCCCTACTGGAGGCAGCTCGACGGCATGGGGGGTGGCATCTCGTCGCTGTCGAAAGTGTGCGTGGTAGGCGAATCTACGCACCCAGAGGCCGACGTCGACTACACCTTTGTGTCGCTGGGCATCGACAACGCAAATGTGGACTACTCAAGTAATTGCGGCAATATGCTCGGCGCAGTCGGCCCCTACGCTATCGACGCGGGCATCACAGAGGGAGAAGGACATTCAAACGGGGATGAGAGCGAGGTCACTGTGCGGATCCACAATACGAATACGGGCAAGATCATACACTCGACCTTCGCGGTCGTCGACGGCGAAGCTGCTGCCTACGGACCCTTCGAGATCGACGGCGTCGCGGGGACAGCGGCGCCTGTGAAGCTGCAGTTCATACGGCCCGCCGGCTCGCGCACGGGGAAATTGCTTCCTACGGGGTCTACGACGGACACGTTTAATGGCATCAGGGCCACATGCATCGACGCGGCGAATCCGTGCGTCTTCGTCTCTGCCGCGCAGCTCGGGGTCCCGGGGGACTTGACGCCGCAGCAGATCGACGACCACCCGACGCTGAAGTCTACGCTGGAGTCGATTCGTCGCGCCGCGGCGGTGAGGATGGGGTTTGCGGCGAGCGAGCACGAGACGCCCGGGAGCGTGCCGAAGATAGCCATCGTCGCGCCGCCGGCTGATCCGTCGCGCTCGAACATCGAGGTGCGCGCCCTGTCCGTCGGGCAGCCGCACAAGGCGATCCCCGTCACGGTCGCGTTGGCGATAGCCGCGGCCGCGAAGCTCGAGGGCACCAACGTCTTCGAGGCTGCAGTGAAAGGGGATAGTGACGAGTCGTCCCCCACAGTCATACGCCATGCGAGCGGCGTCCTCGGCGTTGATGGGAAATTCTCGGATTCAGCGGAACTGGAGTCTGCCACGGTCTTCCGAACGGCGAGGCGGCTGATGGAGGGCAGAGTGTTTTGGAAATGATTGATTGATTGATTGATAGGTTGAAGTCGGCTACCTACGCTTTGACGCGCTCTACTGATCAGCTTATTCCCGTTCGTACCTTTGACAATTGACCGACATTTTGCACTTCGGGGCTACTGTACACGTACTTACTTAAGTACATGTAAGTAGGAGTTGTTGCGGGACCTGATCAGCTCATACACAAGCCGGAAAGCACCGAAAACCGACAACGTACTATGTGAAATTACAGTACTTACACGTCTTGCTCATCCTAGTCTAAGTCCGGAAGCCGTACTTACCGGATCTGTGTGATGATGATGATGATTTATTTATTTATCTATTTTAGACGACCCTCACTTATATTTCGGCTCCTATTACTACGTTGGGCAGAGATAAAGTGTTTTATTTCAAAGCAAGCTGATATTAAAAAAACCTGTTTGTAAAGATAGAAAACCACCGACATCGTGTTATTTTTATGGGGTGACGATAATGATAGCAAGGTTCCTGCGGCTCTGTTGGCTGCGATACCACGTTTCAAACTCATGATATAAACAGGACTGGCCATCGGGCCGTTCGCGTCTAGAACCGTCTGCGCACCGACAAATGTTCAAGTACCTAGATGTGGCGCTTGACGATAGTGTACAGAGGAGTTGTAGACAAATGAATCATGAGGCGCTTATCTGCATGTAATTCCTACGTTGCTAACTTGCTTCACGATAGCACCTAATGCAGGCTGCTCGCACGTTATCTGATCGTTCGACGCTTCCACGATAAGTATCCGGTAGTGGAATAGTGATTTCGAACGCTTGTCACCAATTATGGATACGCAAGCATCAGGCTTCTTAATCCGGATGCAAGTCCGGAGTACCGGAGACCCAAATCAGGTAGCCGGAGAGACGGAGATCTGCAGGGAATAGTGTAGAGGGCTGACCTTTTTTTTTTTCCCCTTTCGCGTTGATTCCTAATTCGTAACCTGCCAATAGGACTTTGAGCGGTTCAAAATTACTATGTAGTAAAATTTCGGCACTTCTCTTTGCCTAATATGATAGCTTTACGTGTTTTAGAAGTAGTGCAATGACAGCTGCAATTAAAAAAAAAGCTGCTGTCTTTGGATAGATAAGGGGGTAAGTACATATGTAGCGGCTTTTAAGTAGTACCGATTATGGCGAGATCTTAGCAGGGGTAGCTGCAATCTAAAACTGGGTCGAAGAGGTTACAGAGGTGAAATGGACGCGAAAAGGATATTGAAAGAATCGCCGGCGGTTAGCGCCGATAACAGAATGCTTGATCTTGCTGTCTGGGCCACATTCTGAATGCTTTGGGATGCATCGGTTCTTTTCGGGACGCTGGTCGTATGGATGTGGGTTCATTGATCGTCTTTTCGACATGAGTTTCAATATGTCTGGCTCGTGTCTTCCGACGTGGTGGATAAGACTAGGTCCTGGGCTGCTGACTTCCTTGAATTTACAAGGGTACGCTGTGTTTCGGAGTTTTTCTTTTGTTTTTTTCCCTCCTCGCTTTCATATGTCCTTTTTTTGGGCTCTGAGGTATGGGTTATTGGTTGCCATGGTGTCCCCATGAATCTATGATTATGCGATAGTGGGGTTTCATTTCACCGCTTGCTTACCTACGATAAAACTCCGGCGACAGAGATGGCTGAGATGATCGCGCAAGCTTTTTTTCGGCAAAACTAGGAGCTGCATGGATGGGGCTGAGCTCACCTAGACCTCCTGGATGAAAGGGGCGATGGAACCTGTTGGGTGGTATTTACATTGGAAATGCAAGCTTGCAAGCCTGATGGTGCCTATCATATGTCAAGACAGGTAGCCGTTATCCACAGTCGATAGCTTACCCATAAATAGTCAAGGAGGTCGTTGGCGTTAGTTTCCGTCTTGTCTAACCTCAATCGAAATCCATTCAAAGAGTTGTTAATTGCTTGAGTGCCACCTTATTGTTGTCTTTTGCTTCAGTTGCAGCCTTGAATGTTTGAAAGGCATCCCTTACTCGAGGATCATAACCCTTTTCCTAAGATAGAAGAGGAAGTTCCGAACGCATTCACTGACTAAATGGAGTCCCCATTCATGCGCATTCCAGCCGAAGTGAGGTTGATGATCTACTCATACCTCTTCGATGCGGGTGAGGCTGGTGATAGTATATGCAAGGACGAAGGATGCTTGAAATCAGGCTCAGACAGCACATCCAGCAAAAAGAGGTCGAAGATAATATCAATCCGAAATAGAAAGGAGCCCACCCCGTTGCAGAGTCAGGCACCCGATAGAGGCTACGATTTTAAACCGCGTACGCGGTACCATATTCTGGATCGGTCTTTCCGCCGCCGTCGTGTCGAGGTGACATATGGGATGGCGAACAAGGGGGCGTACTTCTGTACAGCGTTGATGCGAGTCAACCGTGCCGTGTGGGCCGAGACGTCACATTTGGTTTACGCAAAACACGAGTTTGATTTCGGCGCTGATGTCGAAGCCCCCAAGCCATTCCTCTCGGATCTCACACCTCAGACGCGTGGGTTGGTGAAGCGGATCGCAATCTACAAAAGGGGCCCATGGCTTTTTGACAGCTGGAATGATCGGTGCGAGTGGCAGACTAGTAAGTTATTCTCTCTCAACCCCTCTCATCGCGAGTGTGACTTGGACTGGCCGCCGAATCCCTCGATGTTTTTGCTCTGATATAAAATCTGACTCTCAAAGTGTGCGCTTATCTCTGCGAAAGCTCGGCCGTAGAGCACCTGCGTCTCATCGTCCAGGCTGGTCGACTACCAAGCTCTGGAGGGGAGGAGGAAGAGGAGGAGAAGGAGAAGGAAAAGGAGAAGGAGTGGGCCAGCCCGCGTGAGCTCTCTAAAACCGATGTGGCACTGTTAGTCGATATTCGCCATGATACGCTTGATTGGGTCAGCGATCTCGTGAATTTGAACAAGCTTCGAGAGGTGGAGGTGGAGGCGGACTTTGGCGATGTGCCTCGGGCGCAGAATTCGAACATGTTTGTTTTCATGGCATTTTCGGCGTCCATCGAAAGGGGTTTCAAGGAGTTCTTAAAGTGGCGACTTGGGTTGAGTTGAGCTATGAGGACCATAGTACAAGCTTACTGGCTTCTGAAATCTGATAATGGTAACATTCAAGGACTGACTGCACCGTTGCTTCTTAGCAGAAATGGAAGGGTGTCTGTATTCTGTATGCGTGCCTAAGAATGAGTTTGCATCATAGGTCCGGACTCTACCTGCCTACAGCACCTAAGGTACGGTACCTAACTTAGGCGCCCAAGTGTCTTAGCATCACATACCCCTGCTCTGGAACCAGCCCACCGGGTTCTAGGCGGCCAGGCCCCTGCATTAGCGCCCGGCAGTAACATCACAGCTTACATAGTAACCACCAACGAGTCTCGTCTCGACAAGGCCGTCACAGTTCATAGCGACGTTACCTAACGATACATTGTCAAGTCGCAGAGATAGCTCGAAGTTCCTGTTCTCTCAGTCGAGCCTTGAAACGATACACCACACACACCTACCCGCGTCTCGCCAGATTTTTCCGCCTTCTGACTTCTTATACAAACATGTAAATCCGTGGCTGCACGCACGCCTGCTCAACAGTCTCCGCCTCCATTTTCCTTCGCCTACATCCTCTCAGGATCCTTTCCACAATGCCGATGGTTACCGCCGACACCGATTTACCCAAGTTGCTCGACACCCCCGCGAAGCAGGTCAAATGGGTAAAGAAGCTGGTCGCCGAGCATCTGAAAAGTGCTGCGAAGCGCATCGACAAGCCTCCTATGCAGGGAATGTTCAGCAGGACCCTGTTCGTTACCCTCGCTGACGGCCGTGAGGTGGTTGTGCAATTTCGTACCGAAGCGCTTGACATCAACGCGTTCAAGATCGCCAAGGCGGCGCTAGGCTCATTTGTCCCGGATGCTGAAGCTCTCGGCAATGAAGAGTTAGAGAGCGCGCGGGCCTGGGCTTACTCCCTAACCCTCATGCCCGGCAAGATGTGGCTGCGTGGAGTTGCCGGGAAGGGAGCCGAAGGGCGTATTGCCGTCAACAAGTCATTAGGCCGCGTCTTTTCGAAGGGCTTTCTCGCCGACAACAGCTGTGAAGCTGTCGAAACCAAGCTTCGACCGCACCTGGACGCCATTTTAGCGTCGCCGTTGGAAGATATCCTTCCCTATAAAGCGACTGTTGAGAGCTTCGCCAAGAGGCTTGATGAGTTTGCCCAGCTCCCGCTGTGGGTTGCCCATTACGATCTTAACGACGTGAACGTGCTCATCGACGAGAAATGCGAGGTTACCGCCTTGATCGACTGGGAACTATCCACCCCGCTGCCTTTCGGGGCCGGCTTCGGCCGCATCCACACCATTGCCGGCGAATACACCGGAGGCGAGTTCTGGATGCCGGAAGAATTCGAGGTTGCGGAAAGGGGCTTCTGGACGGAGCTGTTCGACGGAATGCCGGAACACATTCGAACGATGCTGGAAAAAAGCATTGACCTGGTCCAGGATGTTGTCATACTTGCGACCTTGCTAAGTTGCTTTTTCTTTGAGGATGGGAAGGTCGGTGTTGGCCAGGTTACCTTGAAGGCACTCCCGAAATTTATGACCTATCGAATCCCTTTTGTCCGAGGGCAGGAGCAGCCGTATAGAGAATAGTATGAAGTTGGGATAGAATGTGACAGGGAACATAGAGGAATAGCTGAGATTTACATCTAAAGGCACATGGCAAGCAAAACGCTACCTAGCAGAGTTCCTACAAGAACGTGATAAGAAGTGTCCATTCAACCTACTTCATTTGAAGGAGGACTGGAAGCAGCGCCGCGACGCCCTCCAACCCATCGCCGAAGGAGCTCCTCTGCCTGTTGCTGATGGCATTTTCGGGGAGATGAATGCAAACGAAGATGAAGCCGGCTACGAGGTGGTCGAGCACCCCTGCCAGCCCACACCCACCGCATCTTCTCAACAGTGCAGGACGTCAACCCCCGTCTCGTCGTCGAAGTTCCTTCCCCCTACGAATGACTCCGTTCCAGGTAGTGGTGGCAAGAAACGAAAAGCCTCGTCGCCGTCGGCATCCTCTCGCGAATCTTCCGGACCAAAGAGCAAGAAAAAGAGTTATTGGGGAGTGGAATGCCAGAAACGGCCGTTATTTCCACAAACACTTTGACGGAAGGGTCACTTGGCTTGAGGGTTCTGATGATGGAAATTGAGGAGGCCTGGGTTCTGGTGTATGTGACTTACCACCATAGGTCGCGAGGAGCGCACTGCGGTGGAGTCAGACCTCCATCAAGACTACCGCCAAGTGGTGGCTAGGACGCGCCCAAGCGCGTCCTAGCAAGTACTGCGGTCGATCTGGAGAAGGAATATGGACACGTGTCCCTAACGAGCCTTTGTGGGAGGAACTCTCCCTGAGCTGGGGCGTGGGGGACGAGGGGGAATCATGTGAGAACGACTCGCTCGGGTGTTTTGTGTTGGCTGCACGGGTGGCCCAGGGGCTGGCACACCCGTCCCGAAACCTCATGCCTATGTTTCGTGAGGACGGTGGTGGTACCTCCCTGGACTTACCGTGCACCGTTGACTTCTTGCATATCGAAACAGTCACAAGCTTGTATCGTTCCCCTGCATGCAGAACACCAGCATCCCCCGAACATTATCGCAGAAACAATGATGTCTTCTGGGGAACGGCCTGAGAACGATATCTCGCCGGATCGTGTGACTCATAAGAGTCACTACCTTCAAGATGCGGGACTTTCCCGCTCGCCGCCCGGTCCTTGGCCGCCCGCACACGTGAGCCGAAGCCCGAGGTCCAATCATTGGCAGCGGGTATGTTTAGGTGTATAGAAGTTTCACCAACAGAAAAAATGATTGGATGCACAGCATTCTCGTCGAAACATGAGGCTTAGCTGCCTAGAACGAATCTCTCATGACCTAAAGCGAGACCAGCCACCTCGGGGAAATGTTGGCATCAAGCTATTCCCAATACCTGAATCTCCTGTGCCTTGTGTATGCTTTTCGGTCGTCGCTTTCTACTTGATGTTCGTTTTGGTACCCCTGCAGGAGAGAGTGCATGACGCCCATTCTGCGATGACCCATTACGCTTGTGACCTCTCCGCCTATCGTCTAGAGACCTTGCAGACTTGACGGACCCTCCGCGCCTGGCTCTTGGCTTGTTTGGCGGTGGAATCGCCACTGGGTTTGGCTGCGCCGGCTGCATGCTCTCATTGCGTTGCGTGGGCTGAGGTTCTCCTTGGAAGAACGCTGTGGCTACCGTTTGTGTCCAGTCCATAGGCGTAGGTACTGCAGAGTATAGCATTGCTGTTCCATTTATCTGGTTCGCTAGTGGTGATACTCCCAAACCTGCCAAGGTGGCATTTGTCGGTGGGGTTTGCAACACGACGTTGGTGGACTGCTCGAAGGCGTTGAGGAGGTTGCGAGCCGTTGGACGCCGATCGGCGTCGACTCTGAGCATAGATACGAGGCGATGTGCGTGCTGATTTAGGCGCGCCTGGAGTTCCTCATACCACTGCTTCCACTCCGATAGTTCTTGCCTGTCTTTTTCAGATGGCAGTCCCCCCAAACACTCAACAGCAGTAACGCCAAGCCCCCATATATCAACCTTTGGCGTCTGCTCCCTGTTCTCCCGAACTTCAGGCGCCATGTACCATTGTGTTCCAACGATAGTATTTGATGTATCGACGACTTTGGCAATCCCGAAGTCCGTCAGAAGGAACTTGTCGCCTCGGTAGAGGATATTTGGAGGCTTAATGTCTCGATGGATGATTGGTGGATCGCGGGAGTGAACGAAATCCAGTGCGTTTAACATCTGGTATAGCATCATGTCGGTCACGTCCGCCACTGTCTCTGGCGCTTCACGTCTGAGCCGCTGCAGCAAATCGTGGAGGTTACCTTCATAAATAGGCATGAAGATTTCGATAATTCGTCCGATCTTGAATCCCTGGGTGTGTGTGTACGGCACGATATGAGGCTGATACGATTAGCGTGAGGCAAGCAGATCCAGAGTAGGGAGCTCACATGCGGTAATGCCTGAACCAAGCTCACTTCCATTTCCACTCTTTTCCCGAAATCCCTCTCCGAATAGATCTTCCATTGAGGTACTTCCGCCTTCACGGCGACGATTTTGCAAGCGTGGTGCGCGCCGGTATACATGTCAACAACCTTGTGCACTTCACCTTGCCCCCCTCTCCCAAGCGGTCTAAGCTTTGTGATTTGGATCTCATCGTCTTCCTCAGGCTCGAGTTGGGTCCTGAACCGAGTATTATGGGGGTTGAAGGTGATCGTTGACGCGGACTTGTAGGTGGTTGTCAATCCTTCAGATTGGAGAGACTGCAAGCCTAGGGTGAAGATTCGCTGCAGGGTCCCTTCGATTGTCCGATCAGGGTCGGGTTGGCCCGCGAATGCAAGCTTCTCCTCGGTGAATTTCGCTTCATCTTGGGCCCTCGTTCTTCGTGGTATTAGGCGAAACTCAGCGTCACGCATTTTGAAGATCCACTGGCGTTCAACGGCAGGACCGTCGGGGTTGCGATACGGGTCAGGGCTGAGTACTACGACGCACTGCCGAGGGGTCTTCCATATCTGGGGAGCCCCCGGCTTCTCCTTTTTTTTTGGCCGTTCTGGAAGGTGACAACGACATCGCGGAGTTCTATATCGTTCTTCTCGGATATATCGTGTAGGAGCAGCTCTCCGGTATCTTTATTAAAGTCGAAATAGCATTGGTCGTTTCTCGAGAAGCGGTTATTGAGGATCACATCGTTGTGTTCGCGCCGGCCGAATCGCACCAGGTATGGCGGGTTTTTGAGCTGCTGGTCGAGCCCGATTCGCAAGAATGGCTTTGATGGGTTGTTAGGATCTACCCATCTTCGGTCGCGGTTGGCAGGATCGTTGACGATCTGCCACGCGTATTTGTTGTAGGGTTCAAGATAGAAGACCGCCCTGCTTCTGCTGGCCGACGCGAAACCCATTGACATACCTTCCCCAACAGACATACACGCGGGGTAAGCTCAGATGACTCACTGACTACGGGTTGTCGGCGGCTAATACATAGGCGCCCCGCAAGCCGTAACTATGCAGGGATGCCCGACCTAGACTAACGCGTCCAGTGACAAAGCCGACCTCCGGTTCCTACAGTAGACACCATCTGTTTCGGTTCACGGCCGGGCATCCCTACCAGGATGACACACCCAACTTCGAGCATCCCCATTTTTGGCCTTCCATTCGCTGGCAACAAGTCGGCTCGTCCGGTACGTAAGCACACTGGTGAAATCTTTTCAATTCGTTCACACCCAATATATCTGCATTAGTTCGCAGAGTCACTAGCATGATGCGGCTGAATCGCCTTTGCATTGATTCGCTGGCTGGAGGCTTTGTGATTTGTGACCCCATGCAACATATCGGGTAGACTGAAAACGGCCCACCTTAATTGTGTGAGAAGTAACTGAGTTCGAAGCAGTCTTGGACCGGTGTACACTCGTATTGCAGCGAGGCTTATCGAACGGCCTCGATTCCTAATAACCGACACGGTGACGCCAGGTCCACCAGGACCAAGGACATAGACATAAAGAGCACCTATAAGTGAAGGGGAAGTCAAAGGTTTGGTACGAGCTCTGCTCTCTGTGACATTCTGTTCCAGTGCGAGCTCGGTGGTCTCAGTGGAGACAATGCATTCTGGTTGTTATTCGACGACAGGTCAACTGCACTGCAACGGGACGGTGATGGAGGGAAGTGAAATGTTTTTAGGCTTAGTGGTGTAAATTTCTTTACTGCCCTGCTAGGTTGACGCCGCCATCCCCAAGAAACATCAAGGCCTGCTGGAAACAACATAGACGAACGTTGTGCAATTGTAGATAAGAGCACATGCCAGCTCTCTCAACTAAACCCTCGTGTGGTATCTGACCACTGTTTCATTGATAATGAATACTGAGTCGAGAAAACGCTGTATTGCAATCCAAGGCCGACAATGAAACTCCTCCCTAGCTTCGCGCATCCAACATCCATCATATTGGCCGTCCAAAACCATCTCCCGAGTCGCACCGAAGAACGATAAACTGTATCGCCTTCCACCCAGCTTCATCATTGCTTGCAACCGACTCCGATAATTCTACAATTGAAATGTAGGATTCGGGCGCTGATGGTCCTGAAAGAACTCTAACTGGGTGTACCAAAGCGATATTAGGCGCTGAATACGGTGACCTGAGAGGTAATACTGTTTTGGAGTCTTGCAGACCTGGTCTAAATATCAAGCTCCGGAACCCAGCCCACAGATACAGCAACGTTGGGGAAGCGCGAATGAAGGGTTTTGCATGAGAACTTATTGCCTATACCGAAAGTAAACTGAGCATGTCCAGCCACGAACACCACATTGAGTATTCTGCGGCTATACACATGTAAACATCTTGCGCTAATGGCAGGGCCAAAAACGCTTCCGCTAGTAGCTCAGCCAAATACTTTGCTCGGTACTCGCTCTCGAGGAACGACTCGTTGTTCGATGCCTATTCTGAAGACTAGGCAGCGTGGGACAGACGGTAGAAAGCAAGCACCCACCATGTGTTGAACAAGAGCACGGACTATTCGGTCTGGCTCTTGCTCAACGCATCTTCAGGCTGTCGTTTGAGATACGCGCATCATGAATATACTCTATGTAGCATCGTGCACGTGTATATCCCGAGCTAACGACATTAAATGGAACCAGGCCGGATCTAACGCCCTAAGTCTAGTATGCACCAAGGTTGAATCACTAGGCCAGTCTTCCCGATTTTAAAATGCTACCTAGTTGTCTTCGCGTCAAGCTAGGTTAGCATACCTGCGCTTATATCTCGGGATTGCGGAATTAAGTAGTGGATCTTATACATGGCCGTAAAATATTTGCGATTTCCCCGTAATTCCGTTCGGATTATCCTACTATTCAATCGTTCGACGGTCTCCCGGCCTCGCGCTGTTTGCTCGAATATTGTCTGCGGAGGTGGGCCGAGGATGACACGTAGTGCCGCAAATATCACAAAAGCCTGTGAGGTATGCAGGAAAGCCAAGCTACGATGTGATGGTGATACACCGTGCCGACGGTGCGTCGACAAGGGGAGACAAGCCGACTGTGAGTACCGTGAACGGCCTCGGGTGAGGAAGCAGACTCGCCGTCCTCAGCCTCAAAAAGACTCCGAGTATACTTCTCCTGCTAGCCACTCCAGTCAGCAAGTTGGCGGAGTAGTTGAGCGCAACGTAGCCCAGCCAGAACCTTACCGCCAGAGTGTGGCAGCAACCCATGAGGTAAAAAGAATCTTGGAAGACTTTCTCCTATCCGCCGCTGCAGCTATCAAATTCCACTCGATAATCCATCACGCCCTGCTGATTTCATCGAAGTATGAGTCCCTAATTACTGACCCACATTCCTACATAGTATGCATCTGACTGTATCTTTACTTCACGGTTATTCTATGGCCCCTCATCGTCCTTCGCTTTCTCGCAACAGGTATATCGAATACTATGGCAGTCTGGTGAACAGATTCACAATGATCACAACTCGGACACAGTCCAAGAAGGAGGCCCAGGACTTAGTCTCTTGAAACAACGAGCAATATTCTTCGGAATTCCAACCAGAGTGGACGTGAGCTCTATTTCCCAATCGATTAATCAACACAGGCTCTGTGATTGGCTCCCCCTAAATGAGGCCGAGAAACTCTTAGGGCATTTCATCTCAACCAATATTTTCCAGATTCCGTTCTTCTCTCCAGTCGAAATGACTGATCTGCTTCACAGTGTGTACAACAGCGAAGCAAGCGCATCTCTGTCGCCTCAAGTAAAGGCGGTAGTATTGGCCATCTTGGCCAATGGAGCTTTGAACACATCTGATACTTATCTTGCCGAGTCGTTGTTCGTCCGCGCGAAACAAGAAGTAGCAGCTTGTGATGACGAGGTCAGTTTGACTATGACCCATTTATCACTACTACTCGCAACATACCAGAATAACATAGGCCGCCCCCATTCGTCCTATCTTCATACTGGAGTTGCCTCAAGGAAGATTTTCGCAATGGGGTTGCACAGCTATGGCCCTGAAGGCAACGCTCGCCCCGATATGATACAAAAACGGCGCATCATGGCCTGGAGCGTGTATTATCATGAAACGTAAGTTTTTTCTCAGTCGATGTGTTGGTGAACCGAGCACACTAATGCCACTTCATTATGTTAAGCATGCATGCGCTTTTCTTGGGCCGTGAGAGCACGTACAAGAAGGCGAGCATCCGAACGCCTTTTCCTGACAACCAACCCACTCTTGTTGGCCTGTGCAAATTAGCTCAAATTGCGGAAGATAGTGCAGCCACGATATACGGGTCAACCTGTGCATCATTGTGGCAGTTATACCAAGCCGCAGAGAAGATACACGGCAGACTCCAGGCCTGCGCGGAGGAGCTGGGGATAGCGTCATCGGCTGCGGCTGCTCGCTCATCGATGTTTACTCCAACTGCAATATTGCTTTTACACAATAGTGCGTATTGTGAAGCAGCTTCAACCCCTTTTCTTGTCTGGAAGCTAACCTCTAAAGTTTACTATCATACTCTGCTCCTCACATTCCGGCCTTTCCTGATTGCCGAATTTGCGTTACATCTGAAACAACCCTCGGCATCAAGAAATCGGAATCAGATGTGGTTAATACGGGCCCGTAGGATAGCTATAGAGGCTGCACAAGACTGTATAGTATACATGAATGAAGCTTACCATGACTTCCATTCATGTCGAACGATTCGCTTTAATGCTTTCTTTCTTGAATCTAGTAGCCAAGCGCTATGCTACGATATGTTAAGGAATCCATCCAAACTATCTTATAATAAAGAATATCTCAGGACAGCATTGAACTGCTTAGAGCAGATGGTCAAGGACGAACCGATGGTACATACCGAATCATCAATGACGGAAACACTGCGAATTGTGGAACAGCACCTCTCGACGAATAGAACTGAGCAAGGGATACTGGAACACGGCGGGAATGGCGAACGGACGAGTCCCACAGGAGATGTATCTCATCAGCAACACGCCGGTTCTATTCCCACGGTAACACACGATTTCCTAGTAGATGAATCAGAACATATGATTTACTTGAACGGCACTACTAGTTTACCGGATCCCCTTATCCAGTCTCAAAACCCCAATTTCTTCACCACCGATCTATTCAATTTCTTCCCGCTGGACACAATATCAGATGACTCTACTAGTCCGTGGCACGTGTAATCTAGTATGTATCATCTTCATAAGAAACAGATGGTAAACTCAGAAGAACACTTCATACATTGTCGCCGTGCTTCCTATCATTCTAACAAAAGGTGGCTACTCATCTGGTCATCTCCAAAGTGGATATGGAAGAACTTCGGCAACCCCCTTAGAGTACTACCGAAGGGACGACCCGAAAGACGTGGGCACAGGAAATCAACATGTGAAGAGATACGCGGACTGAAGTCTCCATCGACCCATCCTAAAGGTGAAAAGCATAGTTGTGGCCAAAAGCGGGGTGAAAAGGTGTGACTGAGTATTATCATGTATGGGTATGAATCCCCAATTTCCTAGACTTCTTCAAACTCGAAGTCCTACCTACAAATTTCTGACCTCACCGCGATATAGCTGATCGTTATAGGTTTCAACCAGCAAGCCTCGCGTTGTACTTGTAAGCATGGGATATAGCCTATTCCCCCGAAGCATCCTTTCCACTTCATCATGGCTGTTACTGTTTACATCATTATACCTATATCCCGATTAACCCACAATCTGGATATTTTACCTTGGTCTCCGTGTTGAGAGTAGGGAAGGCGACGTCGCGATCAGTCAATAATATCGTGGAACAATGGACAGTATGATTGAGGCTAGCAATGTAGCTGTCAATCTGCGGAAATTCCGGGTTGCCCCTAGCCAACACGGCCCTTTGGAATTTAAACCACATATAGGCGCAGTGCCTCAAATGGTACTCCCAGCTAACCCAAAGGTGGTTACCGTGACCACCCACAAGTTCTTCGTGACTGATGATTTGCTTTCCCTTTCGTCACAATCAAGGTTAATGATAATCACGTTTCATATACGGGGGGAGAGTGGCGGGGTTACATGGAAAACCCCTGGCAATGGAACTTCTCAAGAAGGCGTGCTAGGGACGCTTTCACGCCTCGAAAGGAAATAAACAATCTTCAATACTCACCTCGGGATCCGCATAATAATGCCAATTTCTCGTCGCCTCAAACGAGTCCACCAATTCCCGATCGTAACACTCGCTGGGCAGCCAACAAAAAGATATCGTGTCAAAGTGACATCCTCGAGCCTTGGCCTCTTCCGGCGTCGAGCCGCACGGAGATTTCATGCGGAACTGCGGCGGTTTGGCGTGCGCAACTAGCTCCGTGAGAACCTCGGTCGCGTGCTCGGAAACATCTTGGTAATTACCAACTTTCGCGGGATGTGGCACGGAGGCCCGGGCAAAGAAGAGTGACGCAGCCGCTGTCAAGATGACGGCGGTGACGACTATCCCCACGACGCGATATATGGACACGGAATATGGCCTGTTGGCGGTATTCGCGGATATGTTCCCAAACTCAACGGGCTCGCCTTCTTCCTTGGACTTAAGGAAGCCTTGTCTTTGTTCATCTTCAGCGTATTCTCGGCTTTCGTCATCGACATATTGCTGACTTGGTTCTACCCGCGACGACGACTTGACCAAAAGTCGCGAAAATGTTGTTTTGATGGCCTCCATCGTAAACACTTAGCGAATGATGAACCTTGGTTTGACGTGAGTTGCGGTAATAGCCATAGGTTTGAAAAGGGTTTAACCCGGAATGTGCAAGCAGCGGTATGAACGCGTTACGAGTTATGGAAGGGCTAGCGATTGACAAGACTACTACTGAATGACTACAACAAGTTACCTCACCCAGGCCTCCCCGAGGACACTGTCAAGCCATGAGTCCGTCCAATTAGGATCCTCACGGAAAAGGGCCTTAATTTGATCGGATCTGGCTGACAGTTGTAGCGGAACCGGTATTGCTTCGGAATTGATCCCGGTACTCGCACTCGTTCCCGCTACCGGTACTGCTATCTTATCTAGCCATCAGTCTCGATAATGGTCGGCTGTCGATCCCCTGAGCCTTCGCAACGGCTTTCCTAATTGGGGCTTGTGTCGCTAAGTGAACGTGATTTATGCGTGGTCCCGTGTAGTTTCCGTTTGGAGGCGCGGGGTAGAACCGACTTCGTTATCGAAGCTGGTATCTATTATTGAACAATGTAACAAAGGTGGAAACTAGAATTGTACTTTCAGCTTTTGTGGCGTTTTGTCTCTTTTTAGTACCTAGATGATGGAATCCGGTGATGATGGCACACCATTACGAAGAGTATCGATTATCATCATTAGATCTTCTCCCAGAAGAAAATGTAGAAGAATCCTCAAATAGATTGCTCATGGAGGAAACAGGGGTGGAATCTCAAACCCGAACTAAATCGAATTATGAGATGCTCATCTTGACACTCAGCCTAGCAGGGTCAGTTGATAAGGCCTCATATACGGAGTGTGGGTGTATGATACTAACGAGACTAAAGCTTGCAGTCGGCCTATTGCTCTCAATTTGCGGATGGGACTGTGAGTGCTTCAGACTCCTAGAGTTGCCTAGCACTGACTCGAGATACAGGATTATCTGATGAGCATCGGCATCAGCCCTACCGTTATTGCATCCATTTGGATTATTCCTCCACTATGTGGCGCTACCTTCCAGCCACTCTTTGGAATACTGAGCGATGCATTAAAAGCGAAGCTGGGTAGGCGGGAACCGCTCCTATTGCTGGGCGGTCTTGGATTACTTTGCGCATTGATTATACAGGCGTGGAGCTCTACGATTGCCAACGGATTGGATGGTTCCTGCCAGGGAGCATGGCCAGCATGTTGGACTAAGGTGTTCGTGGCGATCTTTGCTGTCGTGATGCTATACGCTTCTGCGCAGGCGGTACAAGTCGCTACGCGTACTAAGATGGTCGACATGTGCCCAGCGAGTCAGCAGCTAAAATTGAACACATTGGCTAGTCGGCTCATCAGCTTGACAAGTGTGTTGTATTACATCTTGTCCTATGGGCTGCCACCATTGGCGACAGTTGAACTACGTATGCAGGAGTTGGCTCTAATATCCGTCATCATCAGCGTTGGCACTATTAGTATCGCGAGCGTAGAAGGTTGGGAGTCGCTCCCTCATTCTCCTCCCAAGGCCTGCTCATCAATGGCAACACCAGGAGAGGGTTCTTACATCCAACGAGTGAAGGATAGTGTAACTACGCGCATGTTCAAGATCCTGGCGGTCCAGTTTTTGTCGTCGTTTGCATGGTTTCCATATCTGTTCTTCATTAGCAGGTACGTCCAAAAATCCTTGCAGACTTGATCGTCACTCACCTTCATTTCAGGCATATTACAGAAAAAGGTGCGTACAGTCAATTCTTCATTTCTCATTGCTGTTACTAGCCTTTTGGCTAATGATATATCAGGGCACACGGAGGGAAATACAACTGAGCGATTGGGGCCACTGGCACTATTCCTACAATCCGTCGTGCATCTGATAACAACCTTTGCACTACCATTTCTAGCAAGCCACACCGCAAGAGACACTCTTCCGTCAACCAAAGCCTTGGGGTTTCTTCACTTTGAGCCGCTACAAATATGGAGGCTATCGCAAGTGCTCTACTCAGTGTGTGTTGCCGGTATCTTGCTGACAAAATCTACCGCGTTCGCACTCCTGTTAGCCGCCTTAATTGGGTTCTCTTGGGCTGTCATGCAAATCATTCCATACACCATATTGACGGACGAGTTTCTCCTCAAAAATGGAGGGGAGCCTAGAAGATTAAACTCGTCCGGGCTATTTCTCGGAATCAACAATCTGTCCATGACCATTCCGCAGATCATAGCAGGCGTCATATGCACTACCATATTTTCTACGGTATCAGAAAAGCACACTGAATCAATGTTCAATGGTATGACAGGGAGCCTTGCTATTGGCTCTATGGTATCTTTGCTAGCGACCGTAGTGTCATTTTGTATACTATGACTTATACAAATCGGCTTCCAGTTCTGTACTAGAATCCTTTGAGATCTGTCTATGTAGACGTGGATTTATGGTCAAGTCAATTCCCTTTCTATACATGGTGTTTCCGATAACAGTGACCAATCCTGCTATCATCAGGAAATGGAATAAGCTGTATGCTGTTATGTTATTCTTCATCACTCTCGTCAGTGTCAAGTTTGATCTCATGCCCATTGCCCTCGAATACCCATAAACTCATGATACACGCAAATATAGTAACTCCGCTCATAATCCACCAAGGGAGACCAACGATCCCATGTGCAGATCCATACGAGTAGAACAAGCCGGCCGCAAGGGGGCTGACGGTACGAGTGAAACTGTTCACCATCTCAGCTGTGCTATGCGTCCTTCCCAGAGCCGACGGATGCGGCGAGGCGCTGTAGTCACTAGTATTAGTACTGGCCGATCCAATCGAAAGGGGTAGGTTCACTTACTTGTTAGTTAGTACGATCTGGGATGGAACTGCAAATGATGCGCTGAACATCATCACAGCCTGGGCAAACAATATAGCTAACCAAACATAGGGGCCGTCACGAGGTTCAGGTCGAGGTGTGCTTGACGGCACTACTGAAAGGTATGGGATAATGAAATAAACCAACGGAAACCCTCTCAGGAACAAGCGCCAAGTCTTCAACATCCCCAATCTCTTCACTACTCGGGTGTAGCCGAAGAACTGCAACGGGATACCTAGAATGCCAGCAAAAGCTAGCGAGATGGCAACCTTGTTCACCGGCATGCCCAGGCCACCGACGAACCTGAAAGGAAGACGTACGTGGGCGTCCTCTGGTGCTGCTACTGGGTCACTGAGAAAACTGGGCCAAAGGGTGTTATAGACGGAAACATGCCCTTCCATAATTCCATATGCAATTAGAGTGAAGCACAGGTTCCTCGTGAAAATCCGCCTTAGTGGAAGCACCTCTTTCTTAACCTCCTTCGGGCTGTCTAGGTCATTCATTTCGACGTCTTCACTCACGAACTGAATACTTTCTTCATCTACATCTTGTTGGGTAACAACCGAGTAGGGTTGCTTCTTTGAGCCCCTTGAAAACAAGGCGGCCACTTTGGCTGAGATATGGAGACCTGGATCGTACTTATGGCGCGCTTCTTCATGCGTCTAGTAATAAAGTAACAGTCATCAGTATGACACCTCGAACAGTATGGCAAAGAACAGGAACACCCACTTCCTTGAGTTTGAAAAAGACGAACAGGAATGCTATGAGCGCGACAGACGCACTAGCAATGGCGGGTAGCGAATAGGGAAATAGGCGGAAGAAGGGAAGGTCGCTGCTGCTAGCGTAGTTGGCTAGCAGTCCAGCGACAACTGGGCTGGTAATGGCTGCAACATTATAACATATTGGCATGAGGATAAATGCCTTGGCTTGATAACGGCGCTCTTTGACGACCTCGGACACCATTGTCCTGATCATGGCGGTGTTGCCATTCACCGCACCTTCTATCAGCCGTATGACCACGGCCTGGCGGAAATCGGTGATGAAGCCGAAAGCCAGCGTGCTTAGGAACGACCCGCCCAATCCTACTAATAACACCATCTTCCTGCCTCCTCTCGGGGAGTCGGCCAAGTGACCCCATAGCACGGCTGTAAAGCCTTGAGCAAGTGTGAACACAGTCTGGAGCAGGGCGGCATCGCGGACGATGGCGTCGGATGGCTTAGAGGGGTCGAGTGCTTGCAACTGATAGAATACGTAGGTCTATGCCGCGGCTCATGGAATGCTCCTGTTAGCGACGATTCATTCACCCAGGAGGCCAAGTGTTGAAGACCGCCAAGCAGAAGCTAAGATCATATTGGCGGGGGTCTGCAGACATACCGAGATTGAGGTTCGTACTACGGGCTGAGAGAACCGGGCGAGACAAATGATTGCCAACTGACCTTTGTTAGGAAGATCGGACCAAGCCACATCTGCCTGTGCTTCCGACATGTTCACCGACAGCACTATATGAGTCTTGGGAGGCGAAACTACGACAGACTACGAGCTGATCCGACCGTAGCTAAATGATGTTGAGTGGAGGAGCTCTTTGCAATGGCATGAGGGGATATCGGCAGCGCAACATAACCTCACTCGCCCAAGGATGAGGCTGCCTATTGGAAAATAGCTTGGATAGCTCGACCGATAAGCTACCTTCATCCTAAAGAGCTGAGCTGTGTTTGTCCAAAGAACAATGTTGGTACGATCCCTGCCTTGCATAACATTGCATAGCGTGACGTGATCTTATCTTATTCCCATTTTCCGGCCTCATCCGGATCCGAATCTACTCGGTTTAGGAGCTGAAAGATCAGCAGTAATGTTCGTTCATTGCTACTCCAATCTGGATACTTGCATTACCAACCCCTCACATCGATCCCCCAGCTTGTACATCCCCTGCATCGCAGTAATCCCAGCCCCCCGCCTCCATAAACTACCACGCTGACACGGCGTGCGGTACACAATCTATGCACTACTTATTTTATCAATCTTACGATCACTGTTATCATTTCGGCCATAACGTTCGGTAGTGTAAACTCGCTTCATTGCTCGGGTATCAGCCAAGGGCCGGCTTTATCATGCGTTTCTACACTTCGATCACGCAAAGAAGCGCTGATACATTACTAGTGTCGAGGTGAATTTCCAATATGGGTATTGATTTGAGCTTCTAGAAAGCTCATGTCATGGCAAGTTGCTACAATCTGCCTTCGCTTCACCTAACAGCCAAATGGAAAAGGTGGCTGGCGTTGTACCAGTCCTAGGGCGCTACGTGTAGATTCTACATACATGTCTGTTCCGTCAACCTTCTTCTGAGCGCCAATTCATTACGGAACGGGTGATATACAAGGGTTAACCAATCAGGCAATCAACATAGTACGGCTCGTTGAAGATTCTCGTGGTATTGGGTGCTTTCACATCCTTCCATTCAGGGTTGCCGTTATACTGTAAACAGTGGTGAAGATGATCCTCGCTCCGACAAATTGTGTCCAAGACTATCGGGTCGCTCATCAAGGCCGCTTGAATTCGCTCGAGAGCGTATGCGCAGTGTAGATGATGGTATCGCCCATCAGTCCACACCCAGCCATGCTCCCCCGTTTCGACAGCTTCGAGGGAGATCTCGTTGATCATCTCAGGCTCAAGCCAATACTTGAAGTCCATGTCCTGCAAGATGATCTTGTACTTCTGATACATCTCCTCATTAAAGCAACGAGGGTGAATCCAAGTTGACAGTACCACATCGTATACACATCCCGCTTCTTCCGCCTCTTTCCAGTCCGGTGAGCACTTTCCGACCGACACAAGCGCCGTGTCATTACCACTTAGTGAATGATGCCATTTTCCAGACGTTGTTATTCGGCCTAGCATAAAGAACGCTGCGAGTAGCAAAGCAATTGCGACACCCTTGATGACATCTATGATGCGCAGACGCCGGGGCGCTGATTTTGGGACATGTGATGAGACAGGCCATTCTGCCTCTTCATCTGTCTGTGTTAACCCCTGTATGGCTTCCTCGTCGGTGGTTGTCGTCTTGAGCGGCGTATACGACATTTTGGCAATTGTGAAAATTGTGAGCAGATGTTGTTGTCTAACGGAGTTCGAGGGTGGACGGACCCGTTAAACCACTTGGGCGGGAAACGGTAATTACATTATTCTGGATAGTTATGAAAATGGACATTTCAGAGACGGAGCGCACTTACGTAATACCGTACTACACACAGACCCGGAACCCTTATGCGAAGGTCCGATACTACCTCGGAATCGGATAATTTTCCGATTTTACAGGGGTCATTTTCTGAGGCAGGAAGCTTACTCTTACTGACAGTCCTCTGACTTAGCACAAAAGCTATCATGTACGCCGATCTATCCATGCGGAACCGAGAGGATCTAAGATCCACGCGTTACCGGCACAGAAAGTTTAATGGCCCCGGAATATGTGGCAGGCAACACCGCGCCGAGTCCGGCGCGGGTTTCGGATGAGACTACAACCTCACCCTAATCGGGAACCGCAACACGGCTATGAGCCTAGATGAAAGTGAGACCGGGTTTCATTAGGCTTAGATAGGTGTCTCGTGGTAGATGTCTAAGTTTGCAGATATGCTACTACCATGGCTATTGCTGATAGAGCCAATGCCAAAGATTGCCCTCCCCTTATCAGCACATAACATATGAGCCCGCGCCAAGATGACACCAGAAGATACTAGTAACACTGTTGCGCAATTGCTGCTGAATTTGTATGCAGAAGTGCTCCTGATCTCTGAAGATCAGATTGGTCCTGAAGATTCATTTATTGGACTTGGCGGTTAGCAATCTATCACTAGGTTTTATTCTGTGATAAGAAGTTGTGAGAGGCTAACCTTGTGGTTTCACAGGTGATTCTTTCAAAGCTATCAAGCTGAAGCGAAAATGTGATCAACTCGGCATTCGCCTCTCGCTCCGGGAAATATTAGCCCGGAAAAGCATTGCCAGCTTATCAGCGGGACAAGTTTACCCAGCTGGCAGACAGAAGCGCCCTAAGAAGGTCAAGCAAAAGACACGCGCGCGCTTGGGCAAAGGACGCCATGAAAAATTCAATCTTATGCCACAGGACTACGCTTGGGACCTGATTTTGGAGGGACTCGGATTTCAGAATTCGATATGGAGTACGGAAGCATTAGACCTAGTCGAAAACGTGTATCCATGTAGCCCTATGCAAGAGAGCATCTATGTGGCGAGAGAAACCAAGGGGAAGCAACTCTATCGAATCCACGAGCTTTTCGAATTGGGTCCCTGCATGACACTTGACAAGCTGGAATCGGCTTGGCACTCGGTTGTCGACCTGCATGAGAGCTTGCGCACAATATTTGTGCCCTCCACGGATGTTGGATCCTCCAGGTTACTCGATGCCGTGGTTCTCAAGAGGCGGCAACGCTGCGATGTTGAACGGATTAAGTGCAGTGATCATGATGCCGTAATCGCCGACTTTGAAGAGAGTTGCTTCAACCCTCAAGACATTCAGGGCCCGCCTCATCGACTTACAATATACTGCACCGAGGACGGCCGGCAATTTTGCCAGTTAGACTTGAATCATATGATTAGCGATGGATCATCGCTTATAAACATAGTCAACGAGATCTGCACCCTCGCGAATGGTTCGGTGCTTAGCCCAGTACCCGGATACAGCAGTGTTGTCAAATATAATCAGTCAGCGCAGCTTTCGGACGAGAGTTTATGCTACTGGAAGTCATATCTCGATGGGATAAAGTCCTGTAACTTTCCATCCCTCTCGATAGAAACTCAGGTGGCAGAGCAGAACGTCCCAGATCGCTACCAAGTTGTAGAGATCCCTTTCAATAGACACAAAGATCTGAGTGAGTTTTGTGCTAAGATGGAAATTACGATGTCAACTGCCCTTCAGGCTGCATGGGCTATTCTCCTTCGAGCTTACACGGGAAACGAAGAAGTCTGCTTCGCCTATACAGCCTCGGGACGCGACATCGCTGTTGATGGTGCTGATAAAATCTGTGGACCACTCGTCAACCTCGTTCTTCGTCGAGCCACCCTTCTTGAGGCCACGAGTATCAAAAGCACGGTCGACACAATCCAACAGGATTATGTCAACTCTTTACAACACCAGTCAGTCCCATTTATGCACGTACAGCAGCTTTTCAAGACCACAGAGAAAATGTTCAATACAATCTTGACTGTGCAATATGCGCCATTGCTCGTTGATGAAAATAAGAGTATGCCATTGAGGCGGATTACTAGCTTCAATGCGACAGAGTTCCTATCTATCCACGTTACGTATTCGGATACCGTTATAAAGACGAAGTTGACGTATCCTACTAAGATGCTCTCTACAATTATGGCAGAACGAGTGATGAAGACCTTTCTCTCAATTATAGACCATATTCTAGATGCGACTGATGTTGATGTTCCGATTGGCCGACTTGGGCAGGTCAGTTCTTCGGACCTGCAACAGGTAATGGAGTGGAATACGGAAACCTTGAACGCGGCTGATCAATACCATCCTAATACTACGGCCACGGTGCACGGGTTAATCGAGGCAGCAACTATTCGTGCGCCTAATTCGCCTGCCATCTATTTCTCGGGGGAGACATTCAGCTATGATGACTTGAATACTATGTCCACCACTCTGTCCCAGCAGATACTTAAGTCTTCAAGCGACAAGCAAAGTTTTATTCCCTTGTTATTCGAAAAGTCGCCCATATTCTCGATTGCGTTACTAGCTGTCATGAAGTCGGGAAAAGCTTTTGTTCCAATAGATATTTCAAGCCCACCAGACCGAATACGACAACTCTTCGAACAACTAGGAATCACCTCATCTGCTGGTCTCGTCATATGTTCCGAGGGTATGTCGGACCAAGTGCGATCGCTTTGCCAAGAGATTTTAGCACCCAGTCTCACTGGTTTGCAGGCAGAGATCACCCAACCACAAACTCAAAACATATCCGCTCTGTTGCCAGTCGTGCATCCAAGCGACCCAGCATACCTCATCTTCACTTCTGGATCTACAGGTACCCCTAAAGGCGTCACTATTAGCCATAGCGCTTATGTGCATGCATCAAGACATCACGCTTCCGGAATACAGATTGATCCAAGCTCCCGTGTGTTGCAGTTTGCGTCGTATTCCTTTGATACAAGCATGGAAGATCACCTAACAAGTCTCATCGTCGGCGCTTGTCTCTGTGTTCCCAAAGAAATTGAAAGGGACACTGCCTTGGTAGAGTTTATAAATACATCAGGCGCTAACTGGGTTCACATCACCCCTTCTATGATGGTTATGATACCGCCGGTCTCGGTGCCTAAACTGAGGACCGTAGTACTGGGAGGCGAAGCCATGACAACTGAGAATGTAACGGAATGGGCAATCCCAGGGAGGCGCCTGGTGCAAGTCTACGGGCCTTCCGAGTGTTCCGTAACAAGTACAATCAATCCTGACGTCTCTAGACGACGCGATCCCACTAACATAGGGAGGGCTTTTGCTGGCTGTGCGACTTGGATCACTGACGTGAATAACCCGAATATTCTCTGTCCTATAGGATCCATTGGAGAGTTGCTAATGGAAGGTCCGATTCTTGCGCAAGGGTATTTGGGTCTTAAATCTGTCACGGACTCCGCCTTTATCACAAATGCCGTCTGGCGGCCAGGGACACGCCTTTATCGAACAGGAGATTTGGTCCGATACGATGAGACTGGAGATCTACACTTTGTGGGAAGAACCGACAGCAGAGTTAAAATCCGGGGGCAAAGGATCGAATGCGGCGAGATAGAAAGCCAATTGAGGAAGAAAAGCTCAGTTCGTCATGCCGTCGTCGTAGTTCCCAAGTCCGGTCCTGGGAAAGATCGTCTAGTAGCCGTTGTGTCGATGAAACTCGGCGAAAGCAACACACATCCCGAGCCGGCAAGCGGCGACATACAGTTGGAAGACGTGGAAGCTGTGAAAACAACTGAAACCCCAAGGAGTCTTCAGGACTGGTTGACAAACCAATTACCAGCTTATATGATCCCTGATCTTTTTATTCTTGTCCGTAGCATACCCATGAATTCTTCTAAGAAGCTAGACAGGAAGCAGGTTTTCCGCTACCTAGAAAATCTCAGCCAGGAGTCTTACAAAGCTCTCTTCAGTCGGATGGATGAAGAGACTCAAGACCGTCCGGGCACCGACTTGGAACATTCAATAAAGCGTGTATGGTGTCGTGTGTTGAATGTATCTGAAAGTGCGGTCAATTGGAATACGTCTTGGTTCTTCTCTGGGGGTGACTCGATCTCAGCCATGATGTTGAGTAGTGAACTGAGAAAGGAGTCTATTAAAATACCTGCATCAGATATCCTTCGACTGCGTAATATCGAACGTATCGTAGTCCATATCCAAGAGACAGTTGTCAACGACGGAGACGCGAAATTTCGCAATGTCGACTTCGGTAAGACTGACGTCGACACGTCGTGGGATTTATCACCAATCCAGCAGCTCAGCTTCCAGTTTCACTCCGATGGAGACCACTTTGACCAACAGACAATGGTTGTCGACACAAGCTTAACCATATCTGATGAAGCTATCATTGCGGCGCTCGATGCCGTCGTAAAGTCACATCCGATGTTACACGCTAACTTTATTCGAGAATCGTCTGCTGGGGCTCAGGTCTGGAAACAACGTGTAGTACCTATTCCCCCTACTGGATCAGCATATATAATTCGGTTTCATCAAGACACTAGTACCAATTTCAAGCTCAGATCTATGTCTGAAACCAAAGCAAGGATTGACTTGATTAAGGGGCCGATGATGGGGGTAGACATCTTCCGGTCTGCCTCTTCGGCCACAATTTCCATCAGTGTACATCATTTGGTCGTAGATATGGTGTCGTGGAGGATCATTTTCCAAGAACTCGAGGACGTTGTCACAGAGCAGCGTTCCATCCCACCTGAACCGATCTCCTTTCAATCATGGTGTCAAGTGCAGAATATTTATGCACAGAGCATCCAAACGTCGCGAGTCTTGCCCGAAGACAAGCTCGAGGTGGATATAAGTTACTGGTCTATGGAGAAACTTCCTAATCTTTTTGGAGATGCCATAACGACAACATTTGAGATTGGAAGTTCAGACACGGCAGATTTATTAGACATATGCAACAAATTGGAATACAGTGTTGTGGATGTTCTATGCGCAGCAATAACAACCTCGTTCTCGAAAACGTTCCAAACACGTTCCTCTCCCGTAATATTCGTCGAAGGTCATGGAAGGGAGTCACCTAGTGGCAGTATTGACCTTTCTCGAACAGTGGGTTGGTTCACAACATTCGCCCCAGTTGCAGTGCGTGTACCACACGATAAGGAGTTGAGCGACATAGAGACACTCGACCAGATCAAGAATTTCAGGGAAGCTACACCATCTAAGGGTCTCGATTACTTCACCTGCCGCTTCCTATCACAAGAAGGGTCTACTAAATATCGTGAAAGCCATGCTCACGCAGAAATCGTCGTCAATTTCCTAGGAATGTACCAGCAATTCGAACGCTCTAGTTCAGCGTTCAAACGTAGCAACGATCCTGAGCTCCTTTTAGGTCTTTCGGCAATGCGCCGCGAGCAGCGGAAGAAATCAGAGAGATATAGCCTGATCTCGATAGTCGCCATGATTAAGAATGGCTCGTTGAGTGTCGAGATCGAATGGAATAAGCACATGAGATTCCAAAGCGAATTGACCTCGTGGCCACTTAAGATTCAGGACGATATGTTGCTGCTGATCCGGGATCTAACTCGCATTTCTTCTTCTTTACGAAGCATGCCCGCCCCTCAAAGTGACGTTATTTGCTTCGGGGTCGATAGGCAGAAGACATTAGCTAAGATTACAGGGCTAGGCTTGCGACCGCATGGAATTGAGAGCATGTACCCGTGCTCGCCCATGCAGCAAGGGTTGATGGCGAGTCTCTTGAGGGATTCGGGCACATCCTCAGCGTATAATCAGACTTTTCTCCTGAAAATCAACCCCACCAAAGGAAGCGTGGTCAAGAGTGAGCAAGTTGTCGAGAGCTGGCGACGGACAGTTCAAAGACATGCAATTCTACGAACCATCTTTGTGGAAACTGATGTAGGAGACTACTCGCAGGTTGTCCTGCATCATGCTGATCCAGTCGTACAAATCAAGGACGGCGCTAGCGTTGAAGACCTCAGAACCACGTTGTTCGAGACCGAGAACCAATCGTTGAACTCCCCCCTGGACGGAGTTCCTTTGCACCGCATCCTGGTATGCGAAGCAACTGATAAATCAACATACATGTTACTTACTAAGAGCCATCTTCTTACTGACGGCACGAGCACCCAAATTCTCATTCAAGACTTGGCTCAAGGCTGTGGCGGAGTTGAGATGCACGATAAACCCCAAAATCACTATCTCGATTACGTCCGTTACGTGACCAATCAAGATAAAGACCTTGAAAAGAGTTACTGGGCTAGCTATCTAAGAAGTGCCGCCCCATGCAACTTTCCAAGACTCTCCTATGCAAGCGATGACCCTAATGCTAAGGTCTCTCACTCGAGCGTAACTTTGCAACTACATGCTCCCGAAGCTGATGTTAAGCAGTTGTGCCGCAACCATGACCTCACAACTCCCAGTATCTTTCAGCTTGCATGGACACTGGTTTTACGGACCTACCTGAACTCCGAAGATATCCTCTTTGGGTTGTTGTCCTCGGGCAGAGATCTCCCTGTTGCTGGCATCCAGAAAGCCGTTGGGCCAGTTGCCAATATGCTCGTAATGAGGAGCAACATACGATCGAATATGAAAACCATCGATGTGGCGAAAGGTTTGCAGGCAGACTATATTGAACATCTATCACGGCAGACGCTTCCCCTTTCGCAGGTCCTACATGCGGCTAGGGAAGGGAATCGGGCTGTTAGCTTTAATACCATTCTAAATATCCAAAAGGCAGAGGGATTGATCGACCAGCCGACAAGTGAAGACTTTCAGATAGAATTTGTAAAGTCGATCGATACTACGGAGGTGAGTGTTTCGCAGGAAAGCGAGTAGGGCTGGTGTAGATGCTGACGTGTCATGTTCCAGTACGGGCTTGCTATGACGGTCCTGGAAAGCCAAAATCAGTACAAGCTTTCTTTGGAGTACGAGACGGGCTTAATATCTCCTAAAATGGCAGATGCAGTCGCTTCAACATTTGCAGGAGTCGTTAGGAGCGTTATTGCCAACCCTGAGTGTCTTGTCGGAGATTTAGATCTTGTTGGTGATAATGACCGAGAACAAATTCAGAAGTGGGACATCAATAATTTCCAGACCAAGAACGAATGTGTTCATCGGCTCTTCCAGGCTACAGCACTGAGCATGCCAGAGAAGCATGCTATTCACTCGTGGGATGGTAGCTTAACATATGGTGAATTGGAGGCTTTGACTAGCAAACTAGCACGGAGGTTGCTTGATCTCTCTGTTCAGCCTGAAGAAATCATTCCACTCTGTTTTGAGAAGTCTGTTTGGGGTATTGTGGCAATGCTCAGTGTCATAAAAGCTGGTGGTAAGTAACATCTGCGTAATACAACACGAAACGACTAGTAGGAATCTAACACCTATATGTAGCAACATTTGTCCATATTGATCCATCAAGTCCGGCGTCTCGAAAGCAACAAATTACCAGAATTACCAACCCTCGATTAGCACTGGTATCGTCCAATACCCGAGAGGTCATACAATCATTAGTGCCACACACGCTTATAGTTGATCACGATACACTTGCAGAAAACGGGGATGTGACAAATCCACCGGCATCTATTGCCATTGATAGCCGCGTAGATCCGTCAAACGCCCTTTACATCATATTCACTTCTGGCAGCACAGGAGAGCCGAAAGGTGTGGTCATTGAGCATCGAAACTTCTGCTCAGCCATGGCGGCGAACTCAGACTGGCTGCAGATCCTTCCTTCATCCCGCCTTCTTCAATTCAGTAGCTTCGTTTTTGATGCATGCATGGAGGAGATACTTACAGCCTTAGTCGTCGGCGCCTGCGTTTGTGTACCGTCCGACGACGATCGGATGAGCCCAGAGAGACTTACCTCCTTCATTCAGGAAGCTGGCGTCAATTGGGCTGCCTTGACGCCATCATTTCTGCAAACTCTTAACCCAGATAACGTGGTTCCTCCTTTGAAATTTATTACAGTGCACGCCGAGGCAATGAATGCCTCACTAACTAGGCTTTGGAGTCCACGAGTTCATATGCGCCCGAGTTACGGTCCGACCGAATGCACGGTTACCAGCACGGTCGGGGCCGCCTTTTCCGAATTCTCTGACCCTTCTAACATAGGTTGGCCTGTCGGTTGTCATGGACGAGTCACCGATCCGCAGAATCCTGAGAAATTGATGCCCATCGGAGCAATTGGTGAATTGACTCTAGAAGGGCCGATCCTCGCCCGTGGTTACTTCAATCGACCGGCTGAGACTGAGAAGGCCTTTCCCAATATCGAGGATTGGTTCGATGGTAGACCAAAGAAAGTTTATCGCACTGGAGATCTGGTACGCTATGCTGATGATGGATCGCTGAGGATTTTAGGACGGCGAGATGCGCAAATCAAAGTTCGCGGTCAGCGAGTTGAGCTCGGAGAGATACAGAGCCAACTCGATCTATCTCCCGAAATTCATCATTCTATGGTGATGCAGCCAAAGTCTGGCGTTCTAGGATCTCGATTAGTCGTAGTTTTAAGTCTTACTCAGCTGCGTCATACGCCTCGATCACGGAGCCGAACGATTCGGCTAGTCAATGACCCGGAAGTACTGAACAAAGCCGATCATTCATCGGTATCGGAAGCTTTAAAAGAAATTCGGTCGTTTGTTTCAGCCAAACTACCATCTTACATGGTCCCCAATACCTGGTGCGTTGTAGAAGACATACCAACCTTAGCTTCGTTCAAATTGGACAGGAAACTGGTGAATCAATGGCTAGAGACAATGGACGAAAAAACCTTGCTACTTACTCGACAATTGATGAGCAGTTCAAGAGGATCAGGTTCCGGGACTGACACCGAAGCTGAAAAGCTGGTAAGGTCTGCTTGGTCACAAGTTTTAGCAATCCCAGGTGGTAAGTTTTAACCAAAGACAGCAAGGTTCGTCAGAAGACTGATACGTCCCGTTTTGTAGACCTTATCGACAAAGACGATCATTTCATCGCACTTGGGGGTGATTCAATCTCGGGTAAGTCACACTTTCTCCTAAGTCGAGCCCTGCTAACGAACCGTCTTAGCAATGAACGTTTCTCGCTTCTTGAGCCAAGCAGGCTCACCTGTGAAAACTCAGGACGTACTAAGAAGCAACAGCATTCGGGAACTCGCGTTGGCACTTGAGACTTGGGAAGCAAAGGACCTAACTACTGATGTGCGGTCGAGGAATCAACCTAGAGGGTCTAGAAAGGCGCTGTCCGTCGATGAAGTTTTGTCCGAGTATGGATTCGACCCGGCTAGTAGATCCAAGATCTTATCCGTACATCAAAGCACACCTTTCCAGTCGAGAACAACTTCTTCTCTTCACACCTTACCTTGGAGACCGTATCTCTACAACTTGTTCGCGGAAATAGGAGGTTATCAACTACCCGACAAGAATCCCGACCCCGAACGACTCCTAAGCGCCTGGAAAGCAACAGTAGCGAGGCATGCTATTCTTCGTACCGCTATACCCTTTACCAAAGATGGCAGTGCTGCTTATCAATTCATTTTGAATGAATCAGCTGCAGCCTGTGGGGTGTTTGAGGTTGCTACAGAAGAAATGGCCCTCAAAGCGAGCATTGAGAAGACAGAGCATGTGAGATCAAGCCTCTCATCGACAACACTAACACCTCCACTATGGCTAGATCTCTACGTTACCTCAACCAAGCAAGTATACATGCACCTGCTGATGGGCCACATGTTAATTGACCATGTTTCGCTGGCACATGTTCTCTATGATTGGGACGTGTTTTATCGCGGCGCTTCATCGCTTCTCACGGATGTAGGCCGTCTTCCCCGATTTGCAAGTTATCTTGATGACGTAGAGTCGCGAGATCTGGGAGCCAGCACAGGGTTCTGGACCCGAAAATTGCGCCGGGCCAAACCGACAATTCTTGGGTCAGGATCCAGGTCAGCTGATCATGGTGCGAAACCCGCCCATGGGGCCGACGCGATGTCTGTAGTCAGATTCAGAATAGATATTGATGCCGCGGTGGATCAATACTGCCGCAACGCGCGTGTCACGGTGTCGACATTATTGCAATTTGCTTGGGCCATATTGCTGAGTGCTTACACGGGGCAGACGTCGGTCTGTTTTGGGCACCTTGCTTCGGATCGGGATGTTGATATTCCTGACGCTGACGAAATAGTAGGTCCAATGCTGACAGTTTTAGTCGCACAAGTAGATCTGGAAAGTCCGATCCAAGAAGCTATTTGTAAATTACAGGACGACAATACCGACAGCATGACACATAAGGTCTTTGACCTATCGGCAGTCGAACGTAACCTCGGACTCCAACTGCCAGAAAGTCCGCTTTTCAATACGCTCGTGAACTATCGCAAGGTCAAACGGTCAGGGCCGGAACCGGTCATGAAGCTGCGGTCAATCTTGAAGCAGGATCCCCACGAGGTGAGTCTTGATCTACAGCGCTAACGTCAAACCTTGAGGGTTCGTCTCGTTGCTCACACACGACGTTGCAGCAACAAATCATCCTTAGCTTCAACGAGCTTCCAGATGCGGCCGTCCTCGATGGCGCACTGACTCTCTACAATTGGGGACACTCGGGTCTCGAGGTGCAGAAAATGGCAGATGTGTATGCAGCAATCCTGGCCCTTGTGGTTAGTGGAGAATGCCAAGCAGCGGACGAACTCGCTAGTCTTGTCACAAGCCTTGACACGAGGTGACGTTCATTAGGTTTGCTTTACGAACATAACATGACCAAAGGTCTGTGCTTTGGACGTGCTTCTCGACAAGTAGCTTAGATGATGAGCCTGTTACTAAGGATGTACTTATGTCGACAATAGCCACTGTTTCTAGCGTATGAGAAGGTGCTTACAATGCTTACATGGTTACGCGAGGAGAGGAGACGTGATCCGCTACACGTTCGACTAGACAGTTGCTAAGCTTTAACTGCCCCTTAGAATATACAACAGGCTCACGTTCTGAATCCTCCTACTGTAAGAACCCGTCCCGTCTCGGCCCCATTATCTCCACGAATCTGAAGTACCACGTAAGCACTATTATCACCTCCACAATACGCCAACGTATAGAGAGCCTCAGGCTCGGCACCGTATACTCGGCACGCTCGGGAAACGTACCGGTAGTCTACTGACCTAAGGTGGGCGGCGATACCTTAAATAGTAATCTGCCCACACATGAACGATGTGACAGAATAGAGAGGATCTGGATGGTAAGATATAAGCTTACCTACGTATAGTAGGATAATGGTGCAAGCAGGAACAAATTGCGCGCCATGCATCTCCGCTGCACAGCTGATTGGATCAAATAGACTATGGGCTGGAAATGCCGAAGACCCCGTAAGAGATGATATCGTGGGCTACAGGGCAGGTGTTCGCAAGAGGGAAAACACGGTTATATCGCGAAAGTTAGAGAGCCGAGGCACCGAAAGTGTCACGATATCTTCCCCGCATTGAACCTAGGTATATGGTATATTTCTCTCGGCTTTACCAGGCCAAGCAAGATGAAGCAGATCTTGTGTGGCAAGTCCTATGTGGCTACCAGGGTTTCTAGCACGTCAATCCAAGCTAATATCCGAGGGACCTTGACAGTACTAAGCGAGGCGGTTAAAAAAAAACTGAGGGACTCTGCACTGAACACAGAGGTGTTGAGTCTCTCGCTGTTTTCTTACACCGCCTTGCTAAGTAGGTCATTGGATTCTCGATACGTAATAGTATGAACTTGACGTCTATGTGCATGACGCGGCAGATGATGTCTAGCTTTATTGTCGAGCCTGGTTGTGCCTGCTGAGGATTCAATACAACATGACGAGAGTGCTATGAGAAGTTCCGCATTTTCTGAGATTAAAGCAACAGCGCGCCGTTGAAAAGATCAAGTTCGTGCTTCCGATTTAGCGTACTTGGCTTTCCGAATGTGAAATCGGCGAGAAAGGGGTTCACCTATATGTACTCGTGATGGCTTACTAATATTAAGAGAACATAAAACCTCCAGGAACATGGATGGAGCAATTCGTCACATAGCAGACAACAGACTGACCTCGGCGAGTTGGCTCACTTGCTAACTAATGTACGCAGGTGAGTTCATTCGTAAGAAGCACTGTATAGATTAGAAGATTATTTGATGCAATATAATGCCCACCAGTAATTCTTGCGATACCATTCGGGCGAAGACAGGGCAAGAAATCAGCTCCTTCAATCTACATGTTATTGCCTAATGCAATGACAGGGGCAAGATGATTAGAAATCGTGGCTTTGGGTCATTGCCGCTTGTACAACTATGACCAACGGACAAGAATATGGTTGTTATACCCATAAGCGATCACCCAGTGATGCTCTCAGCAGCATTCCTTTGGTAGGGATACAATCCTCATCAAGATTTACTTAAGATCCTATGCGTCAGGACCCCCGTCACCGGTTAGACTATCCCAACGCATCCCCGCATCCCCGTTCTCACTTCTCGGAATTATTCAGCTTATACGCTACATGTGAGTTGTCACCCGGTGGTGACTGCTTTTAGAACCTACGAAAACAATGTCAAGCACTGAAGTCTGGGACACAATTAAACCTCTTCTATCAACTATATTGAAAATCGAAAAAGAGGCTGTATCATAACCTGTATAGGCATTTTTCTTACCTACTTATCTCCCGCTTTCGGAAAAATCTGGGATGATGAATTCCGGCGACACGCAAACCGCAACTCTTGATCCTAACAATGTCAAAACCACCCTCAGTATCTGGTGGTCACAACGACCCCAAGACGCCACCCAAAGTTATCACAAGACGTCGTGGCGCCTGTAGGAGCTGTAAACATAAGAAAATTCGCTGTGGGTAGACATATATTTATATTTTACTTGGATTATGTTGTTAGAAGAGCGAGTCTGTGGAAGCTTATTCAGTTACTAATACGTGCATATGAAAGGTAACGGAGGAACTCCTTGCTCCGCATGCGACGTAAGGCACCCCCTACGTTGACCGCTGCCCACAACTGTTATCTCATAGCTGATCTGATATATGCAAGCGGATTGGCTCAACGTGTCATTATGAGCCTAGATCAAGGAAAACTTCGGACACGCGCGAGCTCAGTCTACCAGCACCTGTTTCGAACAGGCCGGAACACGACAGAGATCGCCCCCCGAGTTCTACGGAAAGTGACGGCCTCGAAGATACAAGTGGCCCGCAAAGCTTGTCACTTGTGGGCTCGTCACCCGCGATGTTCTCCCTCGACACGAATATAGACTTTTTGTTTCCATCTGGTACATTCTCATTTCCAACCCCAACCGAAGACCTGGCCATCTCGCAACCAAGAGACTACCCTGCAGCCGAGGGGATATTGGGAGCACAATATCCCATAAACGACTCGGCAATATCTTCATCAACCATGCCACTAGAGCTTGAAACAGGCAGAAGTACTGCCACAGACAGCGCCTGCACTCTGTCCTCACCGTGGACTACACTTGAGCGGCGAATAACCAAAGTGGCTGATCATGTGAGTCATTGCTTCACGATTCATGATAGAATAAAGCTAGAACATGGAAATGAAGATCATACAACCCCTGAAGGGTTTACCAGAATATTGCCGAGTAGATGCAAATATTGACTATCGCTTGACCACGTCCTTCGGCTTAGCAGAGTTACCTGCACCGCAACGGGACTCGCGCAAACACCTTGAAACCTGCCGCATATTACGAAGCCTAACAAAATCTCATTTTCCCGCTAATATTCCTAAGCAGAATATTATGCATGGTACAGTTTCACTTACCAAGAATGCACACGATGGAATTATTCAGCGATGTGTCGAAGGTTAGTACGACGTTCCCTTTGAGCGACTCATAACACTCGATTATGGTTCTTTTGCTCCTTACCCCTTTTATATCTTGGCGCCTGTTCTCCATTCCTTCAGAACACTTGCTAAACAATGGCTATAGCTTGTTTCAAGAATAATGTTGAGTAAGTGCGCACACTTACACTTAGTAGTGACGGAGACATGTATGTTCATCTCCCAAATGTCGTTAACCACTTGTAATAGAATTCCTACATTCCTGCGTAAGACAGATGTGGTCAAGAAAATTTCAGAGGTACGCGAATCCTCACATCCTGATGTGTTATTATCGTTGTTCAGCGACGCCATCATCACCATAGGGCTTAATGTGTTGCGCAACCCCGCCGAATTAGAGGGGCTTCCCTCGATCGATAGCCAGGAATATGCCCATTCTCACTTGGACGCTCTCGCCAACTTGCAGGGATTACCAAGTAGCCTCCTAAAGCTTCAAGTAAGTGAATTGCATCTGATACGTGCTCAAAGGCGTCATATGACCGAATAAATAGAAAGTTAACTAACACGTCGCCCCTTTTTCTTGGGTGCAATTACAGACAATCATCCTGCTTGTACGTTCAATTCCTCGCTAGTCTCCTATACTCTCCTGTATTAGTCGATGGTAAAGCTAATCAATGATGACCAACCAGAGCATCATCGCTTCCAGTATCAACGATTCCAGACTATGCGAGATCTTGTCAATAGGAGTCAATTGCGTCCGAGAATTACAGTATACCAATTCAGTCATTGTACGGAGGACTTTCACAAACGTAGAGGATCAGAGACTCGTCAAACGTTCTGTTTGGGTTCTGTATTACCTAGAGACTACTTTTTCTGTCCTTCGTGGTTTACCTCCGGTGCGTGGCTTTTCTCGTTTCGCTAACTGAGCCAGTCTCATTGAATAAGCAACGTCTCATGATGCGCTGACGTGTTATCCTCAAGCTACTCCACTCCGACTTCATTGATCATCTTCCCACAGAGCCTAACCACCCAGAGGAAGACACATTAATCATCCAAGTCGCTGCGGCCTCATTGCTGGCGCGTAGTCTTAGTCGTGTGTACACCCGCCCAGTATCAGCGAAGACGACAGAAGAGCTACAAGCGTGCATTTCTGACTTGGTGCGCTGGCGCGGCTGTTTATCGGATCCCACAAAGCAACTCACAGCAGGCCGGGGGTTCGAAAAGCGGCTGTGTGGAGATGAAGATGCCGGAGCGAAGCTGCAAATCTTTTGCTCGTACCACGAGTGCGTTTACCTCTTATTTGCACCGTGGCTCAAACCCCTCGTAGAATCGATATCGCCGCCACAGTCTTCGCCCATTCGAGATGGCGATACGTTACTCAATATGGATGTTGGGGCTGAGTCTGCAACGGATCGTCGGGTCGTCCTAGTCGACACTCTAGAGAAATGTCTTGAATCGGCTTACACTATTGTTTCTCACGCTAATGAGATTGTTTCGCTGGACAAGACACTGGCCAGGTATTATCCGCTACCTGTTGTTCTTCATTCTATTACCTCTTACAGAAACGCTATCAAAGCAAAAAAAAAAAAACGGCAATGTGTCTGTTCTTGCCCAATCACCCATTTCTTTTCTCTCCCGTCTATCTAGCAACAAGCCATTCTAACAACGGGTCGTACGTCACCAGGCGCCTGCGCGGCTTAATGATTATCTCTGTATGCGTAATCACCTACGGCATCCAGTATGGAGACGCGGATACGAAAAAAGAGTCTCTGACTTATCTAGGAATTTGCTGTGGAACATTTGGTGGCATGTATTTGGGCGACAGCTCGCTGCCATTCGAAGAGATACTAGATCTAGTCAGAATAATACGATCGGATAGTTGATCAATCACTAAATGTGAGATTCGCCACTGTGTTCGGACATATCTAAATAACGAAATCAATTGGCACGGTCGCTCTCGCTTCACCTCGCTCAGTTTATTTTAACTTATAACCACAGGGTGTTTGAAGCGTGATGTAGTATCACTTTCGCCTCTGAACTGGTTAGGCTTGAGGGCGCGGCCGGATCTTGGTGCTCTCGCCATCCTTGTAGCAGTAGTAGAAGCCGCCCCTTTAAGACAAAGCTCGATCTGATCGCCGAGGATGCGACTACGACGGTATATGTCTCTGAAGGTCAACCTGAGCCCTGCCTCCTTAGCCAAGTTTGCAACTTTCATGGCAGCGAGTGAGTCACCCCCTCTATTGACGAAGTCATCATCCAAACTCAAATCTTCAACCTCGATCTTCAGAACCTTGGACCATAAACTGGCTACTCGTTTCCCCATTTCCGTGACAATCGGCCGGCCTTTTGATTCTTTCGCTGCTGGTCTGTGCCAAGCTAGAAGTTCCTGTTTGTGTAAGGAGGAAATTATCTGCTGCAATCCCCGACGATCCCGCTTCCCTGAAGTCGTGACAGGAAGCATGCGGAGCGGCACATATGCCGAGGGCAACATATAGCGTGCTATTTTCTCTGCAAGTCTTTCTTCGCAGTTTGCAAGCAAAGTATGTAGCCTCGCCTGAACCTGAGGGTCGACCAAGGTCAAGTCAGTAGGTACCAACGACTGAGACCCGAGACAAATGAAGGCGACTAGCATTTTATCTTCGACACCCCCTCCTCGAGGAATACCGGCCTCTACAGCTAAATCGACCGCTAGGATAGCTTTCAGATTGCTCTCGATATCGCCAAGCTCTATGCGCTGGCCTCGCAATTTGACTTGCATGTCCTTGCGGCCAAAATACAACAGCGATCCGTCGCCACACCGCGCGACTAGATCTCCAGTCTTGTACATGCGTCTTTTCTCCCCGGGTTCTTTGGTACTTAGATCGGGCCAAGCGCACCACGCGGGGTTCTCAATGAATACTTTAGATGTTCGTTCCTCGTCACCGATGTATCCTCTACCAATAGCATGGCTCTCCAGCACAAGTTCTCCCACAGCTCCGACAGGCATAAGTCGGTCGTGGTTCGAAGGATCCACGACCCAGCTTTTGTTTCCTATCGGAGAGCCAATATTCCGGAAATTTGACTGCAGAGATAATGGACCGACGACAGCAGATGTTGGGCACACTTCACTAGGTCCATAACCACCAAGAAGAACATCAACCCGGGGCACCCAAGCAGCGATGATGTCAGGAGTCAAGGCCTCGCCACCGAGGACCAGCGTTCTAATGCAATTTGCGGCCTCAAGGTTCAATTGCGCGGCAACTGACGGTGTGAAATTGGCGTAGTTGACGCGCATGCGCGCTGCAGCACCACCGATGTCGTTCATGATATCATAGTCGGATGGTATACAGAGGCACGATCCGGAAAGAAGCCCCAGGAAGATTTCCTTGAGCGAGACGTCGAATGAATACGACGTGGATTGAATCACACGGCTGTCAGGTCCAAGCCGAAACGCGGGGCCGAATGTCAGCGCATAGGAGCAAAAAGCTCGGTGCTCGATCGCGCAGCCCTTCGGTTCACCTGTGCTGCCTGATGTGAAGATCACGTATGCAAGATCAGATGGGCGCACGTTTGAGTTCGTCCAGTTCGCTGCCGTCGGCAATGTTTCATTATCTGCGAAGGACTGGTCTAGAACGATGCTTTGCAAGCCAATTTCATCGTATTTAGACGTAGACGCTTGGGTAGTGAGGACAAATCGTGCATTGGACTTCAAGGCAATGGATTTAACCCGGTGTAAAGGAACGTTCTCGTCCAGCGAGACGAAAGCAGAGCCAGCCTTCATGACAGATAGCATGGCGACAATCACCCAGAGAGAGTGGGGGAGCTGTAGGATAATCTTCTCCTCATGTTGGAATCCTAGCTTAGTGAAGAATGTGTTGGCTACTCGGGTTGTCAGCGCCTCGAGGCCTGCGTAAGATAGCGATCCATCGTGAGCGAGAACCGCAGGAGCATCAGGACGCAGTAAAGCTTGCTCACGTATCATTTCGTGTATGCAGCTTTCTTGCCTCGGTAGATCACCTCCGTTCCATCGCTGTATCGTATATATATCATTCTGACTGCAAGACGGTATATCTTCGATTCTACACTCAGGCTTACTCAAGACATACTCGAGAGACTGCATGAACATGTCGGCGATGCTTTTGGCCAACCAGGTCTCGATTGTGACACCCGTCCGCAATTGGATCATAAGCTCTGCTCCGGTATAAATGACGATCAAAGCTACGTCGTGCTAACCAATCTCATTAATAAGATATGATAGACTGTGCGACATGTTCTGAACTCACCTCCTCGGAGCCCTTTGCTTTGACCGGCTTCATACTCAATACCTGGTTTGCTTCATTTGAAGCTGTCAGGTCATACCAACATACACTTGAGTTACAAATTCGTTTACCGTCGTGTATAAGGGGGAAATCTGTCGACGAATTTGCTTTGATGTCCTCCAGTACTTGGCCATTCAGCCTTTTGACAAGATCTGCGAAGCGGTCATCCTCCGTGAAAAGGCCGGTACATAGAAACTCTCGTCGGCCAACCCCAGGGTTACTGCTATTCTCAGATGAAACGTCATCCTGTGCCATTCTATAAACGCAGCAAGGCTGTTCAAGGCGAAGATATCTCGCCAGCAAGACCAACCAAAGTGCCTGTATAGCATTTATAGGCGCAACTCCTTGGCTTGAACATTGAAGGAGGAGCAATTCGCCGAGGGAGCCCAGCATCGTCTCATTCGTGTACTCCGCTACTGCCGTCTGCGCCACGACCGTGCCGAGGCCTAGAATTGTAGGTTCTGCGTTCTTCATGCGCTCGAATACATTGCCTTGAGCGTGTGTCTCTTTCTGGACCTGCGTCTCATGGGAAGTGGCAGGTGTTGCTTTGGGACCAGCTAATGCATAATAAGCTCGGGGTAGGTCTGTCTGTATCCTGACCAGACAATCACTGTCAATGACAATGTCATTATAGCACACCCTGAGCAGCAAAGAAGAGCCCCCAGTTGTGTAAGCCTGAGCAACGTGCATTGGCGCTCCCGGAACGAGAACTGGCAAGGTGTCCTGCTCGATCTTGGCCTCAATATCGTCTCTTTCTTCATAATCCGCATGTGTAAGCAAGGCATCGTAATTCTTCAAAACTACTTGAAAGATATCAGTGGCACCTGGGCCCCTTGCGAAGACAGTTCGTAGTTCTCTTCTTTGCTGAACGACATTCTGCCAAGCATTTCTTAACCTAGCAATGGATATATCGCCTCCAAATTGTAGTTCGAAGAGGATAGTGTGGACTTCATGGTTCTTTACTAAACTTAGTGCACGACGTTGCTCCTCTGGACAAGGCAGTACGGACTCGATCTCATGATCATTAACAATAGTACGTAACAATGGAAAGCTAAGTTTCTGCATATTGACGTGGCGTATAGACAACTAGTCAATGAAGAAGTGACCATAAGCAACAAACGTCTCAATCTCACGTTGAAGACGAACTTGGCTGCTCATGTTGTAAACCGAACTCACGTGGTACTCGAAATGTTAATACCTGTGCCGGTAATCCTTTGTCGCGTCAATAGTAGGGCGACCAGGTTATCAAGCGGATGACCGGTACATGGGCGAACTCTCAATACCGATTCTCGGCCGACTTTTCCGTGGCTACTATTTCATCGGTATTGTTCCTCTACTTCTCTTACTGGTGTGAGCTGGAATTGAATCATATACAATCTCGAGGACAAATTGGACTTTAGTGGGACTAAAGAACCGGTAGCCGTCCACGTAGCTAGCAGGGACTTATACAGTAGGTAAGCCGTGTCTTTACCGACGGTTATCATTCAGTGCCTAGTATATCAAGTCATTCTATATTTCAATAGATAGCCCTAGAACATACTATTTACTGAATCTAGCGCTATGTACTAGTCGAATCATGGCCATATAAAATGATGCTTAAACGTCCTCCAGATCCTCTAACAGTTCGCATGCTTGAATAAGTCCTTCAGTCAGACCATCTACATTCTCGTCCTTGAATAGAGTGTAGTGGTTTCCTGGCACGTCAATGACACGAGTGAAGAAGTCAGACTGCTGATTTTCCCAACCCAGAACGTTGCTTCCTCCGCGTAATTTTGCGTCGGAAATGCTGTGACTTTGGCTTGCGCGAAGAAGAATGACTGGGGGTATTTCGGCGCTACTCATCGCACCCTGATTACCTTTAGCCCACTGCTGCGAGAATTTGGCCGAATTTTCAAGGTTCTTCAGAGTGACTTTTTTAGACTCCTCTGTCGTTGCCTCACCCCATTCTATAGGAGGTGTATCTCTATCCCGCTCGCCATCTTTGGCAGACGGGTAATATGTATCTAACATGACAACACCGAGAACAGGGGTCTGGTCATTTCCGGCCAAGATCTTAGCCATCTCTAAGCCGATGAGACCCCCCACGGACCATCCTCCGAAGATCAGGGGTCCGTGGGGTAGTTCGGAAAGAATGAGGTCGACATAGGTCTGAGCCAATTGGTTTATGCCGCCCGGCCAGGCTGCCTCATCGACTAACTTTTCGTTGCTGATTCCCCAGACATGACGCTCAAGATCGGCCAAGTAGTAGTAATTAACAGTAGTGCCACCTCCATCATGGATCAATACGAGTGGCGGTTGTTCCGAAAATTCCGGATCATCTTGAATAAGCGCAGAAATAACCGCAGGAGGGTGGTTAGGAGGGACCGTTGTCAAATCTTCAGGGGCAGATGTAGAACACATTGCTTATCCAACTGTCTAGGGGCGAATACCATGAATTGTTGTTGTGACATGACCCTATTGTACTTACGTCTCATTCTCAGTGTTGCTCTAATGAAACTTTCTTTTTTGCTATGTGGAAATGTTGTGAGAAGGACAGCCCCGAATCCGTACGCGTAGGGGTTTACCGATTACCGAAATTCCGGTACCCTTGAATACTTGGGAAAGCGGTAAAAAGAGCGGACCCAGAGGGTTTCGGAACGGCTTGATCTATGACATGTGCAAAAAGATCATCAACTTGAGCCCCAACCAACCAACGTGTAGTACATTTCTGGGTAGTAGACACTAGGGTCCGGCAGGCGCTGAGGCTCTTAGCAAGTAGTAAAAGCTTTTAAGTGCCCTTCTTAGAGCGAAAAGCTGAAAATATACATTGCCACTCCTGATCGGCGCTGCGCTTCTTGATTCCGACAAGTCTCTATCAGACACACAATTGATCATACACTACCATATTGGTCGACCACTAGTTGGATAGATAGTCGACAGAATTCTACACTAGTGTAGCAGTCGAGCAGCAAGATTCTCCTACTCGCCTACATGAACCTAGCCTAGAGCTCTCGGTCACTTTCTCAAAGAAAAAATTATCGCGTTAGCCCGCAAGTGAATGAAGCCCCTTAGCCACCTAGGTACATTTACGGTATCGTTTAAAATCATGCCTCATACTCCCCTCTGTCTATATACACGTAACAGCGTAGACAAGGAAGCATCCTCATCATGCAATTATTCATACCCTACGATTATCAGTCTTCACAATGATGAGTAGTACTTCTCTAACTCTTCCTTTCGGTAACACTATCTAGAAGTTCAGGCTTCAAGAGGTGGGCTAAAAATCGATCGCGTCAATATAGATTGATAAGCGGGCTCCTCGTGTATTTCACCCCGTTTCAGTCAAGCTCCATTGACGCAAAATCGGATCTGATAACTTTAGCTCCTCTAGCCTAGGCCAGCTAACTAGGAACACTATTAGCGTTGCCAGAAACTGAGCCAATGTCCGCTTTTCTTGGACGATATCACGCGATATATTGGGCATACGAGCTTGTGCATCAATTACACCCCACAATAGTCTAGAAATGTCTTTCTAGTGTAGAACAATTTGAGCTTTTTTACAAAAGAATCGAGACCAGCGCTGCGTCGGTCGACTGACGCGTTGGGATTTGGCCTTTACCATGACGCTATATGCAGCAGTCCTTCAGCATGTAACGTGCCGACTTCGGGCTTGCCGTTCGTCCCTAGTGGCAATGTACATACAGTATAGCTTCTCTCAAACAAATTTTGAGATGTATACTTGTTGTGCTCTTCCTATATATTTCTTCTGGCACACAGCATAGCACCGTACGCAGCTCAGTCGTGTGTACATGAGTCGTTTTTAGAACAACCCAACCGTTTCCCGTGCGCTGCACATAAATCGACTGGCCGTATATACATACCATAATGGCGGCAGAAAAAGCGGTAGCCGCCGACGATGTCGGTGCCGTGAATGATCCGGAGCAGCCTGAGATGGCAAATGATCTCGAAAAGCCTGAGCTGGAGCGTCCTAATGAGGAGCTCCAGCGTGGTGTCCAAGATATGGAAGCTCTTACATTGAGTTGGTCTAAAACAGCATTGATAGGCATATTTGCGAAGTAAAAACCCTCAATTCTGTTGTCTCTTTTAATATTTTCTTCAACTAACAATTGACTCAGCATATGGGGATTATATCTTGTGAACGCTTTCCAATCTTCCATTCTCTATGACCTGATACCCTACGCTGCCAGCGACTTCGGTTCACACTCGCTCTTGAACGTCATCTACATCGTCTCAAATGCTGTAACGGCGGCGTTGTTTATCCCCCTTGCTAAGATTGTAGATGTTTGGGGTAGAGCTGAAGGCTTTCTCCTCATGATTCTGTTTGCTACAATCGGTCTAGTCGTCATGGCAGCCAGTAACTCGCTTGTTGCGCTATCTGCTGGCTATGTAAGTCTTCTGAGCAGTGGTCTCACCAAATCCGCTTGTTTATGTTTCTTCCCCTTGAAAACAAGTTAGCTATTTTTATGCTAACGCTATGTCAATCAGGTATTCTACTCGATAGGAACTAGCGGCATGACATACTGCGTCGATGTTCTCACGGCTGATGCTTCCAAGCTCAAAAATCGAGGCCTAGCTTACGCCTTCACCTCCTCCCCTTACATCATCACAGCATTCGCGGGACCCAAGGCATCTTCAGAGTTCTATGCCAATATTGGTTGGCGCTGGGGCTTCGGTGCCTTTTCCATCATCTTCCCAATTGTGTCTGCTCCCTTGTATTTCATTCTGAAATTTTACATTCGCAAGGCCAAAGTACAAGGCACCTTAGTTGAAGGGAAGCCCAAGCGAACACTACTCCAAACAATCTGGTTTTACGTCGTAGAGTTTGACCGTAAGTTGGAACACTTGAAGACTTATCCATTATTCAAAGTCTAACTAGCACTAGTCGCTGGCGTGGTTTTATTTTCTACCGGGCTAGTCGTTTTTCTCCTCCCCTTCGACATCGCCTCCGAGGCGCCGTATGGATGGGGGACAGCCTATATAATAGCGATGCTCGTAACTGGGCTTGTGATCATCGTGATCTTTGTCCTTTACGAAGCGCTCCTCGCCCCAACTCCGATGTTAAACTTCCAACTTCTTTCCAACCGAACCGTCATCGGCGCCTGCTTGATAGATGCAACCTACCAAATTTCGTACTACTGCTGGAACAATTACTTCACATCCTTCCTTCAGGTGGTCAATAACCTAGGTATCGCCGAGGCCGGTTACATCAACAATACATTCAATGTCGTTTCTGGCCTCCTCCTGTTACTCACCGGCTATCTCATTCGCAGGACTGGTCGCTTCAAGTGGCTTTTATATATTGGTGTTCCACTGTACATTTTTGCCTTGGGGCTGATGATCTATTTCCGGCGTCCCAATCAGTCGGTCGGCTATCTAGTCTTCTGCGAGGTCCTCATTTCTATTGGAGGAAGTGTCTTCATCATTGTCGAGCAGCTTGCTATCCTAGCCGCCGTTGATCATCAGCACGTCGCTTCAGCTCTGAGCCTTCTGTACGTGGTAGGCACTGTGGGAGGGTCACTGGGCGCAACAATCTCGGGTGCAATCTGGACCAACACTTTCGAAAAGGCGCTTGAGAGCTATCTTCCAGAATCCTCTCTCGAGAATCTAGTCGATATTTACGGAGATCTGGAGACTCAACTGAGTTATCCTGTCGGGAGTGCTACGAGATTGGCAATCCAGAAGGCATATGGCTATGCTCAAACTAGGATGTTAGCCGCAGGAACTGGAGTCATGGGTCTAGGTCTGATTTGGATGCTGTTGATCAGGAATATTGACGTCAGGAAAGTCACACAAGTTAAGGGCATGGTCTTCTAGGGTTATGTTGGGATCCTCGCATAGTCACATCGAAATCATCTAATGCCCACTCGGTTTGAGAATGATACAAAAGTCTCTCCTCTATGCTTGCACTACCGCGTGGTTGATAAAGAGCCATGCTTGTCCACACTCTTCGCGATTATGACTAGTATAGCACCGGATGGGCTGATACCCTGCAAAACTTGCATTTAGCCGCTACATCAACGACATGTTCCTAGTCGTTATTTTATGATGTTCATTAATGGGCTTTATTCTATTTCCTTCGTTTCTGTGAGGCTCAATTAACTGGGAGATCATGCGGAGGAGAATGTAGTGTTCGCTAGCACGCACGTCATATAACATGAACACGACATGTCTAGTTGTTGGTTTGAATCAGTTACTGTCCAACTCCGGCTACGGTTACAGGAGCATGTGATTGGGAATATTTCCACGTATCTCTGCTTATATCTGTATTACTCTACTGTACCGTTTCTCAACGCGGGGTAAACCCTTGCAATGTAGCAGTGATCTAAGGTTGCCATGCAGACCCCAACTTTGACACTTTGGCTTCTATTTTCTCCGACACTGGAGCAGATGCTTATCACAGGCCCGTAGTAAATCATTTCTGCTTTGGCTGTCCAGGTCGTGCCATCGGCTGTTCACGGTACCCCGCGGAGAGCTATCTGGGGGAGTCAAGAGGTGTCTACTTCTCATCTACACACTCATGCAGAGGAAGGCTGACCTATGTACATCACTCAAAGCTAGATCGGTGTCTGTTTCAATCATGGCGAGAACTGGTACTAATTCTGACCCCAGCTTGGCAAAAGGAATCCAGCTGGAAGGATGCGCGAGTCAACGAGATACGAACCCAGAAAAGCCGCTCGGTGATTCCGATGCCCTCAAAAACCTCGACCCAACTTTGGAGAATTATGCTGCCATCATGGCAACCAATAAACCAGATACCTGGGGTCCTGGCTACATCAGACTATATCTTCTCGCGGGAACCATATTCCTTTGTTCTACCATGAGCGGTGAGTAATAAATCAGGATCTAAAAACTCATATCTAATCTTAATATAGGGTTCGACAGCTCGCTCATGGGATCAATCAATGTGAGATCCCGTGTGCTAATCTCGAAATATTGCAATGCTTGTTATCCGCGCTGGTTTAGCCTCGATGACTAATGCAGGCTCGCAGGCTTTACCAAACTATACTGAGTATTTTGGGCTTCCTGTTAACGGAAACGCGTCAACGGGGATTGTGTTTGCCATCTTTCAGGTATGGATGTAAGCGAAAGTGAGAGAAATATACATTGACTAATAAGGAATCAGGTTGGGCAAATTGCGGGTGCTCTGTTCGTATGGCTCATAGACTGGTATGGTCGGATCTGGCACATCTTCTTCGGCTGTCTAGGTGTGATAATAGGGACCATCGTTACTGGTACAGCAACAAGCCTGCCTACTTTCATTGCAGGGCGGTTTCTCCTTTCCTTATTTGCCACATTAACTACAACAGCGGCACCCTTATACCTTGTAGAGATCTCACCTGCCAGCGCACGCGCGACAATTGCTGGAACATTCAACACCTTCTATTATGTTGGTTCCATCCTGGCAACATCTTCCGTCTATGCTTGCCATAAATATCTCGCAGACCAAGGAGATCTTGATTGGCGCATCCCTATCTGGCTCCAGGCTGTCTGTGCAGGCTTAGTTCTCCTAGTGATCAAGTTCTTTCCGGAGTCGCCACGTTATCTTATTCTCATCGACAAGCAAGAGCAGGCACGGCGGATAATCACCAAGTACCATGCAAATAACGACCCTAACCACCCGCTGGTGGAATTTGAGATGAAAGAAATGCTAGGCAATATCCAGGGAACATCTAAATCGACTTGGAAAGACCTATTCGATCTAAAAGTGCTTGTGGAAACGAAATCAAGTCGATACAGGCTCATGCTTAATATGACGTTTTCGTGGTTTGCTCAATTTAGCGGAAATAAGTAAGCCATCCGCGGCGAGAACTCATTACCTCTGAAAACCATTACTAAACTTTTGGATTTTAGCATAATATCATACTATCTCCCTGTAATGCTGGACGCAATTGGCGTAAAAGATACAAATACCAAGCTTGTGAGCAAGGCTATAAGAAAACACCCTACCCCTTTTCAGTCTGACCCCTCTTTCTCATTGCTACTCTGATATAGTGCATGTAGTCTCTAATGCTTCATCACGAATAGATATTGAATATCATCTATTCAGTCATTGGGTGGATCTTCTCTACATGCGGCGCTCGTTTACATGACATCGTTGGTCGTCGGAAGGTAGGTGATCATAGGAAATCACACTACTTTCTTAAATGACTATTGAGGGGTTGAACATCCCAACACCGAACCCCGGCGCGATTGCTCCTGGACCCATCATATCATTCATGAGGAGTATGGATGACTGATGATCTCTCTCTGTAGATGTTTATGGGAAGCACATTCGGCATGGCTATCTGTCTTGCATTGGTGGCCGCTGGAAGTGCAGGCAAGATCGAGTATAACAACACTGGTGCTGCTGTTCTAGCCATAGTGTTTATCTTTGTGTTTGGTGCTGTCTTCTCGGGAGGTTTGTCAATGCTTCCCGACCCCCTTAATTCATTTACTAATAGTAAAAGCTTTCACACCCATGCAGCCCGTATATCCTGCGGAGGTCGTCTCTAACAAAATGCGAGCCAAGGCGATGGGTGCCTACAAGATTACTTCAGGCGCAGCGGGTTTCCTGAATACTTTCGTTACCCCTATTGCCTTATCGAGCGTAAGTAGTCCCGGTTGACCACGATAGATACTGGACTTGATAGTCTAATCCTCGCATACAGATAGGTTACTGGTTCTATGTATTCTTCGCTCTTTGGGATACCTTTGAATTCGCATTCATATACTTCTTCTTCGTTGAGACGAAAGGGTTGACACTAGAACAACTAGATGTGTAGGTCTCTTTCATTCTCGCCAAGGACCGCCAACGCCTCATGAGTCAATTGCATCTTCCTAATTCTCTTTCATGTCCTCGTTATGATTCCAGGCCACACGATTAACCGAATGGAACTGACTTGATTTAGTATTTTCGGGGCCGATAATCCCCGGAAGGCTAGCGTGGAAGCAAAGAAGAAGCTGCAAACTATGTATAAGGAAACGGCGATAAGGGACAAGACTGCCGTGTAGGGGATTAGAGGGACGGTCATGCTCCGGATTTAGGGACAATGATCAAGACAATACCGACGATTTGCCACTTTGGCCGCTGGCTGGATCCTGTTGCATCATGGCACATTGGCTATTCCAAACCAAGCATAGTTATGCTTACAGCCAATCAAATTCTAATATTAGATTGCAAGCAACGCTTTACAGTAAACAATAAGTGGCTATGAGAAGCTGCGCTACGGCACTACATCACTCTATTCCTCTCATTCCCAGAAGGCAAACCCCCAATTACTAAATCCACCAGGTATTCCACTTATAATTCTATTGATGTAGTGATTACGGTGGATTTCTCGAAACTGGACGCCTCTGTTTGAGGCTGCCTTGGCTGTTCCTCCCTTTACACTACAATGGGAAGGACTCTCGGTGACTCCCCCCCGACAGCAACTTTGACGCCGTAAAGCCGATGAAAAGCCACATTACAAAGCATAGAGACGTTTGTTTAGCTTCACACGACATTATAAATACTAAATCAATTGTTTCGTGGATTATCATGCTGGATCTTTAGTCTGCGCGGCCCTGTCTTCCCAATTCGGAATCTATTCACGATGTATGCTTCTATGTTGACTTTACTGGCTTTAGCCAGCAAAACCGCTTTTGCTTTACCAGCACCGGCAGAGCAGACAGCAGGTGTACCGCTCCCGGCACACACCATCTTTCAGCTTGACGACACCCTCCCTAACAGCTGGTTTGAAAATATAGCGGTGCGTCGGAACGGCGACCTCCTCGTGACCAGTATGTACCTAACCTGTAGCCGCTGGTGTCATCTTCCTCCTGTTCTAGTTACTTCCGGAGGCCATAGTTGCCTATTAGGGGCACAAGTGTGTCTCGGGAATATGCAGAATTCCCAAAACCTATACTTGAAAGAGTAATGACTAACTCCAGCGGTTGTAGTGTTGATGCCAAATGCTTCTATCTACTCCATTTCGGAACCGCTGTCGGGCTCGCCCAAGGCATCTATCACCAATATTGACGGTGCTAACGGTCTGCTTGGTATCACTGAGATCTCCCCAGATGTCTTTATTGTTGCAGGCGGCCAATTTAGTGGCATTGCAGAACGTGAGTAGATACCAGAGTCATTTCCGCAGGACTGATGTCCGTAAAATTCCTAGCTCTGTCAGCGTGGAGTTTATTCCGGATCGTCGTTACTGATGCTATTTATTCAAGCGGTTCCGGGGACTATGGCCGTGTGGGAAGTCGATTTCAGAAAGGAAGAACCGACTACAAGACTTGTCGCAAAAATGCCTGAAGCGGGATTACTCAATGGAGTGGCTACCATATCCAGATGCTCGTCTGCTGTTCTCATCGCGGATACCGGGATGAGCCGGGTCTGGCGCGTCGACACAGTCACTGGCGCTTACGAGATAGCGGTAGAAGTGCCTGAGATGCTACCATTGGCTAACGCCACGTTACAATTGGGGGTTAATGGAGTGGATGTTCGCGATGGTTACTTGTATTTTGACAACAGTAATCGTGCGTCCATCTTTCGATTGCCCATCGACAAGCGTGGTATGGCAGTCGAGGGTGTTGAACCCGAGCTACTCACCAAGCTCACGCACGGCAAAAATATGGATGACTTTCTTATTGACGAGGAAGGGAGGTTCTGGGCGGCCACCAACTCTGATAATACCGTGGAAGTTGCCGATGGGAACTCACCGAGTGTTGTTGTCCTTGGTTCGCCGTCCGAGCTCACTGTTGCGGGAGATACAGCTCTGGCTTTCGGTCGGACGAAGGCCGATAAGAACATTATCTACGTAGTAACTGGTGGTGCAGTTGCTAACCCTGTCAATGGCACGCTAACAGAGCCAGCCAAGGTGGTTGCAATTGATAGAACCGGGTTTTGATGATTAGTTCGTGTGCTGGCAGAGTATTACTTGAGGCTGATAATCGAAGACGCAAGAGCTTAGATACCTATCCTCACGTATGGCGTGATTGGAGTTATACTGTGTACTATGTAGTCGGAGAAATAGAAAATGACTTTATTTTATGCTAAGCTTCCGATAGATAGCCCATTAATAACCTTAGTAGAGTACATAGCTGAATGTCTCCTTCTAGATTTACCTTGGTCATCAATTTATATGCCTGAAATGCGGTATTGAAACCCTTCCCAGTACATACAGGGAGTCTCATTAGCTTGGGATAGTCTTCCGCAAGCTAAACGTTGATCGAGGTCTAAGTACGGTCTGCTCTGTGGTGATAGTCAATTTGAAACCCGAAATGGCTTGGCTGTTATAATTGAGATCTGTGATCATAGCCACAGTCCATTGCACAATAAGAAAACAACTTTGACACCTCACATAAATGGAAACTCGGGCACCCCAAAGTTTCCAGGAGTAACTCTCCTCTTTTCGGGTCCTCGACTCTAGCATGGGTACAAATCCAAGGTTGTTCTCCGGCTTGAGAGTCCAGAGAATGATACTTCATACCATAAAAGAAAAAAGGTTTGAAACTCGGAATTCTTTCTCCAATGAGGTTTCTATAAATATCTGAATTGTGCTTGTCGATGAAACAGCATGCCAGCTACCTACTACAGTGTAGCGTAGCCATGATACATCTAGTGGAGCTAGTTGTAGATCAGGCGAAGAGGATGATAGGTACTGTAAGATAGAGACGAGAGGCTCTTGTATTGCTTAGGAACATGCATATCTATGCACACCTTTGACTAATACGACTTCGTAGACGCCTCTCTGACATCGTAGATCTAGGTAGATGACTTTTCAATCATGGAGGCCTCTCGCCAAAGCCATCGTAGGTGGCTGTGCTATATCGATAAGAACCGAGTTGTAAGCACTGATCACCGACTGGACTAGGTTCTTTTGGGTTTAGATACACTTGTATAAGTAGGGGCCTTGCTCGTGTTTGTGTTGAGGTGTGAGGTTATTGTCATGGTGCTTGTCGTATTGGCCCTCACCCTAATTATAACACCAACTGCCGGTACAACTTGGGAACACGCGAAAAGGGGACGAGGTTATCCCCGCACTGCCGGAGCCCGATGAAACTTTGTGCTCGATTCACCGGCGCACTGAACTTTAGCTTACCATGACCTTACAATTCACGCAAGTTCTAGTTACATGCCCTGACAGTGTGATTGCTTAGTTCGTTCTCAGCCACCGAAATGTGATTTGCGCCCTCCCCTATTTGAGTGGTGTAGATAATGATGCACTACACCGGGCACAAGGAATTACTGTTATTTGACCGGTTCATTTCCGTCGTTGCCCAGGAGTTAGGATTGCTGATTGCTGAAATTTAACGTCAGTGCTGTTGATTATGTTAGAAACTTGGTAGGGCTGTGCCATCCATTCCCCCTATCCGATTGCCATGTTTCTCTGAGACCCTGTCAAGCTGAAGTTGAGGGCAGAGCCATATTTTGCAAAGACCAATGGCGCAAGCCGGCCCAATCAGACGAGCTGTTCTCTGCACCGCCACGGAATCTCCGCTTCCTACTTACATAGTACTCAGTAATACTTTCTTGACTTTGTACATACATAGGAGGAGAAGCTGGGGGGCCACTAGGAAGATGATACATTTACATTAAGCGGGGACTAACAATTTCGGACCCGTTAAGGAATTGCCATAGACAAGACCTACCTACTCGACTTGACAGGTGGTTCTCATTCTGAAACGGAGCGAGACCTCTCTTCGTCCCGTCGCCATGATCGTCTGTCCACATCAACGGCCAGACTGATGATCCGCCCCAATGTTTTACCTTCGCACACTAGCCTCGCACTGGCACTGGACGGAGTACCGCGCATGAGGGCCAAATCAGTTTCACGAGTTTCAAATACTGAGCACCAATGTACTAAACGGTGTACCACTCGGTGCAAGGGGGGCCGTCCACTGCTAGTCTTTAGGCTGTTGGTTTGGGATATTACATTTACGAGGTGTATGCTGTAAGGTTATTTCTCGTTGCACAGTAAGTGCAATATAAACTATTGTAGCAGCTCGGACTCTGCGATTCGATGGCCCGACCTTTTCGATGGTGCTATGGAACCTCAGGGTATCGGAACTAACGGCGCCGACTTCAACCGATCCGATATTGTACACATAAGGTATCCCTCATCTTAACTACTGTCCAAGCCTTATATGTGTATCTGCGGTGTTAACCCAGTACATGCAAGTATAAGCAGTGGTGGCTGTGAACAAGGTCCAGCAGATCCGGTTGGTTCCAACCCGTCATTTGGCGGCTGCACTATTCATTGGCGCAGTATCGGTGTCATCCCAAGCTCTCCTCTGGTCCATTTATTTTCCAGGCTGCCATTTAAGAGCAAACCACATCACGAGTTATTTTTGTTATTATTCGTTACCAGCGGCATCGAAGTAGAGTAAGTAGGCTCGGTAGGTACCTTATGGAGTGATCCCCATTTACATGTTGATAGTGGTGAGAAGTAGACTGTCAACACCTACGGAGCACCTACCTGTATGGTGCATACTGATGCAATAAACATACCACAGCTTTGTGGTATGTGGGATATCATGATGGGAGTTGGTCATGATTTGGTAAGGATTGTTCCTGTAGTACAAGTATTACCGATCATCAAGCACTCATTGACCCCGATACCCCTGCCGACTGACCTAGGTACTTCCCCAGCAGGCATCCGGCTGCTGGTATTGATACTCCCTCGACTCCATCATCTGGATCAAGGAAGTTCCCCAGAGCCGAAATACATGCAATTACATCTACTATCATTGAAACCACGCTGTCTTTCCAGGTATACTGGTTCTCTGTAGAAGTACTGGTTTAATGTACATAGTAGGCGCCCCAACATCTAGTGGCTTTACATATAATTCAGCAGAAATATTACACTAGACACGATGGCGGTTGCAGAGGTAGGCAGAACGTAAACATGCTCCGTTACGAGCTTGTCGTGAAGGGAACAGGATCGGCAAACCCCACCAGCCACGATTCAGTAGAGACTAGTAATGTCTTATTCATCTATGCCTCCTCATCATCATCGTCGTCGTCTTCGTCGTTTGTCAGAGTACAGGTACCTTTTTTGCCAGGCAACTAGGGCGCCGCATGATTACCTGAAGTAGGTACTTATGCTTTCGATGTCACATACTTAGTGAGGAGACAGTCAGTGTATCGTAATCTATACCAGGTATAAATACACTATTGGACGGTAACGAAGGCTGGAAGAGGAAGTTGGCTTCGTCACGTACTCTCCTCCCTGGCTACATTGACGGGTTCATGTATCGGCATCGGAAGGCCGGCGGTAGAAGTTGGTGGAGGTAGGTAGGTACATAGTTATACACCCACCGGGGCAGGTAAGTAGCCAAGTATCAAGTATATTCTACATTCGAGTACATGCAGCTCTCGGGTGCTTTGCTGTGCGGTGGAACTTTCTAGAGAACGGCGATATGTAACTATCGAAGCGAGGCGAGCCACACCCGAACTACTGCCCGAACAAAACACCACACCTGTCCTCATCTTCGGGTCTCCCATCGCACGCACGCTACACCCAAGTTGTTACTAGCAGTGTCTTACCCTGTCGGGTCTCTATCAAAGAGCTGACGCGTCCTCCTCCCCTCCTCCACTGCGTCCTATGGCCACATCCCTGCCAGTCAACAAGGGCCCGCATGAGCTTGTCCGTGACTGGACCAGACTGTCTGTACTAAACTGCAATACAGCAGCCTGCCCAGGACACAAGCCACCAAAAGGTAAGTAGCGGGTACCATTCCCGGTCCATGTTGGTGCCAAGTTGCTTGGTACCTGGCCAGTACATGGTGCCGCCTACCGGTACGCTCTGTTCTACCTAGGTACTCTCATCTTCGTCTCCGGTGTTCCTTCCACTGGGATTGTCCGTTGCTACGCCATTCTTTAACATGCCTCCCCCCGAGTGATCTGCGTGCCCTACTATTCCTGATCCTTTTTTCCAGTTCCATTCCTCAGCCTGCAAACACAGGTCAAACACCGTAGGCCACTCACGCCACCAACAACGACAACGATAACAATTACACCAGCAGTGCCAGGTTCAGTTGATACAGCGTCTCGAGCCCGAGCCGTTTAGACCGTTGTTTACATCCATTTTCGTTGCCATCTATTTGTTATGGCGGGCTCAAGTCAACAGATGGCGTCGACCGGGTCGTCGCCGACTATGGATCCCCTCGACCTCTTAGATTTGGCCGACTACGATGGGATCTCATACCAGTCGCCATCAATATCGCCCTCTGCTACAAACAAAATGCAATATGCGCGACCTACGCCTACTTTGACAACGACGCCCGCAACTATGCCTACGAATCAGATGCTCTCTGGCCCGAGCCATCAATACGACCAGTATAAACAACAAACACCCTTTGTCCCTGGTGCTTTGGCTAATACCCTGGCTATTAATGAGGGCACCGTTCATATTCCAGGGTACAACATGGAGTATCTTAGCCCTGGTGAGGAGGTGTTTGATTTCAATTCTCCTCAGAACTCGATGACCTCAAATACCATGGATCTCGATTTCGACTCTACCACAGCCGACTACTTATACGGGGCAACGCCTAATATCAACCCTCATACACTTACTGCTACGTCTCCTACGGTTTCTAGCCAAACCAGCAATATTGGGAGAATGTATCCCGGTTATCACCAGCGTGCCGCTCTAGCCAAGGCTCAGCAGCAGCAACAGCAACAGCAGGAGATGATTCAGCGTCAAATGAATCAGCCCCGCAAAATACAGCAGAACAAACCGTCTCGATCAAAGACTGCCGAGCCAACGGATCCCATTATTCAACAAAAGATCAGCCAAGTGTTGAGCTCAATGAGGACAAAAGCAAATACAACCGAGACTGAGGATAATTCTCCTCTAGTTCAAATTCCTCGACAAAAGAAAGAGGACGAGGACATGGATGACGACGAACGTTTGCTTGCGAGTGAGGAAGGCAAGAAGCTCAGCAGCAAGGAACGACGTCAGCTTCGAAACAAAGTATCCGCTCGTGCATTTCGCTCGAGAAGAAAAGGTAAGGTGATCCTCAAAAGGGAATGACTATATCATCTCTAACTAATCATCTACATAGAATACATCACTCAACTGGAAAATGAAATTGCCAGCAAAGTTTCAGAAAACAATGATCTGCGCGCCGAGAACCAGGCTTTTAAGGAAGAGAACCAGCGCTACCAGGGTCTTGTCCAGATGCTTCTATCATCGACACATTTCTCATCTTTCCTTAACGAGCTCAGCTTGAATCCCGCTGCCATTCCTCAGTCAAAACCTCAAGTAGAGCAGAGGCAAGTAAAATCTGAGCCGAATCAAGTATCGAAGGACCCCAACCCCTACAATGCTATGAACATGGGGCAGCAACAACAAATCGGCATGGTCATGATTCCGGAACAAAACATGGACTTGTCCATGCTGAACATAAATGCCAATGGCTTTGTTTATCAACAACCCCACGTCTACGCTGTTCTTGAGACCCCAGAGCTTCCCGAAATTGACACTGGTGCTCTCATGGGCAAGTCATCAAACTTTGTCGGCGAGTCTACGGTGTCAGATGGTGATAAGACCGAAGTCGGGCCTATCGAGGCACCTATCCCTTCCGTACTCGAGAAGCCGCAAGCCGAGGCAGAGTCTATTCCTGTTGAGAAAAGGGTGGCAAACCTTGACGGAGACATATTCGACGATGATGATCAGTGTGTATCATCAACAAGCCCTCTTGAGCTTGATACCGATGGACTATCGGCTGTTGATATCTTCGGTGGTATTGAGCCCGAGAAGGCCTTTGCCCGCTATGACCTGGTTGATTCTACAGAAGAAGACATCGTAGCTACTAGGGCTGTGAGACGCGTCGAACGGCTTGCGGCTAATCTAGCAGCTACTATATCCCGATTGGAACGACTTGATGTTAATTCGTAATTCAGCTTGATTACGATATCTACTTATCTTCACGTCTCTTATCACGGTACAAGGCTACAGTTTGGCGTTCAGGCTTATGGGGGAGGCAAAGCTGGTTTCTGGGCAGACGGTTTCACGCATTTGGGCGCTTTATATATAGTATATGCAAGGTAGTGACCTGGTTACTTGGATAAGGGTGGGTGTAACAGCAGGGCTTCTGGGCCAAGGAGCGCTGTGCCACTATAAGAATGTCTGTATAAAAGGGTTGGCAAGAGTATTTACAGCGTTACTGAGCATAGATGCAATTCCGCTACGATATATATATTTGGACTTGGTCTTGCGAATTCTGCCACTCTAGTTTTATGGTTTGCGGGCATGTGCTGTGAGGTGTCCGGTGCTATTAAGCCATGTTAATAAACCACCATGCCCCTTGAAGTTTTTTCTTAAGACGCATGATCCGATTTGACAGGATTTAGCTGCAAGGAGAGGTATGCTTTGCATTTCAAGCAACTACGGTGGAAATATTCTAGGCCTGTAACCAATCTCCTAGGATTGCGTTTCTTTTCTTTTCTTTTATTCGTTCCTCGTCGTTTTCGAAGTGCGCGGAGGATATTCCATGCGGCTCTTGAGATGTCTTTAGGTAGATGATTCGGGCGGCAGTGTACACTTACTGTTTAGCGTCGAGAACATCATAGCTCGAGGTCTATCTAAGCACCTCGCAAATAGGCTATTTATTCATGGGACACTTTCGGGCGACTCTGCGATCAGACAATTGTGAGTGCTAGATCCGAACCTTGTTTCCTTCCATTTAACCAGACAGGGCGCCCATGTGATGAGCTAGAGGTTTATATTGAGTAGGCATATGTGTAGATAGGCGGAGTGCTTAGGTAGTGAATAGCTAGAAGTTTCGATATATGACTTCGGTGATTGGACTTTGGTGAATGCAATCTGAAAAGAAACATCGTAGGGGAGTTATTTGCTGATATTCAGATGAACTGAAATATGTTGCGCCTTCTTACTTTCACAAACATGCGGCATCGGATCGGGTCCGAGGAACGCAGGAAATAGCTTGGAATAGTTACTCCTCTTTAATCCCCCATATATTGAGATTAAACGGTTTTAGTTGGATTCTCATTCTACTCTTGTTCTAATGTCCAGGTAGAAAGTTTCAAAGCGGTTGAAAGCTTGGAATATCAAATGTGGACGGTTAAGTAGATAAGTTTCGAGAAATCCATGGTTGGCTAGTTAACTGCGACTGAGTTATCAAGGCCACGGGGCATATAGAACATCTGTCAAAGTCATTATAAAAGGACAGTTGGCCTTCGAAATTGAACCGTCTCCAGCGTGTCTTGCGTGGCTCGAGTACGAGTATGTCATGTTACTATGGATGCGTACCGCCTAGGGGCATACACGGAAACCCTCTAGATGAAAGATATCAGTCTCTTCCCTATCATACAATCCAACTCAAGGCCAAGACCAATAGGATGTTTCAAGCTATCTTCAGTTTACTCATACTCACCGTCTTCTCGAGGTCCTGACTCCCGGGACACTCTGTATGGCCCGGAAACACATGTTCAACGTAGCTTAACAACTTCAGAGGCGATAACGGGGTTGGCGGCGAGGAATGTGGCCTAGCGATGAGTTCATGACCGGTAACTAACAGTCGATTATCTCGCCCAGGCCCGGCATATAGATAGGCATCTTGGAGTTCGTTGTTGTAGGCATGGCTGTGTAAAATTGAGAATCTTGATGCTTCTTGTTATCAAGTTGGATGGGACGGTGATGCTACTCAGTGCTATCATGAGATGCGATTCTTTAGGACCCTAGCTTTCATTATTCCACTCCGACAGTACTGCTAGTGCCTCCCAAGCGCCCTTTCTCCAATCGATATGGCAGATGCTTTCGTTACTCCAGACTCTAGTGTAGTGCTTTGCAAGTAGCGCTCGCAGTTGATATTCCTTTTCCTCGTGGTGGTGAGATTTGATGCTTGAATGGTATCACGAAGATTGATCACCGGTCTTATGAGCTCTGGGGTTGCTAGCTACCCATATTGACGTGACTGAGCTGCTGAGCTATTGTGGTATCATTCCTTCTAGTCCTTTAGGTAGGCTTGATGTATAATCTGGCCCTTCTATATAACAAGTTGAACAGCCCGCGCGCCTCTATTGCATGGCCCAGATAAGGAATAAGCACAGGTATATCTGAACATAGTTAAATACGTTTGATATCTGCTCAATTGGTTCATTGGTTCTGCATAGTCGCTGCGCTTTGCGGTTGCCCGAATCCTTGGTGCTCTCTATAGTCCGCCTCAGACCGCTACTGCATGTCTTGCAAAAGTCTCGGAGATCGCAATAAATTTCGGTGTACTATTATCCCAGACCAATATGTGACGAGTGTATGGGACCACAGTAGTTATATTGTGCATGCATCGAAGATGATCACGTGCTCCTGAGAATCTGAGGGTGAAGTGATATTATTTGGGTGCCTAGTCAAGGCTTGTAATGTAGGGGGATTGAGTCTTATTGGTGCTACCATGTGTCGACTGCACCGTTTCTTCTACCTATATTCATGATTCAAATGAGGGTTTGAGGTGGCAAGAAGATTCTAGAATCGATGCTGATAAGTCACACGGTCGAGATCTGGGTCGAATGGCTTTTTCGCCTTCAAAACCGTTCCTCGTTTACCTTCCAGTAGATGAATAATCAAGATGAGGTTTTGCTCCCTTTTGGCTTCTGATTAAGCACCTTGCTTCGTGTCGACTCCTGTCTGTCTTAGAAGTTTGTTTTGGATGACCACGGGCGTGAACCAATCGTTGGATAAGCTTAGGTAAGTATATCCAGTGGCATTATCATACCCCAACAAATAGAAGAAGAAGACGACAACGAGCCACAGTCTTTTGCTGCAGGCGTGATCTGGATAAAAATCATGCGTTTGTAGGTATCTCAAACCTTTCGGAATCCGGAGAATTACTATATATGACGATCATCATAACACGCTAAAAAACCATAGTCGAAAATGATCTGATGAGTGCCGGTATCGACGTTGTTATCGTGGCTGACAGGGAAAGGCCGCAAAGCAAGCTGAAGGGCCATCGCCACTTATCGTTGGAGAGCGGATTGAGAAGAGGATTGGTCCGGGGCTCGCAGGCTCGCACGATGGGAACAAGTCGGTGAGGACGTCACAATTGCGTATGCTCCAAGACTTCATTAATCTGTTCTCGGCTAGGTAATGCAGTCGCATCGGCACACCTGGGCACACTTTTGGGGGCTAAGTCGCGCAAACCCGCAGCCTTGGTTCGATCGCGGGTAAGTTCGTGCCAAGTGCCTGATGCTACCAGATGCTACCTACTACCTACTGTACATTTATTCCCGTACTTAGAAGAGTACTCTCTACATTCCATACACGATCATCGTCTTGCTGTGGTTTACCTAGTATAGCGTCTACTTTGCAGGGGGTTTGTGGGGGGGTGTTTTTTTGTTTTTGTTTTTTGTTTTTTTTTGGAGCGTGGACGGGAGCGTTGGGAGGCATTGAGTTCTCCTGAGTTCTGGAAATGTTCTAGCTACCTACCCTTTCTGTCACCCCTATCTATCTCTCCTTAAATAAGTAGGTAGGTATATTTATACTTCTATGTAAGGATCTGGTACCCATCGATGCGACATGGTTAGTGCGCTCTAGTAGCAGGTTAGCCGATCTCGGATTCGAATCCAACAGAATCTGCAAATCTGATGTTGCAGTGTTACCGGTACACTGCCTGGATTATGCAGGTAGATCCTAGTGATTGTTTCGGAGGTTACATACTTACATACCTACCTACCTATGTACTTACAGTAGGACACTACTGTGGTGTAGAGTCTTGGATCCATGTAAGGGATGCAGTAAAAATATGTACTCAGTTCAGTATACATGTACCTAGTTATGTGTAGGTTTGCGTAGGTGTGAGGAGTAACACATGATGCAGGCAGGATGTGAGGCAGGTAGTGAGAGAGTGCACAGCAGCATACCTATGTCAATTACCAAACAATGCAAATGATGACTGAATTCACGGGGAATTCTCTCTTGCATCTGGGGCAATTTCATATTCCTTTATTCTCCGTAAGTAGTACGCTCTCTATTTTCTACCTTCCCTTCGGACCGGACCGGTCCAGTCAGTCCATGGCAATCATAAATATTCTCAGTGCCTACCTACCTACCTAGTAGTGGACGTAGGTAGGTAAGGACTCTGGTAAAGGAGATACGGGCGGTACGGGTGCTCCTCGCACCGCCCCTTAATGCATTCTCGGCATGCAGTGAGATGCCTGTAGTGCATTGCCTAGGTGCCTCCCTGGTGCCTCCCTAGCGCGCTCTCGCCGGGGGCCCCTGAGAAGTGCCAGAGAGTTCTGGTTGCGAGAAGCCAGAAGGAAGCCCAGAGAAGCCCTAGCAGCACCTAAGACGAGACAGCGATACGCAGCCAGGGCAGAACAGGGCAGACGCCAGGGAAGACGCCAGGGAAGAGGCAAGGGCCAATAGGGCCAATACTTAGAGGCCAATAGGGGATCTGGCAGATCTGACAGGGCACTAAGCTCCACTGCGCTCCCGGGCCACCATCGGTCCGTCCACCAGCCACAGCGTAACAATGGCACGAGCATGTCGAGATCTACACTGGCAAAATTGCCCGTTCTGGTAGGTAGGTAACATTACCGGGACTGTAGACGAGTCCTGGCCTGTCCTGACCAGTCCTGACCAAGCCTGGAGGCAAGCAACGGCCGCCTTTCCCTTAGCGCGGGGCCTGGATGTGTGGACGCCACATTTTTTTTCTCTCTCGTAACGAACGAACGCGGACCTCGAGGAGCTTGATTGCCCAAAAAAAAATTGTTAATTTTTCAGCACAGATCTGCCCTTGGTAGACACTCTCCGCGACACACCTATCCAGCAGTATCGGGCTTTGATCCACCACCACGGAGCGAGAAAGAGTGTGAGAGAGTTGAGAAGAGAGAGAGTGTGTGTGTGGAATAGAAAGAAAGAGTGTGAAAGGCTCTCACCACTATCGATGCTGATGTAGATCACCGGAAGTGTTGGACAACCCAGCAGCAGCAGCACCGCCATTACCGCCATCGCCATCGCCATCGCTACCAACAACAAATAGTAATAATAGTACCACTACCAACAGCAACAGGACGACCAACAGGTTCCAACACGTGGGTTCTTCGAGTTGAGGTGTATCCAAGGCTGTGACTTCGAACCACGACCCGTCCTGTCCCGTCCCATTCTGGACGCTTTGTGTGAACAATCGCACAATTGCCATGTCGTATCTGCCAACCAAACGACAGCGATCGAATACGTCGAGAGAGTCCAGCAACGCAATCCCTCAAACCACTGCTCCTCCCCTGAGACACCAACCGAGCCACCCGAGTCACCTCAACGGGAACCTTGCCCTTTACCAGACAGCATCGACGTCAGCTGGTTACAGCAATGGGCCGTATGCTACCGCCGCTACACAACCCACAACGGCACAATCTGCCCATCATCAAGCCGTTACCTACGCTTCGTACTCGGCCGGTCCGGTGACAACGCAGCACAACGGTTACGGAAGCGGCGGATACCAGAATAATGCTTCAACCGCGGCATACGGTGCCGCTTCATACAGTCCACAGCACCAGACCAATCCATATGCCACTCAGTACACCCACGCTCAGGCAAGCCCTCAGCTATCGCCCCATGCGGGACACTATGCCCAGTCCGCCCTCGGCGGCATTCAGAATGGCGCCTATACTCAGACACATACTCACAACCCTCAAGCCGCCTCGAGGATGACATATTCACCTATATCTACGCCCCATCCAACGGCAGCGGCTATTCTTGAATCCACGTCACAAAGAAATAATGCCGCCATGGCAACTATACAAACCCAGCAACAGCACAACAGTCTAGCATCTTATGGAGACGCGTACGCAACGCACACGCCGACCCATAGCGGCCAGTACCAGACAGCGTCGCCGTCGTATCCAGATCCCAGCGTGACTGGACACTATAGCCCGGCACCTTTACCGACCCCCCAGTCTCACGACGTTTCCCGTCACATGTCGGAAGACTTGGCGGAGAATGACGATGAAGACGCCCAAGGAGAACCGGCAGACGATTCTGCAGAGGTATGATCCCAAATCAACCTGAGGAATCCCATAAATATGCCTGTTTGAACACGCGATCTGACCTTCAATCAATTTAACCTTTTAGATATACACAAATCCAGAGCAGTCCAGACCTGTATCATCAATACCAACGCCGTCGACCGACCAATCAAAACCAGGGGAGATAAGTTGTTCATGTAAAAAAGGACGAGGAAAGAAGAAACCCTGCATTTCCTGCGGATGCAGCAAGTATGGTCTTAGCTGTAACCCTGCGTGCTCCTGTGGGGGCACATGCGGAAACCCATTCACTGATCTTTCTGCCTTCTTTGGCCCCAGCGACACATTCCCAAAGCCGTGTGGCGCCAATCCGTGCTTCGCGACGTGGTTGAGGAATCAACCCAATGTCGAAGAGTTGGACGTAGATCTAATGGTCGATATGCTTTTATCAGATGATGAGTCATGGGCCCAGATCCGTGGATACACAGAGGCATTCCAACAGTGGGAAGAACGATGGAAAAGGGCACGTGACGGCAAGGGCAAGAAGTGTAAAGATGAGAAAGAGCGGCTAGAATTTGAGCTTTTACGAGGCGGGCTGGGTACCGTCAGACCCGATGACTTTAATGGCTTTCGATACAGCTTTTGCCAGAGCCAATGGGTGCCCGCGGAACTCTGGGATCACTGTGCAGAGTGTCGAATGTGCCGCTCCAGTGTTGAGTGGCATTGTCTAAAACATGATCGCTGTACCGAGAATCGCGTGTGTCCAAGCTGTGCATCAACTACATTGCCGTACCACCATCAACAACCACAACCACAACAGCAACGGCAAGTCATGTACTCAGGGCCAGGTAGCTAGGGTGGCCTTAGAAACGGATAAGCATGAGACATGATTTTCTCGCGAGATTCACGATACTTTCATCTCAACGGCGTATATGGGGGAATATGGTAAATGGCTTAGCGGGCATTTGGACTAAGTGAGCATAATGGGTTGTCGGTATATATGACTGCGGTGCCTAAATAGATCGGAGGGACGGAGGCGCTAGACAAATGGATGATTTTCCGGGCCAAGTTGGCTCGGAATAATCTCACTCTTTATACCTGGGATCTAGATGCATCGGTTTGCATGGCAGTAAGATCTCACCGACGCGGGCATACTAGGTCATGACGATATGAGAGTCAGCTTCGGACGTAGGGCAGAGCCCACACAAATTGCAAGGTCGACGTGAATTCGAAACAAACGTGCAGAACAAGACATGCTGGGCTTCCTCTAACTGAGGATAAACGTCCCAATATGCCCTAATTGTCGCTCATTCCCATACTATACGTCGCTTTTTCGTCTCTTATATCCTAATTTGACAAGCAAATAAGGTATATCATTGAACCTGGTCTGGTTAGAGTTTGCAAATAAAAAGGATGTATCTACTGAATTGATCTCAGGCAGCTTTTACTCGATGCTATAGGGAAGTTCAATGGGACACTTGATTATATCATCTTGTCAAGGTAGGATGTCTATATATATATGACCTCGGCTCAATGGTCTGGTCGTGTGTAACCTGCAGCTTTCCAGACTCGACACCACAAAAACGGACCCAGTGGTCTTTCGTCATCCGAATGCTAGTTCCCGTATCTGTACCCAGTGAATCGTGTCTTATCAATGCGCAAATTGCTCAACAGATTCGGCACAGCGTGGTCGATCTCTTATAGGGTCTGTTGTCCTCCGCTCCACGTACAAGATCTGGGGTGTCAGCCTCATATATTCTCTGTGGATGGTGTGGCAAGGCTTAGTAAAAGATATATACCGTAGTGCAGATTGTGGCAGCCTTGAAGCCTGTCGCTCTTGGCGTTCCGAGGAGAGTTATTGCATTTTCTGTATCGTCAATTCTAATCTACTGTCTTACCCCTAACTCCTGTTTTTCGGGCTATCAGAACTTAGACCACGCTAATAGACGGTGTTATGTAGACTAAGTACCAAGTTGATCTACATACATACATACTCGGATACTTACCTACATGCTGACTGCCGGGCTTCGTCGGATTCGATGCAACCTTCGGCTACCTACAGTTGTCTACGATCTGTGCAACCTCTGCTAAGGCATGGCCACCTGGACGGGCCATTAAACACCCCAGAGTGTAGCCTGTTACTGTAGACGATGCCATTCCACGCATATTAATCAAGCATGGGCAGCATGGGAGACCATCTCACTGACGAGATCAGGAACCGTCGATGCTTCACGGGCATGGAGATGGGGGTAGCGTCCCCGTGGCGGGTTTCCACGCTCGTAAGGGATTCAAGTTATTCCAAGACGAGATCGGGTGACGTCAATTTGGAATTTGGGTTAGTACGTTTCTAGTGAATCCTCTGGCAGTCTTATCATTTGGTCTGGAGTTTACTGTTACTGTTATCTCCTCTATTCTTCCCTGGTAAATTGCGATACTTTGTACTCCTTTCCCAACCCACCCACCTTACCTCACGAGACTATACCGCTTACATATTGACATAGCTCATCTCCCACGCACAGCCATTTGTTAAGCCACCTTGTGTGCTTCGTTAGAGGTCATTCCAGCGAAACTAGAAGCTTTCGCTTAGAGAGCGCGTTTGTTGGTATCCTTGACACCGATTCACCATCCCTAGTTTGGCAGGGACCGCCTTCGTATACACATCAACCATGTCTTTGCTTATTTCGCCCCTGTTGGAGTAAGGTCGAAAATAGCAAGCAACGACAATTAAAGGACTGTTGGTTGACGAACAGCCAACTATCTATCTAGTGCCACCCACCATGGGTGATTCAGCTGGCAAATCAGGCACGGCTGTTTTCTGTTGGCTCCCGAGATACAGCTGCCTTTGCCGCTCATAGGTCGTGGCAGTACCAGGGCTGGGGGAGTAGGCTATGAGGACGGCCGTTTGGGGGGCCGGCTCATAACGTGCACCCATATGCACTATCCACCCGCCTTGACGATGCCCGTGCTTTAGTCAAGTAGGCCACCAACAGTTTTGGTCCCCAGCCATTCACGTGAGTTCGTTTTTGCTTGCTAATACAAGATTAGATGCCCGAGAGGGAGCAACGTATCCCGCCAAGTTGGGTTCACTTGCCTGGTCCAGATGGTACGAATCCTACGAGTCCACGGCGGCTCGCTACCTATCTGTCGGAACCATCTAGATAGTGTGAATTTTGTCTGACCTCACTCCCTTGCGGCCTAACATGTCTTCTGCGTCCAGTAGTGTTATGTGTTCATACTTGATGCGTTCCCACGTCAACTTGACCTCTGTGGTGTCTGTACCTCGTTTCATGCTATGTTTGGCAAGGGAGTTCTTACTCTTGGGATCACGGTGCTTAAGATTGTTTGCTAGGGCACAAGACTCTTTGCGGTCTTCCACAAGCTTGTTATTTGCTAATAATCCAAACTTAGAGAAGTTATGGATCATATTTCTAAGGCCTAGCTCGGCCATTGCAATGCTCTATTTAGTCTGGTTGAGCCTCCATGTTGGTCGATGCCGTCAATCCTTTCCTGCTTTTTCTTCATTAGAATTAGGTTTCAAGTCCGATACAACGAGGTTATTTGATCGTACGCGAGGAAAATCCTCGTCGTAAGGTCGACGCCCCTTTTTCAGTTATATAAATAAGAACTGGACATTTACGACATGCAAATCGCCGCACTGGATCACGCTTGTTGCATATTATCTCGTTTAACCAACTCACAACATGGAACTTAATGCACTTGAAAACGGGCCAGCGTTCCTTCAGCTGCCTGTCGAATTGTTCTTGGAGATCTGGGAATATTTAAGCGTGGATGACATTTTGGCCTTGCGCCTGGTTTGCCGTCGAATCGAAACTGTGCTATTTGACTCCTTCTGCAAAGAGTTCTTCACCGAACGACGATTTTCGGTCACTTTCAATAGCTTGAAAACCCTCGTTGAAATAACGCAATGCCCACGGTTAGGGCATCATCTCACGAGCATCACTATCGGGCTTGATCGCCTTCATACAATTGACGCCTTACCTCGCTTCGCCGACAGCTGGGATGATTTTAATCACACAATTCCAGGTGACACGTTGGTGAAGGCTGGCATCGATCCCTACAAGCTCGAAACATTTACTCGGGAGCAAGATTTTCTCCTCAGCAGTGGCAAATTACAGCTTATGCTCAGCGAAGCCTTTAGCAATCTGTCTCGTCTGGAAGAGTTGATCATAAGAGACCACAAGATTCCCAGAAGAAAAGCTCGTATTGGAATGTGCGATCTTCTGGTGAGCTATGGGTGGTCTTATATCTTACGAGAAACGGGAATAGACTTCACAGGCCCCGAGTTACATCTCAATAATTACGACGATAGTTTCATTGACATAGTCTTTTCTTCGACTATCCTAGCGTTAGCTCAAAGTCGGCTGCAGATAAACACTCTGAAGGGGGATATATTTCATCCCAATATTGGTTTATCCAGCTCGGCCTTCACCATACCAGAGTTCATTCATCAGGACATTCATCCTGTGCTATTCAATCTTCGCTCCCTGTACCTGGCTGTTAGTTTCGTCCAAGTCCCGCTTGGTAGCTACTCCACCCGTTCAAACAGTTTCTTAAAGTGGGAAAAACACCAATTGTTCAGTTTCTTAGAGAAGACACCAAATTTGGACAGTCTGCGGATCTCGGCGCGGCGGCAAGGGCATATCGTGGACGGCATCATGGGCTTGCTTGCAATCTTCCTCGACCCGGCCGATCCCGCAGCGGAGACTAATCATGCTCTTTACCGAGCAGTGAGTTGCACTTTATATAGGTTTTGCGGTGTATGAAAGCTAATAATCACCCAGGGTATCCTTAACGATTCTAGGTTATTGATAATTCCTCCGTTCGAACACCGTTTCCGAGCCCTTAAGGAATTGGAGATGTGCAATATGACAGTACCAATTCGAGACATCTGCAAGATTTTGGACTGTTTATCCCCTTCGTTGAGGGTTTTGACCTTGATTAGAATAGCACTGATCGTCCAGGGCGATGATGATGAGATGGACAACAATCCTTTCAGACCGAATGCATGGAGCTCTTTGTTCTCACGGATGAACACTTCACTCAATTTGGAGCAGCTTGCTTTGGCTTCTTTAGAGCATCATACGCCGTCGTGTTCGTTGCAAAACGGTCATTCTGTGGCTTTCTTGCCTTCAAATATCGGTAAACAGCGGGGGCCGCCCAATGGCATCCTGTATAGTTGGTCACATCAGGGGAGTGCCGATACTATCAGGGAATTCCTTGAGGTGTTGCAAGTGAAAACCATTGTATTATGTAGAACTTGCAAGACGAGGAACGCAGGCTACATGTCTTCTAATGTTTTAGACATAGACCGTTAGATCTAGGTTCAAAATCTAAAATAGGCCGTCGTGACGTATCTTGCGACCGCCTCTATTTACTCGCCAAGTAGCTGCTAACTAGATGCTTATGAACCGGGTAGCTTCTGGTATATTATATTTTCTACCATTAAGTTCTCCTCTACAGATATAGCCTGACGATAAACACAACGTGGTCGAAATTTTCATAATGGTTGCATAAGCTGCATGTACAGCTTGCCTTACCCCTTGCCCATTACGTTCCAACTGTCTCGCAATCTGCTCTGTCCACTCAGCTAGATCTGTCACACCTCGGGACAAGGCTTTGCGGGTACCAGAGAAGCAGCATCTTTGGTGAGGTACCCTCGGCACCTGTATGCAGCTTTTCAGGGTGAGGCTCAGCATGCATACAACCGGGGCTGGGGTGCATTACCCGCGGTAGACCACGTTGACACCCACATCTACCGGGTGTCACGAGAGAAGCAGCTGATCCAAGCGGATTGAAAACCGTGTCACGCTAGCTGAGATTTGGTTACGGTTGTGAGATTTAGATAGTGCCTGGAATTGACGGAGAGTTAGCGCATATGTAAGAATGGGCTACTTCGGCTATGCAAAGACAAAAACTCAGGATATGCGCACTTCTGAACAATGTGATCTGAGTAGTTTATCGGATGAAGGATCAATTTTCGCCTCTTTGCGACTTAGTATCAACTCCATGCAGATTACGTAACCTTGGAAGTTACACAAACCGCTGGAAAAGAGAACACCAGAGAATAAGCGAATCACTATCAGCTACACTCCAATCCATCATCAGAGTACAGATACAGGAGCAAGACATCTTAAATCGCCACTCGATGTGTATAAGTACAGTCACGAGTGGTTGCTCGACAGATAGCACAGTGACGAAGAGCTTACTTAGTTGCATTAGATCTAGTACTCACACTATTCACTAGAGGTAAAACGTCGTGAAGTTGACAACGTAGCTAGTCATATCACATCAGCACATGATACAACATCCCCTCCATACGTAGATATATATATGTAAGGGTAGCACCTGGGCATTCATTTCTCTTATACCTGGCAGTGCATACTTATACTGGTTAATTCGATGGATGCAGTGGGGGTTGACCAATGCCAAGCCAGGGATGGTCTTACAGCTCGCGGAAAGTTGCTAGGTGAGGTGGGGTCTTTGGAGTCTTTTGGGGGCCATGATCACCTCACTTTGGTTCTGTCTCACACGGCACATCATTATATAATAGCACATGGAGTGAGGGCGTGCTCAGAGGCAACTTTCCACGACCATGTCATCCCAAAGATTCCTTCATTCACAGAAACCTCGCGGGTAGACCGAAGGATTAGCCCATTTCCAACCCAGCCATCGCGGAAAGTTGACCACTGTAGCGAGCCACGGCGCGAAATGTCGACAGCTGGCAAGAACAAGGCAATCCGAGGCTGCTGGACATGCAAAGGTTGTTGGCAACTAACCTACCTGCAGAACCGTGTTGGCTTCTTCGTGCGGCTCTGCTAACTGACGCGTCTATCTAGACCGTAGAGTCCGATGTGATCTTGGCCTACCTAGCTGCGCGAACTGCGCCCGGGTCCAGCAGGTATGTCAAGGGTACGGAATGCGTTTATCATGGCCCAAGGACGGCGATACGAAGCGCTCTATGACCAGCGGAGTGTTACGATGTCCGACGGACTATCGCACCTGTGCCGACATCGAACTCGTGCACACCTCTTTCTTTGACATGGAAATGTACTATTACTTGGTTGAGCTCCGCTCCAACAGCAAGTCTCTCTCATCGCTCCCGGTTGCAACTCTTGATAACATTGGCAGCAGGGAGGGGCGACGAAGCGGTGATTTTGCCAGATAACTTGATATTGCCGTCTCCCACGCCGTTAAAGCCAGTTGACCTGAACGCGGAAGAACTAGAACTCCTTCGATATTGTGAGTATAGATGAATACTTAGGCTTGCGTAGTGATTGCGATGGCTTGCTTACCTGAGAGGAAACGCCAGTTGAGACCACGGCCTTCTCCACCCTGGCTACGTTCAGCGCGGATCTGGCGGGCGTTCGTGACATGCTTGTCGGGATGGCGCTAGCGAACCACACCATTCCATCCCGAGCCGTACTTCACGCACTCTTGGCCTTTTCTTCCCTCCATCGCGACGGCTTGCAGCTTCAAGCTGCCCAACACAAGACAGCGGCGGTTGGCGCGCTTGCGGCATCCGCGCAAAATGGCGTTCTCACCACCACCGAGGCCGCTCAGCATGTTGCTGCCAATATGCTTCTCTGCTCGTTTGAAGTAACTCACCCCGAGTATGTCGATTACAGGCTCTTATGCTAACCCCTGTTCGTAGATTCATATGGGAACCGACTCCCATGGTCACTGGCCGTGGTACTTGATGGGTGCTCGAGATATCATCAAAGCAGCCGGCCTCGAGGGTCAGATTTTCAGAAACGACATCAGCGAGCTAGTAATGTGGACGTATTATCACGATGTCCTAGCCAGATTTAGCCTCCTTCACTGGCGCCGTGGCTCGGTGCCCCAAGTTTTTGCGAAAGAGCTTGGTGCTGAGGGGTGGCAGCGAGACCTATGCTCGTTTGTTATGAAGGTACTTAAATTGGCTGTGGTCATAGGGACGAGGTTTTATTGACTATTCTTGTCTAGCTGAAGTTAAATTTTGGGTCTTTGCCCACGATACTGCGGTATCTAGGGGACATGGTAGATACTCTTAGCGAGTCTCTGCACTCGCCGACACCCATGGTTATTCTCCAAGAGAAAATACATGCCTTCGAGGCCAAGGTCCAGAATGTTCCCGAGCCAGCTATAGCGCCTACGAAAGAGGAAGCCAAAGCAGCTGCAAGTCTGACTGAACTCTACCGATCGGCTGTGCTTGTATACATTGCTCGGGTCTGCGAGAACAAGTTTGGCGAGAATAGAGACCTGACGCCTCTGCTGGACACGAGCTTTGCCCAGCTTGAACAGGCCCACACGTGTCAACGTCTTTTCCCCATTTTCATATTAGGCTGCGAAGCGAATACAGACGAGCGCAGAATGATCATCCTCGATCTGTTGCGCAGAACGGAGGAGACGCATGTCAGGTCTTTGGATTCCATACGTCGTGGGCTCGACTCGGTCTGGATCCAAGATGACCTCAATGCCGATCAGGATACTGCTCTCGACTATATGAATAAGCTGAATGTGGTCGTTAGCTCGTCTCCCACCATCCCGACTTTTGTTTGATAGGTTGGCCGATGAAACGCTTCTGGAATGTAGGATATGTGTACGGATGGGACGACGGTAACACTGGGATAAGTTCTTTGACATGGCGCTATGAGTAGTTCATACTTGAGGGGTTCTTTTCTCTCTCTGAGAGCTGGGGCTGGTAAGGTTAACTTTGAGACTGAAATATATCACTTTGACGTAGGCACGATTATTGTCGATTTCTTTCTATTTGAGGTATTCAGGGCGTGGCTATCTATGGTTCATGTTCGTATATTCTAAATAAGCAGGATAGGCGGTACTAGGCTTGTTCTAATTGTCCAAGCCGGGACAGTTCTCAGATGTCACAGATGTAATCTCTTTGTAGGGATAGGGCTGAGTCCAGATCAAATCATAAGAATCGCTGGGATAGTCGTCGACATCATCGGCGCCCAATTTCTCGGCGAGGCTGCTTAGCTCGCCGTGCTGCCAGCTTTGAAAGGATCCATGTTAGCGTTCGAGCGGGAGAAAGTGAGGTTGAAGACTACTTCGGGGCAATTAGCACTTACCAAATCAAGATGTTTCCTTCGCCATCGTAGTCTTTCACGGCATCTTTGACACACTTCGCGTCGTCCCGGTCACAGGACGTGTCTACGGTAAGCCCTAAGTCATCAGCTAGCGGCTTTACCGTCAAGTACGGCCGCGATCGCTTTCCATCTAATGCACCGGAAGAACTTGTGTGTCAGCGCACCAAGGCTCTTGTTTCGAGTGTGTATCCCTCTGGCGATAGCACCGAGGACGACTTACTATCTTTCGGTGTCTGTGCTAGTATGTATCCAATATTGTACTGAGATGAAGCTCCGAATACGTCCCGCAGGCACTGCGCGCGCTGCTCGCCCTCCATGCTCAAGCCTGTCACGTCGTCGTCCTCGGGCTTTTCACCATGCCTGATCAAATACACGGTGGGCTTTTCCGCGGCCGCCACCAAAGTGGCCGCGAGGCTAGCGAAGAAGAGCGCGCTGGAAAGTTGCATGTCGGTGACTTATCGCTGGGGGTTTGTTGGTTACGTAGGTAGTCTTTACGTCGGCGTCTAGACACGCGGCTATGAACCTCGAGATGATGCTAGCCGAGGGCTGTTGGCGAGCAGTCTACAGGCGGCATTATATACGGATTCTGTTCGTCATTACATAAGTACGAACAGCACGCATGTGCTCGAATGATCACAGAACTACGTGTGAAACTCTGTTCACGCTCTTCGCACACGTGTGACGCGCAGGGCCGTGATTGGCCTGGTGACGGCACTGCGATTCCGAATGGGTGCTGTAACCTTCCTACTTAGGTGCGTGCTACTGCGCGTGATAGGCTCGGGCTGTGCGAGCGCCCGTTACGTTCGGGTCAGCTCTCTTGTTGGACACATATGTAGCCCTTCACTTCTCCTAGTTTTTGCCAATGCCTCGTTACCTGCTGTATCCGTAGTTAGGCGAGCCATCGTAACTTAAATACATGTATGCACACTAGTGCAAGGGCGGCGATCAATGACGATCATGATCTTCCGGCTATCTGGCGCCTCTACCCTTTTTATGACTTGTACTAGCGAGTGAGTTACCGGTATGTTACCTGTAACAATATAGTAATTAGGTACCTACGTATTTCGCTCGTAATCATACGAGTTCATTTATATCTACAATTTCTAACTAGACCTAACTAATTATTCATCATCCGTGATAATCATCCAACGCCTGTATATCGTACACCTCGCCACAAGCTAGAGGGGTACGTGTTATATGTAAGTGCATCGTTAGAATTGCCACTGCCGGCACCACTGTACCATCAACTGGGCTGAAACCATCGGGGCTTCCGTCATCGCGTTGCTTATTTCATTCGTCCGTCGCAGGTCCAGAACCACGGGCGTAGCACCGACCGCCATCCGACGATAAGTTTCAATGAGCTTTAAACCAGGATTGGAGCCGATGTCTGCCTCGGCTGTGGAACTGCTACTCTCCAGCTTGTCCACCCATTCTTGCCAACTCACCAGCTGCTTGATCCGGTTGCCGTAATACTGCTGGACACTTGGAGCGATCTGCTCCCAAGTGGTTGCAGATGCGTTGACCGCGTGAAAATAACCGGCTGCCTCCCTTGCCTCGGTTCGCTTTCCAGGTGCCGCTCCCGCGATGTCTAGCACTAGCCTGGCCACGCGTTCAACAGGCACCCAATCTATACGACTGTTGGACCCCAAGTCTCGCGGTAAGATGCCCATGTAGAGGCTACTGGCTATAATACTCGGAAGCCACTCATTTTTGTTCCATATCCCCACCTCAGCCTCTGGTCCGGCAATCTGTCCGACGCGGATTGACGAGACTGGGAACTTCCCGACCGCGGCAGCGTCATCCAGGATTAAACTACCAGTCATTTTGCTAAGCCCATAGTTGTTGCCGGGAAGGGTCCAATCTCCCATTCGCTCTTCTGGTACAGGGCCCTGCTTTGTATCCCATTGATGCACAGTCCCAATAGACGAGATGAAGACAACCGCAACCCGATGTTCGGCAGTTGCGGCGAAGTTGGCTAGGTTTCGAACCCCTTGCAGCTGCGGCTCAAACGTTTCGGTCGATATGTTGAAGTTAACTGGCCAGGCATTGTGAATGATGCGATGAGCCTCCTTCAGAAGTGTCTCATACACGTCTCGTGACAAGCCAAGCATGTCTTTAGATAAGTCGGCATGGAAATGCACGACTTTGGTGATGTGCTCCGTCTCCCATACAAGTCCGCGCTCCTTTCTCTGCTTCTCTTGCTGTCTGGTACCTCCATCCTCGGCTCGGTTGAGACATACAACCCTCTTTACTGCTGGGTTACGAATGAGCTGGTCTAACAGGTAGGAACCGAGCCCCCCAGTTGATCCTGTCAGAATAACCGTCTGTTCTTCACTTGGAGCTACAGGGCGCCCTGCTTTACCCCACACGAGGTCTGTTGTGTATTTCTCGTAAAGGGTTTTTGCTACCTCAACGTCATGGTCCTCTTTGTGGCCATTAACCTTATGACCATTGACCTTGTGGCCATTGACACCATTGACGACTCCGTTGCTAGTAGTTTTGTGTAGGATGTACCGGGCCAGCCGGCGAGGGGTGGGGTTGCGATAAATGATTCGAGCGCTCATCACAGACAAATCAACACCGAGACTACCCTGAAGCGATCTGGACGCATTCATTACTTGCAATGAATCGATGCCTGCAGCAAAGAAGTCTGTGTCCGCTCCAATGCCTGTGTTGCATCCTAGTGTCTTGAAGAGTTCGAGAATTGAAGTGGTTAAGGATTCTTCGGAGCTCGTATTGAGTGTTACCGCTGATAGTCGAGAACCGTCTTGAATCTCTTCATAGAGCTTTTCGATCTCTTCCCCATAAAGCCGAATCGTCCCGGCCTTCTGGACGGTGTTCTTTCCGGATCGGAGGAAGGGCTTGCTGGGACTTGCAAGAGTGATTAGCTCTCTGCTTATCTGCCCATGAGCTACTGTCTCGCTATTTGCTTTCTCAACGAGCGGCCAAATACTGTCAATGAATTTTTGTCTATTGTCCTCGTCTTCGGGGTAATTCACAGGCTCAACTAATAGACCAGCCTGGAATTTGTTCGAACCTATCACCAAAGCCTCCGCAACATTTGGATGATCCTGGACAATCTGCTCGATGGTGATAGGGTTTAGCTTCTCGCCATTCGAAAAAACGATGATGTTGTCTGCACGGCCGTAATATATCCAGAAGTCTGGGAGTGTCGGATGACGTTTATAGAGGTCCCTAGTACTATACTCGTCAAGTTCAGGGAAGGTATAAAAGAAACCCTGCCAGCCTGGTTTCTTATCCTTGCGAACTATGACTAGTTCGTACGCATCGTCATGGTATGGGCGCCAATCGGCTCCAAATTGTTCAGAATTGAACTTGAAATATGCCCATGATTCGTGATCGTTGTGGAAATAAACCGGAAAGCTACCAAATCTGTGCACTGTTAACTTATTGGATTCATCGTTGCATTGCTTCTCTACTCACTCTGTACAGTTTATCAAGTTGAAAATTGGAACTTGAGATTCAAAATCAGCATTTCATGGGCAGCTAGTTGTGTGGTAACAAGAGACGAAACTTTGGTTTTTGGCGTATGGGGTTCTTAGCAGGCGCGTACCTTTATGTTTCACCAACCTCTCCCCGGCGTCTCTTGCAAGGTTGCCTACAAGAACGAGTGAGTAAGATGGGATCATCTGATCAGGGAGTATCATACTTACCACCTCCAAATATTATCATTTCTAACTTACTTAGCTTGGTCATAGAGTCTTCGCTATGACTTGCGTCTTCAAGAACAGAAGGCGGGAGAAATGTGGCCTCAAACTTTACATTCTCTAAGCATTCTAAAATCAAATCAAGCGATAAAGGCTTTTCCGCGATGCTCAGAATCGAAGTGACACCCCTATAGACAGAAATATGAAAGAAGGTATATAAGGCGGCAGCATGAAATAGGGGCATCTGCTGAACAGTTAGCCATATTCGCATTCAATAGAGGCCAGCCGACGCTGTCAACCTACGGGTATGAACAACCCCTTGACCCTCTGTTGACACTCATCCATCCAATACTTCGAGCCCTGCCATTCACCAAACTCCTGGGTTGCGTCGGAAATAGCAACCATACCCTAGTAACTCTATTAGTATTCACGCTATAAGATCGTGTTAACTGGGTATTTCGCTTGCCGTTTTAGCGACGACGGGCTTCGGAAGACCAGTACTGCCACTTGTGTGCAATACACAGAATGGTTCCCATTCTGCTTGTTCGAAAGTTTTAGAATAAGAGAAGTGAGGAACCTGCTCTGCGGGAAACCATTGTTGCAATGAGTTGACTTGTAGAGTCTGCATCTTCCTCTCCTGTAGCCAAGGTTTGACAGCTTGGCTGAAGGGTTCCGCATACCAAAGGATATCACATTTGGTTGCTTCGAAGAGGTTGATCTGAGCTTGCTGAGAGTTCCTTGGGGATATAAACAGTGCCTTTACATGGTCTTAGCATATAATCTTTTTTCCCTTTCCTGGACAAAGAGGCTAGATTACCTGGTAGCCAGCTTTTACGGCAGCCATTACGGTTATAAGGTATCGCGCATCTTGAGGACCGATATATGCTATTGTAGGAAAACTCCCCTCGGGGGCTTCCCCATATCTGTCGACTATATCTCGTGCGCAGTAGTTGATTGCATTCGCATATTCGCCGAACGTCATAGGAGTCCAGCCGTCCCTGGGATCACTTGAGCGTGCTGTGAGCAGTATAGTTCGTTGTGGATCTTTGCTTGCTATATCGTCAATGATATGAGGCAATAGCCTTTGACCATACTGAGCAGAGGCCGTCGACAACGCCATATTAATAACAAGAATACGTCTAAGTTACGAATCTAAATCAAGCAGCGGAAGCATCATAGTATCGGCGTTCATCACCTGGCCAGAAGGGGTACTGGCCACGATAAGTATATATAATTCACACGGATTTTATGTTGTAGTATTTGTAGGTGGGCTTGGATCGGCTTATTTCATCGTACATATTTGACTAATGCAGATAGAGAGAGCATCCCCAGCGAGAACAGTAACGTTTCTGCTCTTCATCCTCCACTTGTGGAGTTTTCAGCTTGCACACTAACAGCTGGAAAAGGGTGTGCTCATCTGCAATGGAATACAACTTTTTCAGCCAACCAGAATCTTGTGAGGCTGTACAACTGCGTAGGTACAACCCCTAGGTACGACCCGACGCCTATTCGCATGAAGACTCAGAGTGAAAATCTGTTCTTTGGCTGGGCTGAGGCCAATAGGGGGGCCAGCGTAGACTTAACACTATCACCATGTAATGCCGTTTCGGTCAACAGAACACACTTGGCCCGATACAAACTTCTTTCTGCACTCATACTAGCGGGCCGCACCGGGCTTGTCCCGGATACGACTAGCCGAAAATCGTGTGAATGATGTTGCTATTGCTTCTTTTGATAGGCATTTGGCGCAGATCGGGAATTAGTTTCGTAGACAAAAACATCTTACTGTAGTTTCGATAACCTATCTCAATAGCCTAAGGCACCGGCTCTGCAGTAGAGTGGGGTGAGAAGAGCATGACAAAAAGGGATGGATTGAGTAATCAACCACGATGGCAATGCAATAAAATTGAACAAAGCTCTTGCCTACGACACTTTCAGATGCGGACTGACTACCTACGCAGTGAAACTTTGGCAGTTTAGACAACGATCTATAAAAGCCAAAAGACATACAACATTGTTCATATGTCGTCACATATTTCTGACATTGATTGAGCAATACGAAAGTATAATAGGTAGTTTCTTCGGAAGCTACGGTATCAGGTCTAGCACTGGAGAAGGAAAAGAAAAAGGAGTATGTGCATCGTGATGTCAAGCTAGTCTTCCAACAAGAGATCGTCGTAGGGATTAGTATTGAAGTGCCGGCTGGGAAGGAGTATGAAGCTAGAGCAGATATGGATGTATCGGGTATCATAAACCCTTATGCATAGGTTATGTAATAAGCGATGGGGTTCCGCTTCAAGAGATTGTGGCTAAAAGGCCATTTCAGCCTTCCCACGTGACCTAAATCGCACACAAACTCGCTTCCTGAAGGAAAATCACCAGCCAGCCACAAAGCTAAGGAGAGAAGTGCCTACTTGGGTAGCAAATCTGTTAAACCTGACCCCACGCCAAAGTCCTCCATCACCAACATCACCACCCGACACACGTAGACGTCCACGAACCCCCAGTCGTCAAAATGGTCAACATTCCGAAGACGCGCAAGACCTGTATGTGTCTCTATATAGAAATCGAAAGGCGAGGTGGGAAAATGCTAACGGAGCTCTGCATCTAGACTGCGCTCGTGAGAACAAGCACACCCTTCGTAAGTGCCGATCCTAGGCCACACCTCTGCCACACGAGAATTCTCTGCCGACCATGGAGCGATACGGATGTAATTGCAAATGATCAACGATTGACCTGTGGGTTTTACAGACAGGGTAACCCAGTACAAGGCTGGAAAGGTGAGTCTGCGCGTGTAAATTATACCATGCGGCAAATCACTAATTACATCGTCCAGGCTTCTCCTTTCGCCCAGTAAGTCTTACCTCAAAACCGATTCCAGTCGTGCGAATCCTTCGAGACGCTTGATTTATACACTTCAATACACCACCACCGACTTTAATGCGACGAGAGCCGAGTGAACGTCAACTCTGGATTGGGCACCCCGCTCAGCCAGTGCATTCCCAATCTCGAAGCCTTGATGCGATGCATATGCCGATTGCAACCGAAAGCCGATTTCCCACCATTGATGGCCAATAACAGCGACTGACATCTGCTTTAGGGGTAAGAGACGTTACGACAGAAAGCAGAGCGGTTACGGTGGTATGTAGCCTCCATCTTAGCAAGGACTTGCAAGCCCTTTTTAACGATCTTAGGTCAAACAAAACCCGTCTTCCACAAGAAGGCCAAGACCACAAAGAAGGTTGTGCTACGTCTTGAGTGCAACGGATGCAAGGCCAAGAAGCAGCTTCCTCTGAAGCGATGCAAGCACTTCGAGCTTGGGTATGGCCCTTCCAACTCGCGGGAAGAAAGGACCGAGACTAATATCGCTTGCTTCGTAGTGGTGACAAGAAGACCAAGGGTGCCGCCCTTGTTTTCTAAACGCGTAAACGTAACCAAAATCCCCAACGACAAATACAAAATATCGGACGCTACGACGATAACGAGACTTGCATTTCGTGGCGAAATCATGGACCAACCTATTCGGCGTGATGTAGGGTGCCTCTGCGGCCCCGAGAGAAGAGATAGGCTCTGGATCATCAGGACTGGGTTCATAGGGTTCACAGGTTTCCGGAGTTTCACTACGGCATAGGAGAAGAAGAGAAAGGTGTTTGTTCCCGCATTAGTTCTTGGTTTACAAACATGCAGTGCCAAAGAGCCAGAGCAAATACCAACCGTTTGTGTTGCACGAACAACTTTTTTTTTCTTATGTCTGATGCATTGTGATTATGCGGCTTCAATGATAATTATACATATGATCTACCGACCTACCGACCTCAACAATGTGACGTTAAGATAATACCTACTAACTACTGGGCTTTTATCTTGAGTTTCAAGGTGTTTTCATATAACACAATCATTCTCAAAGTGGTGTCCTCGAGCTGGCTCTAGGCTTGCAATACGTAAAAATTGATCTTGTATAGGTACTACATACAAAATCCATAGTTATCGATGCTCCCTTCGTAGACCCAATTCTCAAGATCTAGTCCATCACGTGGGATGCGAACTAACAAATATCAATCTCGCAGGTTGATATTGATACGACTTGCATAGCCATATCTGGAGAGCAGCTCACTCATGAGCAGAGTCAATGCCTCAACCTCTTCGGCTTCAGAATGTCAGGGCTTGCGTAGTTAGTTTATATGGGTATTTATTCGGGTACTCGTGATAAGTGAGTCCACTACATTATATATCCGCCATGGTGTGTTTAGAAAGCGGACACTTCTATAGCTGAGCGACGTTGTTCAAAATGGTGACCTCTTCACCTGGCTTGAAGGCCGGTAGCCCGAGGTAGGGACAATCGGCGCAGCGGAACGCGTCGCCGAGACTGCAGCTGCCGCATGAGCCCACCTTGCCCTTCACTGTGAAGTCCAGCTCCAGGTCGTCGAGGTCGTCTGCGCCGAGCTTGAGAACGTCCAGGTCGGCGTCTGCCTTGGCGCGCCGCGCCTTGTCCTCGGCCTCGAGCTTCGCTGCCAGACCGCATGTGCAGTCCTTGCAGGCGCGTCGTCGCTTGCCGATCTTCGGGATGCATTCTGCTGCTGTATGGCGAAGGAATGTTAGCCTGTGACCAGATTTTGGATGGAATTATGGGGAAAGAGAGATGGCGTGATAGAGTGGTGGGAGTAGACGTACGAGGTTGAATAGTCCGGTTGATGTCCTCCTCCGTCAAGAGCGTATCTTCGTCGATCAACTCGTCATCGTCGTCCAAACCGTCTAGATCATCACCTGGCAACAAGCTGACCGTAGGCTGTTTCTTGGCCAAAGGCACGCTGCCGTTCCCATTGCTGCTGTGTCCGTTCGCTCCGCCGTTCTTCCTCTTGCCTCCCAGCCGTAGGAGTACGGGGGCCTCCTCCTCGGCCTTCTCGAACGTGCCGTCCCCTCTCAATACTAAGCCGGCTAAGATGGCCTCTGATTCGGGTAGTGACGGGCCTTCCTGCGGGCGTAGAATGGCACCGGGCTTCATGGATCCGGCGACGGCATCGTACACGCGCCGGGTGAGGATCTGAGTGGTCTCTTGGCGCCGGGGGCCGGCGGCGTCTGTGAGCACGACAACGAGATCGTATGTGGCCGGGGGTAGTGTGACGAGGCCGGAGGCGAGACGGTCGAGCATGGTCAAGTCCGACGTCGCGCGGTCGAAGGTTGTGTAGACATCGTGGAGGGTCTCCTCGTGGGAGGCGATAGATGGAGGGGCAAGCAGCAGAGTGCGCTGCGCAGGGCTCATTTTGGCGGGGTAGTTTTGACGATTGCCGTGGTTGGCAGTCGAGCTAGTATCTTTTTTCTTTTTTCTTTTTTGTGTCTGTCTAGAATGGGGGCGATTAAGTAGAGGAAAATGTAGTAGTAACCCGAACACTGGCAGTTCTGAGCAATGGAATGAAAGATGAGTTTGACTTGGATTGAGGGGAGAAGAAAGTAGGTAGACAGCAAGATAAAAGTCGGGAGTTTGTAATGCAGTTATTTGGGCATTTCCTCGGGTCAGGAGCATTACCAATCAGGACCGATTCATTTGCGCCCGGCAAACGGTCTCGAACACCGTGTTTTGCGACGGAGCGGCCGATTGCGGCCGATTGCAACCCAGCCAGTGGTGGGGGGTTAGGACCCTACATTGGTGGGGTGTTTGACACATGTCCACGGGTATCTTAGTAGTATTCCCCTCCACTACACTCCGCTACCAACCTACACACATCACATGCATATGCAGAACATCGTGAATATCTACTTTGTATGGGGCAGACATGGTCAATTTGGCCTCCTGTGCTTGTTTCTATTACAATCTCACGTCTAGCTTGTCGTGTCTGTTAATAAATATATCCTCTCCAAATCCAACTACGTCACGGCAGAGAGTGTAGATATTCAAGTAGGTACCGCGCCAATATCCACGGTGACGAGTGATCCCAATAGCCGTTTCCACATCGCTGTACTCTCAGGATCAGCTGTTCCTTGAGTTAACGTGGCCCTATTCCCAATCACTATCAACCCAGCTTTCGCGCGCGTTAAAGCGACGTTCATGCGCCGCAGGTCTTTCAGGAAGCCAATGTTACAAGAAGCGTTGCATCTTGTCGATACGAACACCACGACGTCTGCTTCGCGCCCTTGAAAGCCATCGATACTAGACACCTCGATGTTCTTGATTCCGGCGAGTTTCTTCTTGAGCACTTCGAGTTGCAGCGTGTACGGTGTCAATACCGCTATGCTCTGCTCTGGCATCTTCACGACGTCGCCTTCCATTTGGCTGGCTTTCCCTTCAGTAGTGAGTAGTTTACAAATTCGTTGACAGAGCCGGGCCTGGCCTTCATTTGATTTGGATCGCTGGGCGAGCTTGTCCTCTTGATCTGAGCATTCGATGAAAATAGTTCGTGCTTTATCTTGTTTATCCGCCACGTCGATTGGCCACGGAAACATGGAAGCGTTGAGTGGTCGATGCGTATGCTCGATGCCCGTGAGCAGATTGCCCTCGTAGAACTGCTGGGAGCTAAATTCGCAGATGGAAGGATGCATGCGATATTGTGTATCAAGCATGAGCTTAGGAATTTCTAATTCGCAATCTGCTGATTGTGAACTTGCTGGGAGCTTATACAATCTCTCGAAAAGAGACACGTCGAATTCAACGGCACTCGCAAGCTGCTGTACCGTAGGCCTGAGTTGAACATGGTCACCAACCAGTAGTGCTCGTTGGCAGCCTTTCGTCAGAGGGACAAGTGATGCGGGCTCTGTTTGCTGAGACGCCTCATCAATGATAACTACCTCAAAAGCCTGATTGCGTAACAGCCCTATGCCTGCCCCAATACACGTGGTAAATACGAGGCGACATCTCTTGACCCTTCTCTCGGCTTCTTTCAAGGTTTCTCGACTGGAATATATCTCTAACCCCGCCATGGCATCGAGCGTATATGGCCTGAGATCTTCTGCAACTTTGCGAACCTGTCCCGCATTAATATCATAATATTTCAACGAAAGAAAGCAATCTCACATACCTCAGTAGAAACTCTCAGAACTGACTGTCTATCACTGTTAGTCAGAGCAAGGTATCTTCTCATCACATTGTCGACTGCATTGTGGGTAGGAGCCGTAACGAGTATTCGATCCTTCTCTAGCATGCGCTCGAGTGCAATAATTGCAGCAACTATTGTCTGTGTCTTCCCTGTGCCAGGAGGGCCCCAGAGGCACACGAGCGGGCTTCTCAACACTGCTTCAACTGCAGCATTCTGGCTCTTATTGAGCTGGGTCTGGACATGATACTCGTTGGTGTAAGAGATGGATGACGGAGGCAGCAGACACGGAGCCCCTAAAAGCTGCATCCATATCGCGCAACATGTCTCCGGATCGATCGCGAAGTTTCTGCATGCGTCAAACATGGCTTTTGCCGTGACGAAAGGGGCGCAATGTATAAGCCGCCAAGAGCATTGCTTGAAAAACGGTGGTAAGGGGTGCAGGCAACGGAACTTTGCCTTCCCTTTCTCGGAAGAGATTACCATCGCATCCACAGACCATGGCTTCTCGAGGGGAGAGTTCGTGGGCTGGCTTGCTACTACAAGTCGTACATGAGCCCAGCGATCAGGAGTCCCACCAGACGAGTCTATCCGAAACGATGTCATAACCACTGCATCACTACCGTCCTGTTCGGTGCTAGATTCCAGTGTCAAAAGATCATCCCGCTCTTTTGCCTGTTCAGCAACTTCGCCAATATGGTCTAGCGCAATGCCTATCGCGTTATGCGTGAGATTGTTCACGAGCAGTGGATCAACTCCTTGAACCAAGCGGGCGCTTTCAGGCTCGAAACATTCTAATAGAATGTCTAGAGCTAGATCGGGTGAGTGGACAGTAAGAGCCACGAGCTCTATCAATTCAGTAAATGCTGTAGATGAAATGGACTGGACTTGGGAGAGGACCTTTTTCAGCGGCTTTAAAACTAGATCCTGTGCGTTATTGGCGGATAGAATAAACCCTCGGATGACGTCTAGCACCCTATTCTCGATCTTGTCTGGTAGCTCTTCTGGTAGTTCGTGACAATTTCCCATCTGTCCGAAGCATATCGAAAGAAATGGATTTCTTTCCAAAGCTGCGAAGATAGCTTCAACAATCGCTATTGACGGGAGTGCAGCAGGTTCAGGCTCCTTGATCTTGTCTGAAAGATAGGCTACGGATTCAAATAGCAAATTTTTAGCGCTATGCTCCCACAGCCATGTGAATATGTATGATAGATCCTCGAGGCTCTCCACCTCTGTAAGAACACACAGGTCCTTATTGACGATACGGGTAATGCATTCTTTCTCATTCGCTAGATTGAGGGCCTTGAGATTCGGAAGTGAATATTCCTTTGGCTCCTCGTCAAATAGGGGCATTCTCTCCTCCGTATCGACGTACCTGAGCCAAAGGTCAAGTGCCTGCATAGACTGAACGTCTCGATTGGTAATCACATAAACCTCCTAAGATTGCGTCAATGCTTTGCCAGCTCTATGTAGTAGCAAATTTGTTCATTCGACGGGCTCGGGCAACACATAGAAAAAGCTCGATAGACTTACAGCTGCAAGTACGCCGTTCCTGTTGACTCTCCCAAGGTGTCGTTGTAGAGGTCTGCTGAATTTGTCGAGAGCAACACTAACTATGAAATCGAAATTTACACCATTATCAAGAGTCTCTTGTCGCTGGCGACGTCGGTCTCCTATGTTTGTTGTGTTGCGATACGAGCTGTCATCCGACCCTCCCCGCCTAATGTGAATCCATGTATTCGCTCTTTTGCCTTCAAATAGCTGGAAAGAATTGTCATCACAACATAGTCGGTAGTTGACCTTAGTCGGACAGCACAAGCGGCTCTGCAGCTGCGGTCCTTGTGAATGCGGGAAGGCAAATAGTCGCACATGATCATCCACAAGGTAATCTTGTGATCTCTCGACCTTCTTCGGTATATATAGGGCTATAGTAAGCCTCTCATCGACACGGAGAATAATCAACTTTCGGTGGAACAGCTCCAGCGATCGAGAAACTTCCTCAAGGAACGTTGCCATTCTGTCATGGGACGAATATGTACGTTTCCAATGGATTCGAGCATTGTCCAGAGAAAAGCCGCTAAGCTCTTGAGTGCTTACTAGTTCCGACGAGCAGAGGGCGTTCGTGACCAGGTTTTTCATGCCGAGGTCTGGAGGTAGATCCGGGATCTGGCCTACGGTCCAAGCCTTCTGTTCGGCTGTGAGGCTATTGAAATCGAAAAACTGTAGTAGATCATAGAAAGGTGTGTCGTTTCGTCTACACCATTTTGTGGTTAGCTGGATGAGCTCAAATTCTGAGACGGCAATCCCATCGCGGTTTAGTAGTAGCTCCATCGCATCATAATCGTAACCTTCCATATCCCTTTCTTCATGACTCATTCGATCAAGCGATCTCATCGCTGAGTTGTGCAGTATGTCGAGGATGAATGGAGGAGTATCGCCGGATGGCTGTGGCACGTTTTCCAACCTCGGAGGAACTTTGATGCGATTCCCATCGACGCATTGCGAGAACAGGCGATTTAATTCCTGGCATTCTGGCGCCATCGCCCCCTTGATCTTTACCCAGTCCAGGTAGAGGTTCTTGACACGTCCTAAAGAGACATTAGAATATTGAGCAAAGAACTGCAAACGGTCATCATCTGATATAGGTTTAAAGCTGAGTGGTTCCCGCCCAGCTGGGTATTCAGCAGGAATGGACAGTTTCGTTGGCATGAGTTCCTTGTCCCAACAGACGAAGACTTAAGGAGTGTGTTGAATCAGCTGTACTATTCATCATAAGAATGGCCTGCACTCACATGTGTCTCCATCTAGGTCTCCCCCAGACATCATATCTGCTGAAGGTCTTCTGCCACATATTGGGAAAACGATGCAGTCAACTAGGTGCGATAGTTCGGGGCGATAAACAAGCTTGAACTTCTGCAAATCTCCGGGATGGAGACATGGGTTACGTGTGACTAGGACGTGAGCACTCTTCAGGGTTTGAGGCAAACCGTTTTCATCAGTCGTGATCTTGACGTGACACTCCCCGGGTTTCAATACCCCCCAGGCATCACACACACCATACAGTAGCCTGGACTCGGGTACGAGTATGCGACATTTCTGAGTTTTTCGCTTGTTCAACATCTTGCCCTTTTCCTCCTTAATCAACTTCGTGATTTCGGGTCGAGAAGTCTCCAGAGACTCCATTAGGACTTTTTCTGCAAGTTCAAACTTATTGATAGAACAAAGGAATTTGAACGCGACTCGCGGATCCTTAGTGGCCGCGTCAAGAAATCTAAGGTGTGCATTTTGTTTTCTTAATAGGGTCTCTGCCGATATCCCTAGAGCATGCAGGAGAATTACCACTTCGTCGTTGAGATGGCCATAAACGTACGGCTGAGGTAATGTTTAGCACCATTAGCATTGTCACATGCTTTAATCAATAGTGTAGACAGACCTTTGAGTACTCGACTACGGCGAAAGACAAGTCATCACCGCCAGAGAACTTCTTCATGGACTTCCTGAGCTTGAGGAGCGTCTGAGGATTCTTCATAGTGGGATCTAGGGTCACCACTCCTTTGTACCCTCTGTATCGAATCTGGTATACCGATGGAGTATATCGTCTGTCGCGAAATGTCAAGTGCAATTGGCGCGAGAGTTCCTGCGCGAACCTCGGAGATATTAAACCACAACCGTCAGTGAATACGTAGTTATCATCCTCGACGTCTGGAATATCCTCACAACGGCTGGGGTCTACCTTAGTAGCTACCTCAGCTGCGGAGAACAGTAGACCAATGCGCTTCACCTTCTTAGCTACAGTCTTCATCTTGCTAAAGTCGCCAAATGATTCGATGCGTTTTGATATTGCCTCCTTTGAGTCTGCCAAGAGAAGACATGATCGGGACTTGAGCTGGCTATTGCTGTAGCCGTAAAAGTGGTAATGAACTCCCTGTAACTCAACACCTGCACGTAAGAGGTTGGTTATGTAACCAGCTGATTCCTTCCTCGCCCATGGCTTATGTTCACCGCTTTCGTCAGCGACATTATATCGCGGACGGAAGTCCGAGACAGACACTTCAACACTTGGAGTTAACCATTAAACTCTGGTTGTCGGGCGACTGTCTGTCTGCCGAGGTCCGTATGAGCTTACCAACTAGTAGGTTACTGGGATGTAAACCCTCCGTGGCTCTGTTGGGTTTGAATTCCTGAAGCCTCAAGACTATATATGAAGTTACAACAGGTGAATCTGTGCTGCTCGAGATTAGGCTGATAGATTTGACGTAACCGTGTTGGTTGAGAAAGCCAGGCCTAGGCAGCCCGCTCAACGAGGGACCCTCGTATTTCCATTGGGAGTCAGAAAGCGAAATATCCTGCAGCCGCTTCTCGTAAGAACCGGGCTTCGTTTTCTCCATGGCGCTGGGACTTATATCGTAGGAGTCCTCGTTGGGAATGAAAGATAGAATGTTTGCTCGACATGGACGGGAGCTACCACAGGTTTTGAGGAGGAATGGGGGTAGCAAGGGCTTTAGGAATGTGATCAAGTGCACGTCTGCACTGCAACAAAGCCTCCTGCACCTGGCCGCCTTGCAGGTACGTCTAGATACACAAATTAGGCACACATCACTACAACCTATTACGTACCTGCATAATACCTAGTGTTGGCCTCTCTTTATGAAGGTGTATGCGGCGAGACCAGAAGAAGCATTGGGGTTCATCTGATAGCTGAGATAAGCGTATATGTAATTCAAAGTGCACAAAATATGATGATATACCGTAGGCAGTTATACATACTGCCCAGAATTAAGAGAGCGAGCTCAGTACCCCATCTTCAATTCTGTATTCTGTAATATTGAAATGATATGACTACTGAGCATCTGGCCACTCAAGATTACTTAGGCAAGGACGGCAACTGCATGTGGCAGCAATGTTGTGCTACGCGACTACAGCACAAATCTGCCCGAATACCGATGCATCAGTCAATACAGCAATGCGGGGGCCGTGGTGACCTCTTGTATATTCATCTGACGGATCACTTCATCTCTACTTCACGGCAGTACTGGTAACACCTTGATCACACACCCCAAGATACTACACAGTGTCCCCGCATGTGAAACGTCAATCACGGCTTCACAGCCTCTACCTACATATTCAAATATCTATCTATCTAGACAAGCAGTTCTAGCTCAAGATGCCACCATCACTCCCCAATATCTACATAATCGGCAGCCAATGCACCGGGAAAACAACTCTCGTCAACGCACTATGCGAGTATTTCCAGCATCACCCAATTGCTTCCGCAAAGTCGCCTACTGCGATCAAAGAAGTTGCCAGATCCGTCCTCGAAGCCCACGGTTTCGACAGGGGTGACATCCGGAACTCGCAAGATCGAGCCCTAGAGCTGCAAAGACTGATAATAGAAGCCCAATCTAAAGCCGAGAGATCACAGTTAGAAACCGGCTCCTGGTTCATATCAGACCGGTCTGCAGTTGACCCTATCATCTACGCGCGGAAATACGTCAGTGAAAAAGCAGCCACGGCACTAGCTTCCTCACCACAGTGGCTCGAAATGAGTCATCGTATGGCGAAGTCACTCGTCATTGTTTGTGAGGCTGGCGTCGACTGGTTGACAGACGATGGCGTTCGTTTGATGCCGCTGGATACCACAGAATGGCAACAGACACATGCAGAATTCTGTGCAGTTCTGGATGGTGTAGGCTTGATATATCATGTGCTGCCAGCTCGGATCAAGGATATGGATGAGCGAGTCCAGTTTGTGCTGACGAGATGGAAGGAGATGGCAACAGCACATGGGGAATTGTGAGTAATGATGCTGAGACACTTCCCTTACTTACAACTCCATCCTGAAGTCAAATAGAACCAAGACTTAAACATTGGCATCAGATAAGTCACCAGTCATCATGGAATGAGATAAACCATTCTACATATACGACTAGGACTCAAGATGTACAATACACACATTCTAATCTAGATTTATCAATTCGCGTTGATTATTTGCTTCACCTTCACCGGGATACACTCAATGGGGTTAAATAATAGATTTGTATTTGACATATGTTCAAGTTAAAGAGGTGCTATACTGGTATCGTCGTTCTATTGAACTTGGCATAACATGACATGGCACAGAGAAGGGGCGCCAACTCGTCAGCATGCCAACTGATTTTCTACTAAACTCATTCTTCTCATTAATCAATTCGACATGCAATGCGACAATGTTCAAAGATCGTGGAGCCCTTCCCTCCCCATCCCCATCCCTATCACCCCTTATTTCAAACCGCCGTTGTTACCTACTCATTAGCCATGTCGCCTGCAAACAGAAAAGGCGCTGCGTTCGTAAAATATTTTTCAAAGCTCGTCCGAATCTTCCTCTGGCTCGGCCACAGATTCCTCCATTGCTTCAGGCACAGGCTCCTCGTTTTCGGTGACTTCGGTAGTGGGCATCGCATTCTCCGAGGAAACTGTATCATCCTGTGACTCCTCCATCTCGCCCTCGAGATCTAATTCGATCTCAGCTTGTGCAGTTTCAGTAGCATCAACCACAGATTCCTCAACAGGGGTCGCTGTCTCGGCAAGAGTGGTGCTCTCGGCTTCGGTCTGCATTTCTGTCTGTATTTCCGTCTGCGTCTGTATCTCGGTCTGCGTTTCAGTCACGGTATGAATGACTTTCACAACTTTCTTCTCTGTGACGGTCTCGGTCTCCTCAACTGTCTCTTGCACTGTCGGGATGTCGGACACTGCAGGCTGCTCAGGAGAGGACTCCTCCGTAGGGCTCTCGCAGGGCCCGTAAATTGTCGAGACACTGGTAGGTGAGGTGGAACTCTCCTGAGTTGACTCCAACACCTCCTCAAACGGGACACTCGTTACTGATGGCTCTACGGTGCTTTCTTCCTCCTGATACTCAGCACTTGGAACACTCGACTCGGAGGACTGACTGTGTGATACTTGATGGTAAACAGCGCTCGAGTACGAAGGCTCGCTGCGAACGATCGCTTCCATTGGTCGTTGATACTCCTGACGTGCCGGCGGGTCATTGACGGTAGGAAACCGCTGTATCTCAGGCATATTCTTCAACCTATGAACAATAGGCTCGTAAGACGGCTCAGGTGGTGTGCTCCGTAACGAGAGCAGCAAGACGAACAAGCTAAGTGCGACGATGACGACGTTCTTACGGTCCTGCATCAGAACCCGGACTGTCCGCCAGAGAAGCTCCGGCAAACTTGCTGATTGATATCCACCGGGCCGAGTCTGTTTCTGTTTTTCTGCCTGGGACTCTGGCGCAGGAGGTGGTGGTGGTGATGGTGGCGAACGAGCGTATGGGTCAGGATGCTGCGAAGGTTCTCGGGCGGGAGACTCTGGTGGCGGTGGGCTTTGTGGTGGGCTTTGCCCATACATCTCGTGCAGCCTTTCTTCGTCTCGCTGTCGTCGGCGAGAAGCCCTTGACTCAAACCTGGGCTGGTGAGCCGCTTCAGGTATAATCGATGGTGCAGGTGACGCAAGGGGGGATGATCGCATGTTAGCATATGCGTGCTGCCGTGACTGGCGCGTTTCACTTCGTCGCTGTTCTTCATATTGCATCTCCACCTCTTTGGCGATCTCAGCCTCCTCGCGCTCCTGCTGCACAGCGGCAAGGCGCACGATTTCATCTTGCACCGCAGGCTCGACTACCGGCTCGAGCTCCACGTCCACGCGCTCCATCTCCTTCCAGCAGGCTTCCCAGGCGCCAGCACGCATCAAGCCATTACTAGCATATACTTTGACGCGGAATATTTTGTCTCCACCAAGAGTCTCAAATCGGATCTCACTCTTGCAGGTACTACACCAGTGACGCTTGATGGAAGACGACTGTTGCTGTTGCTTACCATATTCATCTTCACTTTCTTCCTCTTCTGCGATTGTCGCCTCATTGGAGGGCCCAAGGTAATGGCCACATTCCAGGATCCTCGCGCGCCGGCGCACAGGGAGATCTAAGGCTTCTAGCAGACGCTCCTCAAGAACCTCATAGTCATTCTGAGGGTGGCCCAGTAGAATACCTCGTTCGATGACTGTGTCGCCGACGCGGTCTTGCAGGATACGCCATGAATTCCGCAGTGTCTTTGCCTGCTCGCTCATCTCGACCGGGTCTAGGTTGTTAACTAGGTCACCCCACATCCATCGTAGTGGCAGTAGCGTCACATGGAGGAGCACGAGGGGCGCTTCCTGTCGGGACTTGAAACGTGGTGGCGTAGACCTCCTTTTAGGAGAGTACTGCGCAGAGCCTGAAGGAGTCCCCAGCCTGGAAACGGATGGAAAGTGTTTCTTGGAAGAGCGTGGCGAGCGCGGCGAGCCCACGACAGACCCAGCTGGCGACGACATCTGCATAGCGCGCACGTCGGAAGGGGTTCTGAAAGGTGGCCGCGGCGTTCCCCGTGCGGTGGGAATGAAATCCTCTTTGTCATATTGTGAGATGTCTGATATGCGAGGCGAGCGGGTGATGGTTGTCATGTTGTCAATGTCGACTCCTTTGCCAGACTCGGAGCCGGCGTCGTACGAGCCCATTGAGCTGCGAGGACTCTTGTCAGTGAAGACATCCTCATCCGTGCCTCCTTGTTGGGAGCTGCTCTCATCCTCATCTCTCCCTCTCGGAGTGGCATCGGCCTCGGACTCAGAATGGTCAACATACGAATGTCCTCTATCGTCAGGTTGAAAAGAAAGATCTGTTCTTTCGCTGAGCATGGAATGCTCGCCGGCTTCTTCGTCGTGGGTTGAGCTGTCGTCTTCGTCGTCTTCAACGCTCGGGCGCAAGCCTCGTGGCGCTTCCCTCTTAGTATCCTTGGTCATCTCAGTATCTGATCTATACTCGGTACGTTCGGTGGATGTTGAAGAAGGGTCAACTTCTCCATCGCTTGAGTCTGTTGTGTCGGGAGTTTGTCGGGGGGCTTCGCTGGGGTTCTCAACGTTGCCGCTCGGTGATGGTATTTCTTCGTCCATTGGGGTGTTGAGGCAGGACGAGTCGACGTGAATCTCAAAGTCAAGGTCCGGTTTTGTTCGAGGCATGGAAAAGAGATTAGGGAAAACAAAAAAGAAATGGATGGCACCCTTGACCTTGTCAATATTACTTGTAGCACAACAGGCGCTTTGGCTGAAACTACCCACCTGCTGTACTGACTCTGTACTTCGTAGGGCAGAGGAAGGGAGGGATACGGCGCAAGCCCGCAGAGATACTAAACAGAGACACTAGACTCTGACGAGACTGGGGACTTTGTTATGATGCTCTTGCTGAGTTGTCAATTCGATGTTGCATCTGCACGTCTGGTTGGCTACGTGCGATCAGACTCGAGGGTGTCATTGGGCGCTTCGGTCTGACCTGATCTGGCGGTGGGCTGGTCCCAGTCAATGTTGACATTCGTTGCTCCGTCAACATATGGCGCTAGCACTCCACAACTGCCTGCCAATTGGCCAATCCCTAATTGACACCTCTACATACTTAGGTACAATACCTAGTACATTGTACCTGGGTACAAGTACCTACTGTACTATATACTCCCTATGTACTACCGGTAGTATTCCGAGAGCATGACATGCTCTACGGAAGTATTTACGGACTCTCCGGTAATTAATTCTAATATTCTAATACCTATCGGCTATATAATTATATGAATTTGATCGGGGTCACGGGAATTAATTGGCCAGCAACAGATTCTCCAGTGTACACAAGCATCAGAAGCAGTTTCTACTGCTGCGATTACTACAGTGGTGATCTGCATAAGTTATAGTTGACGTCATATAATTTTCGCAATCACTACCTACTTATTCCTCTTTATAACTTCGGATAGTCATCACTCTAATTCCCACATGAATATCTACCCATAATAGGAACCTTCTTACAATGCACTGTCATTATAGCATGCGTCAGATACCTACTTACTTAAGTATGTACCTTACTTACTGTTAGTGTAGGCAGGCCACAAGGATCACTCTTGTTCTTCCCGCCTTCCCACTATCCACAGTAGGAGAAGACCCTGGAGACGATTCATGAACAGAACAAATGTTCGAAGTTAGCAGCTCAGCGTCCACTGTTTCGGTGTCAGTGGAGCACGCCATGGCCAGTAAAAAATAGCGTGCTTATTGCCTACCTATTTGATCAACTGACTCTCCTAATGCAGCCAGAGTTTAATGTCTCCTGACCAATCAAGAACTCTATGGAATTATCTAGGCTATCTTAGTTTGTCTACTCCACCAGTCTCAGTTTTCCTGATTGTCAGAGGCGAGGCAGATCAAAAGATTGTGATGCGACGCTGATGCTCGCAACGTCGTCGCAGTCAACGATGCCACCCTCTATACAGACCTTCAAGATACGCTTAGCATATGCTAGCCGCGGCCTGTCCACAGCCTCGAGTGCCCATGCGGCATGTCTTGCAAGTCATAGCAAATACAGATTCTACTCTGCCGCTTCGCTGCCATCGGCGAGTGCCGTTATAGTGGGAGGCGGACCAGGCGGTATCACTGTATTAGGGAATCTACTCGAGCACAGCGCCCAACTTTCAGCCGATCAAGGAAAGTTGGTGTGGGTTGATCCTCAATTTCAAGGCGGCCGTGTCAACCTACGTTATCGAGAAGTGCCTAGCAACACCAAAGTCAGCCTATTTGTGCAGTTTGCACATGACGTCTCGCCTTTCAGAACGATCGCTGAGGCAACCCCCAAACCGAATGCCTTGACAGCATTACAAGAACTGCCCCAGGACAAGGGGTGTCGTCTTAGCTATGCCGCCGATATGTGCTTGATGCTCACCAAAGGGTTGACTGTGCATCCCCAGGTTCATTCACACGAAGGCAAAGTTACGAGTGCGACTCTTGACGAACGCACAGACACCTGGACAGTGACCTTCGAAAATGGCCAGTCTGTCGAAACACCCAAGATAGCTCTTTGCACAGGTTCCAGGCCGGTTTCCACGACATTACCCGGTACTGAGAACATTCAAAATCTATCACCAATAGACTTGGATGTAGCTCTTATGCCGTCTGCATTAGTTACAATATTTGACCCTGCTGCCAGGACCACAGTCGCCGTCGTTGGTGCCTCTCATTCGGCGATTTTGGTACTCATGAATCTCGTCAACCTTGCCAGCTCATCTCATCCTCATCTACGGATCAAGTGGTTTACACGGAATAAACTCCGCTATGCCGAATACATGGATGGCTGGATATTACGTGATAACACTGGTCTAAAGGGGCAAGCAGCAGAGTGGGCACGTCAAAACCTGGATGATGAAGCATTCCCCAATAGCCCAGTTAATCAGTTCATCAAAAAGGTCTGGACGTCCGGCAGGGAAGAAGAAGTCTATAAGCAAGAGTTGCCCGAATGCACGCACATTATCCAGGCCGTGGGCTATGCTCGCAACCCATTGCCTCGTCTTGAAGTCATTGAGAAAGATGGAGGCGATGCCAAGTCCCTGCAGGTAGAATATGACAACCTAAGTGGGCGTTTCTTTAAGCAGGATGGCGCAAAGTTAGAAAATGAGAAGAAATATGTGCCTGGGTTATTCGGCGCTGGCATTGCTTTCCCAGAACGCGTGACCGATCCCCATGGGAACGTTGAACATGCTGTTGGCTTCTGGAAGTTCATGAAGTTCGTTAAAAAGGTTGTACCTGAATGGATTAAATCCTAGTTACAATCTGGTTTCGACACCACATTGAGCAACTGATAAGAGCTGTTTCGCCCCCTTTCAGAAATTATACGAACAAAAGGATTTTAGACTAGAAGATTACAGCGGATATAGATCTGTACTGATTCTAGAATTGGCATCATTGTTGGTTTTAGATCTGAATCATGCATAGAAGCTAGAATAGTCTAGGGGTTCAGACCATCCTATGTATATATATCATCTTTTTCATAACACCAGCGTAGAACAAACTATAGAGCCTTGTGCAGACCCTCGTGTTTTACGATCCAACTGCCATCCCGTGGAAAACCCGGTGTGTCTCTTACTGAGCCTTGCCAACCGGCAGCCATGTACGACACTATTAAACTGATCAGGATTCTCACATATCAGAAACTATTAGAACAGGGATACCTACCAGCATAAAGGAATCCCGCATTTCCCGGCATGAACGGCGGCGGCGTGCCACCTAGGCTCGTCAGCAGGGGATTCTTGTCTCCCACAATTACATATAATTAAAAAAAAAAAAAAAAACTCACCATTACCACCACGTTGCGCGAAGCCAGCGTCGTCGAAAATCCAGTAATCATAAGCAGTCAGACATCCCACTGCACGTTCGGGATTCCCAATCCTTGCCGCGTTGAGAGCTAGCACGGGGCGTCCCCAGCCAAAGATCTTGTCGTCTGTCCAAATCTCTGCGACCTTGTCGGCGGTGCGGAGACCCACGGCCGGGTCGACCGCGGGCGTGTCGGGCAGGAAGCCCTGGAGCATGATGACGCTGCGCGGGTCATCTACTAGGTCGGGATCCTCCCACCATGAGCCGTTGAGTCCTTCGTAGACGGCGTAGAGCCCGTCGGCTTGTGGTGGCGGGGCCAGTTTCGCGGCCACGGTTGTCCATTTCGCTGGTGCGGGTTGTCCGAGGCGCTGCTTCCATGTCTGTGCTATGTCGAGACCATAGCGCCAGTAGGCAATCTACAGCAACTCTCAGTATAAGTGATGAATTACTTTCTCGAGAGAGTGAAGACAGGAATACCTCGTAAGCTAGGTTCAGTGTCTCTAGAGGAGGCGTATTCTCCGTGACGCCGTACGCACTGCGGAAAGTGTCAATTGATGGAGCTATGAGATGTTCACATCGACACTCACGGGGGGCCAAGGTCATATCGCCCTGAAGTTTGATTGAACCAGGCATATGACGCCATATAATCCGCCGTCGCAGTCAGCACACGATCCCAGCGCTCAAGCGTTTCTCTTGTAGGCGAGATCTGATACCTCAGCTCAGCAAGAAACATCGGGTGAGGCTGTAGTTTCAAATCTGGTCAGCACAGTACAAGTGATCCCTGGTGTAAATAATATGGTCTTGCTCAGCTTACCTGCTGCCACAAGAGATAACCGTTGATTCCTCCAGGCGAGCTTCTTCCTGTGTTGATATCCGTCATCTTCGGCCACCTAACCGAGACGCTGAATGTTAGTATCTCCCATAAATTTAGGGACTGAGAATGATATTACCTAGCCCCGTTCCAGCCCATAGCCTCGGCTCTTGCTATAGAAGAAGGCAATAATGTCTCATAGAGTTCCGGGAACACGTTGTCGAAGTGTTCTTCTCGACCCCAGGTGCACCAGTGGGCATTATGCCAGAGCACTTGTTCCATGTGAAATTTGCCTATACTTGCGTCAATGGCCTCTCTTCCTCGGAAGGAAAGTAACTTGGGGCATAATCTTACCATACCAACCGTTGTTCATCAAGCCGCTCTCCTGCGGTGATTGTCCGGTCGCCGCGCTGTTAACACGTACATGGTACTGCGACAGAATGATCCGGCGCTGTAGCTCGTCGGCCCTGGGGTTAGGAGACGATGTGACGTCTACGAACCCGCCGTGGCTCCAGTAGTTATTCCATCCCTCTACGTTTCGGCTACGAATCGCAGCTGGCAATTCAGCCTTTTGCTTTCCGGGAGAGAAGTTCGCCGAGAACTCAAGGATTCCATCTGTGAGATTCCGTGCTGTAGAAAGGGTGTAACGGTGCGCGGTAATCGCAGCCGAACCTCGCGGTTCGTCCCTAGAGAGTGTAAGCGGTGCTTGGCTTGCCCAGCGAAGGTTTACGAAGTATCTAGTCTCTTGTAGTTTATGTTGTATATGTGCTTCACTAGCATCCTCAGATCCAATAATCTCTGTGGTGTGATTTAGCGGAAAGTCATAGACTCCCACAAAAACTTCATATTTGTACTTTGTGCTGTGGATCGGCGGGAACGGAAAGTCGAGCTCAACTTCCAGAAGTCCCGAGGCGATGAGTTGTGATTCGATACGAATCGCAACCGAATCACTCTCAAAGTCCCCTTGTGTGATAACCTTGACAGCTTCGTCATCGACCGTGAAGGTAGATGTTATCACGCCATTCCAGACGTCGAGTTCCTGCACAGGATCTGAGATTTGACCTGCTGATAGCGTAGAGCCATTGTATCTCAGGCCCACGCGGCCAAGATTGATGCGGTTCGGATTGCTGATGATCCAGTGACTTGCTTCTGGTAAATGAGAATCCGGAAGGTCGTATGAAACGTTTCTCCCATGTGTCAAAACCGAAACGCCATGATAATCACTGATGTCCTCTCTATTTTGTTATTAGAACAAGGGCAAGTATAGCTCCATTTCTTCACATACCCGTTGCTTGGTAAAGAGTCGTTATGCCAGGTCCAACTGGAGAGTGTGTTAAAGGGAAGAAAAGTCTGCGTGCAGTGTAAACTCAAACTTCTCCGTCTTACGATCTAATTTACACTTACTTGCATCCCCGTGTTGTCGACATTGAAGGCGAAATTCCCGTTCCCAACTTGAAGAGGTGTAATATTGTTGTCGATAAGAGCTGTGCGCACAATATTGTACCGTGAAACAACCCCTTGTCTTAGAGCGAATTCATTAGTGCTACTATTCCGGGTCACTTACGAACATGTTGAGCGAACCTATCAATAGCACACAGAACGGTACCCATGAATAACAGAATCAGCCATAACAGCGCAGGATTCGCCATCTTGAAGATCCAAGGCCTCGTTATCATACTTTAACCCAGACACTTGGAAGATGATATGTAACCAAGCCTTCATGCGTTCGTCGCAGCCTGCCCGATACTTTATATTTGCCCTGATCCAATTTCCTAATTAATGCCGGAATAAATGTGCACCGAATTCCACGTTACCCCTCAGCCAGCGGTGATCCTGACGTGCTACTACTCGTGCTGCTCTCGTGCCTTGCCCCATCTCTCTACGAGCTGCACCGAATGAATGAATCGCGACATTCAATGATATCCGGGGAGAATGATCGAAGACTGCTTGTTTAGGACACACGAAGTGGTAGGTGGTAATACAACGGCTGCATTTGAGTGCCTATAATTAACAATATCTTGTTAACAGTTGATCTCAAGGCTGTACTATCGAATTTCAGATCGTAACAAGCTGTCAATCTTTGCAGTTTGGCTGGTTGGGTTCAGCCTAGCGAATACAGTTTTGGGATTTGGTTTATTAGAGCTGTCCCGAAGGTGTGAGAAATCTAGCTCATTGTCTAGACAATTTAACATAGGCTAAATTCGTTAAATCATGATCCTCCTTGACCTATCCGCGCTAGTTGCTCAATCATTCTCATTTCTTATTACACATCCGCTGTCACCCAATTCCTGTGATTCATTCGTATGTTCCTTTCTCCGACCGTACCGCCTCGTAGGCATCGACATGTGTTGTCGCGAATTTCCTAGCAGACACTTTCCTCATGAATAAGAGATCCAACTCTTCATAAGTGCGATCTTTGATCTCAGGTAGGCGGAAATAAGACCACACAAAAACGAGGAACGCTGTGCCGCCCCAGAAGAATCCGCTCTTGCCAGCCCAGTTCCACTCTACCACACTAACCATGTAAGTATTCAAAAACTGTGAGATAATGTTGACAACCTGATAGGCAACCCGAGCAAGAACTACTGATAAAGGGCGAAGCCGGACAGACGATGTCTCAGAAATGATACTGTACTGTACACATCTTTAGAATGATATAATACCAAGACTGAGATCGGTACTTACGGCAAGAGGGCCAATAGTGAGCGAGTAAATGAAAAGCCAGAAGACACAGAGTCCGCCAGAGGCCCAAAGACCCGGAGCTCCAGCAGTGACACTTAAAATACCAACGATCAATAAAGTGAGGGATAGGATACCCATTCCGCCCACATAGAGTGTGCGTCGACCCCATCGCGAGATCAAGATCCAAGATCTGCAAAATGATATCAGCATAAAGCTTAGTGTTCTCTCCTCAGTTCAACAACTTACAGAATTGTGCCGATAAATGCAATACCTTTAGCACCGAGGCTTAGGTAAAAAGACGCATCTGTGGGTAACCCGGCCGACACGAAGAAAAACGTAGGCGTGTACGCAAAAGTGCTACCAGAGAGGATCTGGCCTGCCAGCGTGACACAAACAATCTCCGTTCGGCGTAGGTTGGCCCCTTTAAAGCAATCGGCATACGTCGCGCCTCCAGTCTCCGCGGCTTCGACTTTGTTCGTATGTACCATCATCGCAATTTGATTGTTAAGTTGTTCTTCTGTCTTCCCACCACTCAGCCTACGGAGTGAGTGCTTGGCTTCCTCCAGACGTTCGGCCCGTACAAGCCACCATGGGCTCTCAGGGCACAGATAGCATACTATCATCAAGGGTATTGGCCAGACCTATTTCGTATGTCCTTGTTAGTAGATGATCTAAGATCAGCGTACTAGCGGGTTTCATACCCATTGAATAGCGAAAGGGATACGAAAGGCCCATTCGTTCTTGATATTGAGACCACCTGTTAACACACCAGCCGCGATTAACTGGCCGATAGCCCAACACAGGTTAACGTAGGTAGTCAAATATCCACGCAGGTTCGTAGGAGCGACCTCCGAAGCGTACGCCGGCGCGAGAGTAGCAAAGACACCCCAGCAAAGACCACAAAGAATCTGGCCAACTAGAAGTACTTGGACACTATTGAACAAGAAAACCAGAAGGATGAAGAAGTTGAGGATCCCTAGTGATCCAATCATCACCCACCGATAGCCCCATCTGCTGGCAATATAGCCGTTAAGTATACCACCTGTAGAAAATCGATATTAGATTCCGGAATCGAGTTCAGTATTTGCTATTTAGATTTTTTGGTACGTACCGACAATGGCGCCAGCTGTACTGGCCTGATTCAGTCCCGTCTGCCATGGTCCAGGGACTTGCCAGTCCTTTTCAGGTCCGTAGTATGATCCATACTTCTTATTGAACTCGGGATACGCGAAGAAAGTACCTATAAGAATGGTATCATAACTTCCATCGGTCAGTCTCTGGGATCCTACCCCATCATCTGAATCCCTGAGAGAGAAACTTACCCTTCCATAATAATTGTCATTGAAATCAAGACCGACCACATAACAGCCTTACGATTTTCTCGTAGGGCTTGCCATAGAGTCTGTGCATGTTCATCATCAGTCGCCCTTTTCGCCTCAAACAGTGCATCCTGCCCTAGCTTCTCCTCCAGGTGCCTATCAGCCACTTTCTGGGCAGATATCTCGGCCTCTGACGCCATGATGTGATTTGTGCCAAGTGGTAGCAGCTGAGTTGGGATTCCTTGTCGCCCTGAGGTGGTAGAAGCCGTACAGCGAGCCGCCATACAGCTTCTCAAACTGTCTCTGGGAGGGCCAAGGTCGCATTATAACTCTTTTAAAGGCTATGTCAATATCTGGCGAATGTCAAGATCCCGGTCTCAATATGGTGGTCTGAGCTTTGCGTCCCCGAGAGAATGGATGAGGTTGGGGAATTTGGGGAACTGTTCGATCACTACCCCATGCTCGTCACCCTCTGGGCGTCGAGTTAATCCACCAATGCTCTCTTCTGATCGGGGGTCCTAACAGCAATTCCCGCCTTTTACAGGTTACAAGAGCATTCTTGTCAGTCACTGTGGTCCCACCGTCTGCAGACCAGCGGTGAGATACGTTAGAATTGTATTAGGTATTTGATCATGGGGAGCCAACGGTGTTGGGTTGGTGATACATGTTAGCTAGCTGGTGTCTCGCTAAACCTGGATGGTTTTCCTGATCGAGTGACTTGAAGGAGATGGATCGTACGCTAAATAATTGAGATGACGGAGAGCTTTAGGAAAATTATTAATTCGCCCGGGAACTTCAGTCTTGGACTATGTTCTCGCCGATCTTTTCAATCTTCCCTGAAGCCCCTATCCCCGCATATTCCCCAGATTCTGAAGAAACCTGGAGTACCCGTCTAGCTATGCGATCCAATCAAGATAAGAAATAAATAATTAGCTCAAATCGTCGCTCTCAACGGTAGACTAGCCTTATTAAGTCATCAAGGTGCGGTCTACTGTGATGCTAGAAACTGTAGGAAGCTAAGTATTGGTATTCGCATGTTCGCAGGCCGCATCGGGAAGGAATTCGGGCTACGTAGGTAGGTACATATATGGGGAAAGGGAAATACGGACCGCAACGCCGAAAAGCACGTTGATGGACTCCTTCACCTAGCGAGGGCACAAGAGCGTGAAAAAAGGAGTTACTACGATTCGATGATTTAAGTCACGGTCGAGCAAGTTTGGAGACCGACCTATCATCTTAAGTCGCTTCAAAATGCTGTGTTCCAACCAAGCTCTCAACGCAGTTCATCCATTATCTAACAGCAGGCCACGGGCGAATGGAACCCATTTACTAGGGTTTTATTCACCTGTCAAATAACCCCTAATTACCACTCGTTATCCTTGGGAGCCAGCAAGGAGAGGCTTCCAATTCTCATGATGTAAATCCTACAGGGCGCAGACCATCGAGACGTGAGGTGCCCAGCTACGTCCACGGCGAATCACCCTGCGCCATTATACATGTGCCACTGTCTGTTCAAGCTATTTTCCCCCATGTCCATACGGCTGCGGTCCTCCTGATCCTGTTTAGTCTTGTATCGTTGTGTCTCTTATCCCTCCTCTTTCACAGAGCTGTATCATACACCATATGCGATTAATCCCAAACAAGGATAGTAGATGAGGCCGACTCTTATGATTCTACGCCATCTTATCTGAGAGTCGTATTGAATATACATCGCAGAATAGGGAGGGTTAGCTATCTCGCCCCTCTTTGGGAATCTTCTTGTTGAGCTATTTTGTTTACATCGGAAACACTGAGTAAAAAGGCGCCATTTCTTAAGCTTCAGTTGGGCTCTTTCCTTGCGGTCGGAAGATCTGGGGTGGCGCAGGCTTAAATTCTGAGTACGAAGTAATTTTGAGGGATGATTGCTCCTCTATTTGCGACGGAGTTGGCTCGGAGGTTGGCCTAGTTGATGTGGAGGTTATGAACGCCCCTAGCTGATTGTCGAGCTCGGCACGCGCATTATCGGTATTCGTCAATGTTGTTCGTCGGAACCTGCACGGGAATAACATCCTATATAAGGTGCATTTGCTAGCTTTCGTTGTCCCAAACACCAAAAATACCTATATGTGGCATTAGTAATAGTCAAGAGTTGCTTCTGAAAAGGTCGAAGTCCAAGACATTTGGTCTTGTAAGAGGTTATTGAAAACGCCACTCGTGAAGCTTACCAAGAGCCCTGCCGAAACCCCAGGTAGGAATGAAACGAAATCATCCCGTGCGCGATTAGCTGATATGTCTGGTTCGTCTGGTAAGACTTCTTCCTTATTATCCCTAATTTGCATCAACTCCGATAAAGTTGACAGTATCTGGAAAATCTCGAGGAAGACGAATGCGATAGTAAATCGCACGATCAACCAGCCGTCGTAGATTCTATTCTCAGAGTCCGAATCCCAGTCCAAGTTCTGTCCATTTTCTCCTTCAGTCTCGTCGAGATTCCGGGGTATAGGATAGCGAATAGTCCAGCGGTGTAGCCTCCTCCGTGTTTGAATATACTTGAACATAATCACTACAAGAAGGATACTTCCCACGGTCAGACTGATAGCCACTGGGTCAAGTTAGATCAAGCATTCATAGAGGGTCAAGGTATTCAACTACTCACAGAGAAGGTCAGCAAGTGTTATGAACGCTGGAGTCGAACTCTTGATGGCTGGGATCTGGAGGAGGGCTATTTGAGTCGCGGGTAGTAGAAAAGCCAATGCTTTTGATAATATATTCAATCTTCGACTAATACGGTCCTGCGTAGTAGCTCCAAGTGGACTGAAGATAGATGTTGCTAGAGAAAACGCCCTGTTTCGCTTCTTAGCCAATAATTGTATTATATAACAGCTCCTAGCTTACCAGAAGAGGGTTAAGATACCCTCGATATTATAGCAATAGTACTCTACCATTTGAATCATGGTCAGCCCTGCTCCCAATTAAATCGCTGGATTAACAGGATACCGTACGTATATAGAAAAGTACTAAGTCAAGCCCATACGAAGGCCCTGCAATAGCAAGCTCGGGGCTGCCCAAGTGATCGTGCACGTAGTGAAATTGATTCGTTTTGATATCTTCCCAGAGTACGATTGTATGTAGTTGCTGCGCAATGCTGGCGGCGACACTAACAAATATAGTGCACGAGAGTAGCGAAATATCTGTATAACACTGTAAGCAGAGACATCAAAGGAAAGCTGTCGACGGGAACTCTCACAACTATCCTTCGCCCGATGTTTGTAAGCAAGGAGAATCATCAAACAGCTGCACAAGAGACAGATGTACGAGTAGACTTGAACGCCAACAGCAGCTGCCAAGGCATCGGCTGGCAGTTGAACCACCATAACGAGTGGCAGAGAGAGACTGAAGGCATGAGGTAGGTTAGGCGGCACCTTGACTGGAACTAGATTAAAATACCAAGAGATGAAGACGCCTTCCAGCTGCAATCTTTTATCGTTCGGCTCTTGGCGGACCTGGAAAATGAGAAACCGGGATCCACGGGCTGATACCCTTAATGCGTTGATATTGCTACTTTGAGCGGCTGAACGATGCTGATGAGAGGTGAGATCTTCCTTGCAGGAATCGTGGGGGTGGAGGTCGCTTCTTTGATGGATACAGGCCACGAGTTGTTCTAAGCGTATCATGTTCATAAGACAAGAGAACTCGTACACATATAGGTACGCTGCCAAAGCACTTATTTGGTAGCTTGGCCCATTATGAAGTTTTAACGACGTCGATCTTTCTCCAGTATTGATCATACAATTTTCAACTAAGGCCAGGATCTACCATTCATGAAGACCTTGCTGATAAGATATACATGATGCAGACTTACATCGGAAAGTGAGGTGGGATCCGATTTCACAGTCAATAGCACTCATACTGCCACGGACGGAGAGACAAGGTTATGGTTTAGTCTTACCATTACAAGCTAAATATTAGCCACGAAATGCGCGGTAAAAGATGGTAGACACCTCTGCTCTCCTACGTTATCACTGATGGCTGGTCAAAGACTCAAATTTCGCATGGAAACCTATGGCGTATGGCGATATCGTGGGAGCATTTTTCATGATGCTTACTATACCCTGGAGTAACCACAAGCTCTCAAACAAGAACACGGAGCTCCATGAGATGGCCTTATAGGTGGCGACCATGCAATGGTACCCTCTCACCCGGCAAAGAATTGACGACAATGGTACTAACGTTCACTCCAGCAGAGTCGGCTCATGATCTTCAACAGCCGCGAAAACAAGGTTACTTCAAAACATCAGTTGAGACCACTAACTTCGTACCCTAGTTATCCTCTAACATAGATGAACGACGAAGACGCCCCCGACCAGGGAGCAATGCAGCGCTTCGCTTATGTGGAAAGAGATCTAGAGTATGGCTACCCAAAGATTGCCATTCTCTTCAATAGCTGCACACCGTCTTAGCGATTCAATGTACCGAGCCCATCACCAGCGTTCATGTCTTGGCACGCAAGAGATTTGTCACTTCCCCAGCCGTTATCAGTCTGCGCCCATTAAGCGAGAGGGTCGACACCGTTCTAAGGTTCCCAACCCAAGGCGAATCGGAGCAGACCTTCCTTCTGTAGCCAGTTGTCATATCTGACAAACTGTATGCGTTCGTTACTCGGGGTTCGTGCAGGAGGTGGATATGCCAAGATGCAGTGCCGTTGACAAACGGGAATCATGGCCGTCCCTGGCATGTTTGAGACTAGGCATATCACACGAACTGGACCTTGTGCTGGCAGGGGTCATGCAGACTGTCAACCCCTGACGAGAATCCGCCACCTACATACATGCCCAGTCAGACCCAGTCGCCAGTGTAGCGTGGGGTGTGGTATACTACTGGCGTTCATTACATTATTATGGTGTAGACAATTTAGTTATTTAATGGTGGGCCATATACACAAGTTACAATATACCGTCTACTGTATATGTTGAGGTGAGTATAATGCCATCAGATGAACTACTGTAGGCGCTCAACTCGCTTCAGCGTCCACCTCGGTGGCCAGGCTGGCAATGTCCGCCCACTCCTTTGGCCTCACTCTTCCACCATCGACCACATCATTCAGATACCCCTCGGCTTCAGCCGCCCAAGAGAGGAGCTGCTCCTCTGCCCCCCACTCTCCCATGGCCATCATACCAATAGGGAGCTTTCCCTCTCCCTGCTCCGGCTCGCTGTAGCCCACTGGTGCGCTCACTGCAGGACAGCCAGTAGAGTTAGCTAGCCAGATGTACATCATCATGCGTAACGTGAGGTTGGAGTCTACGAATCCGTAGGCCTCGTCTCCAGGGTGTACTTTCCAGCCGGCCTCAGGTGCTGTGGGAGTGACAATGAGCAGCCCGGGATACTTCTGGAAGAGGAAAGCGAGGTGTTCCATTAGAAGTGCCCTCAGCTGTGAGTATTTAAGCATGTCCGCAGCGGTTGTGCAACTTGAAATCCCCACGACTATTTTATTGCAATGATTCAGTGAAGAATACTGTCCCTTGAGCCGAGTTTTCACATGATCCAGCGCTTCGGCAAGAGCCCAAGCCCCATGAGCCCATTGGCCTTCTTGAAGGTAGGGGATTTGTATGTCAACTACGTTGTAGTCCAGCTTTTCGGCGAAGTAAGCGATGGCCTGCTCGGTGCTCTTGCGAACCACAGGTGATGCGCGATCGATCCACTCTCGGCATATGCCGAGTGTCTTCTTGGCTGAGGGAGACGGCGGAACAGACGGCGCGAATGCACTTTGGATGGCATCGTCGGGGTTGGGAGCTGTCATTGATCGATATGCTATTGCAAGGTCGGCAGCTGTGGCTGCGAGAGGCCCAATAACACAGATAGATGATTTCATTGTATGCGTGCGGTGTAGGGTAGGTTTCAATCCGTACATGCCACAGAAGGTCGAAGGGATCCGGATGCTCCCTCCTGCGTCCGTCCCGATAGCAATGGGTATCAGGCCAGCGGACAACGCAGATCCTGCGCCGGAAGAGGAGCCGCCTGTGTAGTACGAAGTATTGTACCAGTTCTTGGGCGAACCACGACGCGGATTACAGCCAGTGACATCAGAGCCTAACTCATGCATTGCGAGCGTCCCGACGACGATGGCACCAGAAGCCTCCATCTGGGCTATAGGCCAGAGGGATTGATTTGCTGGCTTGAATGTAGTATCCGAGGGCTCTGGTCGCTGTCCGTAATAACAAGTATATCCCTCAACGGCGGTATCCTCTTTCACACCTACGGGAACGCCATCTAAGAGCCCGAGAGGCTCCCCTTGACGGTAGCGCTCGGTAGAGGCTTTCGCCGCTGCAAGAACAGATTCTACGCGGGTCTCCGACCATGCTGACACATATTTGCCGCCTTGCTCGCGAGAAATCAGAGGGATCAAGGCCTTCACCACTTGGAGCGGAGTGAGCTTTCCAGACTTGTAAAGCGCATGGTAATCGGCACTAGAGTAGAAACGGCCGGCGGCATCCTCCGGTTGTCTCGGGAAGAGCTCCGGCGTAATCGGCAGTCTCGGCGCTTCGTTGCCGTCAGCTGTCAGCGGGGTTACAACAGGCTAAGCGTTTTGTCAACTAACGAAATAGAGAGTGGGCTATGATTCCGGCAACTTACGTGTAGGTGATAATTGTACTGCTCCAAGCTCTCGATATTCTGGATACCGCCGAACTTAGCATTGGTCCATGCCGCCTTGGCTAAAAACGGCAACCTAGTGAGACTGGCAGCAACAATGAGTATCAGGGCTTTGAGCAGATAAAATGGCCATGACAACGACTTACGCGTTCGCCGCAAGAACCAACGACCATCCTCTTATAACGGGGTTCGGATCTTCAACAACGGTAGATAACGATGCTGTCTGGGGACCTTCGCGTGCGCGAGGATAGCCAGAGAAGCGCTGCTGGGAATTAGGCACCATTTTCTATGCCGCAATGAATCCAATTAATCGACCTCTTCTCTTGTTCTTGTTCTTCTTCACTTCTTCACTTCGGAATGGATGAAGATAGAGTTGAGGAGGGCTATGATTCTGAGTTGATCCGCTCAGTACCTAACCTTGGGTGCTTGGAGGACCGAGGTTCCCTGCACGCGCTATTCTAGAAACGCCATATGTACTTAAGTAGGTAGTTACGCTAACCTATGTACGTGTGTGTATACACGGTGCTACAAGATATATATCACCATGTAAGCAGTAACGACGAATTGACGGCTTCTAAGCGTACGCAGTTTCGCAATCTCGAAATGTGCTTCCCTGTGTATATTTATATCATTCCAGACTTTTCGAAATATGTATCCTCGTTCTCTACCTAAGTTTTATAAAATTTCTAGTAAGTCTCTGCGACTACCATAGCAAAGACCTAATCTTCACTGTCATATCTGTGGAAATGAGATATGGTTTAGACTGCTCTAAAGAGCTTATATGCTAGTTCGCCCTCACGGTCCAAACGTGTATTTCTCAAGAGTGAGCGTACCTGCAGCCATAGCTGTGGTACTTATAGGATAGCGGTGTTGGTGAAGGGGGGCGTCAATAATGATGTGCCTTGGAATCTGTATCCAATAGATTGCTCATCATGGCTATATATATTTTTGATGCTGCATCTCCTCCCTTACGACCACCCTAGCACTAGAAGTGCCGGGCGAAAGTCCGGAAGCCGTTTCCATTGTTGTTGTATCCAAGGGTCATCGCGATAGAGGGGTTGGTGTGGCTGAGACACGTCTTGAGTCACAGCCGCCCCTCGGGATTCCAACGCCATGTAGTGCCGATATGCATTGAGCTCCTCCACAACGAGCTCATCGAGAGCAGCTCGCAAGATCATCTCGACCTCTTCGCGGTTGGGAAATACAGGAGACATTTCCTGGGTTCGCGCCCAGGCTTTGTATGCCGCAATGCTCTGGAGGTCATCGCTGTCGCACAGATCAAGAATGGTACCCTTTCCTTTGTCCTTGTCTGTGAGGTCCGGCCGAAATCGTGGCCAGTAAGCTGTGCTGATTTGTTCGGCAACAAGATACACAACTTTGACTGAATGAAACCGGGTGCCCCCAATCAGATCCCTGACAACAGCTCTGATGTCGCCCCTAAAATCACCAGCATTAATGGCAAGAGCCTCAGCTGCGGCGAAAAAGGGTTCCGGATTTGACAACGGGTAGGGATAGCCGCTGGCTAACTCGAGAACATCTCTGGACCCGATGAACCATGTCTCATTATGCTTGTCACGAGCAGTGGGAAAGCCGCGAACCACGGCGAGGTCTCGGGCAACTTCTCGTGATTCGTGGCACACATGTGCAATTAACGGCGGGTGCAGACGCCAGTTTTCCCACGGCACGCTCTTCGCAAATAGCTGGACTCGACCCCTCGGCAAGGCATGTGCCCAAATCAAGCGCCTGATCTCGATGGGGAGACGTGGAAACGGTAAGAACACGGATATATCAGGCATGATCCGGGATGTGCGTATTATGATGTGGTCCTGAAGCTAGAGTTTCTCGGATCCCGACGTCAAGGCCGGTCCGGTACAGATAAAACGATTGTGATCGCTGGACTCTCATTCCTCAGATTAACCAAGACATATACTGTGTATACAAGAGTTCTCAGTCCCGACGCTCGCCGTCATCTATTTTAGCCAGTCGGTACCGGTCCTCGCCCTGTTCGGTACCACTTTCGTCAGACCTAGCCAACAGAGTAGCGGCAGGCTAGACTGCGATTGAATGCGTTTCATTATGCACCCTACGAGAAATCCTTTCGGGCTCATCGTGTGTTATATACCATGTGGGAGATTGGTCGGTTGGGCACGGTTCCAGGGTTTTCCCACATCATCGCTGGGTACGTGTTCGATATCACATTATATTTCATCGTCATAGGGGATCCAGGTTGACACAGAGCCCGCTGTGGAGCCAGTAAAGATTGTTGGAGTTGACGTGATCGATAGGGCTGATGGCACCATAACGCATTCTACGGGCGCTTCTGCAGTGATTCTAGCGTTAACTGTTGGATTTGGCCCCCCGCTACTGGGAAAACGAAGTCTGTTAGGTTTGCAAGGAAGTATCGTCGCAACCTGCGGGCTGCATTGCGTTTGAGATGTCGGCGCCTGAGATGGGCGTAGAACCGTTATAGCAGCGGGGATAGCCGTTGATAGAACAAGCTAAGTCCTATGTAGCGCGTGGGATGTCCGTGTCCGAGTCGGTGTGGAATTACGTTTATGTTTATGCTTGCTTCCTTAACCTCTATTCCTTGCCCACCACAACCACCCACACAACCAGGAGGTCGGTATCAGCAGATGGCGAGGCGTAAGTTCAGAATTCTCTTCGGTCCTCTTCTCTCTCGGCCTTTTTAACTTTCCACGCGGCCCAATAAATACTTGCACTAGTAACGGCGTAGACTAGTGGCCAACGTATAGCTGCACTTTTCATGGCTTTTCTAGCAACTGGGGCTGGCGTTTTCAGAACCCTCATCTCTATAACTGAACAATAGAAGCATTCTAACAGGAACCCGGCAACACATATGCGCGGCAGTTGTTCCTTTCCTGTCGTGTTATGGATTCGCTCGGCGGTATGGAGAAGGAACGGCTTTTGTGTATTTGGGGGCGAGGACATTTTCAATATGAGGCACGCTGTTGACTTCTGGTCTTCGTGACAGAGCACTTTGGGCATTCGACGGGGCGCTTTCAATGTTAGCAGAGGGAAAATAGTAGAGTAGGTCCTTAACAAAATCAGCGCCCATATTACTGGGTGCCAGCCCCTGGAAGTTTGTCAGCCAGGTCCCCTGTCAAGCCCCTTGCTTGGGGGGTGGGCGGGCTACATGCCGCATTAACACACCTTAAAGTCTAAATCGGCCCAAATGAATTTTCTACTATAGTAAATCAGAACTCGTGAGATATCAGCAAACTCTACATTGATTTAGTAGATAGGCACACTCATTCTAAGCGAGCTCGAGCAGGAAAGAAAGAGTGAATGGTGGAAATACGGAGCCGCTCTCATCATGTGGACACAACAACTGGTCTTCTATGAGTGACATCAAACAGCTGCCTATGGTTACATGGGAGAGTACAATTAGCGTCACATACACATATTGTATTGTGAACGGCTTCTGTTGTCATTGGAGAGTCGCAAGAGAGAAAAATCGAAGCTTAGCCTTTGTGCAGAAACAGCTACTGGTGATAGTCCTCGGGGCTTCATCAAGAGTCGGCATGTTTATATAGGGTCATATTTAGAGAATGGGCTGACTGATAAGAGTCTGTCACAAGGCAGTTGGAACATTAGGCTCCCGTGAGCAAAGACACTCACCATCGCACATTCCTGTAAGGACGAGAACATGACTTGCTCCCAGTTGTCGTGCTAGTTCGAGTTCAGTATTGGTCTTAGACATATTGGAACAAGTGTTTTCACCTCGTCCTCAAAACGTTTAGACGGAGCCACAAGGCTGACCAATTTGGTGACATGTCAATATCAGAAAGCCAAGAGTCCCGTTACCAAGACGCGGGAATCTAGCAGGTGGGGAGAAGGCGCCTCAAGCTATGGAGACTGCATGCACTGGGTCCCATCGGTGGCCGAGGAGTGAGACATATACACAGTTAGGATATGTTCGTAATTATACAATCAATATATACAGTTGAAAATCTCTTTCTGCCCTTTGAATCCTCAAATATTCTATCACCGGAACAGACCCAACACACAGGAAGACCACCGTCGAACGCCGGATAACATCTTCAACTCCCCAAATGCGAAACCTCCTTCCCCGATTTCATCCAACCTGATAATATGGCAAAAAGCTAGTTCTGCGAAGGGTAGTTCCATAACCTTCGCCTCGTACCACAACGAGTATCAGGATATCCCCGTCGTGTTGCTCGCGCACCACGTCTCCACTGAACGGAACAGAGTCTCGATACATCGTCGGTTGCAAAAGAACCGGTACATGGGTATATACCTAGGTAAACGACCAATTCGTTCATCGTTCAGAGTCGTGCAAACACTTGTGACTGATACCGCCTCCCACCTCCCCTCGGCATAACAATGCACATCAAGAACCCCATTGGGATTCTTTTCCGTTAGCCATTCTCCCTGTTTACTGGTCCTCTGTCACTGCAAAGAGCCATATGAATCAGTGTCCGCGTTCTATAGAGCAATCCCCACTTGCGGAGAGTAAAAAAATCAAAAGCAGCGGCAAGAAAATGCAGCAATAAAAAGCACCAAAAACAATTTTGTTTTTAACGAAAACCAATGCTTATGCGATACCGAGGTTGGCGAGTTGTTGCGAGGGATTCTTACTCCAGTCCTTGCCCCAGTCGCCGCCTTCGTGGCCGCTCTCCTTGGTCATGTCCCAATCATGGTCGAGCTTCCACTCGTCCTTGCCTTCGATTCCTAGCTCGAGCAAATTACAGCCGCGGTGTCCCCATTTCTCGGCGAATACCCGGCGGCCAGCATTGGTCAACTCCTCGATTCCGGCGGTGAAACCGGGACCGTCACGGTAGTAGGGCTCACCCTGGCCACCAGTCTGGCGACCCTGCCAGGTGGCCTTGGAGAGGCTGTTTCCAGCCCATTTGACATTCTGCATGCGTTCGGCGACCTCGATAAGATGCTGGAATGCTTCACCCTCCTTCTCGACCCAGCCCCACATGTCCTGCTCGCGCTTAAGTTCGGCTTCACGATGGGGTTGGGCCTTCTCATCCGCTGGCCTGAATACAGGGTCGCCAGCGAAGCCAGCGTGCGATCCGGGCAGCCGGAATAGAGCCCCAATGTCCTTCATTGGGACACCGACATCGAATACCAAGCCTGCCTCGCTTTGGGGTTGCCAGTAGCCAGCCCAGTGAAGCCTCAGGTACATATCGCAATCAGCCGCGTAGTACGGGATGTGCGTGTCCCAAGCACCCACGTCGAGGTAAGCATCCCGGTTGACCAGTGTAAAAAGGTCGTAAGCGAAGAAATGTGTAGCCCATGGCGGCATCTCAGGACCGTTTAGGTAGCGCATCAGGCCAATAGAGCGCTCGTACAGTGTGGCAAAGGGATCGTGGTCCCAGTCGTGATCACGGTCCTTCCTCCTTACGTCCTCATCACTAAAAACTATAGAATCCGAGTGGGCCCAGAAAAAGAAGCGCCACTGCCGCATCAAGGCTGTATGTAGATAGAAATTATGTAGCTGAGCAAAGCTGAGCAGCGTAGGTGTCATGATAACGTTCACGCCCAGTTGATGAAGGGCGGTATGGTTAAGAAAAAAAGGATTTTGAAGTGAAAGTTCGCCCCGCTGATTGGAGCTAAATGTGCCCGTATTCTCTATCACGTAAATATCAGAGGGCGGCCAACCTGCAGCGACATAACTGCTCACGCATTGGAGCAGCAGCGGCCAATTGCTCGTGAAGCCTATCAAAAGAGGTGTGGCCTCATCGACGTGCGGGCTCGGCGGAAGGTGATGTTCAGGGACGGGCGGCGCCACTTTTGATTTCGTCAACCACGGGAAGTGGTCGTCTAGGGCAGGATATCGGGGAGGTGCAGGTTTGTAGTGTTTTTGGTATGGCCTGGGCCCGCCCATGGGTTGTTGTGCATTTTGATCGCGAATGTCCTGGGCGGCACCAGCAGGGCCGAGGGCTGGGCCTTGGACATTTTGTCGGTTGCCATCGTTGTGATTCAGCCGCGCGGACGATACAGCGAGAGATATGGGGGCTCGAATTAAATAATAGACAACAATGACCGCAAGGAGCACAGGCCCCCAGCGGCCGAAAACGGGCATTAATCGCTTCGAAAGGCTTCGCATTATAATACAGCGTGGCTGTTATCTCCTCAAGACCAACGAGACTCTTCTGGGCATATTGGTCGGGTCGTTATGGGATGCGATTCCCCGAATGCGCGCCGAAGCGAGAAGCCCCGAATGGCCGCCGCGATGGAATCGTGCCGTCGGCTTATTCGAAGAACGGAGACACAGGCACAATCACACACAACCCCCTCAAGCTACACAAGCAGGGATTGGATTGTGTGTGGATGGTCGGATGAATGGGTGAAAAGGGGCGCCTCTGCTTGGTGGTATTAGACAGACTACGCAAGCTATCGACGAGCCAGAAAGAAAACGGCAAGCGGACAAGCCGCAAGAGAAGAGAAGAAGAAAAAGTGACGGTAGCTCACTGTCTATGGCACAAATGAGTGTTGCACTACAATGCCATGCCACGGTTGAATAGGTACGGGGGGATAAAAGAGTCCGGGCTTCCACAACAGAGGAAGAATCAAATTTCGACACGGCAAAAAGATTTCAGTTGGACCCTCGACTGTTGGAGCCGTAATTCGGTACTAGCTAGGACTGCCTATTCCACCACCACCCACTTTGCAACCAACAGACACCCACCAATACACGAAGACACCAACCAGACCAACCAAGACACCATGTCCACAACCCACGCCGAACCCATGTCCGTTGCGTATTATGTCCATGCTGGGGCTAGTGTCAGATTGGAAGACCACCACCCCTTGTACTTAGACCTCTTCTATGATGAATTCGCTAGCGGCCATGACGATCCTCCTTGTGCTCGTTCTCGCTCCCAAGTCAGACTCTGTTAGAGTTAGACCAAGTCTGCCCAAGTCCATCCCAAATCGTTCTGCAGCATTTCAGGGCCGCTTACCTTATCTCTGTAACCCCCGACCTGCCAAGCCGGTAGATCAGCAATCCAGTGGCACCCATTCGCTAACCAGGTCACCAATCCTCCCGTGTCACTCACCTTGAGCGAATGAAGAACCAGGGACTGACTGACTTGTGCTGTGCGCTAGATAGCGTAGTGTAAACTACCGTAACATGCCAACATAGATGGGGACTTCGTACAGTATCTACTTACAACGGCGCTCGTCGCAGGTAGTACAGGCTTCAAGCAAGGTCGGACTGGCAGCACCACGATAAGACCAACACGACACGACACATTGAGGCTACACTAGTGACGCAGAACGAGAAGTCGCATGGGGGATCTGACAGCGTGATGAAGACGTGAGACCGCTACTGCATGATAAGCCCAGAAATACGCCTATCGAAATAACCAGCTCAGCTCATTCTACTAGGTACACTAGGCTGGGACGCGGGATAGCCGCTACTCTACAATGAGCCCTAGCTGATGATACGAGGGCCGGTTCCCCATCCACTAACGAGCAAAACCTCATGTTAGCTCTGTTAGGACTGTCGTTGAGGACCCCTTTTACTATTGGTCAGGGAATAGGTTTATTGCTCCAAAGTCTCAATACGAGTCATACCGGTAGTAGTATTCAATCTCTTCGTATCGATAATAACGGCAAGATGAAGTAGGTATTGAATATAGTAGCGCTAGGGAGGAGAATTGAGAGAGAGAGGGATGGATATTGAGGGGTCGAAATATATAGAGAAGAAAAGGCTCATTTTTCCCAACATGCCTTCTTCACCTGCCCACTTAGATAGGGACGAAAGGGGAGATCTGCATTACCGCGGCGACGATGGAGCTACCTATTCACCCCTTTTCTTGTACATACTTACATATATCTACGATGTAATTGCGCGCGTAGTAAGTAGCTCGCCTGTCTATCTGACGACTAAATACTCTCTACCTCTTACATGCACGCATCGTGCACTAGATTGTTGTTCAACTAACCTGCATCCTAATTAAACGGCACCACATATCAGCAAAGCCAAGCAAAGTCTTACTCAACTATTATATCATTTCATTCACTACTGAAATCCGGCATCTCCTCGCCGTTTGCAGTATATTGATACCAACGCCGTGCTTTTCTCCGAACAGCAAAGTCAGTAGATCATTGACCATTGTAGGAACGTGATAAATTCGCCGTCGCCGCATCTTCGCATATCACATCAAACCCTAACACCAACGCAACCGCCGCGCGTCTCAACCAACATCACACATTATTCCCATCGCTCCACCACCATCACCAGCTACCCAGACTATACCCGGACTATCCCGTCTCGAACATACGTTTCATGAGCACGTCCTATAGCCACAGGGCTGAAGGGACCTACAGTAGCGTAGGACGATGAGATATAGGTACTTACCGTATTTGGAATGCCACGACCAGCGGATATAAATATAGAGCTGTCAATCTCGGATACTCGCCTCATGTGCTTACGTACTATCTATTAATGCGATTACCTGTTCAGCTCGCCGTGTAATGTAAATCAAGCGCGCCTCTTGAAAAAAAGTGAAACACGAAGCAAATGACGCGATACGGTTTTCCGTCATTCCCAGTAGAACTTGCATCATTCGCGCCGGTCTAGATACACTAACCTACTACATATATATGGAAATATGCATAAGAGGATAATATCCAAAAAACACCGGTAGCCCGGGTTTGAATGATCTGTCTCTTCTAACATACACCAAGCTGACCCGGATTATCAGTCAGTCAGTCAGTCAGTCAGCAGCTTATCCCAGTTCTTAGTACGAGTGCGAATAAATAAGAAACTGTCGAGAAACGGCCGCTGCTGACGATACATGCAAGCAATTTCATGCCGCAATTTATTTAACCCGGTTTTGCTTTTTAGCCTCGTCGCTCGAACTCGGTCATGGTTCTCTGAACCCAGATCTTCGTTGCCAAGGAAGGATATTATGTGTCATAGAAAATGGGTTCAAGAATTGCCTATCTACCGTAACCGGCACTATAGTGCGTATGTATCTCTACAAACACGTCAAATTAAGCTTTTTGAATAGTTTCGTATGTTATACAAGCCTATGCGCAATATGTGGTTTGCCATAATTTACCGACAAAGAGATTTGCACTAATATTTACACAATAGCTCTCCAACTGGACCATCTGTGTGCTTGATGTTCGCCCTGGACTAACAACACGGCCCCTGTCGACCATGCTTCAAGCAGAGCACTCGCTGCCTATGCATTTATTGTATACATCCCATTGGACTGGTCTCATATCAAAACTCTTTGGTATCCTAAAGCCTAAAGTCGCGGTTCATCAACGGACAGGTGCTGGGGATATTCTACAACTCATCTCTGCATTGCCCTCAGTGATCATTGCTCTTCGCTCAGGCCGCCCATGATCCCATTAGATCTGCTCGGCTTTTTCCCCAGCTTCAATATACTCAGTCGTTTTCTCACCGAATTGATTCTCAGAACACCGCCTTCTCCTCGGCTGAAATCTCCCTCGGGAAACTCAGCTATCTCCCTACTCTTGCGCGAACGGTCCGAGACAGACGCTAATGGTCCAGCATCAACACTGCTCCTATAGTGATGGTTGGTGCTTGAACTGGTATCAATTGACTGCGTTCGTAATACCCGGCCTAGGTTTTCTTTGCTGTATTGACTATTGGATTCGCTGCCATCTCCTACCATGAGTGTTGAACCAGAGTTTTCCCCACCTGATTGCTGGGAGCTCTTTGGCTTTCCACCTAGGAAACTGAGTCGAGAGCCGTGCTGTCGCATGACTATTGGCTGCACAGTGGACGCTTCTTCCACAATGGCGGTACCATTGGTCAACGAAGTACGTATATTTCCTTTGAACTGCCCACTTTCCCGTGTAGGTGACGATCGTTGCCAGCCCAGCGAACTCCCAGGGATAGCATCTCCCTGTGGTTGAGGAGGCGCAAATATGGCTATCTCTGGTGCGAAGGTTGATATGAAATCTGCAATTCAAATTAGGAGTTGATACATTTAACCATTATGTCTACTTACGTGGATACAGATCTTGGTAGCCCTTAGCCAGAATCTGATTTGAGCTTCCCACAAAGCTTGTAAGAGAACGCTTGATCATGATAGCATGATCAATCAGTGCGGTCCTGATTGCGTTTTCCTGATTACTCAGCTCGGGTTTCATTTCGTCCGGGTCTTCTAAGTCAACAACAGGCAGTAGCTTTCGATAGCAAGCAACACTGGATTCCGATTCTGGCAAAACAGATACACTAATTGCACCAACCATCAGCTGGGCTAGATCGTTATTGCCTCCATTGTCTGCCAACTGTCGTTCAACCGCCGTCATCTCTTGGGTTTTTCGCACGATTCTTTCCAATGCGGTCTCTTTGGCATTTAATCTGATATGCTCAACTTCGATGATCTCACTCCGTCTCAAGATCGTGGGAAATGCTTCACTAGTGGTGTAGACAATCTTTTCAGCATAGTGTTCCTCTACAGGTCCACTTGTGTTCCGCTTGGAAGATACGGAAAATGTCTGAGGATTACTCGAAAGAAGAAAATCGCGTATGGGCTGTGCAACACGACCGCGCTGGAAGACTTGGTGCCGTAAATCGCGATGGGGGGAAACTGCTGAGACAATCAGGTACTGTCCTTCAACCTCACTATCGACGTCTCCGTTGGTAAGAATATGTGCAGCTTGATATTGCTCCTGCATGCGATCTGTGAAAGCAGTAGCCCGCTCCCTATGCGAACCTTCATAAACATAGGCTTTGTCCCGTATATTGGGGGGGAAGCCGAGACCTTTGAACACAACCTTGAAATATTTGGGCAAAAGCCTATTGCCCTTGGCTAGAGTTTCGTAAATCGTGGCAATGGCTCTCTCTGTCCTTGCTAACTTCGCGAAATCGAATATATTGCTCTCATATTGTTCTCGTAGTTCATTGTAGGCAGCAAGGGCGCTGCTCCATGCTTCTCCATCTTCGAAGTGTTTGATCATCTCAAAGTATAGGTGCTCTTTGCGTTCAAAATGTGATTGCTCTGGGAAAGGTGGCTCGGGCAACGCAGGTGTTAACGTAGTGGGATCCCAGTCATACAAGTCTGCATGCAGGCGTAGCGCCAAGCCAGCTTCTGTATGATACCCTATGCCACGTTGTAATGTCGCAAGGTGATGCACATATCGAATAAAAATATCTTCTTTATGCATGTCTCGAAGAAACTCCATTAATTCAAGGCGGTTCATAAGGCTGGAAGCTTCTCCATTAATATCGCCAGTATGAGCGGCTACCAACAAATCCAAGAAGACGTCAAGTGTGTCGATCAACTCCCTGATAGAAGCATAGAGAGGATCATTCTCAATACGAGACAGCGGATTGAAACACTCGAGTAGCTCACTAATGAAGAGCTTTTGCATAATGCTCTCGGTCATTGCCTGATCTTTGAAAAACTTATCCAGACAGTCAATCAACTCGGTCTGAATGACAGATAAATCCTCACTGAGAGTCCATTCACTGACGATCATGGTTTGCAGGACCTCCACTGCCACTTTTCGAAGACCCCCGTGAACACTCAGGCAAAGCTGAACGATTGGGCCGACGAGGCTTGGCACATACTGGACTTGGTAGCCGCCCATTTTCGAGAGTCCATAGCGCATCCGTTCATCAGCACTCGTGTCCCAGCCGACGGCCTCCCAGGTTCGTCTAAGCAGTTCAGCACCATGCTCTCGAACGTCACCGGCGATTTTCCAGACAGCCCTTCGCTTCTGCTCTGGGAAAGTCTCAAGTGCTAAGCATCCACTCCCTACGAGTTTGAGCAGTGTCATGAAGAATAAGCGCCAAAGTTCTGTGTCAAAATCTTCGGCATCATCAGGATGAGGTAAAGCTGAATCTAGAAGAATGCCAGCGAGGTACTGCAACATCTTCATGGTGGATTTGTGGTGGTAGGTATATACACTAAGCCAATTCGAGGGGAATGCTTCGCCCTGTAAAATGCTCAGGTGGACTTGAAGAGTATTCTTCAGTACGGCCGTGATGTCATCCACAGACAGCTCGAGCTGCATCCCATTAGGTGAGCTCGATGATGCAGATAGTAAGGTAGAAAGTTCGATTAGGGCTTCGTCGAATTTCACTGGATCTCCTGGTAGGGGCTTGCTTGGGAACGGATATGAAGTGGGGAAAAGGAACGAAAATCTATCCTTTGGTTTCTGCTCAGAGGATTGGATGGCCAAGAACGAATCCACTATCTTCGGTATGTAGTCAGGAATCTCTGAGTTGAGGTAGGGGATTTGACTTGCCAACACTGAGCAGCACAGCCTGACCTGGTCTCTCCATTGCTGTGTGACCTCGTCAGTTTGACCCCAATGAGGGGCAATCCACCTGACTGTGTTGGCGCTTAGGGCTGAACGCTGCTCAGGCTGAGAGAAAAGGTCCAGTTTTGAGTAATTAATTATTAGTATAAGTTTGTAAAGTACCAGCTTCCCCTTGACTAAAGCGCAGGAATCCATAAAGTCAATGGCAATATGAAGTATCTCCTCGGTGGTAAGCAAGCCTGCAAGCTCAGGCAACCACGTGTGAAAATGCTGAACAGCGAGTGTCTGGCTACCCACTAACACTGGTGCGGTACTACGCATCATTGAATCGAGAGCCTTAAAAATACTCTGCAGGTGCCTAGTGAAGCCAGGAGTAGAACCGGTGATCCCAATTCCGGCTTCCTTGGCCTTTTGCTGTCCCCGTGCATGAGTTATAAACTTGAGAATGTGCCGCACAACTTTCAGTGTGGCGCGAAGTTTCCGGGCTGTCTCTGGCTCGGTGGGCTTGGTCAGTAATCGTGTAAACGACCTGACGAGGCAAGGTGTCGCAAATGGGTAATTAAAGATATTCTCTGCGTAGAGGTCGACCAAAGGGCTCACATTAAATCGCCGGTCATGCACTATTCCTAGTACCCTCACTAATGCGGTGAAAACTAAATCCTCAAACTCGTCATTCCCTTGGTATTCGACCAGAATGCTGAAGAGAGCATCGAGGACGTCATTCAAGAGTTTGACAACTTCGATCTCTGGAACGAAAATCAGCTGGCGTAGCAAAGTGGAAACCTCGCTTTTTGGGCCGTCTCTCCATTTTAGTAGACTGAGAACTGTACGATCTTGGGAGAATCTGGTGCTGCAAAGGTACGTCTCCACACGGAGAACTGCAAGGGGCCCCGTTACCTCTGAGGAATCAGTACGGGCACTCCAAGGAAGAGACAGATATCCGCCTCGGCCCATAGAGTCAGGTTGCGCACTCTGTGTATGCTCGTCAACTCTATACAACAGCAGCGAATGCAAGCCGTCGCTCATGAACGCCTGGTGATCCCAAAGGGGTAGATACGCCATGGCGAAAGGTGTATTCGGTAGTTCTGATACTGTGAGCACAACATGGGAGGTGGTAACATCAGGGGGTGATAGAGATAATCGTAAAGTCTGGCTCCATCGTTCGCCACGTTGGACAGCAAAAGATGTCCAAGTTGTATAAGGTTGTGAGTTTGAAGACGGGAATATGCAGGAATCTATTCGCTCCCCAGACTGACGTCGCACATTGACTGACACAACTAGGTTATTTCCGAGCATATTGCTGGATATGGAAGTGGCGCTACCTCCATACCGTGATATCAGATTTTGTCGAGCTAATAAAGCCTCGTTGATAGTAATATAGATATCAGAGCGTGGTTTTGTCGGTGCCCCTGAGAACCCCATTTTATTGGTCTTGTCAATGCCAGATAGCAGCGTGGGAGTAGATTTAATAAGGATATCTGCATCAGGGTGATCAAAAGACTTGAAATGAATAAGCAATCGCTCTGCCCTTCGTGAGTTCTCGTAATGGCCAGACTCGCTATCTAGTGCATCACGGATAAGATCGTCCCACCCTTTAGATGTTTCGAGTGGTTCCGGGCTTGCCACTGAGCTTGGGGACCAGATAGTGACTACTTGTTCCGACTCTTCTCCTTCTTTCATTATGGATTTGAGATTGAGCACGCCCACGCCAACCAGCCGATTGGCGGCAATTTGGACCTGCTGCGGGCCTTCCATGGAAGTGCGTCCTGAGACCGAACCTGCGGTACTCGGAGGGGCTATACCGTCACGCGTCGAAACATTCCCATTGCTTTGAAGTCGCTCGTTGGGATGTTCGGAAAGTGCATCAAGCTTGAGTCCTCCTCTAGAGAACGCTGATCTTGTAGAACCCCACATCAAACTTCTCCTAGAAGTCTTTGGTCCGGCGGAAGAGGGCGGCTTATCTTTGGAGAAAGATGGAGTTGATTGTCCAAAGGACCCAGACCTTGACGAAGGCTTTCCAGCAATGATCTGTTGTGGTGCGCGGACCTTCACAACAAGATAAAATTCGGAATCCATAGACGGCCCTTCCCCAATATCAGCCGATGTAAGGTCTGTGAACAAAGTGCGCATTTGTGAATCCCGTGGCGCGTAGCCGATAATGCCACCAGACGGCACCTCAGCCGTAAATGTCTCCGTAAGCGTAGTCAATGAGCCCCCAACTGATTTTGTCACCAAATAAAGATCCAAAGTAGCGGGCTCGTTTGAGGATCCAGCAAAGCTCTTCACATCCACCATAAAGTGGTGTAGGGACATGGACTCCACATGAGGCAGAGGTGGCTCATCGAGGAGGCTCATGGCAGACTGTAGTCTAGTAATTTCTATGACAGAATCATCACCGACCAGGACTTTCCCTCGCTGGGCTGGATCGCGCACAATAACTTCCCCGCCGCACAATTTGTTTCCGCGTACCAAGTCCCAGACAGTCTTTACTCGTAGAGCAGCAGCTTCACGATCCGTAAGAAGGCTGTGCAGTAATTGGCGCCTGGCCAAGTCGATCGTCTGGATAAGTTGTGACACACTCTCAAGTTTCGTATACTGTCGGGTTAAGAGTAATTCGTGGAAATTCGTAGAGTGCCATTCTCTTAGACAGGAAGCAATTTCGTCAATGAGGGGTTCGTTAATAGACGCTGGCGACTCATCTCCCATCCTTAGGAAGGGTACAGGCGCAGGCGGCTTCTGGAATGCCGAATTTGTGCCCACGATCCTAGATAGCTTCGTGAGTTTCGTAGATTCTCTTTCCAACTGAGATTGACTCTGGCCTTTTGCTGTGTTGCCGTCCACGCCTATATCTCGCTTCCCGTTAGTTGAAGCAATCCCACTCTTGCCCGAGTCGCTGTACCGCTGTGACGCATCCTGATCGCTCCCGCTTCTCTGAAGGAAGGCACTGCCATTTTGTAATTCAGTAGTTTCGCCCTCTCCTAGTACTTCACGAATCTCCACACAGCTACGAGGAAATATGCCTGAAAAGACGCGGGCCTCGAGGGTTTGGCCCTTGACTGATGTCAGGCCGGCGAGAAGGGATGGGGGCGCTAGTAGGTAACCACGCAACCACTCCCCATCGAGTGTCTCTTCGATGATATAGAGATCATCGCCAATCTCGAGGGGCAGCTCGTTCTCGACTTTAGTTTCGAAGGGGTAGGTTGCGACGGCGAAGGCGATACGAGGTAAGGGTCGCCAGGGCATTGGGGCAGCTGGAGTAGTTGGTCGCACAGAGGCTGCGCGTCGGTCAACCGCATCAGGCGGGCGTCAAGTCCGGAGACAGCGTTCAAGCTATGCCTCGGTATTTTCTGCAGGCAAGCGAGCGAGTGGTAACAACGGAGGGAATGCGCGGAGACGGGAACAGAGGCAGAGGCAGAGGCGGCCGCGGCGTCGGCTTGATTCTCGTTGGCGACGTCAAGTGGTTTGAAGCAAGCTCGCTCGCGAGTAGGGTTGCGCGTATTGTATTGTAATTATGCTGTGTTATGTTCAGTGTGCCGATGCAAGGTGGTGCGAGGTGGTGCGCGCTGCAGTAGCGAGATGTCGATCGCTCGAGATGAGGTTGTATTCCTTCCTGTCTAACAAAACGAGACACCCTCGGGGTTCCAAACAGAATTCGTGGGGTCAATCTCACTCGGGTGTCATTGGTATCGGTAGGTCCTTTTATGGTATTCTCCTCGTATTGCGACTGATGTCGATATGGCTGTGCGCAAATCGGATTGCTTGAGGATTGCTTGAGCTTAGCTAAGGGAGTGGTGGTTCATAAGACCGAGATAACGTCACACATGTGACGAAGGTAGGGGGGAGAAAAGGAAGGGAAAATTATTTTCTTGGGTTACGTGGCGGGGGTATCGAATTGAGAAACAATGATGCCGCAAGTCAGGAGGGTCCGTCACGTAGAATTGACCGCAGTTCAGAGCATACCTACATAGGAGTAGGGATTAGGATTAAGAGGTTAGGTATGTCGGGAGAGGGTCGATATCGAGCTCGATGTTAGGATGTAGCCGATGTAGCCAGGCGTTGGCGGTAGGCGAAGTTTAAAGATGGGCGCACATTGGCGCGAACTGTAATTGAATATCACGAGTTTTTGGGATGTTGGTTCTACTGTATGTAGGCAACTTTTCCAATCTACCTACTTCGTATGTACCTCCTTACCTACACCAAAACCATCGATATATCCAAGCCTGTCTGTCTGCGTCTGCATCGCGCACCCGTCGTCTCCTACCGTGCGCAGGCAGTCCTATCTAATCCAATGGTTCGGCCAGCGTACATTATTGAAGCTGTAAGTATGGCATAGTTACCTGCAAATGTAGGTTTGTAGCCACCACCATGTACCTACGGTATTGTACATTAGGTACAACTACTAGATGTTCCATACAGTAACCAGGATGTGCAATGTATCATATGTAAGGTACTACCCAGTAACTACAGCACTAGCACTAGTACGTACTACCTACCTAGTCCCAGGTTGGCGTACCATGGCTGAACTGATCTGAGCGCCTGGTTGGTATATACCTACTTAGGTACCTTACGTACCTCATCTTTATATCACAATCATACATACCTAGTACTAGATACCTACTACTACCTTATGTACTTGGGCAGACAGTTAGTTCTAGTCTTGAACTCTTGGGCGACACAGACCCAAGACTCATTGACATACCTAGGTATCTATATCTAGGTAGGTATATGTAAGTAGGTAGGTACCTGAAGCAAGCAGTCTGCAGTGTGTCTGATCTGTGAAAGGAGAATATATGGATCTGACATCCCACCAATGGTGCAAACGCCCCCTGAAATCTATGGGGATATATCCCTTGGATCGGGTAATTTTCCGTCGTCTACTTGAGATTAGTACGCTTTGCCTTTTCCTGTCAATACATGCAATTAGTTACTCACAGGTATGTCAACCTACTCACAGCTAGGGGCACTACTTCATAGGTATCTACAGTAAAGTACTTAGAGTACCTACTTAGATAAGTACATACCGTGTGTAGGTGAGCACTACGCCTATGTAGATAAGTCTTTACACTAGCAGCTACCTAAGTAGGCAGTTTTATAGTGCGTCTATACCTATTTGGTGGTGGGACTCATCAAACACCACGCGATAAGTTATCTAGGTATCGTCAAGGCACCTCGGCACTGTACCTAAGGATTCTAGGTAGGTACCTACCACATTTTCTATCCAAGATATGCCCTCTTGCTAAGGTCCTTCAATGTTACTTTGTACATTAGAAGCAACGTAGGTACGGTAGGTGATGTGAAAGGATAATGTACGGGTAGGTCAAGCTTGTTAAAACTTGATCAGAATATACCTATGTAGGTACGTCACATGCGTTCCTATATGCTTTCTTTTTCATCTTTTTTGCGCCACATGTCTCAAACCAAGCCACCAGCCAGAACAGGTCAACAACCATCACCGTACCTACCTACTTCACTTTCATCAGACCGACGGCATCCACCAACATGTAGGCACTGTAAGTAATGTGTCTTTCCATGTCTGGCTGAGTTCGTTTCTTCAAATACTATCCCGTCATGATGATGTTGCTAAGTGCTCGCTCTTGACGGACCATTCTCTGCTTCTCAGCTGGCTCCCTCGCCCAACCAGAACAACCACGTATTATCATCACATAGTTGTTCACATGGTCTGCCAACAACCTTTGCGCATTTGTACAGCCGCATCCTAATTCCCATGCCTTCATCATGTAATGGACAATCAAAGGCCACTTATAGCCCTCCTACCGGTGGTGCCATTGCTCGCCCTTTATCTTGTCCCGTCTGCCTTCTTTAGTCAGTCAGTGCTACACCACAACATGGGTCATGTGCGTGCTGCATCAATGACTCCTGTTTTTATCACAAACCTAAAAGATGCAGCAGCATAACATACGAAACTCTCTTCTAGACAGCAACCTCCTGTCTCGACGAATTTCTGGTCAATATTGAATCACTTATGCCAGACTGGCAAATTTGCCCTCATTCTCATGATGGCGTGTCCTCATCATCATCACCTAGTTCCTCTCAAAGTGAAATGGAAATACTTGCAAGCTCAAATAAACCCTACTCGATTCTATACTAGTTACGTATCGAGAGGTAAACCGAAGCGTATCTATAAACTCCTGGAATATAGACACCTAGACCCTAGGTGCAGATTGAACACAAGAGATTTGAAGGCAGAGTATCCCCAATACGAACTTGCTATTCAAAGACAGGTACGGCACAAAGGAGAAACTGCTTCCACGAGTCTGATGACAGAAGAAACTATAGACCGGTGTCTTACACCATGATCCAAGAAGTATCCTCAACGAAGACACATCATAGCGTCGTCGACATGTACCCCGAGTCAGATGATACCTTGTCTACGCCATATTCATCTAAACCACTTTCTAGGCCGTATTGGGGGTTGTAGTTGAAAAGATCGACGTCACAGCTGAAAATCATGTCAGGGTTGTTGAAAATGTAATCGATGTCGAGTTGAGGCTCGAAACTTGGCTCCAATGATGGCACACAGGGCTCCTCGAGCGACGTCAAGCCTGGTGTAGTGGCCCTCGATGCTGTCTGGGGAGTGGCCACTGAGGATCCTTCGTCCTGAGACATGTTGTTCTTGAAGAACTCAGCAAGGCAGTGACGAATAACATCATCAAAGCCACGCAACATTTCGTCCTCGACTTTTTCAAATTTCCTTTCTACTCCCTTTCTTACGAGCTTCGGGAGCTCCTTCTTAATGCGCTTCTCCACACGCTTATAGCGTTCGAAATTTCTGGAATGTGTGGTAGTTGCGTCGTAATCGGGATCTCCAACACGTCAGCATTCTCTCATTAAACAACACTCATACATCTTCCAAGTCAACGTACATGGGCTTGGGATCGCGTTACGATCCGTGCTGGGGAATAGCAGTAAGTAGATCTCGTTCCATCGCTGAGTCTCCGTTTGGCTCGAGTTGTGCCTTTTCCTTTCCCGAAGTTTTCTCTCCGTATCCTGATCAATACCTTCTTCCGGGACTATGTCCGATTTCTTGCATGGCTCATCAGCTCGCAAATGTGCCTGGAGCTCCTTATCGTCCGCAAACGAGGAACAGCATCTAGCACAATTGTGTTTTGGTAGCAGGTGCACTCGGTATAGATGCTCCCTACAAAAGATCCTCCATCAGCAACAATGCAATGAAGGCCGTTCTCTGTTTCAATAAACGTACTTTAGCCGATGGATTGACTTCCATCCTCCCGTCATGCAAACAGGTTTCTTATGTGCTTTCGGGTTGTGCTTATGAAAAGGACAGGCTAGCTTTACCTCTTCAGGGTCAGTGTCTTCGACGAAGTAAAAGTTAGCACGACGGTCGCGAAATTTTCTAATTACCTCGAAAAAACACACAGGTGCCAGCAGCCTGGGAAACATGACTTACCCTTTTTAGCGCGCTTGTTGTTTCCTCCCCTATCTTGTCCATTGTCGTCCTCCCCTGGCAGGTCGTCTGCATTGTCGTCGTCACAGAACTGGCGCTTGGGTCGATTACTCGCACCCCCAGACATTTTCTTGCCCGCCTCCTTGTTCTGTGAGCCAGCGCCACGAGCGCCGGCGCCGGCGCCGTCCGAGGCCTCGGAAGTTTCAATTGTGTAGGAAATGATCGCGAGTCTCTTGTCTAGCCACCTTTGAAAGCTACTCATTACCTTTTCAACAGCAATCTGTTTTCTGCGGGTAATGTATTCCTCTGGCGTCAGTCGTCTCTCCCCTTCCCGGTCTTCTCGGCCGTTTTCGGATCTTTGAGCAGCGATAGCCCCTTTATTTCGCTCCACTATAACATTTGTGGTCAGCTTTCGCATTTCCATTATGCCTACAAGAACGTCAAGACCTCAAGACATCGGGATATAACGATCGACCGAACAGATTACGCCTATAAGAACTTCAAGACGATAACACGCTACAGTATAACGATCAATTAAACAAGGCCTTTAACGCTAGAAAGGTTGTCAAAAGACCGTGAATCAGCTAATCGAGATAGGAATTTTGCATTTCCAAACGGATTAAAGAAAGAACTAAGTAATTGTAGTCCCCGTCGTTTCTTTAATCCGTTTGGAAATGCAAAATTCCTATCTCGATTAGCTGATTCACGGTCTTTTGACAACCTTTCTAGCGTTAAAGGCCTTGTTTAATTGATCGTTATACTGCAGCGCGTTATCGTCTTGAAATAAATACTTACTAGAATCGGTGTTTCTAGCAAGCCCGGATGAACTTCCCTGATCTCGCCCGACGTACACTTGATTGAAATTATCCTTGCATACGCCAATCTCTCTCAGGCATGGCCCGCCGCCATACACCGAGTCTTGTGTTGTCTGTACCTCTATTAGTTCTTCTCTGCTGAACTCAACTCGCCACTTGAATATATTGAATGAATGCCTTACCGCTGTCGAGCTAGCCTTCGTTTTCGAACCAGCAGGACAAGATACTACGTTCTTTTCGGTGGCCAAATGCTTGACCATGCTTCGCTTGAGGCTATGGATTCGACGTTTAGCAACTGTATGCCACTATGGTTAGCACTCCAAGCCCAGGAATTAGACATCGGGTACACGGAGGGTGAATGACTTGAGATTCAACTTAACTCGTCTTCTCCCACCTAGCCCCAAGCTGCGCTGTTGTTTTATCCCACTGCAGATTTCACTATTAGCCATCTCTCTTCTGCGCAAGTTCGAATGGCATGTCAGATGCAGGAAACAAGGCCTCTATGAGACACTCTGGCTCAATTATGAACCCCAGTTCCACGAAATGACTACACGGCAGGAAAGGGAAGACTCACGAAAGTGCAATGTATGTGACCGCGTCTAAAGAGCTGAGTGCCTGAGGTAGGAATATTATGATAATCCCGAGAGGGAAAACTGGACGTGATTTGTAAAAGTTTGTCGGCAGTTTTCAGTATATCACGTGGTCTTTGAAGCATCTCTGAGGCGGGAGGGAATGCATCAACGATATTTAGAAAACTCCTAGTCTAGTTCACGGCCTAGTTCTAGGGGCAGCGTTGAGTCATCACGGTGAAGTTCGCTGCGAATCTAGAGAGTGTCTTGAGCCTTGGAGGGGTAATCATGCGATCTGTCTGTAAGGACTGGGATTGGAAGATTGCGGTACACTTTTATCCCATAAGTGAAAGGGGGGAAACCAAGAGAATGAGTTCGTCAATTTTAAAACAAAATACTCCTTGTCAAGGTACGTGCCAAATCCAGACAGATGGATTCGAGTAGATATCAATGGTACGAAGAAACAGAACAATGTGGCTATCCGGATGCTGAAAGCAGTCTTGCCCGCGCGGGATATTTATATTGCCCCTCATTGTAGTTTTGCGCAGCGGCGCAAACTCGAGGAGGAGGGGTGTTGGCGCAGAGCACACGTGCCTGCGTAACGCCTGCGCAAGGCAGATACCGCGCTGACATGCGGAGACGTACCGTATGTACATAGGACAAACCTCTCTGCTGCTCTGCTATGCTCTGCTCTGCTTCGCACGGGGGTCATGAATAGATTCCTGCCCAATCAAGCATGCAGCGGGAGAACGCCCGGTGGAAGCAGGCTGACTGGTGCGCGCACAGCATGGGAGACTTACCCGAGTCGGACATACCGGTAGATACGGGCGCCCGATATCGCGCCGTAATAGAGAAATGCGCCAGAGCGTTTAAACAGTAGTTCGTCCCTTCAGATTCTGCGCGCAGCGTTTCGACAGGTGTGATCGCGAACATTTTCGGTGAAGCCCCTCACATACACTTTACATGGAGGCGACGTGGCTATCAGGACACCTGGCGAGACACCAGGATGACGTCAAAGTTGAGGCTGAAAGCCTGACGTCTAGGTTCGCTCGCGATATGCCCTGAGGGTAGGACGCAGGCGCGATGCGATGTGGGCGGAGGCGCTCGGTAGGTTGTGAGTGCTGAGTATGAGACTGAGATGACATGGATATGAATATATATATATATGTGTGTGTGTGTGTGTGTGTGTGTGTTTGGGATTCTGATAGTTGAAGAGCGTGAATCTGAGAGAGAACAGCAACACTCGAAAAACAACGAAGCAATCTCAACTAGAAGTCATCATACGATCCGGGCTACTGAAACAATGTCAGACAAAGTCGACATGGCACAGACCTCTGCTTCGAAGTAAGTTCGACTGAAAAAGGAAGAGCAAGTAATTCCGTCGTGACTAACGCCAGTCATAGGAAGTTAGGACCCGTGATGCTAAGAGATTATCTCGCCCGAGGCCCTTCCACGGCGACCGAAAGGCTGGTCGCTCAAGGCGGAGATATCAAATCGAACATAGCTGCGGCGGACAAATTATGCTCGATGGAGACGTATCTCAACCAGCTGGTGAAGAAAACAATGGCAGGCGACGGCCAAGGGGAACCAAAGAGGGCCACTTCGGCATTATGAACGACTAGGCTTGGAAGAAGACACACGATGATGAGTATGAAAGCCAGAGCGCGGATTACGATAGACGGGATCGGAGTGTACAATACATGTATGAATGAAGAGTAGGATAACCAGATGAGAAGGACCGCAAGAAAGGAGGTTGAGCGCTCCACGGAACCAGCGAAGCGTTCTTTCATATATATACCTATTTCCCTACCCACATTCCCATGCATAACAAACAATGCTGCACGTCTCCCAAATGATCTGATCAGCCAGCCAGTAGGCAAGACGCAAGACAAGGCAGCAGGATAAACAAACACATAGGATGAGTCCAACCGACCAATGAACTATCTGTGCATTACGTGGGAAGTTCATGCTCGACGCAGTATGAGTTGGGCATCAACAAAGCTCCACTCTCTAACCCGTCGGACAAATGCGTGGTTCACGTACCTTGAGTTATGTTCTCTTTTCATCAATTTCTCTTTCGTTAGAAAACTAGTCTCGAGTGTACGAGCATGTATTTTCATGGGAACACTTCGCTCCTTCTGCTCTCTGGCAGCATGATGCGAGCGTACAAAGTGCAGATGTGTGGGATTAAGGGATGGGCGGAGACAATCTATCATATGCATTACGGGAACAGGGATCCACGATGTAAAACGAGACAGTAATTGTGTAACCCGATAAAGCCTTGGGTGAGGTTAGGAGTGACAGGGCTACGGTTGAGTCTCAAGCAGTACTCGACATATGTTCCTTGGGCCTTTGACCAGAGGTAGCAGATAACTACATCACCACAACAAGACTTTCTACTGCTTAGGATGCCCCATCCTATGGGCTAATTGCTGCGCGGGCTATGATTATCGTGAACTCCTCGCAGGCGTCTCTTCATCTCATCAGGTATATTGTACTGTTGACTAATCATCTTGCTAGTAATCCTAACCTGAGCCATTCAAAGCTTAGGAACATATCAGCTCCAATGGTGGCATATACGCCAAGTTCTAGGGAGTATTCATGAATTACTCGCTGCATGTGCCCGTTGTCCCGTTCTATGATCAATGGACTCTAATCTAAAGGATAATAATGAGAGCAATGCCAAACACTAGTATTCTACTGCCAGGGGGACCGGATCGCTATACAGCGGCAACAGCATTATGTGACAGACTTCCGGTCAGGCTGATGCTCAAAAGATTGGGTTGATCCAGCCTTGTGGGTGAGCATTTATAATCATCCAGTACTCGTGTCCATCGAGTCACCTAACTTCGCCTTTTCCCTCGCGCGTGCTATGCGCTCGGCTTTCCAGGCTTCAATCTGTTTCCGTAGGTCATCTGCCGGCACAACATCATCGATCGTCATTTGGACATTTGAAAATGGATCCTTGGGGGTTGAAAGAAGTTGTTGCACAATGGTGGACCGGTCCATAATATGTCGCGATGGTAGAATAACCGGGTCGGACATCAGATCACCCATAATAGGGTCCTCGAACTCTGGCGGTATATCGCCTAAGTCGAGCTCTGCTTGATCCAACTCGTCCTTGGCGTCGGCTATCCGTTTTCTAAGATCATTCCATGCGACGACCATTTCGGGAGGCTTCCCCAGGCTGGTCTGGAGTAGGCGGGCTGCTGCTTCGAAGTTTGCTGGCTTGTAAGAGCGACCATCCGAAGCGACGGCTTTGACGAATTCAGGTTTAGGACCCAGATTGAGATAAACATCGATAAAATCAGACAGTAGTGTCTTCGGGTCAAAGTGGTATTTCTTGGCATCCTCAACTTTGAGTTGACCACGCTTCGGACCGACCAATGACTCAAGATTGTAATTCAACATACCCGCTAACCGGACAACAATCTCAGGCATGGTGAAAGAGTCCCGGAGTGTCTCGGTAAAGAGCTTCATCATCCCCATCGTATCGTTCACTAGTTGCATCCACGATTGACACTGCTGTTCGGCTTGCTCTAAATCTGTTCTGACCTTCTCGAGCTCTTCCGGGGACAATCCCTGATTCTGGAGCTGTTTCTGGTAGTCGTGTATTTTGACAAGCTTTGTCAGCGCTTCGTCCAACAAATACGTTGCGTCATTAAGAAGTAGATTGACAAATTGTACGAAGAATTGTCGATTGACCCTAAGAGGAATAATTAGAGGCTATTATGTTGTTGAGTTTATTCAACTTACCTGCTTTCCCGGCTGAGCTTTTCTTTATATACATTATTAGGCCAAATCGTTTTGATAACCTGGAAGATCTCGTAGCGAATGTTAAACTTGTCGTAAAATGCCGAGCTAACACCACTGTGTTCACATTCTATAACTCATCAGCGCAAGCAATCAAATGACGACTATCTAGACATACCAATGTAGAACTTCATTAGCGAGTGAAGCAAGTGCTCGTTAGCAAATTTTGAGCTGATCAGAGAATCTCCAAGCACACCACGGCTCAAGTGGTACATTGGCCAAGTCCCTGCAAAGAGTAGCGTGACCAGAGATGACTTAAGGTAAGGATTCTTGATGTATTCTGACGATCGTAGAAAGGTAATGCATAGAGTAATTATTTCGTCTCCAACTGCTGACATGAGAATATTTGGCACGAATCTGATAAATAATTAGATGTTAATCAATGAACATTCAAATGCCACATACCGGAAGACAAATTTGAAGTTTTCTACCACGTCCTGTAGAGCGTATTCAGGTAGGCAGCTAAAAGCCTCAGGTTTGTCTGCTGAAAGCGGAAGGCTAATCTGCTTTCCAGGCTTATAATCCGATTTACTCGCAGTTCGCAGAAGCCAAACAGCAACATATCGCATGAACTGCAATGACAAGGTCTGCATACCCTCGTCTAGGACAACCGCCTGAATAGCATGTTTCAGGGCAATATACTTTTCTACGGTGTTTACAGCGGTCTGAATGTGCTGTTTGACGACAGTGGATCGAAAGGGGTCCTGGCAGGCTTAGTATGGACACCAGAGTTAGACGAATGACTGATAGGATGCTTACGTTCTGCACTTTGGGTAATTGCTCCTCCATCTGCTTGATCACTTTCTCGACGTACTTAATATCCTTATCAAGATCCTTGAGTTTTGAATTTGTGGCACCAAGCCCGTAGTGGTGCGCTGCTAGAGTTAGGAAGAAAACCTCGGAGATAAAGTTCGATGATCCATCCACCTTATTATTATAGAAAGCATCCGATGTAGCTTGGTCGGCGTTCAGTTTTGTCTCATCGCTCATGTCCACTCGCGGGGTTCGTCGAAGGTAGTCGAGATCGACTTTGTTTATCTTAGAGAACGTAGCGTCCATGAAAGGCTCACAAAGTTTGTCTAACACGGCAGTAACATTCACCATGAAGCCATCCGAGGCAACCTCAGTGGCCTTGACCTGAAGCGCCCGTCTTTTATGGTTCGAATTTAAGCTGAAAGCAAACCAATCGAGTGTGCTATTCTTAGCAGTGGGGCTAGCACGAACAAAGGCATTGATGATTCCTATCAAGTCCCCTTGATGAGCTTTCAGTGTCATCTGTAAAGCTCCCTGAGAGGATTTAACATGGCCGGGATCGATTGTTCGTGGATTGGCGAAGTAGGTTTTGGTCACCTCAGTTTGAAGAGGCGAAATGCGGAAAAAAGGTCCAAGAATAGTGTCTGTCTCTGTTGCCAGGGCCAATTCCTCCTTCGTTGCATCTTGTCTTGGCCGGACTTGGAAGTTGGGATGCTGCGCGAGCGCATCAAGTAGAGGAGGAAACCGTGAATAGTTCACAAGACACTAGCAATATCAGCACTCGCTACCTGTGGTGGTTCTAGCCTCATCTCACGTTGATATAAGGCTTATAATTATCGTTCATAGTCATTTTAGCCAGTTGACTACTTATTGTGGCCAGTGCTTCAGTGAAAACCGGCGCGATAGTATCGTCTTCGTTGATACGTGAAACAGCCTCCGTAAAGAAGTCTAAGCATACACCGTCCTCGTTATCGTGGTTTCGAAGAAGGTAAGGAACCAACGAGTCGTGGCTGGGGTTACCATCCCGTCTAGCAGCAGTGATTAGCACATAAAACAAATTCAAGCATGCAGCTCAGGCTTTACCCAAAATATTCCGGCATTGTAAGGGCAAAAACACAGTTGCTCATACAAAGACGCTTAGCCTCGTGCAACACGGCTTCTCTCTCAGGAGATGGTCGGCGAGCGGGCCTATTCGCTCTCATTACTCGCTTCCAGCAGGGTAACAAGTAGTCGAGAAGCGCTTTGTTCTTTGACCAATATTTTGCGGCTTCGAGAAGGGCGGCATCGATAGAGGATGTGGTGAGTTTGACGGGCTCTCCGGACTGCTCAAGCTCTGCCTTCAATTCGGGAAGATAGGTGAGCTCGGCACCCCTCAGGTCTGTCTTTCTCTTCTCGTCAAGAGTGACAAGAAAAACATCGCTGAGCACGCGATCTGCCCAGTCCTCTACGCTCTCTCCGGCCGCAGCCGCATGGGCCTTCTTCGTTGGAAGGGCTTCTGATGGGTCTGCGTCAACAGTGGTCGTGGGTCTTTTGGCACTGCGAGTATTACCTGAGTCAACAGAGGCCCTTTCATCAGACTCTGCCATCTTGCTCGCAAGTTGGGAAAAGGGGTTTTGGGGGGAAGAGCTTGTTGGTGCCGACTTTGGGGCGATGCGAATTGGTTGGCTTTGATTTGAGGGAGAGGGCGAGGAGTGTGATGCTGATTGAGAGGCTGGATTTGGTGTTTGTGATTCGGAAGCAGGCGCCGGGCTGGCAGGAGCAGGAGCAGGATTCAGACTGGCCAGCTTCGCGAGCCTCCTCTGCCGCATCTATTCAACTATTAACATGGAAATGCCGGGTACAAGAAGGGCTGAAATTGAACAGCGTACCTGCTCAGCAGGAGGCAGCGTGGGCTCGGGCTGCTCATTGGGGTCCATGGTGGGAGCTCGTCGTGGAAGTTGGCGGTACAGGCTCAGGATTCGGGAGCGTCATCCCAAACTTAAACAACCAGAGTACAGGATGGCGCGATAAGAGCAACGGACACAGAGAGCTATGTTACAACAACACGTTCCATGCGTCGACCTGTCTGGAGAATCTAGGTGTCTTCCCAGATACGCCGGCAATCAGTTGAGTCTTGAGTTTTCGGATTGCACATGCAAAGGTACTAAGACGGTTGAAGAGCAAGGCTATGAAGTTGTCGTGGTAATCATGGTAGGCAATCGGACTTAGAGCACCATGGAACAGCGAAGACGGGGATTACAGCATCAGCCCCCAGGAGGATGACGCTTATCGATAATGCTCCAATCCCGCTTTAGTTGAAGACGATACCCCTCTCTCAATGCACTTACTCTTCTGCCTATAATAGGCACCTATCTATGATAGTAGTGGACAGTAGGTACTGAGTTCTGATTCCGATCCTCACAAGAGAAGATGATTTGTTTATTGAGAAATGTGTTTACACATGAACTTACTTGCGAACATAAGTAGGTAGTAGGTAATCATCCGACTGCACCTGTTCTTGAATGCTGAATGCGATGGAGATGTAATCGGCAGAACAGGTGGTTTGAAGCAGACAGTGCCAAGACCTCGGGAATTCCGAATTGACCTACATACCAGTATATACATATATATGTTGTTTGAAGGATACATTTCGCCAAAAATCCACGTGGGAAGTGCGCCATCATCTCGAGGAGAGCCTACTTCCTACATATAGGCATATCATATAGATGTACTTGGGCTGCTAAAATACTGGCTGGCTGGCTTTGGTATTTCTATACTCGTCTGGACCTCTTTTGCAGAGAGCGAAGCTGGATGAGCTACCTCGAGTCCTTTGTTACAGAGCTTGTCCCGTTAGTGGTTCAGCTGTCAACAACCCAGCTCATCCATCAACCCCAGGTCCCAAATGTCGACCTAAAGCCATCCTATTAACCTAGGTTTGAATCGGACGAGTGTCGGCTCCGAGGTAAAACACTTCATGTGGCGATGCAACTGCCATTTCGTCTACGGTATAAAAAAAGGGTACACTGTGTGGCTGATCATTGTAGACAGACCTGGGCGGAGGCCTGCTCGCCTGGGAAGTACGTGAGATTTCCTACCATCCGCTCCCGTGAACCCGGCGAGAGTCGCCACAGAGCTAAGATGAGCAGTCATTCTTTGGTGTCATCCTGCGTTGTACTGGGCGAAGAGCGCAACAAACAATCAGCTAGGTGACGGCGACTCTGCTCAATTCACTGCTCTATTTGCAATGCGTTGTGCGCTATCGGGCCACTCCAGCACACTCTGTCGCAACTTGTAGCACACGGCGAACCCTTGAGCGGCCTTTTGGTCTTACAGTAGCCTGCTGTCCTCGTCTACGCGGAGCATTCATTGGGTGTTCGGCGCTTGTCGATCCGTTATTGCTGTGTACCGGCTTCACCATCGCTGCCATAGATTGCGTTCCACCCCTTGGTCCGCTTTGCCGCTCTCTAGACACGAAGCATCAAGACGAGCCGTGTGCGGCTTGGTGTAGAACACCATTTTGAAAGCATTGTTCCAGTCTTGTCACAGCAGCACGAAGCGGCCACCATACCTTGGCGGGGGTTTTGGTGCGGTGTCGATGGCCTGTCAACCTGAACAATGCAATACCCTCCCGCCACTCATTTGCCACAATAATCCAAGTTCGCATGCTCACTTTGTCTCAGGCTGCGCAAGTGACTGCGAAATATTCCCTCCAGTGAGTTCTCATGGAAGGAAATCTTCATAGTGGATATGATCTTTTGACATGGAATTCTCGTATTCTTATAACTCCGAGCTAGAATGCGGATATGAGATGTAGAAACTGAACCTGCGGTGACATTTCGGCTGATACAGAAGGTCTATCGTATGCAATGCGTACCCATCATTGCTAAAAGAACAATTTTCTGGTTCTAGAAAATATTCTTTCCATTAAAAGCTTGCGGGCTGTTACATGTCCAGCGTTGTGGACTTTTGATCTGTGGCGCTCTGAGCCTACCTGTCGCATCCTCATGCGTTCATTCCAAGGCACAAAACGGGTAGAAGCAGTCTTCTCAAATGTTCCATACGAGACACATCGCTGATAATGTGGTCGCACAGCCTGATCCGTCCATTATCGTTCAGGGCGGAATGTTGCAGCTAGAGTGTAACGATCACTATCTCCAAGTGCTGACTATTCAGCTACGACGTGATCTTTCCCACGGGGCACGCTGTGCAATCGTGACGATCGTTCTTCTGGGTTGTGTAAACTATCATCCTAATCTCTTACGGTATACGATGACACTTCACGGAGGACAGCACGGGTAGATATATAGGCATCTGTACGGCTTATCTGATTTATTGACCTGAGTCGTTCATTGAATGGGCATACTTTTTTCTCATCTTTAAGCAGCAGCACCTTTTATGCCTCCTGCTCCATCCTCTCGTTAATGCTGAGAGACCGAAGACGGAGGGACTTGTTTCGATCACACTCGTTTTGTTGTGATATTGCGCGTCACTGCACACGCTTTCGCTCCAGTCAACCATATACCAAAATATGCCTCTCATTGACTATATATCTTTACTTCACATAAAGATATACTCATCATAGACAGAGCTCAGCATTGGGATAATTGTCATGGATCGACAGGAAGACGCGGAAGATTGCGCCGTTCAAAGGATGTCACATCGAGGCTCAGGGGCATTATCTCGGCGAAGGAATCCCGCGGATTTTGGCAGAGAGAACGCCTCTGCTTGTGTGACAGCATGTTTTGAGGAGTTCATTCCCAATGTACGAGACGCTTGCCACCAACTACAGCAGCCTGAACATCGACAGACGTACCTCTGGGATTTATACTGCTGCGATTCTAGTAACTGTGGCGTGTATATTGGAGGCATTGGACAAAGCCGTGAGTCTTATGTCTATCCAAACGACATGTAGTCTTGCTAATATCCATGACAGCTAATGTTGACCTAATCATTAATGAATGCCAGAAGTAAGAGAAAGGCACCAGGCCACTATCGGGTATAAACTGATCTTAAGCAGTATCGGCTTTCCCTCGATTGAAGATCCTGGGCCCCCATCGATGAATTATTGTACGTCTTCTACGACTCCTGCAATCAATTCTAGCCTACCACCCCAAACTCTGGATCTTGATCCTTCGACTGCTCAAATTGTCATGACCAAGCCCACGGACTTCACTTCATTACATACCGTTACGCCTAGCCATACAGCCAGCCTAGCATCACGAACTTCCGTCTCGCTTCCTTCAACTCCGGCCGTACCCAGCAGCTCGGCCAGCACAGGCTCGGCCATCTCAACCAGTACCGACTCATCGAGACTGTCGAGCGGAGTGACAGCAGCCATAAGCATATTCTCGGTTCTAGCAATCTTAGCAATTACTGCACTCTTACTTTTCCTATTTCATCGACGAAAAAGGGGCCCAGGGAGTAGTTCTCTAGGACTACGCCTAACACCATACGACAGTCGACTCTATCCTGGACCACGTAGTGGCTCTCTGACACCTCTGATAACCTCGCCTCCACCTGCATCGTCTAGACCTGCTCCGCTGACGCCACCAGCGAAACTCAGTGATCGAAAATATCTACAGCCAGTGCAGAGACAGGGAACCTCACAGACCTCAGCATCACTAGGTGTAGGTGATAAGACTCTTCCTCCGTCACCGGCCCGAGCCCCCATCCAAAGTCAGGCTAAATCTCGACATAAACGAGTGGCAGCAGCAACATCAACAAACAGTCAGATCTTGACAGTTCCGGTACCTCCCCCATCGTTCCAATACCCACAGAGTAGTATCTACTCCTCGAGCAGCGGGCCAGACACTTCTATCATTACGATAGATTCCAATAAGGCAAGTTCAATTCACTCAGGCTCAGCTACTATAGTTGGAAATGTCACGCCGCCCTCATCTACCACGAGATTTACACGTGCACATGATGGGCCACTTGAATTACCGGACTACGTGACGCCTGCTGGCCCGCCCCCCAATCGCGCTCTACCTGCACCTCCACCTACTCACCCCAACTCACCTTCATGTTCGGTCTCTCCTACGTCGCCACGGTCTCCTACATTCCCAGCCTCTGCGTTAGCCAATGGGGATGGCCCTATAGTCTCCACACAACACGGTATTGCTACAGCTACTCCAGTCTCAATATCAGCCAAAGAATTACGCGACCTCACCGAATCATACGCGCGAGAGACAAGAGAATCCTGGGGGAGTTGGAGCGGAGTTGGCGGTGGCGGGCCAGGCGTCGCTTCGCCAGGTCGCAAGAAAGGCAGAGGCAATCATGGCTCTGCAGACAACAAACGGGAAACGAAGACAGTTACAGTGTCGCAGAAGTTAGACTTAGAGAAGTTAGGTGGACGATATTGAGCATGATGCTCATTTGATTCGACACTGGGATATATGTTAGAGCACGTCTCCATCGAATAAGAACTTACGTTACAACGAGGAGCGATAGCAGGCTATCGCTCTCCTCGAACTTGGAAAGATGAAGACTCACTAGAAGGATGGCCAATGAGAAGATATAGGGGAATGTAACCCGGGTGGCACAGTCTATCTACGAATACGACTTCTATCCTTGAAAGGCAAGAAAAGTAGGGAAAGAAATTCCGCGGGGTCGCGGAGCTTCCGCGGTGTAATACATGCATGGTAGTGGCACGGAACTGGTAGGAAAGAGGAGGGGATATGCTTTCTTATGATGGTTGCGGCTTGGTGCCCGTCTTATTCTCGCATAATACAGGTCCTCTTCCTCGCATTTCAGTCACTGTTTCTATCTTCTCTTATTTCATTTCAATTTATTTTTATTTTTATTTCTAATTTACTTATTTTCCCCCCTTCTACTTTTATCTTACACTATCAGGTGGTCATCTATTTAGCACCGACAGTAAGGAGGCTGCCAATGGTGTCTGTAACGGACTTCTCGAGCGTAGCCCATTCGATTCCCAGCATCTTCGTAGTCTTGGAGTTGTCGTACTTGTAGATATTGTCCTTGCTGCCGCCGGGGTAGTCGCCGCCCTGGGTGCCGTCCTCGGGCAGCCTGTCCGCGAGTTGCGGGAAGTTCTTCCGGACGATCGGCACGATCTCCTTGTTGGTGAACAGGCCTGCCGTTGTGAAGAAGCGGTTGCCGCCGGCCTCGGGGCGGTCCTGGGCCTCGACGTGGGCCTTGGCGACGTCACGCACGTCCACCCAGAGGTACACGCCGGTGGGCGGGATTTCGGCCTTCCATCGGCCTGCTATCAGCGCCACCATGTTGCCGTTGCTTGTGTTAATGTCGGCTAGCGAGGCGAGGTGGTGCACGACAGGTCCGAAGACAAAGGGAGGGTTGATGGTGACGAGGTCGAAGTTGGGCTTCTCCTTCTCCACGAACTCCCAGGCGGCCTTCTCGGCCAACGTCTTAGAAGCGCGGTACGTTTGGCCCGGATTTCCATTGATACCATCTTCGTAGGTCATTGGGTTCCAGTCAGCCTCACTCCATACCTTCGCGCCGTCTCCAAGCTTCGACGCATCCAGGATGGCGGCGAACGAGCTGGTAATGACGACACGCTTGACGGTCGGCGCATACTTCTTGATCGCCTCGAGAACCGATGTCGTACCCTTGATAGCAGGGTCTAGCAACTCCTTGGGGTCCGTGATCTTGAAGTGGAAGGGCGATGCCGTGTGTTGCACGTACTCGAGGCCTGGGGTCTGCATTACCTCATCGAAGGCACCCGGCAGAGAGATATCGGGAACAATGACGGTGGTCAACTTTGCACCTGGGTGTGCATCGCGGATAATCTTCGCCTTTTCCTCGCTTCGGACCGTCGTCACGACCTCGTGGCCTCGGCTCAAAAGCAGTTGGAGGATGTGAGCTATTCAACATAGTCTCATTAGTGTTAAGGCCTCCAAACGTAGGGGACACAACCTTCACAAGCATATCGACTTGGTTCACGTACTGGCAATGAAGCCTGATCCACCTGTTTTGATCCAATTTGGTCAGCCAGTTTCTAAAGTTGAGTTTGCCTTAGAAGACCATTCACACGGAAACAGTCGTCGCCATGAGGTGCGGCGGTACTGGGACGTTGGACCATTCTTGGAGTCTCTACGAACCTGTGAGAAGTACTTTCGGCATGATGAATTTGCGAATTGGGTTACGATTCAAAGTTGAGTATCTACAGATCGAACCGTATTTCACGAGAACGCTCCCTCGAGATAACAACATTTACGACCCCTCAAGAAGCTGGGTAAATAGGAGGAGGGGTAGCATTACATATACCTACGCATGCTAAACTGGGAAGACCACGTTAAGAGTAAGCATCAGGATCCCTTCGGAGGCATAGCGTGGCACTACTCAGCTACCTAGACGGGGCTAGCAAGGTTCCTTAGGAGGTGGATCAGTCATCAAACCCCATGATGATGATGAGAGCTGATTGACATTGGTCAGATGGTGCTTCTTTCGTCTTCAACGAGTTTCACCGCTCAGACCGCTGTAATGTCCCGGGGTCGTAACTTGGGACCCAAGGGAGTCTGCATCCTCGTTTTCGGCGGTAAGGCCGTCGGCTGTTCTGTGCGACCACCGTCATCACCATAGACTAAACAGTATCGCTTATTAAAGTACGTTACCCCTCCGGACTTTATGCCGTTTCTTCGGCGATTACCCTTATGGAACCTCCGTTGTTCCTCCGAAAAACGCGGGGTTGCATTTTTAGCATCGCCGGCCCAGCCGCTTCCTTCTCAGCCACCTCCAAATTTTGAGTAAGAACGCATATGGTTGGAGTTGAATCGCGTACGATTTAAGTGCACATGTGCGAATCCCACGTAATCCATTATTCCATTTTCTCGCCTGTTTCATGTGTACGGCCAAGCTGCTCACATCAATCGGATCATTGTGTAAACATCTTCTCCAAGTCTGATTCGGTTTCTTGGGCTGATCAATGACCTGAAGCTGTGCTCTCTCATAGCAGCAGTTTAAATAACTCCTTCGTAGAAAGTGCAAGCGATCTCAATCTCAAATGTTCAAAAAAAAAAAAAAAAGCATGCAGAGGCCACCGAAAACAAGTAAAATGACAAAATTCACTACTTTGAGTTGGTCTTCGTAAGTTCTGCGTAGATGTTTGAAACTGTCCTATTTGATTTAAGTCATGGTCTTGGTGAACAATGCCACTTCATGAAAGTCGATCAGAGATAAACAAAGTCACGAGCCCAAATAAATTATGTATATAAGGCTTCAAGTAAAACCGCCAACATGAAATTTTCAGCCCCGAGTTTTTCTCAGATTGCCTATGGCCGAGCCTGATAATCATTATTTCAATAACCGGCTACCACAGCCTCGGCAACGCAATCCAAATTTACTCTAGCAATAAACCTTGAAGAGCTAGTATCGATTGGAAGCCAGCAAAATGTCACTCGTATAGGTTTTAAGATATCTATCAAAAAGAGCATTTGAGCAGTGGTCATATATCTGAGTTGTTATGAGGAGTGAATGTAGTTAAAACCAAACAACAAGATTACACGCGTGTACCACACTATCAGACTTGTCATGAGTTGACACTACATGCTAGTACACCAGGCAAATGCAGAGATTAAGAACACAATCAAAAGGTTTCACTGGTTTCACTATTATGTGAAAGTGGATGGTAATGCGTTCCCTATACGATCTGCCGCGCGGACGAAGCCGCGCTATTTACTGCTTCATGTTTAACCAAGTAATTCAACAAAGTAGTTGTATATAGCCTGGTGACTGATAGGTAGCGGGATGGTGGCACTCTACTATTAATCGTCACAGTGAGAGGTGCAAGTTACTGTTACACTCGGAGAATGGCATAGTCACCTCGACCAGGCTGCATCTAAACACTTTCATTTGACCAATTCAGGCAATGTTGAAAAGGGTGGCGCACGTAATAACAATAGACAATAACCACTTGCTCGCATGAAGCAGGCTGTTACAGTACTATAGTTGAGCGTAGAGACACGGGGTCTCGACCCGATTACGTATGTCGTTTGCCTTTTGGTAGCGTAGCGGTATGGAACTACACTCCTATTCTCGTTCCGTGACACAGGCTATACATATCAATATGTGAGTGGTGTATATCACCCTCTCTATCTGGGCAAACTGCATCACAACGTGCCGCCATGTGTCCTATTAGCATTGCAAACAATCTCGTACACGAAACCTTAAATTTATTTTACCTCAAACATACTATTCGTTTCTTGATGCAAAGTTCACAGGCACCCGTTCGAGTATACAAAAGATGTACACGAACAACATTCACCACTGCATAAATTCACCTTTACATTCGGCCACGACCACGTTTCATATTATTGGTCCAGTAATAACCTCATCCATAGACGTTTAACTTAGAACAGTCATATGGGCGCTGTTACACATGCAACCTCTGTGCCAGCTGAATATGCAGTTCGCCTTGCACTTCGGCCGTACGAAGGACCATTGCAGGCTGTTCATGATCTTTCAAGACATGCAGGCAATATTGGGCAATATTGGAAAGTGAGATTATACAGACTTCGCTTCATAAAACTGATCATTGAGACCTAAGTGGTCAGAATATGCAGTTCAATTTTATACAGAGTCGAAGTCAAGCACTAGAGGCCCAAAAGGAATTTGATGGCCAAAGACTTTTGCAGCCGTAGCAAGCTATTGTAGCGTGAATAACTTAGATGTCCAAGCTCTGCCATTTGCCATTTGTTGAGAGGATCACCCACCCGGTGGTTGTTTTCAAAAACGTTCAGGGGTATTAGTATAGAGTAAGACTTTGATTGCTGTGTGAGAGTCAGGAGATCAGGGCAGAAGGTATTAGGACCCCTTCTAAGTATGTATTTCCAATTTCTTTGCTCCTGACATTGATCAAAAAAAGAAATAGCAATGACCTGATATTAAAGACCCCAAAAGATGTGTATAGGATGTTTGGTATATATATATGTGAGTGTTTAATGCCGTGCGATGAATCAGGAATAGACACATCTATGAGAGGACCGAGAAAGCAATTGATTGGAGCTTGATAGCATAGAATATGGAAACTCCTTCTTATATGTATCTTGAAAGGGTAAATACCGTCATCGCTCTATAATTACTTGATTCTACTGTATCCACTCTTAGTCTAGGTGTGAAATGAGTACATAGAGGATTACATGACAGAAGATTCTCGAACTGCTTACATGTTAATGACAATAATTATTTTGGTTTATATGAAAGACCAACAGCTACGAAATCTGATGGGTTTTCAACGTATTGAAAGATTCTGAAATGGCGGATAATGGATGATTCTTAGGCAAATCTCTATAATTTCTACTGTATTCATGACTTTTGATCTTCTTCGGTTCGTTGTTATCAAAACAATAGAGACATGGTAATCTTTAGATTAGAACAAGTCTCAACTTCAATAATTCAGCTTCCATACTCATAAAGTAGCAAGCTCGCAAATTACAACGTGAGACACTAGACATCCATATGGAAAATTTTGACTGCAGTCCGTTGCGCGATATAACACGCTCAAATTCTATAACAAGTGCAGGTAACTAGGCTTGGAATTGAAGCTATTCAGATTACAATGATCAACTAGGGTTGCACGAGTCTTTGACCTTGGTGGCTTGCATCGACTCTATATACAACTGGTCTACCAGCCCTGACTGTTACAGTACAGTACTATATAATGAGTGCAGAGACGTCAAGCCCTCGACTTGATAACTCGTCGTTACCTTTTGGTAGCGCAATGGCATAGTACTGCACTCCTTATGTCGTTCCGTGACACTGACCGCCTAAGCCTCGTTGGTTCGTTTCATGACGCGAAGTCTGTACAACCTCACTTTCCAATATTGCCTCTATGTCTTTGAAGATCATGAACAGCCTGCAGTGGCCTTCCGTACGGCCGAAGCGTGAGGCGAACTGCATATCCAGCTTATACGCGTGTAACAAATTCTCCGGCATCAGGCCATATATATGCAGCGATTTTATCTGACAAATATGTGAGGGAGGCCTTGCTTTAGCTGCTCCTCTTTGAGGCCGAGGGCGCGCCGAAAGCTAGCTGCACAAGGAAAGGGCTATTTGATTAGCCGGGGACGATACTAAGCGCTTGACGCGGAGGAAGACAGCTAGAATGATGTGATAGCGGACCAGATACCGATACTGACTATGAAAATTTATGTGTTTGGGACAGGTAGGAATATTGTGTCGTCAATACAATCATTAACGAATAGACTATTTTATATAATCTGTAATTGGTTATAATTATCTTGCAACCCTAACTTTTAGTACGACCTCTTAACAAGAGCTCATAAAATTAGTTTGGCCTGGTTGAGAGGCTCTTAAGAGGTAATTATCTTTACGGCTTAGTACTGACGGCTCTCAATTCTCAGTCTCTTGGCCCTCCGGATATCGGTGACACATATGAGACTAGCTTTATTCTCCAATCCTTGATAGTTTGGAGCCGCTCAGCCTAATGCAAGGCACTGGCCAAGGCTAGAACTTGGCTAGCATTGTGATTTTATTCTCCGCGGAGGCATCATTCAGTAAACAAAATGAAGCAATGTTAACTCTAACGATGAAGCCCCTAAAATACAAAGCCCGCGGGAGAACCTCTCTGAAAGTGTATTAGAATTCGTTAACCTTGGTGATCGTTAACAAAAGCGAAGTTAGTGTACATAAACACACGTACACAGAAGGACATAGACATACACACGCACAGAGAGAGAAGAGACTTTTCTGGGTACATGGGATTTTGGGATGGCACTGGAGTAAATTGTGAAGACTCAACTTAATTGTCGCCACAAACCTAATTACAGACAAATTTCTCACTTCATTTTGTAAACTAGATGCCTTCCTCCAGACCCTGATTTACTGTGCGAGTTTTTTTTTTTTTTACGAGAACTTAATGTATCCCTTGAAAGCTGCTATGTCTAATCGCAACATGACCAGATAATTAATGATGTCCATGAGTTCCTCTGAGGACATCAAGACTGCCACGAGGTTTTTGCATGCTGAGAATACCTGCTCATCTTCACCCCGGCGTGTCAAGCTCTGTGATCATTCGCGGCATTTTTGTGTCACACTTGGTGTTCCATATCGTTCTGGCCTATTGCCTGTCCTATGGGTCTTTCCTGCATAAACTGCCGGGAATTATGTATGCGGACGGGGCATTTCGTATAGATCAACAGATGATCCCGCCCATCTCTAGAATCAGGATGTATACAGATCATCGTAGGCTCAGTTGGATTGTGTAGGTCTATACAACAATCTCTCGAGGAAATATGAATTGCTTCAGCATATTGAGTAGACATACGGTCGAGACTGTGCGAGCAATGCAGTATTGCAGAGTTGCGGTGTCGGCGATATATTGTGTCTCGAGTCATTCATGAGCACCTTGATCTTCAATCAGCATTGGAGCTTGTATCAGCTTAACGACAAGTGCATGGCTATCTTGAGCTGGCATGTTAGCTGATCGGACCGATAAACTGGACGTGAGATTATACGGGGGAGCCGAGAGCCTCTTGTTGGTATGAGGACGTGGGCCCTTTTCGCATTCGAATGGCGAGCTAATAAAGATTGGAAACGCGCAGCTTCTAAGCTAACGATGACGGCGCGACGCTGTTTATTACTCTAGCCAAACTGCTAAAATATTGTTGGGACGGGCTGTCATTGGATGACGAGCAGAGAAACCAAGATCTCATTACTCGTACATGTAAGAAAGACAGATACCTTATATTGAATGAAGTGGGCGAGGCATCTGCTAGTAGCGTGTAAGGTCGTTGAGGAATGACGCCAGTTTGCTAGGGTGTGTAGCCTCATCTGATGGTTACCAGGGAGGGGATGAATCCTTTACCGACAATTATTACACACCCACATCTCACATCGCCGCCTATGGTGAGGTTAGTCTTGAAGCAGCGCCATTTCGCTGATCAGGAGATCGAGCACTAGGGCGGGAGTGGTGGCCATGACGCGCCAACTTCGCTCACTTCCGGCCATCGGTAGTGTTCCTATTTCTAAACTAACTAGGCTAGATCAAATATTTACAAGTATTTAGCTTGGAAGGTGAATCATACTATTTTGCTGATCTGGCGAGTCTGGCACTAATAGTATATGCAGTGCGTAGGATCAAGTGCATTGGTTAGTACCTGAGGCCTGGAACACACAATCAACGTACTTACTTACATAGTAGACGATGAATAGACTGCGTACCTAGCGTACCTAGACACGATAGAACGGTGACTAGAATTCTGCTCTAGCCTTTTCACCGGTCTCGTGACATATCTAGGGGTAGCCAAGATAAAACCACTTCTGGTCGAGTATGGTTGTATGAGGAATCTTAACATACGTCGTCTCTGGTTCCTTTTGAGGCTTTTTTGTTCTTACTAAGCCGCAGTTGATAGTGCAGGCATATTTCAGACATATCGCAGACGACTCCATACTACCTACCTATCTATGTACATGTAAGTAGTTGTCCCACTAAACTTGGAGGTAATTATCATCACGTACTTTTTTGTCTGGAATAAATTGTCGGGATTACGTGAAGAGAAGCAATGCGGCGGAGAAAAACTGCCGGGCTAAGGGGCTAGCGGCATCGGTAGCTCGAAGCCCGGTCGAGCTATCTCGGGGCAATTACGGCGTCTCTCTACCCCCAATGGGGCATCTGGGCCCTGTTCTGGGGGGGTTGGCGCTGCTGGCACTGGTGGCAGATGCTGGCTATACCCCGGCCTCCCCCACAAACCCCCCCAGACCGACGCCCCAGAAATTCCCCCAGAAGCCCCCAAGAACACCCCAAGAATAACTCCCTAGTTAGTTAGCGATCCCCAGAAACAAACAGCCCCCTCACCCCCCTTTCCCCAACCTTGGATCAACCAGCCAGTCGTTCAGTCGCTCGAATCAGCGGCCATCAACCATCCACCATTCGAACAACGGCGGCAATCTGCTACCCAAAGCTGCCAAAGCACTAGTTTAGTGACACGAGCCGACCTGGTTATTCGTTTATCCGCCCCCTCGATGAGGCATAACCTGGGGACAGACTGGGGACAGACTGGGGAATTTGCGAGAGAATGCCGGTCCCGACATGTCCACGAGATTGAGGCAGAGGCACTAAGTACGATGGCGAGAACCTGGCTCACTAGCGTCAAGGTTATGTCATTCGGCTAGTCTATCGAGCCCGTCGAATCGCAACACCGCAGCCCTGGCTCGCATCGTTCGATAGGCTCGTAGAATCTCGACTTGAAGAGGGAGCGTACAAATATGTAGCTCCCGGCCGTCGACCCCCTCGTCAGTGTCCAGGGTGACAACGCTTAGATGCAGGCAAACCGCAAGCGTGTAGATCCCGAGCATCGCGATCCCCAATTCTTCATTATCTGCCCTATACCATTTTACCTACCCGCGTAGGTATATCTTCCCCTCGTTCCCCTTCTCCTCATTCTCCTCATCTCCTCTGTTCAAACATTGCCGCATCGGGTCCTCCATTGGCTACCTCTCTGAGCCTATCGCACTCCATCAAAGACTCTTGAAGTCGAAGTGTGACGTGCTCTATCCTTGGTTTCGTTCTGTCCGGTCATCAACCCATTGCCCAACTTCAAGATGGGGTTCAAGGAGTTCTTCAAGAACCGCTCGCTTAAAGTGAAAGACAACAAGCGCACCAAGGCCGCCGAGCTTACCCTCCGAGAGTCCATCTACCCGATTTGTCTGGTGACAGTTTTGGTTTTCCTCTGGGGGTTCTCCTATGGTCTCTTAGACACGCTGAATGTAAACCCTAACCCTAACTCTAACCCTTTCATATACAGCGTCATCTTGCTAACTAGCCATTGATAGAAACATTTCCAAAACACCCTCAACATTACCAAAGCGAGATCGGCTGGTCTTCAAGGAGCATACTTCGGGTTCGTCTCATCTCTATACCCCCGGCACACTGCTGGTAAACTGACTATCAACTCAGCGCTTATCCTCTTGCATCTCTTGGCCATGCCAACTGGATCTTAAGACATTATGGCTATAGGGCGACCTTCATGTGGGGTCTTTTCTTATATGGTATGTATTCACCCTTGCTTGATCATGATACTTGAGATACAGTCGGCTGACCGATGGGACAACAGGTCTTGGTGCTTTCATTGCGATCCCCTGTATCAAGGCAAAATCATTCGGAGGCTTCTGTACCGCCATTGCCATCGTCGGTAGCGGACTAGGCTCTCTCGAAACAGCTGCCAACCCATACATTACTGGTGAGTGATAAACGGTCAATTCATATAAGCTATAATCACACACACCACTAACAACGAGCGCTTTCAGTCTGCGGTCCACCGAGATATTCTGAACTGCGTATCAACCTCGCACAGGCTTTTAACGGAATCGGCACTGTCATCGCTCCCGTGCTAGGGTCTTACGTCTTCTTCACCTTCGATGACAAGACTGCTCTCGAGAATGTGCAGTGGGTATACGTGGCTATCGGCATCTTCGTCTTCCTCCTCGCCTTCACCTTCTTCATCTCACGGATTCCCGAGATTACGGATGCCGACATGGCTTACCAAGCCAGCGAGACTCATGCCAATGCGGACGACAAGCCCTTCTGGAAACAGTACCGGCTTTTCCACGCTGCCGGTGCGCAGTTTTGTTACACGGGTGCGCAGATCGCCATCGCCTCCTACTTCATCAACTACGTTCGTGAGACACAGCCATGGTCCACTGACGCTAGCGCCGCGCGTTTCCTCTCTGGCGCACAGGGTGCCTTCACAGGCGGTCGTTTCTTTGGTGCATTGCTGATGAGATTCGTCCGTCCTCGTTGGGTTTTCCTCGCTTTCTTGATCGCTTGTATCGTGTTCATTGGACCCTCTATCACTCAGGACGGTTGGACTGGTATGTCGCTGCTCTACGTGGTGCTGTTCTTCGAGTCCATCTGCTTCCCTACCATTGTCGCCCTTGGTATGCGTGGTCTGGGCAAACACACTAAGAGAGGTTCGGGTTGGATCATTGCCGGTGTCGCCGGTGGTGCTGTCGTTCCGCCTCTGACCGGTGTGGCGGCTGATTCTCATGGCACTCCTAAAGCCATGGTGGTTCCCCTAGCGTTCTTCGTCGCAGCGTTAACATACGCCGTCGCTGTCAACTTCATTCCTGCTTATAGAGACCCCGCGGACGCCTTTTCTACTACTGAGGTAGGCCTTCAGGGCCATAGCGCAGACGAAGAGAAGGCCGTGGCCGATAAGCTAGCTGATGAGAAGCTCGAAGAAGCTGAGCACGTCGGACACTTTGGGGAGAAGAGGGACATCTAAATAGATAGGCTATATAGCCAGTCTCGGGATTTGTCAGATACCATCTTATCTATCTAATAAAGTTACATATCGTTATTACGGTTTGAGTATATGATTAACGCAAGTACCTAGAAAGTGTCTTCAATACTCGAGCCACGTATATGTCTAGATCTTCCTCATCTCCGTGCCATACTCCACCGAGGCATCTATATTGCGACGTTGAATCTTGGCGTAATATTGTGATCATACCATATCGCCTCTAGACACTTCGCATTAAAACAATATCGTGAGCCCCAATCACCTCTCATGTGAGTCCATAGCAAATATCTGGAGCCAACCATATCGACACTCCTGCCATGATTTCATTTTTCAACTCCATCAATGCGCAATTCCATTCATCACGAATATCCAGTGAGTGCTCCTCCCCACTACCTTGGCGCCTTTGATCCACGGATCGGACCGGGTCCCGAACTTGTTCGGCGTTTGTCGGGAACTGGATCGCTGTTTGTTTTTGTTTTGTTTGCTCGGCTTTCATGCCGAATATTGACATTCTTCGCGTTGCGCGATCAGCGGGAGTCCAATGATGATGATGTAAGGATGTCAACTGCTTATCGCTCAATACCCGAGACAGTCAGGATTACCTACCTCTCTGTACCCCGTGCATGCGTAACAAGCAACGTTCAACAACGCACAACACGTCTATCTATCTGCCTACCTCTATCTAACACGCCTGTATACGAGGACACAGTCGACTCACACGATACCAAAGTTCTGTGTAAAGGTCCTCATTTCCGGACATTTTTGTTAGCGCCGCAAAATACAGACATTTCACACCTTTTCAGTCGTACAGGTCTAACCTAAGCCCTTACCTCCCAACCTGATTTCAACCACGACGCATCCCAATTTTTCTTACTAGATATAGATACGTAACTAAGTATGTTATGTAAGTCAAGACGCAAGTACCGGTGGCAAAAAATAAGACGAGCATGGCGTCCGCATATTACACGTACCCGACACCCGACACCGACCTAATGCAGCCTCCATATTCACAATCCGCTCAATCGAGTTCTCAGCCTCCCGAAAGAAGCGACGTGCAGCAAGCAGGCGCCATAAAAATTAAATATTATCTTTTTCTTTTTTCCTTTTTTTCCTTTTCGCCCCCCCTCCCTTCCCTCCCCCCAAACAGACAGACACGTAATTATATTTGCCGATCTATCCCCATTCTCATATCCCGATTATTTCGCCTTCCGATGGAGAGTTAAAAACGTCGAACCGGCCCCCCATGGGGTTTTGTTTCTCTCCTTTCCCTTCCCCTCGTTTCAACTAAGAAACCACGTCTACTGAACGGAAGCAGTGAGAGTCACAGGGCGCAATTCGTGCGACTCGTCTTATCTTGTTCTCTCTATGCATACCATATACATGATTATGAGCCCTGTCTTATATGACGCTACACAAAGGAAAGCGCGACGCTGCATGGATCCGAGACGAGGTGGCTATCGACAATCAGATCGCAGGTTGGATTATGCGAGATTCGTGCAACAAAGGACGTAGAGCTGGTTCTTATTCGCTAGGCCCGACCATCGTGCATGACATGGGAGATTAGAAAGGATGACGGCTGAATTTCTTTTTCTTTTAATTGTATCTGCCCCCCTGCGCAGGGAGGGGAGATGGTTGTTCTGTCATATGGATATATGATAGATGTATTAGGTTGGGGACTAAACGACCCCTGATAAATATTTTTGTTCTTCCTTCCTTTCCATTTCCTCTAAAGCCTTTCCTTTCCTTTCCCCTACCAACCCCCGAGCCTTGGTTAAACCTCGCCTCTAACAGGAAGACAAGAAACACCGAAACATGCGAATGAAACTACCCAAATCAATGTCGACTCTCTTCCCCACGGAATTCAACAGACATTAACCCCTCTTCGGAAACTTCAAAACCTCGTCGCATGCGCCTGACATGATGCATTGGGATGCTGGGGAATAACCGAACGTCTTCCTCTCCCCACCGGTCCAGGAACCTTTTTGCTTTTTTTTTTCTTCTGTATAAGTACAGGTATTTTGTGTATATATAAAAAGCACACAGAATTATATACTTCGATCGCTATTCATTGTCGTCGGATTCATCCCTCCATGGCGGAAAATCAAGAGATGAGATGAAATATCCATTTAGTCCGATTCGTTAGGGCTGTGCCAATACCTCGTGGCGGTCACAAAGAGGATAAACACGTGCGTTGGATACATGCAAACTCGGCATTCGATCCGGAACGTCCGAATATCAGAGGAACAGACCACCTATGACAAGGGGCGTTCAAGCCAGTCAAGGTCACGGCTCCCCATATAGGTCTCGCTGCGAAACACTCTCATTGGTGACGCTCAGAATAACGAAGACGCTAGTTTCGACGACACCGCCGTGACGATTGCCGCCTCATAATAGTCGACTGGAGAGAGGTAACCTATTCAGGTTGCGATATAGCCAGGCGGTCGGATTTGGATAACAATGAATGAATGAGGTGGGAGGGGTACTGGAGGTTCAAACAAGACGATAAAGGTAAGGGTATCCAGAGACGCAGCATGGCTAAGGAGAGAAAAAAAAATCGTGCGGTTTATACTCATATCCATAATCGTGGAAAAGAAAGATGGCGGCGGGATAACGTATGATACAAGGACTTCAACCGACCGAGCAGCTCTTGACAGTGGGATTTAAAGGAAAGGGTAGACTGCTGCATGCCAGGTTATGACTTAAGTCACGATGACTACATGCTGTCAATTCGTGCACTTGGCATTTGCATTGTCGGATCATCTTCTGCCTTATACTCCCAGTTGTCAAAGAGCACCGAGCCGTAAGTCGGGATTTGACCAATCGTGGCCACCTCCATGGGGGCTTGGTATGGTATTTCATTATACCACTGGCCAGAGTGGTGACCGGGTTGATGTTGGAATTGTTCTTGAGCCCCATGCATAGGCTGAACAGTCTGGATTGGCGATATGGAGTGTATAGATTGCTGCTGCAATTGTTGCCGAATTTGAGCCATAAGCTGCTGATCAACCACCTGAGACTGACCCGGGTGGAAGTAGCCACTTTGTGAGGAAGGAGCCCGGGCCATGCCAGAGGGAGAATAATGGCTAGGCACATTCTGCATAGGTCCGTTGAGGTTGCCTGTGATCTCTTGCGGCGGCCGCTCAGACTGTGGTGGGCTAGATTGGAATTGCTGCATGGAGTTTGTATTCATTGTGGCAACGGCAGGATTGTTCTGTTCCGGTACGTAATAGGGGTTGGGAGGTATTTGCAGGCGGTTGAGCATATGCATCCCCCTGTGTTGCTCCGGGACAGAACTCTCTTGATATTCATGACCATCGCTAGTAGATATACTGTGACGATGAGGGTAATGGGCCTGGGCAGCATATTCATCCATGTGTGACCCAAAGTCTCCAAAAGTGGTAGATCGGTGGAGCGGGTGGCCAGATACGTGCGACGGTAACTGATGATAAGGCGCCCATGACTCTGCCCTTTGAGTTGGAGTAGTAGGAGACTCGCCGCTGTCGGACTCGGAGGAACAGTCGTCGAGTTCTGAGAGATGCATTCCCTTCTGATGAGATCGCCGTTGGTGCTTGACCATGGTTGTTTTTCGGCAGAAGCTAAGTAGGAAGAAAGGTTAGCATGTCACCTTCAAGGCCTATCTAGGAAGCTTCTCTACCTTTTCAAACAGCCATCATGCGCACACCTATAAGGTCGCTTGCCAGTATGGATTCGACGATGTCGGGCTAAACTTGAGGACTAGTCGTTGTTAGCGACTTACTTAAGCCACAGTATATGAAGTACTTACATCCGAGAAACGCTTCCCGCAGCCCGGGTGTTGGCACTTGTGAGGCTTCTCCCCAGTGTGTGTTCGAATGTGCACCGTCAAAGCACTTCGTTGGATAAAACTTTTGTTGCATCCTGGAGCTGTACATTCGTATGGTCGATCGTTTGTATGTATACGATAATGGCGCTGCAAATCTGATTTGCGATTGAAGCTCTTTAAGTTGTTAAGTTAGTCAGCTGCGATACTTATAAAGCTCAGGTTGGTCAAAAGCAACGCAAGTAAATGGACATACCTTGCCGCAGGGGTTCCAGTCGCACCGGAATGGGCGAGCTGTTGGCTCATTGTCAACGAGTTCCAATAATTCCATCTTCCCGTAAGTCACGCAGACGGTGACAGTTGGTTTATCGAATGGTAAATCGGATCCGACAGTTCGAAAAGGAGGTCACACGACCTGGATGAGAGATACCCCTGGTTGTATGTATGTGGGAGATATCTAGGAATGGACGGTCCCGGAACTCAATGTAATGAGACGCGGTACTTGACTACGTTATATGTGTTAGCTTTATGTGGGCTTGACGTGCTACATGCACAGAGGAATCTTCGGTCAGAAGATCATACACCCCGTTCGATGTACTCAGCACTTTCAAGGCATAAATACACCCTGTGCTTTGCCAGAACCAGGGCAGTCTATAACCGTCAATGAAATGGGTGAATGGTGTGAATGGACATACACCTGAATATGCTAGCCTATAAAAGTGTACCAAAACCGAACCGAAGGTGGAATCGATTCTAGGATCCGGTGAGCTTTATAACATATTAGCCTTGGTCTGATTCCTGTGTAACTAGACGGAAGGCAGAGTTATAGCCTTGTTAAGACAATGAAATCCGGGCTGTAAAATGAAAGTTCATGGGTGCAACACACTTATTCAAGTCGTACTGACGGTCACCTATATTCTATAGGTGGTGCCTGCGCTGGTTGATGCTGGGATTACACTCTGTCTTGTGCTTTTATCTCCATACCAATTAGACGACATCAACAAAATTTTTATTTAGGGGTTGGAGTACTGACCTAAGAAAGAGATACAATCCAAAAAAGCCACTGAGGAAAAGTTAATCGTTGATGTCCAATCTAAAATGCGAACCCGAGGGAGGGGAGGGGAGCTCACAGTAATAACCGGGCTACAGGATTACTGCAAGGTATGGAATAAGCTCGCCAAGATTATTGTACTCCTCGAACCGAGAATTCAAAGAAAGCTTTAAGACGAATATACGCTCAAGAGAATCGAGTAGGAGAGGGTAATTGTTGCTGGGTCGAGACGGGGATGCCTATGAATACTGGTGGTGGATGATCATCAGCCAGGGCGATCATACCATTAAGGAAAGTTGGCGGCGCAAAGCGTAAGATGTCGTGGTGTCCGGGTCGGTGTCAATTAGAACGTTGATGCGAGTGATGTCGTTAAACTCTTATCAGTCGGGACGCGTGCAAGTCGTCTCACGTTAGATTTTGATTAATGAGAAGTCCAGACCATCCCCAGGGTCGTTATGTGATGCTGCGTGATGGGCCAATAATATCAGGGTATAAATGGCCGTCGTACAAAACAATTAAGAGGCAGAAACGAAGGGTTGGTAGGATAGAACGGTCGCTTTCTTGAGCCCTCTTTGGCTGGTGGTATATGACGAGCGTCTGCCGAGTACGGAGAGTGTATGTAGGAATCCAACACGACGTTTCTCCAGGGAGCCTGTTGAGTCGAAAAGATGAGGCCTTGCCTTTGACTTATACGGAAACACCAGAATATCGAACAGAATTGGGCTTCCCCCTCGTGAACCGCGAACGAGTATCGACCGCAGTTCTACTAGTATAGAGTTGCTTCGGTACTTGGGGTGGAAGTGTTGGGGACCTGAAGCATCCACGGTCGACGGGCATTTGTGAGATTCAAATATGAAGTATGAAGCGGGGCCGTGGTAATGTGGTGTAAAAGTAAGAGCGGAACCCGAGCTATAAGACGAGAACAAAATACCAATGCCTCCTCACATGGAATAGTAGTAGTATAGTACACATATAGTCCAGGGCGTGCCGAGTTGGTCGACATTAGTAGCGTAGCGTACTTGGTAGGTCAAGACCAAAAAAAAACAAGAGATGGGACCCCTACATCGAGGCCGGCGCTGGCAGCGGAACCTTCAACAGAGAGATGAACCAAAAAGAAGTTTGATACGATTCACCAAGCACGTACCTAGCGCAAGACTGCGGCATTGAGCATGTTCTCTGCTGGCAGCGTCCGAACCTAGTTCCCTGCCAGCCGTGGCCCCGCGACGACCTCGCCCATTGCAGAAGCATAGGCAAACCGGCCATGATGGGATGATGCAGAGAGAGGGCACTGAGACTGGCAACCCCATCGACGACGGTAGACCAACGTAGACAGACCAACAGAGGGCGAGCACCAGGACCAGGACCAGGGCCAGGACCAGGACCAGGGGACGGGAGGGATGTACCCCGTTCCAGCGTCGCAGCGGACAGAGGCAGGAAGCATGGAAACCCGCCGGCAAGGGTGGTGATTCGAATATGCATGCCCATGGCTGCCGTGTACCGCAGCTAGTTAGCAGAGGGGAGGAGATACTTTGGTCTACATACCCAAGTAAGTACAGTCAGTATATAACTTAAGTATGTATGGACATACCTACCTCCTAGTAACACTGCACCATACATACATACATACATACATAACCATCTTCTCATATATGTAGGTACTGAGATCAAAGCCTGTATGTGTATGTACATCACAAGACAGCTGAGCCAGCCAGCGTCATGGGCGGAATACGATAAAGATAGGATACCTAGAGAACATACCTATTTACATCATCCACAGTACTTACCTACTTACTTTACTTAGCACACAGCCAGCATGTGCGGAATATGTGCGGATGGATATCTAAGTAGGCAAATAATGTAATGTGGTGACATTACCTAGGTACAGTACAGTAGGACCTCCCTTATAAAGTATGCTACACTACTACCTACCTATGTAACTGGAGTAGTTAGCCAGCGTTTAGTGTACTTCAGTAGGTAAGTATAAGTAGTGAAGCATAAGATGGGGCGGCAAGGGTAACATGTGCGTGGGCGAAGCTAGCTGTAGCGAAGTGTGTAGCGCAGTGTATAGCGCAGCGTGTAGCGTAGTGTAGCGTACACTAGCAGCATGTTTAGTGTACCCGGCCCGGCCAGCCTGGTCTGGCGTGGATACCTACTTACTTACAGTAGCTAAGGTCGAGGTAAGGTACCCTTGGGAGGGGTGTGGACTAGACCCTGGCTCGCCTAGCCCACGATGTCTATACTTGCCTTTCTTTCTTTCTATCGCCCTCCTAAGCATTGTACTGTATCTATCCCCTTTCCCTTTTGCAGGTGTGGTATAGTCCTCAACTGAGTACTTTATGTGGTATCATGCCTACCGAGGAGGGAGATCTAGCCTGCTACTGATGTGGCAGAAGTATCTACCCTACACCATGAAGAGTGGCGTTGCCCGTCCGCTATGGGGCTTAACGCTTAGGGAGAATGAGTGTTTCAAGGTCTAGGTCAGTACATGTACGTACTTACAGTTGCTAGGTATACACGTATGACTCTCGGTGGTTACAGTCTGCTCTATCTACACAACTCCTACAGGTGTACTTACTTACTTACTTTATGACTTTGTTACTTACACTACTACATTACTATGTAGGGGAGTGATAACTAAATAACCCTGACTCTGTACGGTAGTGTAGTAGTAGGTATGGAACTGCCTACCTAGGTATTGTAATATAGTAAGTAGCAGGGTAGGTAGGTAGTATAGTATACTGAACAGTAGTTACAGAGTAGGTAGGCCGTTTCTCGCCTGAGCTTGAGAACATGGACGCCAAGCGACCCTGATAATAATAACGCGGTGTTATTCTAGGTGGATATGTCAGTTGGGCATACCACGTACTATCACGTAGATATGTAGCTATGTTGTAACCTGTGTCCTAGGTAGGTAGGTACATCCTACGCCAGTAACGGGCAGGTCGGTTGGTAATGTCTCACATGTCCCTATGGCTGTGTTAGAAAATCACAATGTTAAAGCGTCAGAGCCCTGCCAGCATACAGACGCACCTTGGTCTAGACGTTGATAGGTCCAGAACTGTTCGGCATAGATTGTGGCCATATTCGCTTCCTGGTATAGACATAGACGACTGTCGTGCCCCCTTCTAAGCTTCCTGTGAGGCCATGCGCCACAATACACATCAACAACATTGTTATTGTTGTACCTCTCTTATAATAGCACACACTAACCGGCCGGGACAAACGTCAAAAACATGGAAGCGGGCAACAGTTAGAACTACCGTTAGTGTACGCTGGCGCCGGGGCAAAGGTCTCTACTATGTAGATTACGTGCTTCACTAGCTTTGTCCTTACCTACAGTAGCTAGTTTTGCCTCTCCGTAGATAGATGCCTCGGATGCTAAGGACTGGTTTTACCCTTTGCTAAGTATGTACACGCGACTCCACACCTGGTCACTCGCCATTGTTGCCAACGACCGTATAACGTGCGGCTGTAGCTAACAGATGATGGGCACATGGACGGCGAGTATCCGTACTACGATCGCTTACATGTAGTAGGAGAGAGCTCTAGCTCTGTGCGTGAACGACTAATTTGAGCTGATAACAAGTCGCCTCTTTCGCGTCTTATTTTTCTTGCTATAGGAGCAGGTCATGGCTCCAGAGTGCATGAGCCAGGCATGGAGATTTCCCTAGAGAGCAAGTCTACACTGAGGATCCACTGGCAAGAAGGGTCCGAGCCTTGACTGAGATGCATACAGATGGATGTCGCTCTTTGAGATGAAGACTTGATTGCTACCGAGCCCATCGAACCTGCAGATGCCACCGCAAATATGCAGCAGCGGTGTCGTGTAAACGATGAGCTGGAGAAATTGCAAAACCCCTCCATATCTATGCGCATTATGGACACGGCATATGAACTCCTGGTGAGCAGACAAGCCCTCTCCTGGTGCGCACATGTAAACAGCTCCCCGCAACAGACAGCGAAGGGGAAAAGCCCAGTTGAATTTGATAAAGAGAATTACATGACTCGCTGACGCCACTTTGCCGACGCGCCATGATTTGACCACGAGACAGGAAAGCGGAAAGAGAAGCACCAATTAGACGAAGACTGGGGGAGGTTGACTGCAAAAAAATGTTCTACCGTGCGAGGAATTTCCCCAATCGTCCTAGCATTCCTATTCTGTCCTATCTTCCTTCATTTACACAGTGCAGATGCTCCCAGAATCCAGAGATGGTAGTAATTGTTACCCAGCATGAATGCCGTGCTGCACTGTGACGGCGACTTTGGTAGGCTGCTGAGGG